TGTAAACCCTAATGTAAACCCTAATGTAAACCCTAATGTAAACCCTAATGTAAACCCTAATGTAAACCCTAATGTAAACCCTAATAATGTTTATTTATTATAACAACTGATCGGATAGCTGATACAGCCCTATTTAAATTCTAATTTAATATAAATTAAGATATATTCGGCCAATCCCTGTGGATTAGAAAATAGAAACCCCAGCTATTAAAGATTTTATCTGAATAGGAAATATTACTGTATTAGAATCACCAGTAATCTTATTCTACTTTAAAATATTATCTTAAATTTTTTTTAGTTTAAATATAGATAATCTGATAAGTAGAATTTTTTTAAATAGTAAGTAATTTTATTAGATTAAATCTTATATCAGTATTATTTATAAATTACTACTGGCAGTATTAGAAGCTGAATAAACTATTAATTTTTTTATAATTTTTTTATAAATAAAATAAAGCTAGAACTTTAAATAGATAATAATAAGTTTATAGTTATATTTTTTTCTGAACTATTTTCAATATAATTATAAAATAGCTGGATTAATATCTAACAGCAGCTGCAGACTACAGTTAATTATAATTTTAATAAGAAATTATAAATATTTTATTAAATACTATATTATTAAATCTGATGAAATTTAACTTTAAATTAAAATATTATAGTTAGATTATTTCTTCTATAAAATATAAAAGTTTCAGAGGATTTTATCTAAATAATATAATAAAAGAATATATTTAAAATCAATCAAATTTATATTATCAGTTGGCTGCTGTAGTTAATTAATTAGTCAGTTACATCCCACCCAAGTCCTACTTCAATTCGAATAAACCTTTACTCGGATTACCTCTGTGGATTAGAACTGGTTAAAGCCTGCAGGTTGGGCCATCAGAGTGTTGTGGAACTCCTTATTCGCACGTATCCACTACTACCCATCAACATACTACCCATCAACATGGATTTGTGCTTTATGAGCACGACCAAGCCATCCGTTATTCTCTTGTTGTTTAACTGCGCAGCGACAAGAAGGTCCCCACCATTATTTCTACATGAATGAAAGTGACTTTCATGCAAAACAGGTCAACACTCACTGAATTCGATGCCACAATAAACTTGCAATCTCTCAGACACCGGTAACAGTGGGACTTAACAATACAGTACCGTACATCATAGTACAGAACATGACATACAAGATGCACACACACACACACACGCGCGCGCGCGCGCACGCGCGCAATCAGACTGAGATGCTTTGACCATTATCACATCAAACAGTGGACGAGTGACGCGAGGACCCATCGCAGCTCAACTATGATAGTGAGCTCTGCCACATGATGAGATTGAGATATTTCCAAAGATCCCACTGCCAACGACTTGGGCTCAGTAAGCGTAAATGTTGATCTCCTCGGGGTTTGTGGCCCGGATCTTCCTGTTCTCCCTAACTAAGATGGCTTTCATTACCCAGGCCAAAATCACAACTCCCGCTGAAAAGCCGATACTGCAGTACATGGCGGTGGCGAACCGCGGAGCATCACTATCCGGCCACAGGTACGGTGTATATACACTGGCCAGGTTGCCCAAGGTGTTGGTGATTGCAATAGCCACTGCCTTTTTCTCATCAGTTTGGCCAGTTGTTGCTGCCACCCAAGCGATGTTGATATTATTGACTCCATACGTGGCAGCGACGAAAAGGATCATTGCGAAGTACCGGGCGCCAAGATTGAGGGTACCACACGCCACCGCAAATCCGATAATGGCAAGTCCCTTGGAGATAGTGATGTGCCAGGTTCGCTCGTTGAAATGGCCCGAGGACCAAGAGACAGCAACAGATGTGAAGGTTGCCACAAGATAGGGCGGACAAGTGAGTACCAATGAGATGGTATTGTTGAACCCGAGAGTCTTCACCACCGTGGGCATAAAGTTCTTGAACCCATTGGCTGAGAGATGCAGGTTGCACATGAGAGCAAAAATCCAGGTTCGATAGTCGGTGGATGCTTCGCGCAGTCCCGTCCAAATGCTGGTTCCTTCTCTTTTCTGCGTGGTATCGCGGGCGATGCGGTCGTGCGCCAGTTGCCGCTCCTCCAGCGTCAGCCATGGTGTTTGGAGTGGGGAGTTGGGGAGAATGAACCAGGCTAAAATGGCCACTCCTATGGTTACCACGCCTTGGATCAGAAAGAGCCACTGCCATCCGGCGAGGCCATGCTTTTTGTCGAGGCCGGCGAACACTCCTGCTGATATCAGGCCGGAGAAGGCACTCGCCAACATGTTTCCGGTGTAAAGCACTGCCATGCGCGTCGTTGCCTCTTTTCGGTTGTAGAAGAGGGAAATCATAAATAAAGCCCCAGGATAAAACGGGGCCTCAACTATCCCGAGAATCAGACGACAGACCAGCATCCCATGGTAGTTCTTCACGAGGCAGGTTAACGTGGACACAATGGCCCACGCCATCATAAACCCGGACATGTATCTCGCGGGCTTCACACGGTTGAGGAGCATGTTTGAAGGGACCTGGCCCAAAAGGTACCTACGCTTTGATTAGCTTAAGAATAGCGGAGAATGCCACGGCAGCAGATACCCGACGAAAAGGATGCTAACGCAAGTATTATATTGCGTTCCATGCAAGTTGAGGTCTTGGGAAAGACTGTTGAGCTTTCCATTCACCATGGCGTTGCGATCGAGAAAGTTGAGAAAGTACATGACCCACAGGATTGGCTTCTCCTTGTCAGCATAGGACTACCATCATCGAGAGCTTCGAGGAGGTAGATAAAACTTACCATCATGTAAGCATCAATCTTCCGCACGAGCCTGATCTCCTTCGGGTCCACCTTCGCAGTGGATCCAAACTGATCATACTGTGGAGTCGACTGGTTGCCTTTCTCTGCCTCCTCCACATGCTCCATGAAGCCATCGCTCTTCTTCACCACAGTATCCATCACGGCCGTATAGGTGGGATTCAGAGACTTCATCTTGTATTCGGATTGCTCGGGGTGTCAAAAACAGGTCGATGGCTCAGCCTTGGGGCCTGATTTATATGAATAGCCGAAGAACCACCAAGCAAGGAGGCAGACACCTGGCGTGTACCCCATGGGGAATCTGTTGCCAAGCGATCCGCCCCACGAATTGCCACGAGATACCACTCTCTGCCAAGACCGGAACGAGAGGTCCAAGTGAATCCCCGCATCATATGGACACTAACTGCTCGTTTTGCTTATCCGTTGGCTGAAGCCGAAGGAAATCAGTATGGTTACTGTCCTCTGGAGAGGTCCGCCACTAGTAATGCCATCTTATTGCGAAGGTGTAACGTGCGAGGAACCGATGTCATGAGTTCCCAATGGCCTGTGTTCTTTGTGGGCGAAAGCGCATACCCTTGCAGCAACGGCCCTCTAGTCAAAGCTTCGGCTGGATTTGACATGAGTTTTGAAATCCCATATGGCAGGAGCATCCAAGATTGACAGTCTACCCATCTCCATATACTATCGCTACTGGGAATACCTTTCTCCTGTCTGTTAGGTCCCGCATGCTATTGAGATTCGACTGTCCTCTTTTGTGCTACGATCTTTGCTTTGTTGTGAAAATTCCATCATCTAGCTTTCTTGCTTTTATTGCATGGTCGAAGAAAAGGTCTCGACAGATCCTCGGTCCAATATTTCTGAATAACGTGCCAAGGGACCAATTCATGAAAGTAAGGCTCGAGCACAACGACCAGACATCAAACGCCAAGAAAGGGGCTTACATATCCGAGAGATGGCGGACCTTTTCCGTGCTACGGCCCGCTATGAGAGGCGATAGAGCAACGGTGAGTATCTCGCCTGGTTTTGCGTTTCTTCAAAGACGTGCCAAGGCAATAAATAGCTAACTTCTTACTCGAATTGGATGTTCCAATCCTCTTACGCTGCTAGGTCAAGTTGGCAGGGATAACTCGACATATCCGATGACTGGGGGTAACGGTTCTTTTCCGTGTTCCGCCCTACTTATTGGGCCATCCAGAAACATGCGGTTGACTTAATCTGTCTGGCAATCAATGATCTGGGGATGGCTACCGTCGGGTAAGCAGGGGCAAAAATAATACTGGTTTTCCGACAGGTTTCCGTCCCCACTGACTTGACCTCTACGGTGGTTTTTGACAGTACTGTAGGAACATCCTAGTTATGCTTCCGACTCAGCCGTCTTGAATACTTCACTGGGCGAGGAGAACCTTAGGGGTTTTGCTTCAAAGGCCCCTTTCTGAGGCTTTCTGTGTATTTGGTGTCACCCACATGATGCTGGACATGAATGAGTATATCTGAGCAATTCTCAATCTAGTTGTATTAGCGTGTTGGGTTATTACGTTAGAACACCGCCCCCGCTGAGAAACACTCCTATCACATCATTTGATCAGTCTTGAGCCCACAACCCGTGCTCTGGGGACCTCAACCCAAGATGTTCGATTGGGCTATGAGTGCACAGATATAACAATGCCACAAACTCCTTGAAAATTTGCTTTTTCTCCAGTCTTTGCTGTAAACATGAGGTTCATTTGATCTCATTATGTCAGAACCAGCAGCATTATGCAATGCACACCCTTTTGGACAGGACTACCCATGCGGTCGTGAGCCTTGGTAATCAGTGATCACATTTCTGCAGGGTGCTAACAAACTCGTGCGGTAGAACCCAGGTTAAGGGATCCATGTTGCGAATTCACCGCTCCTGCTACGCACATATCTCCACTTACGCCGAGACATTTAGTGAGGAGCTTCTTAGGCGCTGGCAATTTGACTGAAGTGGGTCTTTCTGTTTATCTGATAAGATCATTTACCGGGTTTCACGGCCTGTGGGTACTGCTAATCTATCCTGTGGCCTCTAGTGCTTATAGAGCTTAGGACAACACAAGGCAATGCAGTAGAGACTTGTTTGTGAGGTCACTGCCTCTTTGGTTTGACCGAGGTAAACTGCATCGGACCGTCCAGCTTGGAGTATATTGATAGTCCGCCGCGATGAGCCTCACCGCTGGTGTGAGGGCATGCCAGGTGTTGTTGGTTAGGGATTAACAGGGTGCAGGTTTGCCCTCTGACTAGAGAGATTTGTTTTGTAACGGGTAGACATAGCCACTTACAGTGCTTCAATTCTTGTGTGTAGATAGTAGTGGACTTTTACACCGGAGGCCGAACTTCCGCCCGCGTCCTGCAATTTGCGCAGGAATAAATCGGCCTTGAGATCCTCTCAAGGTGCAATTATCCCAACACAACGTTCGAAATCTTGCATTCAAGATGGGTGCTTATATATCTTGCTGGCCTTCCGTGCATCTTCGGACCTGATTGCTGCAGTGGTGCCTGCCGGACCCTGTTCGGTCGCTGTGTGGGTGTTTAAAGGGAATTTCTGCAATTCTTTACTGGCAACTCAAGCGGGTGGGTTAAACTTTATCGTTACAAGCCACGGCATTTTCGGCTGACTTAGCACCATTTCGCTGCTGCATATAGATCAGGTTCGTCAGGTTTGATGTGCTGTCTCTTGGACATTTTCGTGGTCCGAAGCCCGGTGGACGTCTCGATCAAGCCTTACCCCACCCCAACACTTAGGGTTTCCATGGGGACGAACTGCAGGCTCGGATTACCAAGGTTTCGGATTATTGTTACTAGAATATGGACTGCAAGTGTTCTCTTCTGTGTACCTAACACGATACATAAGACTAGTCATGAAATATTCTTGAAATAGTGTAGAATACTCAAGTAGTAATGGTGGGTCACTTTGTATACACGCAGGTACATATGTATATGGATATGACAGTATCCATGTTATGGTTCCAACCACAGGACCGCAATCGGGACGCTGAGAGACTGAAACTTTGGGACCAAGACCTTTCATTTCCCCCGGTCACACACACGTTGTGCCCTGCCGATAAGAAGCAAGCAGGCTCGCTGCGTGCTTATCTCTGTCGAAAATCTTAATTGAATCGCCGGGATAACTGTTTTTGGTGTGTTCATCCCAATACTAATATTGTGAAACCCACACCTCGGTTTATGTCTGTCTATTTATACAGGCCTCTGTCTGGAAGAGAAGTCAGGAATGCAGGGGATTGCAAACGAAGATTGAGTCTTACGAAGCCCAGCATCCGATTGGAGGCTGGAACGCTGTCGCCTATTGACAATTAAGAAGGCTTGTCAGGCCAAAAGGCAGCGTCTCGACTTACTCTATCTTCTCGGTTACTTCCGGCAGGTCAGAGTGTGTATGTCGCGAGGATGTCGACGATTCTGCCGTATGGGTGGTGATTGGGAATGTGATCATGGTACTGATGATGTTTTTCTTATTCTATAATCTGGACCAAAGAACAGCATTGCTTTACGGCCGAGCTGTAGTACTATTATAGCCATTCTGTTCAATATCTTTGTCTTGGTTCTTCAAGTGATGATCCTCTATATGCAGCAACCAATCATAGAAAAGCAAGTATGCTATAACTTCTCTTACTCGTCGGCGGAGTTATACACTGCTATTCTAGTAGGATTGCTTATTATGAAAATTATAATGTAACCCTAAATCTAAGCTAGGGTTTGACTTGATAACAAATCTTAATCAAAGTCCAGGAAACCTTTTCTTCTGTCTTCTTATAGTCTCTTCGATTGCTCCCGCCATATCAGGACTATGCAGATCAATGTAAGATGCCAGTTACCCCACAGTGCCACGGCACAGACTAAGAATATCTCAGCGGTGCGGGCAAGACGACTTTGCTGGACTGTCTGGCTAACCGTCGCACTGGGGTGAGTGTGTTTACTGGTGAAATGCTGGTCGATGTAAAGTTACCCGACAAAAGCTTCCAGCGCAAGACGGCGTATGCGCAACAGCGGGATCTACACCGGGAGACGACCGCCGTCCGTGAGCCTTCTGGTATGTTGTTCCGACGCTTTGTTTTTTCAGTACTCCTTGCAGAGAGGGGAAGCATTGTCTACTTCAGCAAGTTCTTTCGATCCTCGATAACCTCATGCGTGCGCTACCTCCATGACCCAGGTGATATCAGACCCCTGCCAACGCAGCCGGCCAAGGCACAGAGAGAGCAGTGCTGATGTGGCTCCTGATGTCGCTCCTCTGCTGAATTTGTCTGCTGCGGGTATAAATCTTTACATATCTAAACATCTTATTTGCCTTCTCAACCGATAACAGTAGTATTATTGCTAATCTAATACTTGTTCTGGTTCTGCTTTTCTGCAGGATATTGGCTTACTGTACTGGACCCTTCCAAAAACCAGATCTGTAGCGAGTACCTGGCCGAGCGCATGTCCACCGCGGGGCGGTGTATGTGGCCTTCAACGTGGTTGGGGGGCTGACCCTGTGCTGACTGGCCCGCATGCCCAGAGCGAACAGGGTGTGGAGTCATCGCCAGATAAATCACCATACAAGCGATCCGGTGGTCGGAGACTCAGTGGTGTATAGGAACACAGCTATAGCGAGTTCATATCTTTCGTGATGAGCAAATGCGACCGTGGAGAAGATAAGCCTGTGACTTTTGCTTGAGCTCGGCGGGCACCCGAGTCGGTCCCCGAACACCTCGAAGATCTCGCGGGCTTGAGAAAAATTTGTGTCCATGATATGTACCACACCTGCGATCACTGACACTCTTAATTGTGGAGAATTTATCCTTTTGCAAACACTGTGGGTGAATTCAAGGTGGCGGGTCGCAGAGTTGCGTGCCGAGACACGGGTATATATTCTCGAAGTCGGGGTTACACTGACACGCAATTTGGCTACAGTCGAACTTCACCAGTCTCACATTGAATAATATCCTTCTACACTAAGCCAATGTTGCCTTGGAAGCGAACTTTCGCCGTTCCATAACGATGACCGCAGTGACGGTTAGAATCATATTAGCCACCACGTCGGCGGCTTGTGTGCCAAGACCGCAGCGATTCTATCACGTTGGATCCAAGCGGGCTGGAAATAGCCCACCGAGAATCCACTCGCGGTGCGCCAAGCATTGATGATGGCAGAGACCACCGTAGACTGCTCGGGATATTTCTCTAGCGCATGGGCGGTAATGGATCTAAGGTCTGTGGGTTTGGGTGACTCCATGTCTGGGGGGAGAGGCAACAACCTACACCGTACTCGCCACCATGCCGGCGACCACCATTAGCCATCCGAAGCCCAGCCCGATCCAATGCTTACCATAGTGCAGTGTGGCGCCGTAGGTAAGCAGACCACAGGCCATGGTGATGATGGCCGCCCAAACCCCATGAAGTCGCTTCTCCGTGTAGTATGTCGTCGGGCTGGACCGACTAACCCAGCCATTGAACCAGTAACCGTAGACCCAGCCTGGAATCTCTCAGCACTGATGATATTTGTGAGGTGGCAAGGTGCTCTTACCGAGTAGCGCGCCCAGAATAGCAGCACATCGTAGCGAGGACGACTGGACGGTGTTGAACAAGTAGGGGGGCTCGGTCACGAAGGTGGACACGGTGACCGTAATACCGATTGGCCAGCAGAAGTTGACCATGGTCGCGATCCCAGTCAGTAGTAAAGGAAGCTTGAAGATGTAGATCACCATGGTCTTGCACCAGTAAAGCAAGGTCGGCCCAGCGGAGAGATTGTGGTGTTTGACGCCGACCATTGACAGGAGACGACTGTTCCGCTGATACTGGCGGCCAGGCACATAATAAGTTTCATAGTTAAAGAAAAAAATAAGGAGTGTTGATAAGCTGTAGAAGACGGTAAGAATCCCAAATGATACTTTCCAGTCACCGCTAGCCCTGATATAGCCGGCCAGCGCAGGCCCCAGAAAGGGTCCAACGAGGAATGTCGTTCCCCTGAGGAAATTTGGAAAAGAGTTAGCAGTAATACGCACCGTTATCGCTTGGGCGCTCACCAGAAATTAATCATCTGTGATTATTTAATATTGAATAGTCAGTATGCTTGATTTGTATACAGTCCTTATGGCGGACGACGCACCTTCCGGAGGGTATATGTTATGGATGATCGGTAGACCAACCACCTGGGGCACGGTGCCGAAAAGGCCCTGCAGCGAGCGAAATGTGGTGAAAGCGCCATAGTTATTGGATAGTGTAGCTCCGAGAACTATAAAAGTGGTGATAAATTGAGGCCAGAGCCAAACCGGAAGCCTGAACTGCATCAATATTTCTGCCAGAATATCACACGGAGAGGTATCACAATGCACCGTCCGTAGGCTTCAATCAGAGGAATAGCCATCAAGCCACCGACACCCTGCAACAGTATGCCGTAGTTCATCGTTGTCGCTGACCTATTAACGCTGATGCCCCATTCCGAGGCGTGGGGAACAATCAATGTGGTCCCCCAAGTCATGCTGCTGCCAGCCTCATTTGTTATTGTTATGCTTATGGTGAAGAGAATGGTGAAAGACGTACCCATCAGCTAAAATGGAACTTGACATAAGCGCAAAGAATAAGAGGTGTTTTTTCCAAGGGCGCCAGCTGCTGGGATTGCGCTGCTCATCCCCGTCACAACTACCGCTAGTTGTTGTCTCAGCCACTTGAATGTGCTCAGTCTTGGTATCATAACCGGTTGCGCGAGCACCAGTACACTCCTTAACTGCAAGTTCCGTCATTGAAGAAGGTGTGTTACAGAAAGGCTGCTTCTGGGAATAATTTAGACAGAAGAGAGATAAGTTAAGAAAAGAACAGGTGGGAGGAGGCAAGGCAGAGATTAGAACCGAAACCCGAACGAAATGCTACTAGTTGACGCATGTCCCACGCTCGAGAGAGATCTTATGTGATACTTTCAATTGAAGAACCAATGAAGCTGCGCATATCTCGACACTGCAGTAGTGTTACCGTTGTGTACAAACATCCATATCCCATAATCTAGACCCTACCTAGACGCTTGCCAAGACAAGCCGTGTGGCCGTTATCTCTACCCACATTGTTTAACGACATTCGATCACTGAGTCACTATTGGAAGCTAGTGAAGGCCGGCGGATTCCTATATATTGAACCTCTTTGGCCAGGGCATGACACGACGGTCTTCCTCCACTTAGCTATCTACAATCCCTGCCAACCCCCATCCCACCTTTCACAATGTCTGCTCAAATGCCCGGAGTACAATTGGCAAGGACGGTCACTTCAGTTAGTATTCGGCACACAAATAACAAAGCTCCTCCGTGGAGATGACCACCTAAGTGATAACCAAGGCGGGATAGGCTGCAGCGCTTGGGTTCGTGCCAGTGGCAATCAAGCTCGGCTTGTTCGACCTTCTGGTCGAGATTGGGAAACCTGCCCGCGGGAAAGAAGTCCTCATGGTGTACGAGAAATCTGCGTGCAGTGACAGGCAAAGCATGCCGTGTACGTGGCTTGATTTCTCCCCTATACCATTTTCGAATGCTGATCTGATATTCCGTTTCAGGTCTCCAGTTGATCGGTAAGCTTGGGCCGGAAGGGCCTACACTTGCACTTTGGCAATCAAAATAACTCTGGAGGAATTATAGACGATACCTTATACGCCTTGGCGGGACTCGGCTTTGTGGACATGACAGTTGATTCCGTCTGGTCCGCCAACGACATTACCCGGCACTTAGTGCATACACCTTCGGCTGAGCACGGAGCGTTGCACTTGTGAGTTGCTGCAATTCAATCCAGATGACCCCAAATTAATCTAAAAGTCCTAGCACGACGGAAGCTCTCTTGGCCGGTGCATTTCTCATGCGCTGACTGGAGAGTGGTGGCTATCAATACCTATTCGAGGAGCTCCAGACACCATTGCAGTTTGCATACCAAAAGATGGGCAATGACGAGCTCGCGCAACAGCATACCTATAATATTATGGCAGCCGAAGGACGAATGGACAGCTTCAATCGCTTCATGGTGGGCAAATTCATGAAGACCGCCACCGCTTCGGAGCGTCTGGCGCGGCTTGGATACCACCTCAAATCACTTCTTCAGGACGCCAAGTCTCGCCGCGTCATCGCGATGGTGGACATTGGTGGCGGCCGCGGGGAAATGATGCTAGAGTTCAAACAGGCCTTTGCCGACTTACGCGACAAGGATCTGGTAGTCCAGGAGTTCAACCATGAAATCAGTGAATTCCCGGGCCTTACGCTCTCCATATGAGACTACAAGGATAATGACAGTGAACAGCCGATTCAGGGGGCAGGAGTCTATCATCTGGCACATATTTTGCACAATCTCCCAGACCTGGATGCGGCACGCCTACTGCAAAAGCTCTCACAGGCTATGCACCCACAATCGCGCCTACTGATTCATAAGTTCACTAAGAATACCGACAATGCGAAAATGCATGCCAGCATGATTGCGTTGTTTGGGGGGCGAGAGAGATGTTCGAACAAGTGGCGCCAGCTGGCGGCGTTGGCAGGTCTCAGAGGTCATCTTTAAGGCCTACCCGGAGTGAGGGGAAGGGCTTATTAAGATGAGAAAGCTTTGAACCAGTCACTGGGTATATGGTTGCCAGGATGTAGAACAGATACTGTACTATGTAAAACCTATAGGACCACCACCTTTAATTAAATCATTTATTCATCTATTCGTTTATTTATGCCTGGTAAATTCCGACCACTCATCGAGGAATATTGCGGCTAGTTCCGTGGCGGGTGGAGCTCCGGAACAGCCATCCCAGACCTTGAGTACTGTCTTTACAGGTAGGACACAGAGGACAGGATAGATTGACACGGCCGTCACATCTACGGGCTGAGTAGTGCTTACTCTTTCACCTTCCATATTACCCTCACAATCAACGAGATTGTTACCAACTGAGTCGGCCGGTACCATGCATATGGTCTCGGGACCCTACCTCTCTCCTGCCCTAAATGTGCAGCGCAAATATCCGTTACCCCCGGCATGGATTCAGACCCAAAACAAGCCGGAATACTGTCCTGTACTGTGCATAGGACAAAGAATACCGATTGACCAAACTGCCTGGTGGGTATGATCTTTTGGCTACTTTTCAATCCCAGAAGCCCTTGGCTCTCGGCTGTCTTTTCAAGCTTGGACTGTCGTTGTCTTGATTGATCCCAATATAAGAGCGCCTAGGCACGAATCATCTCAAAAGATAGATCGTTGGTGAAAATACCAGCCTAGCTGAACAATGCCCAGCCGCGCGCTTTCCCGCACGACATGGCCACCGAGGATGAGACTGATATCAACTATGGTCAGTCTTTCCTTCACGTTCCATCTTTCTAGCTGCGATAGCCACAATTAAGGATTAACCACCATCATGCTGCAGCCACACCGTACATCTATGCCTCATGGGTCAGACGCCCCCCGTTTATCTAGAACATAAATTTAATGACAGTCATGCTTATCTTTGGTTCTAGGCATTGACCGCGATTGCAGGATTGGCTTTGTTGTTCCGCTTTGCCATCAAGTCCTGGATCCAATGGGCTTACCCCGTGTCAGCTCTCCAGACCGACTCTGGGGGTTCGAAGATCTGCTCTACGCCGCGGGTTATACTTTTGACCTTGCGCATATTGTGCTTGTGCAAAGAAGGTTTGCGTCTGGCCCAAGCCACGGCAATGCCGATTCATTTGATGAATGTACTTACGAAGCCGGACTCGGGCATCATTAGTGATGAGCTCAGAAGCACACTGAAGAACGAGTTCATATCTCAGCCTTTAGGTACTACATCGCTCGGTCCACCACATTCTTGAACTGCCCTGCTGATGGATTCCTAGGGATTTTGGCCTCGATGCTGTCTCGCACAGGGATGATGTGCTTTCTCTACAGTTCTTATAACGGCGCCGACCGTCGGATTCGCATCTCTATCCTCGTTTGTATGGGTGTTCAGGTTATTATAAACATGGTTAGAGTGGTCCAAATTATCGGTCATTGTGGGCCACGTTCACACCGTACTGTACATCTCCGAGGCCCTCCATCTTGACTTATGTCGCGATCGAAACGCTGGCTGATTCACTTTGTAAGCTCTTCCAGGCCGATCGAGTGCACTACTTCCATTACATGTGGGATGACCTACCTTCCGACGGTTCAGTCATTTGCCAGTCACCGAGCGTACAGACAATGGTTAGCTTCGTTCAAGGAGGTAAATCTACCTCACCGACACCCTCACGTGGCATGAAAATGTCTTGGATTCTAATGCTGCTCCAGGGTTCAATTCCGGAATCGACCTATTCTTGACAGCGCTCTCCGCGATACAGCTATGGGGCTATACGATGCGGGCGACGGATCGGAGACCATCACACAGTGAATCCTTCTGTTCGCGCTTGCGGAAAATACCTCGCAGGTCGCGAAACCGGCGGTTGTGGCAAACCTGCGCCTTGAGCGGTCCATTGCTGTTGTCGGGCATTGCGTCGATCATCAAGACTTGGGTATGTCGTTTCCTAGACAAGCAGGATGAGGATGACTGATCCGTCGATATCTACTAGTTACTCAAAGCTATCGAAGAGAGAAATGACATTACCCGTGAGTGGTGCCTCGGTTTCAGACTCTTTGAGTTCCCATCTGACTCTGACCGTCGTCACTGGTAGATAACATAGTGCCACAAGTGCTGTGGGTGAAGTAGGGTTCCCGCATTCTCAAGTGTTATGTGACAAGTATCAGCTAATTCACGCTAAGAATTGAGAATTACAGCATCCTGCTTGCGACCTGCGCTCCTATTATCCGCCATCTGAAGTCGAGTGTCTCTAATAATGGATCTCCGAGCAAGGATTACCCTACCTCTGGCATTCTATCTGGTGGAGTGAGCCAGGGGCTAGAACTGGACATGGTACGCCACACAAATGACCAGGACACGGTCGCTCTCGCTATGCCCGTCAAAGACACACAGGATGGTCAGATTTTGTCAGGAGCTTAGCGTATGACAATACATCATGCGACGAGTGTGGTTATTCAGACCGACATTCATCTTGATTTTGACTCAGATAGATCATCTACGAGACGCCTGATGGACTAAGCAGGATGATAGTTGTGCCTCTACTCATCACTTCTACTCTATCCCTTTCTGCTGGGGGCTATTGGATACGTACGCACACAAACAAGCCTGAGCATCAAAGCGCATCTCCTCCTAAGCAACAAACATGCTTTGTAACGGCCTTTCCGAGGTAAAGCCCGAGAACCAATCGCCCGTGGCGTTAGCTGGCTGCTCTGGACAAATTCGGGGTCTTCCGTGCGGCCTATCCTGCTATGGCAGAAGGTCAGGAGGAAATGGGAAATGGTCCAGCGATCAGATTCAAAGGCACGTGGAAAAGGAACGTACCTGTCGACTCCTGGATGGCCAAGGCGCTACGGGAGGACGGGTGGATTTCCCCGGGGCCAATACTGGTCTGTTGGGTATGGAGATCAATTGGTGATACATTAGCCTTCAGCTACATACAAAGGATGTCAATTCATCGACCCCTGATTTCTGATCCTTCTGCTCCTCTGATCACCACAACCACCACCACCACCACCACAGCCATCCAATGCTTTGACCTTGTTCTCTCAACACCACAATCATTTTCAGTTTGGAACTCCTGCTTTATAAAGAGAATGGATGTTTACCGCGTAGTCTTACCACCACCCCTACTCACCAAAGCCGCAAAGAACCACTCTACGAGTCTTTCAGCGACAGCCTTCATCACAAGTCATGCCCGTCGGGGAAGATACTGGTAGCGGCAACGGTCAGTCATCTTTCTCTTGGGCCGTGCGAGCAGAATTAGAATCTAACTGCGATGGGTCTGCAGCGGGGTCTTACGTCGCTGCTTCATGGGTTTGCACCTTCCTTGCCAGCACTCCATACACGCACAGCAGTCTGATTCCAACTTGTAGGCATTGAGCACGATAGCGGGCCTAACCCTTCTCGCCCGATACAGCATCAAATCCTGGATCCGCTGGGCCATCCCCAAGGTCAGCTCTCCGGAGCGCTTGTGGGGCATCGAAGACCTATTCTACCTCCTCAGTTCCAGCTTCGATCTCACGCAGATGATTTTGTACCAAAAGAGGTTCTTTTCCTACCACTGTACCGGCGCTGCAACTCTGCACATGTCTCTAACGATCCTAGCTTTGACGCAGGGCTTGGGCGCCCCGAATCGACCTTGACTCAGCCCCAAATCGGTGACACGTTGAGATATGCGTATATCAGCCAACTCTTTGGTGAGTGCCTGGCCTATAGTCAACCTGCGTGCAGCCATTTTGTTCGATTGACACGAGTATCTAGAGGTCATTGCTGCGATGCTTGCCCGGCTTGGAATCATGTATTTTCTCCTACGGTGCTTCCGCGGGGCTGACATGCGCCTCCGTGTCGCGATCATCATCTGTATGGGTGTTCAAATCATGGTCAACCTGGCAACGGATTTACAGGTTCTTTTGATGTGCGGTTCCCGCACATCTCACACGGTAGACGAGCTCTGTCATCCGTCTACCACCCCAAGAATGGGACACGCTGACGCGACTTTTGCAGGCCTACCGACTTGCGTATTTCCACTACATGTGGGATCCGCTCCCGCCCGATGGGTCCGTGGTGTGCCAGCAACCCGTTACGCAAGTGGTCACCGGATTGATCCAGGGGGGCAGGTCTCAACCCACCTCTTTCGCATTGCGTCTGCTAACTCCGCAGCTAGGATTGAACACCACGATCGATTTCTTCCTGGCCATTCTCGCCGGGGTGCAGCTCTGGCGCTTCCCACTGGCGCGGAAAGATCGCAGTCAATCGTTCATTTCGCGCTTCAAGAAGCTTCCTCGGGAGGCGCGCATCCGGCGCTTGCGGCAGACGGCGGCAATCAGTGGTCCGCTGCTACTCTCCGGGATTGCATCCCTGGTCAAGACGACCGTAAGTTGCGTGGGCCTTCCTCGCAGCCAGGCGAAGCTCGTGGCTAACCAGTCGGTCGTGCAGCTACTCCATACGATGAATAGCGTGGATGACATGGCTCGTGAGATCATCCGTCGCAATGCGTGTTTCGCTAGACTGACCTTGCTCGAATAGATTCGATTGTGCTTTTCATTCTATTAGCGAAGTAGGGCGCGCATATAACATCCCTCTTGCATTTTACCACTCCAAGGGAGACCTTCTGACTTTACCCATCTCTAGAGTCGAGAACGCCTGCCTCTTGATCGCTCCGTGTGCACCTGTCTTCCGATTACTGTTTTCGTTGGCCTCAAAGACTGGGGCGCAGAATCTGGGATACCCCTGGTATGGCAATCAGTCTGGCGCACGCGGCCAGGCGCTGGAGTTGGAGACCGTCCCACATACTCAAGTGAAGGGAACCGTGGTCATGTCGACGGTCGGCAAAGACACACAACCCGAACAACCTCCAGCGAGTGAAGCAGTAATTATCCGAACCGATATCATGGTGGAATATGCCTCGGAACGAACCGCTTAGGTTCGGGATGCTGTCTGGGTGTGGCGTGACAGTGAGGAGGGGGTGTGGAGGGGGTGGCTTTGCAACCCCTCGATCGCTACTTTCATCTCTTGTATTAAAATGGATTGTAGATTTTCATCCAACCCGAGGCACTACTGGTTGTGCCTGCTTGTGAGCTCTGAGGCATTACCGCATCACCACGAACCGAGCTGCATGATTGGGATTACCCCGCAATTGAGACTGACTCTGTTATAACCCTCGACTAGAACCCAACTATCAACCCCCATCTTTCAATACTGATTCTCCCCGGGTCCTCTTCTATTGGAACGTATCTCCATAACAGGTTCGCAATCCACGCAATATGACCACTCAAATGGACCTCCCCAAAACCATGCGTGCCGTGGTCTTCCACGGTCCATACGAGGTGACCGTTGAGGAGCGACCCACCCCCAAGCTACAAACCCCTGAGGATGTGATCCTCAAAGTGTCTACCTCGGCCTTATGCGTACTCACCCCTCTCCATTTGTCACACTTGGTGTTAATCATCTCTGATCATATCTGCGATAATCCAGGGCTCTGACCTGCACTTCTACCGCGGCCACCTGAAATGCCCCACCAATTTCATCTGCGGCCACGAGTTCGTCGGCACCATCGCGGAGAAAGGCGAGGAGGTGACCGAGTTCGAGATTGGCGATGAAGTGGTGGTCCCCTTCTACGCGACCTGCCAGAAATGTTACTATTGCGTGCGTGGACAGGCCAGCCGATGCAGCCAGGGCTTTTTGTTCGGCAACTCGGCCCCGGCCAACACGATCGATGGCGGACAGGCCGAGTACGTGCGAGTGCCTTTGGCTTCAACCACTCTCGTCCCCAAACCCTCCACCATCCCCGACCATATGCTCGTCCTCATGGCGGATATCTTCCCCACGGGATACTTCGCTGCCTCCCGGTTCCTCGCCAATCTGACCCAACGCGACCGTGACGAATACACCGTTGCAATCGTGGGCTGCGGCCCCGTGGGCCTCTGCACCATTGTCAGCGCACTCGCCATGGTGTCCAGAGTCTATGCGATCGATTCCGTGCCCGAACGCCTCGCCGAAGCAGAACGCCTCGGCGCCATCCCTCTCCCTCTCTCCTCTGATCCGGTCGCCAAGATCCGCTCCGTCACTGACGGCCGTGGCGCGGACGTGGTCATCGAAGTTGTCGGTCACGCCGACGCCTTCATGATGTGCTTCGACATGGTCCGCCCATGGGGCACAATCCACTCGATTGGGGTGCACAGCGAGATGCTACCGTTGAATGGGCAGCTGTGCTACGGCAAGAATGTTACCATGGCGTTCGGACGCTGCCCCGTGCGCAGCATCTTCGATGAAGCCCTGGCCGTCTTTCAGAAAGTGTACCCCAGGTTGGAGTTCCTCTGTAGCCGCGTCGTGCCCCTCGAGGAGGCTCCACAGGCGTACCGGGACTTTGAGGCGCGAAAGGCGCACAAGATTGTCTTTCGGCATGGGGGGTGAGGTCGTGGTACACGGTGGCTCGGTAGTCACACTTCCATTGAGGGTGGAGCGCTAGCTGGGTATGTACATGATGAAGCCTTGGATAGGGAAGTGGTGAGAGGTTAGAGATGGAGTGGAAGGTACTGTAAATCTTGAATTGTGCCAGAAATAACCATCATCATTCTCATCCTTCTCATTCATCAACGCTTCAGCTAAAGAACCCATCCTCCGCTGTCGCTTTCGTCGCTGACTCGTGAGCTCCGCGCTCCATGCGCTCCTGGTATCCCGGCCCATAAATCATCAACCCCGCCTTGGCGAGCTGGTCTTTCTTGTATTGGAACTCGCGTAAAGCTATCTGCAGGGCGGGCATCTAGATGCGACGACTGTGTCAGTGACCGATTCAGCGAGAACATGGACTACGTGAGGCCACGAACATTCATTTGACTCCATCTCTCGAAGGACATCTCCTCTTCAACTATTCCCTCGCCCTTGGCTTCATGATAGTACATGCGCGCTTTGTGGTGCTGGATCTTGAAGTTTTTGGCTGCGTCGCCAAACTGGTACTTGGCGATCTCGAACCGCGGATCATCGTGGCTGCCTTGAAGTCCCTCCGTTTTGGTCAGATAGTCCCACAGACTGAGGTCAAGGGGTTTGTCGGTAGGGCAGGTGTGGAGAGGCATTGCGAGTGATGAGTGGAATCTGAGAGATATGGGGATTGCCCAGAGAGCGTATAGCATCTAGCTCTTTATATACGGTCCTCGTCGGGTAGAATTTCCTCGATGCTACTGCCACATTCTACAACCTATCCAGACAATCGGAAGTGTTACCACTTGGAGGAGTCAAGCCCCATAGCTCAGCACAGCAATGGTGGCGCAGCCTGGTTCATGAGGCCGTGCACGGCGGCCCATCGGGTATCTTGTCCCAATCGCGGCGGGATACGATGCCAACCCTCGTGAGACCCACCAAATCGACTCGCAGTTGTGAACAGCATGAGTTGACGGTCTGCATAATTGCATAATTGATCACTTATTCAGTCCCAGCCCTAGCTATTGGCCATTACACGACGGAAATGCACCAGAGAAATCGTACGAGCTTGGCATTTTATCTATGTGAAGTTGACCGGGGCCTTGATGCAGCAGTCGGCCGAAAGCCCTGCAGCAGACGATACCTTCAAAGCACCCGTCAGGTAAACACATCGGCTTGCTTCTGCAACTCCAAAAAGATCCCCTTGTCGTGGCCGGGAATGACCTGCCCCTTGGTGATGCGCTGCAGATGCTTCAGCCGTTGCGTGCTCCGGAACCAAGAGGGGTGGTCACGTGCCAGCCAGCCCTGAGGGATCCCATCGCGCCACTGCAGCCATCACAACAGATTAGCTAGCTAACTCCAGATAGGGCGAGGATAAGTTAACGAACATTTTCAATTACATGGCAATGATCACTGATGAAGAGGAAAGTGCCTGTGTGGAGCATGTTGATCTGCATCCCGATCAGCCCCTCGGTGTGGCCAGGGAGATGGTGAAGGGTGATCCCCTGGCAGAAATCGAGCCTCTGGTCGTTGAATGTCTTCCAATTCCTAACCGGCTCGATCAGCCCAGTACGCTCAAGAGATCTAGGGGAGGGGAACCGAATACAAAGATAACTTCAGGTAATGCTCCAAGTAGACCCCACTATCCGCCCCGGTCGCGACCGACCAGAACGCACTGGTCAGCTCCTTCTCATGCACCCAGATCTCGACGTCCTTGCGATCGAAGAACTCGTCCAGCCCACCGGCATGATCCAGGTGGAGATGCCCGATAATGATCTTGCGGATATCCTCGATGCGATGGCCGGTGGCCTCGACGGCGGCGCGCAGCTCATGGCGGGGCTCGTAGCGCACGCGCGCGAAAATGTCGACCGCCACCGGGCCCCAAACCTCGGGGTAGTCCTTCCCACTACCGGTTTCCCAAAGAATCAATCCTTCGTGGGGATGGTCGATCAGGACGCAGTACATGGGCATCTCGCAGCGTTCATTCACGAAGGAGCGGTGCTCGGTGGACTTGAGGCTGGTGTTACCGCCTCGCACGACGAAGCCCTTGTCGCATTCCAGCCAGCCCACCTCCAGGAGGTGGAACTTGGTGCCCGGTGGGCAGACATTCGAGATGGCATTGGGGACGGCGCCTTGGTCGAGCTGGGCTTGTATGGCGGACATGGTAGATTGGGGGGCGTTCAAAACTTATACATCAGCTGTCAAACGGCATCGAGGAGGAGTCGCGTTGCGTGTCGTGCGCGATCTCATGTGCTTTGGTTCCTATATGTGAGAGCTGACCCGCGCTGTTACCCCGCAGATGGTGTAAAGATGATCATCAGAGTGCGGGGTTCAAGTGCACCATTCCAGGAATCACTCCTTCGAGTACACACTAGTAGGACTCCATTAAGCTCGCTCCATTCAGTAACTACTCCTTTCAGTATTTGGGGGCTTTTTGAACACTACCTATGCTCTTTCAGGGACTAGCCTTGATGCTTCGAAGTTGTTGATTGACGTTATCATCGAGCTATGAGTTATCCCATGTTCACTAGGGTTGTAAAGCTCTTATGATTTTTGTAACCAGGACAGCTTTTAGTCCCACGCTGAAATAGTCATTCGGATCTCGACGAAGCTCGGAGATATGGAAGCGACAAGGGAATTGCCGTGGCGTCACAGACTGGTAACAAGTGGGGTCGATAAGACAAATTGGGAACGCCGGGACTTCGGGACTTCGGAAATTGGGGGTTTCGGGAATGGGAGAATTTGGGCATTGAGCATCGGGGATTCGGGGATTTCCCCCTCCACCAGCTGCTGGCAATATAGTTATAATTTATAACTACTACTAATACAAGACAATCCATCTTTCAGTGGATTGTGAATCAACATTTTCTGCTCTCTTCCTTTCCCCGCTCCACCAACCCTCCGAGAAAAGTGCGCTTACTCGTCCATCAGAATGCCTCGTACACTCTCCAATCTGAAACGCAAGGATCTCTTCCAAACACAGGGGTTCATCGCTCATCAATGGGTCGATTCCACCAGCGGATCGACCTTCGAGGTCCGCAACCCGGCCACGCTGGACCTCCTAGCCACCCTGCCAGAAATGAACGCGGAAGACACCAATCAAGCCGTCCAAGCCGCTTACGAGGCATTCAAGACCTTCAAGAAGACCACAGCCCGCCAAAGAGCCCAGTGGCTACGAAGATGGTATACGCTCTGCCTCGAGCACCAAGATGACCTCGCCCTCATCCTGACCCTGGAGAACGGAAAACCTCTGGCCGAAGCCAGGGGGGAAGTCCTCTACGCTTCCTCATTCCTGGATTGGTTTGCCAGTGAAGCTGAGCGGACGTATGGGGAGGTCGTCCCTCCTGCCAACCCCAGTCAACGAATTATCACGATCAAAGAGCCCCTGGGGGTAGCCGCCTGCCTGGCCCCATGGAACTTTCCCTTGGCGATGATCACCCGCAAAGTGGGTGCTGCCCTAGCAGCTGGGTGCACGACCGTTTGGAAACCCGCCGGCGAAACGCCGCTGAGTGCTCTCGCCCTCGCAGTCCTCGCCCAGGAAGCTGGCCTGCCCGCCGGCTCAATCAATGTGCTCACCACCCTCAACAAAGTCAACGAGGTGGGGTCCGCCTTATGCGAGAACCGCTTGGTCCGCAAGCTCAGCTTTACCGGGTCGACACGTGTGGGTAAATTACTCGCACAGAAGTGCAGTGTCAATCTCAAGAAACTGTCGCTCGAGCTGGGTGGCAACAGCCCGTTCATCGTCTTTGACGATGCTAAGCTAGAGACCGCCGTGGATGCCTTCTTGCTGGCCAAGTTCCGGAACGCGGGCCAGACCTGCATCACGGCCAACCGCGTCTTTGTCCAGGAGGGCATCTACGATCGCTTCGCTGCCGCCTTGGTGGAACGCGTCAAGGATTTGCGAGTCGGCAATGGCGTGGTCGAAGGGGTGACCATCGGCCCTTTGACGCACGAGCGCGCGGTCGACAAGGCTGTTAGCCACATCAACGGTTCGTTCAATTCATGCCGGTACATTGTCGAAGCTGCTAATCTGTGTCTATGGAACAGATGCCACCTCTAAGGGCGCCTCCGTCCTGCTGGGCGGTGCTCCCTGTCAACCTGACAATCTCAAGGGCTACTTCATGCAGCCCACTATCCTGAGCAATGTCACCCCGGAGGCGCAAGTGACCCGCGAAGAGACCTTCGCGCCGGTGGTAGCCCTGTATCCCTTCAAGACCGAAGAAGAGGTAATTGAACGAGCTAATGACTGCGACGTGGGTCTCGGCAGTTACGTCCTTACCGAGTCCATCTCGCGCATGTGGCGAGTGGCTGAGAGCCTGGAGGTCGGCATGGTGGGAGTCAACCTGGGAGTGCTGGGTGCGTGCGAAAGTCCCTTTGGAGGCGTGAAGGAGTCGGGCTACGGGCGCGAGGGGAGCAGCCATGGCATTGATGAGTATCTATCCGTGAAGAGCATCTTGCTTAATGTATCATATTGATCTGACGGGCGATCAGAGAATTTGACCTGCTTCGGGATCCCTGATATCAGTGTTTTCCCTAAAAATCCTGAGATCATTGCGCAGCTCAGCGAGAAAGTCTTCTCTCAACAGGCAAAACTGGTCATCGTAATGCGTTACAGCCCGTTGTGCTTCGGAGACGTTGTAGACATCGCACATTTGCCTGTAGTACGGGACTTCTACTAAAGCAATTTCATCGGGGGCGGGGCAGAATCGAGATTTCCCGAAAGTCTTCAAAGTCATTTTCGTGCCTCCCTCCTGGCCGGTAGCTATCGTCTAGATCCACCTTGGTCCTGATGGTCTTCGCAATTTTCTGGATTCGATATCCGATAGTCCTGTTTCCAGGGAGGTTGGATCGAGGAAGGTTCGAATCTGCGTGATGTTCTCGGCCGTATCAGTGAAATCAGAAGAGCATCCCGGAGAGCTGAGCAGCTTCAAATGCAACCAGGCAAAGCTTAACTCTGCATGCTCACTGGGTTTCTTCGGGGTATGAGCTTGCAGGAATACTGTCCAGATGGTGCGAGGATTGGTAATGCAGGAGACAAGCTGGCAGAGAAATTGTCCATTGCCAAAGCTCTCAATAAGCGGGTCTCGTATAAGGCTCAAAAACTCTACGGCCAAAGTGTTGACAAACTCACTCGATGAGTCGACACGAAAACTGTTCTGCAGTGCCCCAAGAAGGCTTGGAGAAGCAAGTACCCTTTCAATTCAGCGCAGATAGTCCTCTTGCGCGCAAATTGACTCCATAAACAGCTTGGCATCGGCGGGCTTTCCACCCTTCTAACCTTTTTCAATGAGCGATAGATATTTCGTAAGGCGGTCTAAGCGAGTAGCCATTTCGTGGAAGATTCACCTCGAGAACTTCTATGCCAGTGGGTATAGCATGAGGCAGAGGAGAGGAAGCAGAAGGCCACAGATGTGAAGGAAGGATTAGGTTGGAATGACCCCGCCCCAGACCAACGCACCATTGGAGGTTGAGTGTGTTCATGGTTACTACGAAGTTGAGATGTCACAGTGGCGCAATTGGCTGGAAACCGGCGTTTGGGCCTTCATGTGACACCAAGGAAGTCTTGCGTTCTTCGTCTTCTGCTTCCATTCGCTCCATGCTCCTTGACTCTCGCGGCCCGATGTGTTTCTTCGATGAACAGATATATTGACTTCTTGTCGATTGTGATCGCCAGCGATAATGTTGAGAGCCCCAACAGGACGTTACAGAGCCAGCATTCGTGGCAATTCGCGACGGAGCTGGCTTGGGCTTGGTCACCAGACGCGCAAACCAGAACCGGTCTACGAGTCCCCGGCCCCTCCATGCGGTCCACTACATGTGGAGATCGAGCAATATAACCCTGGAAGATCTCAAGAGAATCCTCAGATCTACCTCCTGCGAGTACTTGACCTCGCACACATGGTTGGGGCGCGATTCGCCGTCAATTATAATTCCGGGTATAGCTTTCCATCCCCGGAGTGCTGAATTTGTGACTTCAACGCTAACAAAGCCCATATCGCTAGGCGAGCCACCTGTCTGGACTCCCCAAACCGAGAACAAGCAACTCCAATCCGACTGTGGCGAGTATTTACGTGACCCAAATGTTGCTAGATATCCTGCCTATCCATGGGAGGCGGCTTTAACAGCGATCGAAAAGCAGTGTCCCGAGTATGATCTCGCCAACAACCGATATTGTGACCTGCTCCAGTACTTTGGGCAATCTCAATCGGTTTGCCCGAGGGGTCGACAAAAGCTTCAGGTTTGTCCTGGAGAAACGGTGGGCGACACCGTTTTTCCATTAGACGGGAGAACTCGCCAGCCGACTTGGTACCTGATGTTCGGGGGTACGGGTACACATTCCTGGACGAGTACACAACTTGGAGGCCCGGTCTTGCCGGTTGGGAATCCCATCAACGGATCATTCAGTATGACTTTGGTTGCTCCCACTTCCTCGTGCGCTTTGAGTCAGACGTGCATCCCAGAGAAGAAGATGCAACAACAAGAGTGCCGTAGCTCTGACAGTGAAAGAAGAATGCCGTGTGAAACTCTGGAGGCTGAAGTTGACCGTCTGGTAAGTAAGCTCGGAGGAGACCACACTCCGGAACCAGCTCAAAGCTCCGGGGATTTGAAATTTCGCGAAGGAGGACGGTCGATCTCCCACAGCGCTATCATCGACATCAAGACACGCTCAGTGTTTGACTTCCAGACCCGCACTGTGAAGAAAGAGATCGCTATGACAGATCTAATTCCTCGCCTCTGGGTTCACAGATCCCCACTCTGGTCCTGGAATATCACGACCGGGGTTTGTTCACTGACATTCGGGTGCAGGACATGCGAGACCAAGTCACGCAATGGGAACGAGACAAGCAAGAGCTACTCAAGCGGCTGGCATGGATTCTTCACGAGCTTGTGCAGTATGCAAAAAGCTCAATGACTCGGCTAGATGTGTGCCCAACGGATTCCGGGCCTCTTCAAATCCGTCGAGTAATTGGAGACGCTCCGGTGGCTTTGTCTCCTGGATTGAAGGGCCGGTGGACTGAAGAGGACAACCTAGAGTCTTGGGGTCATGAAAGCTTTTCCTCGCACGATGACAGTTTTTCTGACACACATGGTCATGCACATCTGTCAGAGCGTCGATTCAACCATGATTTGAAGGAGTATACAGCATCTTCTTCGGAATAGCGTGGCAGCAGGTCACCCGGTTGTGCTCCTTGGTGGCGGAAGGCCATCCCGAGCACTCAATGCTAATGAGACTAATGTAGTGTAGTTTGTTAACTGAAGCGTTGTGATCTCAAATTGCACAAAGTACAAACTCAACCGAATCTTTACTGCCTACCATATACCTCAGCACTCTTCCATACGGTGTGCGACCCGGATCAATGCCAAGAGTGAGAGCGTAGCGAACGCAATTTGCGATCGACGCGTAAGCGGCCGGGTAGAATCCTTGACCCACTTCGTACATCACAGTCACGTTCGGACTTGTAGTCATTGAAGTCATTAAATGGAGAATATGCTGGCCCCTTGGGGATTGAGTGGAGATTGAGATAATAATGTTTGGCAGCATCGTAGAAGTCGAAGACTGGGAGAGAAGAAGACGAGAAGTGGAGAAACAACGCGACGCGGTCGGGGTAGTTAAGGCGGCAGCCGATGAGTAAGCCCCTCTCTCAGTTCCGAGTAAGTTCCCACTACGCAACACAGTCAACAGCTCAACAAGGTATAATTATTCCTAAATACGGGCGAGGTAAAAGAAGGCTGTGGAGCTTGGCAAATTTGTGGGTAAGCTACAATGAACAGGTGTGAAGACATGGTGTTCCAAGAACATGGGTCCTATCTCTACCTGACCCGATCTTTATATATCTCCACCGGCAGTTGCTATCGCGATATTACAAGTACATGTTTATTTTTCACGTGTGCCATCGGGTCTTCATTATAATCGCTAATGTAGGAGATTTTACAAAAGTCTACAGACGAGAATAGATTATAGCTTCCCGATTGAGTCACTCCTTCTCGTCATGTACCCATCCCAAGATCTTCTTTGCCTTGTCTGTGGCGAAGAGGGACTGGTTCCCTGATAGATCGCCTCGAATCTCTGCGTCCGGGTAGTACTTCTTGGCCAGGTCCTTGGAAGGGGTGTCCTGCGTAGTTGTTGGGGCGACGATGTTGAAGACCTCACATCCCTTCAAGTTGTCACTGTTCTCCACGGCCAACAGGCACGCTCTCGCGGTCGCCTGCGGACTGACCCAGCCCCACAGACTCTTCACGGCTGAAGTATCCCAATTCTCTTTGTGTCCCTGCTGCGCTTCGGCTCGCGACGACACGGCATGTATGCGCATGCAGGCAATGTTCATCCCGGGGAACCACCGAGCAAACGCACGGGCCTGCAGCTCGGCTTCGTCCTTGGCCAGCGCGTAAGCGTCCGTCGGGCGGGACTCGGCCTCTTCATCGACGGGGAAGTAGTCGAACTTCAGGGGTCGGTTGGCATATTCCAGCCCGATCGCATTGACGGAGGAGGCGTAGCACACGCGCTTGATGCCCAGCTCGGCGGCAGCACGGAACCCGTTGAAGGCGGAGTTGACATTGTTGTTGTGGACGAGGTCGTCACCCTTGTCGACGGGGTCGGGAATCGCGGCCAGATGAATGACGGCGTCGCAGCCCTGGAAGGCCTTGAGCGTGGCCTGGTAGTCGTTGGCGGTATCCGCCGTCTTCATTTCCGAGTTAGGAGTGCCATCGTACTCCGTATCGGTGCGGTCGACCTGGACAGTGGAATGGCCGGCTTTCGAAGCCGCCTTGACGACCTCACGCCCGACCGTGCCGCGAGCACCGGTGATAGCGATTCTCATGTCGAACGGGTTTGTGTGGGAGAAGTTTCGTGCGTTTCGTGCGTTGCGTGCGGAAGATAAGCGGAGAGGAGGGATGATTCGAGCGAGGATGGGAGGATTCAAAGCGATTCGAATTGAATGGATGGAGATCTGGCAAGGCATGGAGGAGAGGGAGGAGGAGGCGGTGGTTTTGAGGCCTCAATGATGAGGGGCCATCAGGGAGGCTCATATTCATGGGTGGATTTCATGACGCGAGAATGATGGTAGCGACGAGTAGGGACGGATGGAGTGGACAAGATACAACCAACAATGCATGACAATGCATGACGACAAAATGACTGCGGCTGAGTCATCCCTTGGCACAATTACTCAGCATGCCGTTGCAGCAGCTGCATAAACCCTCTGCCCTCTGTCATCCATGCACAGCAGAAGTCGATCGGTTCCTGAGTTTCAAACTCTGACTTGTTTATCGATGATAGTCAACTTATCTAATGTCTAGCTATCTTCCACTTGTCATATCACAATGCCTTTGCCAGCGAGCTAGCAGGCGATACGGGCCGACCATCTCGTAAACCCTCCTCGATTAGTGATCCGGGATCTGCTCCTGCTTACCCAGATTAGTGATCGTCCAGCACGCCATGTGTATAGGACGAATGTTTGGTATATATAGTTCTAGTAACAGACTCGTCAAGGGTTCGAATCAACTACACCATCATCTACTCATCTCTTCTCTCACTGATAACTAGAACAATACCAACTTTCTCACCATGAGCGAACAGGCCTACAAGAATATAATCCTCGTCGGGGTATGGCCGCCGGTCTAGTACCTAAAGTCTTCGCTAATCAGTCTCTACAGGGAGGTGGCTCACTGGGAAGTGTTCTGCTCAAGTCACTACTGTCTGAGCCAACGTTCAGAGTCAGCGTTCTCACCAGAGAGTCATCTAAAGCCCGCGCCAGCCTTCCCTCCACCGCCAACATCATCACGATCCCGGACTCTTACCCCCAGGACGACCTGATCAGGGCCTTCCAAGGCCAAGACGCGGTTGTCAACGCGATAACCAGTTTCTCGGTCGCCGAACAGCTGAAGTTCATTGACGCCGCCATCACCGCGGGTGTCAAGCGCTTTGTGCCATCAGAATACGGGTTGGATAACAACACCCCCGCTGCACAGGAACTCTCTCCAGTTTTCAAGGACAAGGGGCAAGTGCAAGCGTACCTCCGGTCGAAAGAGGCCGATGGCCTGACTTGGACGGCCATTGCTTGTGGCATGTGGATTGGCTGGTACGTCTCCCATTCACTCATCACGATTCCTCGCTAACGAAGGTAGGTCCCTTCGCAATAACTTCCTCGGTCTGGATTACTCCAACCGCACCATGACTTTGACCGATGACGGCACCGGCAAGTTCTCGACGACGACCCTCGATAACACGGCCCTCACGCTGAACCGGATCCTGCTGAACCCCAGCTCCACCGCCAACCAGATCGTCTTCACCAGTGACTTTGCCACCTCCCAGAAGGAGCTCGTGGAGACCATTGAGCGGCTGACTGGGGAGCAATGGCAGCGCAAGTCTATCAATACCAAGGAGCTGATCCCCACTCTGAAGGCCGCGTGGGAGCAGGGTGACGCTTTCGCTGGCTACGGCCTGATCAACATTGGGTTCACTCAGGGCGACTACAGTGGTCACTTCGAACCCGTGCAGCCGGTGCGCAACAAGGAGCTCGGATTGCCGGAGAAGCATTTGGAAGAAGTGGTCAAGGAGGCACTCGCTGAGGTCGGACATTCAAAATTCTAATTGCTTTGACAGGTTCGTCATTTGTGGGATTGTGACCATCTGGCGTTTCAGTATATTGTCGGGAGCCTTAACTCACGTGCACATATTCATCTTATAAGATATAGATGTTGTCTGTCGAAGATGGCAATGTGGTTACGAGCTACTTCAGACTTTGTGCTGAATCTCAAATAAATGTCGGGTGGAGGGTGGCCCTAATGCAGCACAGTGCCATTGCAGGCCTACCTGATTCTCGACCACTTCCATACTTAGTGGAGGTATGAAAGCCTAATGCCAGAGAATCGCCAAGCCCGTGGTCACTTAGACACGGAACATGCGCACTTGTCATGCAGTATAGAATTTGTCTCTGCCGAGTGCTTACTCCGAACATGCCCCAGAAGCTCCGTTGCTAAATGGGGATAGTGCCAGAGAACATAAATGAAACTGAAGTATACCTGCAAGCCACAAATACTGATTGGCCTAATGCGGCTGCCATCCAACCTCTGGGTCCAACATGACTGTCGGAGCCATGCTTCTGATGTTCTCCCTTTTCTGTCTATATCTAGCGATCCCCATCCTACGCGATCATCGCTCCCTTTGGATGGGAATATATGCCTCGACAGTGACTCGACATTGATTGGTCGGAGTCCTCGAGGTAGTCAATCTTGTCTGGCAAGATGAAAACACTATATGGCTTTGGCGGGGCAAACTTGGCCTTAGCCTGGTCAGCCGCTGCTACGACTAAGTATGTGATCAGTTTCGGAGATTCATACACGTCCACCACCTTTAATATCACCGGCACCAAGCCCTCCGCTGCGAACCCGCTGGGAAACCCTCCCTATCCGGGGTGGACCGCGTCTGGAGGAACCAACTGGATCTCTGACATCGTTGCCAAATACAACAATTCCCTGCTCCTGAGCTACAATCTCGCCTATGGAGGAGCTACAGTCAATGCTTCGCTCGTTGCGCCGTATCTCCCGACGGTATATTCCATCATTGATCAGGTAGACGAGTTTCAGGACTATTTATCCCCACCACCTTCTTGGGCACCATGGGATGCGAAGAACACTCTTTTTGCAGTTTGGATGTAAGGCTGCCCTTGCTAGATTGAGTGATCGACGCTCAGAAAGTAACCCATGCTGACCATACCAGAGGCGTCAACGACGTAGCAGGATCCTGGTACCAAACCAGCGCCGCCGCCTTGGAAAGGCAGATTTTGGATCAACTCTTCGAGCAAATTGAGCATGTGTATCGGGATGGCGCCCGTAATTTTGCCCTCTTGACTGTCCCTCGTATGCTCCCCATTCCCTGGCCCCGAAGCTCCTCTCTGACTATCTGGTGTACAGCGATCGAACGCACGCCGAACATCATGCAAGGGTCGGATCCGGATTACACGATCCCTCGCCTGAAAGCTGCCATTGAGCACTGGAACACAATCCTCGTCGAGAAAGCCGAGGCACTCGCACAAACCCATCACGACGCCATCGTCAAGGTCGTTGACACACAGCCGGTTTTCAACAATATCCTGGACAACGGCGGAGCAGCGGCGGAGTGTTGGAATTCCGACGGCGTGACGTGTCTATGGTTCAACGACTTTCATCCGGGGATTGTGATCCAAGATGCTGTGGCTCAGGCGGTCGCATTTGCGTGGAAGGGAAGCTTCTTTACTTGAGTCGATTGCTTTAAACCATGGCTCTGAGTCTCTTGCTCGGGGGTCAAAAGGAACCATGACAATACTTTATCAAAACCATGGGAACGCTTACTTGATCTGAAAGCTGGTCAGCCTTGAGACAGCAGATTAGTAATGAAACAATGAACAACTTGGCTGATCTCTTCTCAAGAAGCAGATTTCTGTTGATTTGTCAGACTTGAAAGGTGGTGGTTAGGTGGTGAAGCTGACCCCCGTCCTCGATCTGGGGATAGAATGTGATGGAAGCCCGATTACTAATTCCCCGCCCCCTTTCCCTTCCCCACAATAATGGTAAGATCACTATAAAGACACCAAATATAACACCAAATACATAGTATGCACGAAGGAATCATCATCGGACTAAATCACACCATCCCCTTCCAATAGCACTCCTCGCAAGCATGTCTTCTACCGTGTACACCATCACCATCCCGACCTTCACTAATGGTCTCCAGACCCTCTCCCACATTCTCAAGAAGGGCGAGGAGCATGCCACCGAGAAGGGCATCGCACTTGACACTCTCCTCAACGCCCGTCTCTACGAAGACATGAAGCCCCTCTCCTTCCAGATCTTTGCCACCGTGCTCAACATCCGCAAGACCATCGCCCGCACCCAGCTGGTGGAGCCCCCCGCTCCCTTGCCCGAGGCCAAGACCTACCAGGAGCTCTACGCCAGCATCGACGCCACCCTCGCCGAGATCCAGCAGCTCGCCCCCGCGGGCTTTGCCGGCAAGGAGCAGACGGCGTTCAAGGCCCCCCTGGGCGACCACGAGGTCGATTTCACCCCCGAGTCCTATGCCCTCAACTTCGGACTGCCCAATGTGTATTTCCACATTACGACCGCGTACGCCATCCTGCGGGCTCAGGGTGTGCCCCTTGGCAAGCTGGATTACCTGAAGAGCTTCCTTGCTTGAATGTTTGGGATCGATTGCGAATGCTTGTTTAGTGGTTTCCGGGGTTGATCCCCGCCGCAGAAAAGCTTATGAAGCGGGGCCTTTTGTCGATGATGATGTATATATTTAAACGGAATGAAGTCTAATTGGCAATCCATAGGATATAGTTCTCAAATCTGTTCACAAGTGTGAAAGGGTATGCGCATCCGATCATGTTGCATTTGCAAGATCCTAAGGCTTCTCGGTTCCAGGTCCTCCCGGGGGTGGCTGTTGGCCTGGCATTCCTGGACCCATCCCTGGTAGAGGGGGCATCTGGCCCTGAAGCATGGCTTGCTGCCACATGGCTGGGTTCATATTCTGCCACATTTGCGCCATTTGCTGAGGTGGCTGTTGCGGCTGCTGCGGCTGCTGCCCGTACCCGAAGCCTGCCTGCATTTGCGGCGGAGCTGCCTGGGGCCATCCCTGGGGGAACGCCTGAGGGTATCCAGGTAGTTGAGAGGGATAGCCGGGAAAGCTTGGCGGAGCTGTTGCCTGGGGCGCAGGGCTAGTCTCTTGCAATGCACTGGTAATCCCGTTGAATGGCGACACAGGCGTAGGTGACGAGTTCAGCGTGAGGGACTGAGAGAGGGCGGAGGGTGAAAGTAGCCCTGGCGTCGGCGTCTCCGGGTTGGACGACGAGGTCTTTTTGCCTAGGGAGAATATATCTGCTTCATCATCGAAATCCGAATGCTCCTCCTCATCATCCGTAAAGTTCATTTTCTTGTCATCCAGTTCCCTCGCCCGGACACCCCGTCGCTGCGCCAATCGGTCTTGATCCACCTTGTAGAGCTTCCTCAGATACTGCATAAACTCAAGGTAGGCCTTGGACACTGTCTCGAGATGCGTGACGCTAAGCCTGACCTCTGCAGTCGGATCGATAATCTTCTCATGACTGCCGCCTCCAGCCTCAAATTCCGCCAGGGCCAGAGCTGTCTGACACGCATTGCGGATCTGTCGGCCGTTCCAGCGCATCTTCTTGTGCGTCTTCCAATACTTCTCCACCATCGCCAGGATGGCGTCCCGATCGACCGTAATGTTTCGCTTCTTTTCCGTGAATCGCTGCTGGATGAGCCTCATGTTCAGCAAGAAAATCTCTCTCGTGGCTGGGAGCGTCAACTGGGGGTAGTGAAGACTGATATGGATACGGGATCCAAAGGCCTCGTCGAAGTCACCAATACGGTTTGTCGTGAGGAAGAGAATTCCGGCATAGTATTCAAGTACCCGCAGAAAGACTAGAAACATGAGTCAGTGATCTCAAGCTTTTCTTCGATGCTGGCGGACTCTTTCGAACATACCGGACACCAAGCCATTCCGCTTGAAATCCTGAGGCGTTCTCTTCGCCAGGAACACGTCAGCCTCATCCAACAAGAGGATACAGCCCCATCGATGAGCCAAGGCAAAGTTCGTTTCCAGGGCATGCTCGACGCTCTCGGCCGTGGTGCCCAAGTCACCTGAAATGGGTGTCAGTTGACAGCTTGAGCTGTGGGCCAGAAAATCTTACCGCAAGTGATCTGGAAAAGAGGCTTCTCAAAGAGCTCGGCCACTCCCTCTGTGTCAAGGGTCAATTATCTTCTCAACCAGGAAAGAAAACTGCATACGCACCTGCCGTGGTGGTCTTACCCACTCCGGGAGCGCCGTGGAGTAGAATAATCAGTCCCTTGCCTAACGTCCAACAATCAGCCTCGATACTAGCGGCATACAACCTCCCATCCAGACCGACCTTTTCCGCGCACAATATCGACTTGCTCATTCGCAGCGGTGGGTGACTCCTTGTCCCGATAATGTTGTGCGACCAGAGACAAGAGCATCTTCTTGTGGCCTTCCTCCAGCACCAGCTGATCGAAAGCCGTCTCTCGGACTTGCGGTTTGCCTTGGTCCTCGCCCTTGCTTTCCACCCGGATGCCTCGGATATAGCTGAGATGGGTGAGGTCAAGCTTTTCTGCAGAAGGAAAGGCACATTAGCTACTACACTTTACAATGCGCACACGGCTGTGGCATACCCCATTTGCGACTTCGCAGACTGAAGCCGAACACTCGATAACTCATGATCACAAAATCATCATCTGAAAGGGCGTCGTCGGAGGCTCGGGAATTCTTCACCCGAGGGTAAATGGCAGCAGAGGGCTGCTGGGATAGCTCCTCCGGAATGAGGCTGTTGCGATAGTGTTCGTTCCGCTTCTGCTCGGCGTAGAGGTCTTTGTGGACGCGTTCTCTGGCGCAGCACGCGGCCGTGCAGTCGGATGCGGGATTATCAGGGACCTCGATGCTGATCAGACTGCGGATCTTTGGCCGCCACACCTTCTCTAGCTCTTCCTCTCCACCATCCCCGCCGTTGTTGTCGCCAAGTTCGGCGGGCTGCTTGGATTTGTCTTCGCTCTCAAAGGCCTTCTCGAAGTCAATCACTACTTGGCCGTCCACTTCATCACGAGTCTCCAGCGTCAGTCCACTGTAGTGCATGTGCTTCTTGGCCAACACATCGATAAACATCTTGCCACGGGCGATGAGCTTTTGGCGAACATCCACGATGCTCGTCAGGTCACCCGCTCTCGTGCCCGCCAGGCGGATAGGAAAGACACGAAGCGAGGTGATGGCCTTCTCACCGTCGAACCGTGCGATCCGGAACGTCTGCAGCACCGGCCCGAGATATTTACCGTCGAAGTCGATATGGACGCATTGCAGCATCACCGTGGGTTCATCTTTGCTGGATGTTTCCCAGTTTCGGTAGGGAGACATCACTTTATGCGGCGAGCTGGTGACGCCGATGACACGATATGCTTGCTTTCCTACCTGGTCGACAACCTCATCCCCGGGTCGAAAGAGATACCAGACATCAGCAAAGGATACCCGGTGGCATTGCTCGCTGCGGACGTAATCCATCTTGGCTTTGACATCCAAGTCAAGAAAATTGATTAACACCTGCAGCTGCTCGAGTGCAGTTTCTGAAGAGGTGAACTCGTCTTTCAGTACCTCGCTCACAGGGTTGCCTTGATTTTCCTCGCCTTCTCGGTTTTCTTCCGGTTGGTCTGCGGTGGTTGGAGAGCTGGGGCGAGCTTCTTTCTCCTCTGAGCCTGCTGTCTCCTCGTCTTTTCTAGCCTCGGGCGGTTTCGTCTGTGCCCCTCGATGCTTCTCCAGAAGCACCTGATGGATCTGGCGGAGCTGATCTTCAAAGAACACCAGGGCCTTGAACGGCCGAATCATAATCAGGGATTCGTCCTCGTCAGTGAAATTATCCGGTTCCAGCTTCTGAAGAATCTTGAGGATCTGCCGGGAATTGATGCGAATGCGTTCGGGCATGGGCCCCTGGCCAGGGGGGGCGAGTCTCTTCTTGGCTGCAGGGGCCTTTGTCTCCTCCGAGACGCTCTTTTTCATGGTCCACCAGGGGCGGTAATAGGACATGAAGCTGATGACCGGTTCCCCCTCCAACACATCGATGGCGAAGGTCTCTTTCACTTGATGATAAGGGGCAGAAAAGGAAGCCCATTCCACGCGATTGAGCTGTGCCGTCGGCCACTGCTGGGACTTCACGGACGAGTCATCGTCATCATCCTCATTGTTCTCGCTTCCCCCTTTCTTCTCCGTTGCCTTGGAATGCTTGTTGGATTTCTTCTCGGAGAGCAGGTTCGGATCCCACTGGCGCACTTGGGCTTCCACCATGGCCAGCCGTTCCGTCAACTGGGTGTTCTCCGTCTTGAGGTCCTCCTTCTCCTTCACCATGGTTGTGTAAGCGTCGTCCTCGTTCTTTAGCCATTTGAGCTCCGCCTCGACCACTCCCATCATGATCCGCTTGCGCTCATGCACCTGGGCCATATCGGTGACGATAGGCTCGGTCACACGGCTCATGTAGTAGGATTTGCTGTTCTGGTCGGAGTAGGTCTCTGGTCGGAACATGTCCCACTCATACAACCATGGTCGACTCCACGAAGCACCACCCATCCCACTCTGTCCCATCGCTCGCTCCGCCATCATCCTCCGTTGCGCTTGCTCATTCTCCAACTGCTCTTGGATTATTCGGATCTGCTTGTGTAGGTCGGCAACCTGGATTGTAGGCTCTGCTTCGTGCTTCGCTGATGCTGCCTGAGAGGCATCTATACTAGGTTCGCCATGTGGCGACACATTCGAGCTCCCGGAAGACGCATCGCTAGTCGCTGTATCGCTGCCTCCACTGCCATCAGTTGAGTCGAGTGCTGCAATGGGGCTTGCACTGCGCTGCAGCAGAGCAACTCCGTTTGGGCTTTCGACGACCGCCATGACGCAACTGGAGCGGCTCCGTCTCAATCAGCTGTTGGTGTGGAGGATGCAAGCAAAAATAGTTTGCAAGGACATGTGGTTGAGACTGGATGGGAGCATGGGTACTTGGTACTTTAAATTAGAGACCCAGTGCAGAAATAAGATGAGGATTAGCGTGCAAGCGGACCGAGCGCAATCGCCCCCATCTTTACTTCCCGTTTGCCCCTAGTGCTTACGAGGCTATTCCATGTCCACCTGTCCAGATGACAGCCACGTTTTCATAAGAGAGAATTAATCAGCAAAACAGCAACAGCCCGAGTAGATTCTTAATCATTTTCCTGACATCCCAACTGCTTGCCGGTCCGTGTACTGCTGCCCGTGCAGATGGGTTCTTTGGACAGTGAATGGTAAACAACCTGTGATTGGGAATGGGCGGGGCCAGCTAGGGCAAGGCTGGGATGCACTGCACTCAACTGGCCAGACACGCTAATGCAGGTTGGCCAGTTTGCACGCCATTCACACGTCTTGGGACGATCTTCACTCCAATCATTGCTTCCCACACTGCCACCCGAGCCCCTCAAGCCCGTATTGATTCCGCATCCTCTGATCCTGCATGTCCGCGGGGCTGTATCTGCAGTTACCTGGCACCGCTCCCCTTCCACCTCGAAGTGTCTTGACTTTACTCCATACGTCGGGACATGATCCCCACCTGGCTTTGTCTGGAGTAATGCTCAAGATCAGGCTCGATCATTAGCAAGTAGCTAGCCTTGGCAGCAGCTGCTCGAAGCGAAGGCTTGGACTGGAGATGTCCCGCGCTGGGAGCTTCCCACCCCCTCCCGCCGCAACTTAGTTTCAAGCGTTGAACCTAGCCCTCAGAAGTCTTACATAACTATCCCCAGAATTAGGACTCGACACTGAGAGACGAGATTCTTTTCAGAGAACGCAATCTAACGACAAAGTCTTCGGGGACTAGCCATGGGTGCACCAGGCAACCCCCCGACACGCACCGCCTCGGTAGACTTCATCGACCACCACCTACCCCAAATCAACCCAGTTTTCGACCATCCCGGCATCAAGTATGACTGTAACGAGGGACAGTATGTCTCCCCAACTGCCATTTCCACCAGTCCGATTGAAGACGACATCATCCCGCCGCGACCGGCTCTTCCAGCAGTCGACGCAATGAGATTCTGGTCGGACATCTTTCCAGACTGTATGACCGAGTTGAAGAAGAAATATCCCGAGGCTGGGCCCTCGATCACCAAGGGATGCAGTATTCGCAGTCAATCCAACTGGGAGGGGGTGCGAAGCCAACTCGACAAGGCGCAGAGCCATTATGATGTGCCGAAACGGAACACCGCGAAGGGGTTCTTCAAAAAGGTCTATCGCAAAGCGGCGGACCACACTGAGCAAGCGAAGATGGTGAGCAAGCTACTCGCTCAGGTGGAATATATTTCCCCTTTCATTGCAACCATAGACATCCTGCTGGATGTAAGTAGCACCGTGTCGTGGTTGGTTCAGATACTGATTGGGTGCAGGCGGCGGCAATGGCCTCGAAAGTGCGCGAGGAGGTGACTACGGCGTTCGAGCCTGAGGCGTTGGAAGACGACTTTGAGAGTATCGAGTTCTTCATGGCGACGTTTCCCAGAGACAGAATCATCCGTAAGGCATCGATCACCTTGGTAGTTGCAATATTCCAGGCGATCGAGAATGCGATCGCGTTCTTTCTAAGCCACGAGTGTATGAGTTCCCACCGATATTCAGGTTGAATAGACCGCTCGACCACTAACTCTCAGGCATCTTTAGTCTCGCGTACCTGGCGCAGTCTGGCGCAGGGCAGTGAGTACCAGGACAAGCTCCTGGGCAGCATTGATGTAATCCAAAAACATAGCTCAAAACTGGCAAAGAAGGCGCGTAAAGCAGAGATGCACAGCACCCGCGTGGCGCTGGAGGAGTTGATCCAGGGTAAGGAGGTCACGGCAGCAGTCGCTCTCGCCAATTCGGACAAGCTAGACGAGGCCAAAAAAGACCGCCAGCGCCTTGCAGACCAGCAGATGACCCGGATGCTCAATCATCTGAACGGGTTGTTCCAGGTGGCAGAGGAACGCGAGAAGCAATGGGAAGAGAGAGAGAGGAAGAGGGAAGAGCGGGAGAGACGGAGAGAAGAGATGGCAAGAAGACAGTCTGACGAGACTAACCATCTCCTCGAGCACCTTTGGGGTAAGTTTATTCTATCACCAGTGCTAGTGCTATGAAAACCGTTAACCAAGTGAATCCCAGATGAACTGAGAAAGCGCAACACTCCAAGTCCACAGCCTCTGGCACAGCCCATTGCCTGTTCGCCCTGGATACCTCCAACGACCCAAGTGCCCTTCTACCCTAATTTCCTCCCATTGCCCCAGTTTCCTCCTGGCACCTGGATGCAAGCCCCCCAGCTCATCGCTCCCTCTGCACCAGCCACTCCGGAGCCACTCCCTCCAACAGTCACCGTAGCTGACCTCCTGGCTATGCTCAATGTGACCGCCTCCGAAGCACAAGACGTGGCCTACATCCTGTCTCATCGCGCGCGCATTGCACCCGCCGCGCGGCGACGCGCAGAGTCAGCTCTCACGACGGGTGAATTCCGACGATGGCTTACATACCCAGCATCTCGAGAGCTTCTCATCGAAGGAGACGCCGAGTCCGAGGGCTGTGAGGTCTCCGCAGTCTCTCTCCTGTCTGCCTTGATCTACGCAGCGCTAGAAAGTCAACCAGGACATCTGCGCTTAACCTGGTTCTGCTCCCTTCACGAAGCCGATCACCACGGCAACACCGCAGTTGGAAGAGGGGTAATCAAATCCTTTCTCGCCCAGCTGCTGCGGCAGCATACTTTCGACCTGGACACCGTCCAAGAAATCGAAACCTACCTCCGCGGCCCACGGAACCTCAGCACGGACGGGCTGTGCAAGCTTCTCGTCTGGCTAGTTCGCAAACTCCCGAAGGGAATCAAAGTCATCGTCATCATGGATGAGATCGGATGGTATGAAATGGACGAGCACGAAACAGACATGCTTCGCGTGCTGAGAACGTTGTTGGGGCTGTCTCGCGAGAAGTCCGTGGCGTGTCAGGTCAAGGTCCTTGCCACGAGTGCGGAGGTAACAGATACGTTCCATAGCGCGTTCCTAGACGATGATGACTGTTTGCTAGACTTTGATGCGTTGGAGGAAGCGGACGATATCGGGGAGATGGAGCTTGGTGCGGACTTGGTGCGTGGGGATTATACCAGTGAGGAGGAGGATTAATTGTTGCGAGGGGTTGACCAAGCGTCGAGGCAGTGACCATGATCATTAATTAGATTCTATCTATCATGAGATTATATACAGTCATTGAGCTCGCCTGCAGCGAGACCAGTTCATCATCACCATCATTCAATCCCCGATCTACGCGTTCGTACCCAGGGCAAACACATCGGCCATCTCGGTCAGGTTCTTGCCCTCGGCCAGCAAGAGACCCAAGAGAATGCGCGACTTCTGGGGGTTCAAGTACCCACTGGCGATATGGGTGGCGGTGTCGCTGCTGACATCCGACAGCGGCACCTCACCATTCACCGTGCGCATGCTCTGCACCACGGGGATCTCCAGACGGTTGATGACATCCTCGATGGCGGCGTTGAAGGAGGTGGTGACGCCTCCCGCTCCGGCTCCGGCAATCACAATACCCTTGGCACCACTCTCGACGGCATTGTACAGCGTGTCGTTGTGCATATCCTCATAGGAGAAGAGGATGTCCACGCGGGGGATCTCAGTGACATTGGCAATGTCGAAGGGCACCTTGCCGGTGGGGGTGACAGGCGGGTAGAAGAAGAAAGGGTTGTTGGAGATCATCTCGCCCAGGAAGCCCATCTCCATGGCCTTGAATGTATCCATGGTGTTGGCGTTGGTCTTGGTGACATAGTAGGCGGAGGCGATGCGGTCGTTCATGACGACCATGGCGCCGCGGTCGCGGGCCTTGGGGGAGGCAGCCACCGTGACGGCCTCGAGCAGGTTGAAGGGCCCATCGGCCGAGATGGCCGTCGAGGGACGCATGGCTCCGACGATGACCACAGGCTTGCCGCAGTTGACCGTCGCGTCCATGAAGAAGGCCGACTCCTCCAGCGTGTCAGTGCCGTGGGTGATCACCGCACCCGCCATGGTCGGGTCGTCGCACACCATCCGGGTGATGTCCTTGGACAGGGAGATCAGGATATCTGAGGTGATATCTTCGCTGCCGACGTTGGCGACCTGCACCCCGGCCACGTTGGCCACGTCGAGCATGGACGGGACGGCGTCGATGAGGGTCAACACGCCCACAGCCCCCGAGGTGTATCCGGTGGTGGCGGTCGAGCTCGAGTCGGAGCCGGCGATGGTTCCTCCTGCAGCGATGTTAGTGGTAGCAGGCAGGCGGCAGGGGAGCTTGGCTTACCCGTAGCGAAGATGGTCACATTGGGCAAGGAAGTGTTCATCTGAGTGAAATTCAAGCCATTGGAGTTGGTGAAGACATAAGTTGTGCTATTGCTGTCACGAGCATGAAGGAGAGGTGAAGCCGACGCCAACGTCGCCAGCGCGGAGAGCACAACAGACTTGATAGCCATAGTGATTGGGAATGTAGATGATTGTGATGAAGAAGGCGGAGTATCAGCAGAGACCTGCATGCAATTTATACCTACATCCGCTGTTCATCTTCGCATTATCGCCGGTTATCACTTTCGAGACTATCTTGGCAATTATCTAAGTGCATGCTTCCTTCTTGAATCTATCCGGCTTGGCAGTTCAATCCCGCTTGGCGGTTATCTAAGATCAACCCTCCTGCCGGCCAATGGCTTGACTATCGCAGCGTGGGGCTGGCTGGGTGCTTCTTGGAGCAGTTGGAGGAGTTGGAGAACCTCGAAGCCGAACCCGATGTCGGATTTCGTTGTGGTGGGGACCTTTCCAGTGCAGGATGAGCCACAGCTGATAAGCTGATAAGAAAAAGCATCCCCAGTCGGTCTTATCAGTCCGACATCGAGACCCTATCCATACACCATACACCTGGTTCACCGCAATTAATGGACCCAGACGTTCGTATTACAGACATGAGCTTGTCAGGGTGTCTTGACATTCGCTATCGGAACATTCCATATCTGCATTTTTCTGTAGTCTTGGGTCCTTCCATCCTTCGTCCCACTTTGATCTAAGCGCCCAATCTACTGGCTCTTGTGGAGAAATATGTTTTGGTCTGGGGCACCCGCTGGTTTGTGGTACGGTCAGCCACTGCCTGATAAAGCAAGCCTCTCAGGTTGATTGACCTTATTCAAGCTGAATTGTCATGGCTGATATACCTACCGCCTAGTCCAAAAATTCAAAGAAGCTTTGCTCCGATAAGAGCAGCATCAAGAGATCCCGCACATCCGGCAAGGTACTCACTTACCACCGCGCGGGAGCAGCGCTCGTCATGGTAGCGATCGATGGCCGTTACAATTGAAGAATGGGTAATGAAAATGACAGATAGCTTAGGTTATTTGGACAGGACTACTTCCGGCATCATTGAGAGTCATTCAGGGTTATTCTGATTCTAAGGTACCATGGAGAGAAGATAGAGTGAGGAAGCAAGATCATGGCCTGAGGCAGAATTAGATATAAATAATAATGCAAACATGCAAACATGCAAACATGCAAACACAAACACCCAACCAAACACACGGGGGCAACTCAACTCCACTCATCCGCGACTCCAACATTCTGACTATCTACAACAGTCTCCAAGCGATTCTAGCATCTTGTCTTTGGACCCAACTCTTGCATTTACTAGGCTCTATCTTCATTCCACTGCAACCGAATCATGACCTCTGATCTCCTCCTCAAATGAATGGAAGAATCACCGAGCTGGGATAGTCGCCCCCGCAGTGCACATAATGCTTGCCGCGATTCAGCTCCTCCTCCGGCCGCGGCTTCGACCACGTCTTGTACTCGGCAATGCTGGGATACTGCCCCGACACCTGCTCCGGTATTTAGTGCTGTCCTTCAACTGGAGCAAACAGAATCACTTACCTGAATGCTGATCGACTCTCCCTCATCGAAATCAACCCCCATGGCCCAAATCCCGATTTCCAACTTGACAATCTCACCCGGCGGAACCTTGTCTTGCTTGTTATGGGGGTGGAACGGAAATTGAGAATGGATACTCTTGGCTGGATCAAACGCGCGATGTGAAGCTCGAAGAATGCCGACCGATCCAAGGTGCAGATTCAGGCTTGCCTGATCCTTGGTCGGGATCTCCGCGATGGACTGCACCGGGGTCGCGTGGAGGGGAAAGTTGAGATGCATCAGTGGTTTACCATTGCGATCCAGCTTGCGGAGGATGACGAATACGGTGAAATCGTCTCGGTCCTCGCAGGACATATACAAGATGGCTTTGGGAAGGCCGATCAACCGAGCGGGCCGGTCGAAGGTATGAGTGAAGGCGAGGAGGCTGTTTACTTGATCGGAATCATACGAGAGCTTCTCGTACTCCGTCACTGGGGCGGTGCTTAGTCGGTTTTTGGACAGGAAAAACTCGCGATACTCGGTGGATGGTGCGGGGAAGTCGGGAAGCTCGATATCGTCAATAGCCTCGCGGTCGCCGAACTGCAGGGCAGACCATCGCACTTTGGGCGTTTTCTCCCAATCATTCGAGATGCCTTTGAGGTAGCGATCGAAATACTGGAAGAGCTCGTCCAGAGAGTCGGGGCAACTGTACAGCTCGTACCACTCTTGCTTGCTGCCCCATCGGATCCATTTCTGGTCGTGCGGCAGCTCGAGCCATGCGCGCACGGAGCCCATTGTGTGGATGGAACTCACGTCCGAGCCTCGGATGTAGACCGGACACTGAACGCGGGTCATGTCCGCCCGCTTGTCCTCCCAAAACGGACTCGATGTAGAGGAGCGCCGGTACATCTCTTCGAAATCCTCGATTCCAGAATTCTCGTGCCCACGCACAATCGCACCGGTGATGAGGTCGAAGTTGCTCATGGAGAACCAGCCGCCTCGACAGAACTGCTCACGGTAGATATCGCCAGAGCCTTCCCAGGGGGCGATTGCTTTGAGAGAGGGGGGCTGCTGCGCCGCGATAAACCACTGCGAGATAGCCAGAGCTGAATTGCCCGCCATGCCAATGGAACCGTTGCACCAGTCCATCTTAGCCAGGGCCTCGACCACATCGTACCCATCTTCCGCATCCTGAGAGCCCATCACGCAGATCATGCCGTCGCTGTTGCCCGCTCCCCGCGTGTCGACACTGACAATGGCATAGCCGCGCGGACACCAGGTCTGGGGATCAAGGCCCTCGAACTTCTCGAGACCACTGAGGTCCGATCGAGGCACGCAGCAATTCCACGTGCACATGGGCAGCATCTCCAGCGCACTGTATTTCTTGCCGTAGAACGACCAGCTCAAGATGGCTGGGACTGGCTCTGTGATGTCGGCTGGACGGTAAATGTCCGCGTACAAACGACAGCCGTCGCGCACCACGATCTCGACATCATGGTCTATGCGGATTGGGCTTTTCAAAGGCTTTGCGTTGAATCCGTTCCATCCTGTAGGGAGGATCTCTGTCTTGCCGGGTTGCGGGCTGATGTAGCCATTCTCCCCTTCTTGGGGCTGCTTGATGCGTTTGTAGGCGGATTGCACGGGAGGAGGCATTGTAAACGAGCGGTACCGATTGTGCTGTTCTTGCGTGTGTGACGTACGAGCTGATGGAGCGATGACCTTTGCCAATCATGGTCTCTTATATATAACAGGTTGGAAGGTGGGGGAGGTATTGCGGATCATACCTTATCATAGGTATCTCCGTACCCCCGCATTACCTGCGTCTTGGCAAAGGCCGCCGAGGCTGCTCGGGGCAAGCTTCAGGGATGTTCGGGGGTCAAGCGCCCGCACTTTCGGCGCTCTTTGCATGTCCCGCCGCCGAGAATACACCCAAGACGTGCCCCGAGGCAGCCCCGAGACTACCGAGACAGCGCCAAGTCTGCGGAAAGCCTCGGGGCATACGAGATGCTGAGTCTCGGCGCGTTTACTTAAGTGTTCAACTTTTGGCTTCTCGTTTCAAGCACTAAACCAGCAATTCCATCCAAGTCCACATTTCCGAGCATAATCAACCAGAAAGTCAGCCATGTCTACCACTGTCACCGAGATCCAAGAGATCGCCGCTCAGACCAACGAGTCCTTCACCATCAGAGACTTGGTCGATTTCTCCGGCCGCACCTACGGTGACTGGCGCGATGAGTTCCACCGAAATGGCTGCGTGGTGATCAAAAATGTTATCAGTCCGGACCGGGCGAAGTACTACTGTGACAAGCAGATCGAGTGGCTGAAGAACTTCGACCTGGGATTTGACGAGAAGGATGAGAGCACTTGGACTGCCGAGCATCTCCCGGTCAGCTTCAAGGGAGGGTACGTCTTTTGGCCCTATCTTGTATCGATGAGCATGCGTGCTAAAAGAAGCCCCGACACAGAATGTACTATGCGTACGCCGCCACCCACGAAAAGATCGCATGGGAGGCCCGCACTGAGCCGGCAGTGGTTAAGATCTTCGAGGACCTGTGGGAGACGAAAGAGCTGCTTTGCTCCTTCGACGGCATGAACATCTCTCTACCCCGCCGCAAGGACCTAAACTGGAGCCCATGGCCGCACTGTGATCAGAATCCCGACCGAAAAGGGTCAGCACCCCTGCTTTCCAGCACATTTACCCCCCCCCTCCCCCCTCCACCACACCCCGCAATCTAACCTCCCCGTAGAATGCAAGCCGTCCAAGGCCTCCTCAACTTCGCCCCGAACGGCCCCAAGGACGGAGGCCTCATGCTGATGAAAGGCTCCGCCAAGCTCTTCGACGAGTTCTTCGCCCAGAAGCGCGATCAGTACGACCACGAGGATGCCCCTCCCCCGGAGCTGAAGTATATGGACCTGTTCTTGTTCCACGACCGCGACCTCGAATGGTTCAAGGAGCGCGGCTGCGAAATGATCAAGGTAAATATGGAGCCCGGCGACTTCGTCCTATGGGACTCGCGCACGATGCACTACGCCTGCCTGCCGGAGGGCGACCAGATCCGACACGTGCAGTACATCTGCATGACGCCACGGCGATTTGCCACACCGCGGGCGCTGGAGCTGAAGAAGTTCTGCTTTGAGAACTTCATCGGTACCACCCACTGGCCACACTGGTAGGCTCTAACATGCTCCGAACTTGAGATGGGGACTGACCCTGTGATAGCAACATCCGACCCGCGGCTGAGAAGCCCATGCGAGATGGCCAGGTGTGCCCCAAGGACCGCGCCGAGCCATTTGAGAAGCCGGTCATCACGGAGCAGGTGCTGAAATTGGCGGGTGTCAAGGAGTATTAGATCGGATTGGTCGAAGTCTTAGATTACATTTACGCAATACCAGAATGCAATTGAAGTTATCTTGAATATTACCTATGGCCGAGTGAAGAACATCCTGTAGCCTCTGAGTGTCTTCTGTATGCATGCGACGACCGTCGAGTCCCCTTCTGAGATCTGCTGTCATGACTACACGTTGAAGGTTGTTATGATCTCGAGGAATGCGGGTGCACGTCTTGTGGAAAACTTGCCCTTCGTGCTGATAGAGTCTCCGAAACCTTATTGAAGATCTCGAACAAGAGCCGACACGCCAGCTATGCTATTCCCCCGAGGACTCGTTGCCTGAATCTCGGTGTCCCCCGAAACAATGCATACAGAACTACCGAGCTCCTTCGCGTCGCTGAGGTCCCGAGTCTGGGGTAGCTTCCCCGCAGAGCCAAGCCAGCTGTCGTCTGGAGTTGCCTAACCTACTGTCTATACCACTGCACACGAGAAATGGTATATAAGGACAGACAAAGGAGAAGGAGAGAAGACATCCCAGCGAGGCTCCTGAAGTCGTGCCCTCATCTTACCGCACACAATTCCATCTTTTCAACAACCGGTCGTCATGGCAGCAGCCAAGGCTACCGACAAATTGTGCATCAGCCACGTCGAGGATATTGAGGAGGGCCAGATGGGCGACAAGCCTGATGCGGTAACAGGCACCGTGAAACTCACCGAGGGCTCGATCGTGTACATACCTACTCCCACCGCGGATCCTCAAGGTAACCACCCCCTACTGTAACCACGCTTCGATGTGTGAAAGTTGACCATGATAGATCCTCTCAATATGCCCAAATGGCAGAAGATGGTGATACTCGTGGTAATCTCGATCTGTGAGTCCAGCCTCATGCGGTCCGTCGATCTTCCGCTGATGTCTTCTAGTCTCAACGCTAGGACTGGCCCTTGTGTCTGGGTTTGGGGGTCTGTTGGGTTTCTACATTCCCGAGTATAGCGCTGTCGGCAAAGGATACGATGATATCACCCACCTGATGACGTATCCTACGCTGTTCATGCAAGTGAACCGTTGCATCTCTGTTATGAAGAGGATCGCTAACACAGGATGCTGCACAGGGGCATCGGCAATCTCATCGGAATGCCTCTGGCAATAGGCGTGGGTCGACGAATCGTCCTCCTAGGATCGACTGTCATCCTCGTCATCGGTGCGGTCCTCTGTGCCACGGCCAAAAACTTCGAATGGCACTTATCCTCGCGAATGGTCGTGGGTCTTGCGGCTGGGCAGAGTGAGGCCCTAGTGCCCATGATTACGCAGGTCAGATCTTACCATCGTCGAGCCTGAGCACTTTGCTGACATGAGAGCACAATGGGGGTGGATAGGAAATTTTCTTCCTGCACGAGCGGAGCAAGGCCCTGATGGGCCAGATGGCCATCCAGGTGACCCTCACCTCTGTGTGGGTGTTGTGTGCCTCCCCAATCGCAGAAGCCATCACGCCGCAGTGGTGGTACGGGCTGGGCGCTGCTCTGGCCGGCGTGCTCCTCGTGCTGGCTTTCTGCTTTCTTCCGGAAACCAAGTATGAACGGTCGGCGAGCTCTTACCAGGGCGACGGGACACCCGAGGATATCAAGGTTGGGGATCAACCCACGGAAACCTGCACAGAGCGTCCAGCGCTGGACTTTGACACTTACGCACCCCGAACGTGGAAGTCTGATCTCCGACTGTGGGTTGGCAGTCCAGACTGGACAAAGGTTCTGGAAGTCTTCCGGGTAAGGGTCCATCCATTCGCCCATGGTGCGCTGCCCTAACTGTTGTGCACAGCAAACCTTCTCGCTTCTCCTCTTCCCCAACGTCCTCTGGGCCCTCCTCCTCAACGGCCTCACCATCGGCGTCAATGTGGCCATCGGCACAACCTACAGCACCATCCTCTCCGCAGCCCCATACAACTGGCCCGATAGCAGCGCCAGCTACGTCAACTGCGGCCAGATCATCGTGGCATTGATCGCCCTCCCGCTGCTGGGCCACGGCTCCGACTGGCTTATCCGGTACTTCGCGCAGCGCAACGGGGGCCTCCACGAGCCGGAGACGCGCATCATCCCGTTGATCCTCCCCATCATCGTGGGGGTTGTGACAGCTGTCTTATACGGCCAAGGCGCCGCCCACCCTTACGAGTATCACTGGTTTATCTCTGCGTGGACCGTCGCCGCGTACTACTTCTGCTTTGTCGGGGCCAACATCGTGGCTATCACCTATCTGCTGGACAGTTACCCGACCCGTGCGGGCCCCCTGCTGGTGATCATTTGTGCCTTCCGGGGGATCATCTCCTTTGGCACGAGCTATGGGGTCGCCCCGTTCATTGAGCGAAATGGCTATGATGGGACGTTTGGGACGTTTGCGGGGTTGACGGGGGCTTTGGGGTTGTTGGGCGTGCCGGTTTTCATCTGGGGGAAGCGCATTCGGCAGTTCACTGGGAGGTTTATCAAGGATTAGAGTTGGGGCTTGGGTTTGGGACAGTACTTGTTGTGGTCGACATGGCGGTTGAAGAGTGTTTCTGTGTAAGTGACGCGATAATGGGTGTTTGTCATACACTTCAGTATGGAGAGGATGGATTCTCTGTCATCTATCACGTATACATGTATGTAGAATCCTCCATTTGTTGAAACCACCGTGGCTGTACACATAAGTACTGCCTTTGTTGTAGCCGATCAAGTAGTACACAGACAAGCGTATGGATTTATAAGTGCTCTACATGTCACAGTACCCGGCTGCCAGTCCGACGGGCGTCCCCAGGTGACCATTATCTCCAACCGAAACTCGCACCCCGTAGGCATTCTTGGGCAATTTGGGGTTCCTTCACTTCATATCGTCTCACGCGCGCCATCCTGCGCAGCACGACTTTCAGTTCGACCCTGCGCCAATGCAATTAAATTCCATCCGCATTGACGGCCAATGCCCATCGTAATGGCGGAGATGGCTGTGCAGTCTCTGCGGCTTGGTCCGAGGGGCAACCTCGCTGACCCTCGCAGCCACGGCACTAGCAGCCTGGGTGGAGTCTATGTCTGCGAGCTGTTTCAAGATCCAGGCCCCCGTGTCCACCAAGCTAGCAATATCAATTCCAGTCTCGATGCCAGCATTGTGAAACATGTACGCGACGTCTTCCGTCGCGACATTGCCCTTGGCACCCGGAGCGAAAGGGCAGCCCCCGAGCCCCGCGACACTGCTGTCGAACACGCGCACGCCGCACGTATACGCCTCCCAGACATTGGCGACCCCGCGGCCGTACGTGTCATGGAAATGCCCAGCGAGACGGTTGACCGGGACACCCGCATCAGTCAGGTACCGGATTAGACTGCGGACCGTCGCGGGCAAGCCTACGCCGAGCGTGTCGCCCAGGCTGACCTCGTAGCAGCCCGCGTCGAGCAGGGCTCGCACGCAGCGGAGCACAGCAGCCGGGGAGGTCGGGCCATCGAAGGGGTCGGAGAAGATGCAGGATACGTAGCTGGAGCCGCAGTCAGTGCGATGCTGGAAAGAAATAGCCTCAGCAAGCGCCGCTTACCCTCTCACGGCCAGACCCGCAGCGATGGCGTGGGATGCGACCTCCGTTGCTCTCCCGATCCCCTGCCCGACAGTACAGTTGATGTTGGCGCGGCTGAACCCCTCCGTCGCGCTGATGAACACAGCCACCTCTTTCACGCTCAGCGAGCGCGCAATCTCCAATCCTTTGAGATTGGGGACCAAGACCGGCAGTCGCAGGTGCGGATCGCTCGCCAAGCTTCGAATCGAGAAATGCTGTAGGAGATCGCGACAGTCGGCCAGCTGGGGGATTTTGCGGGGTGAGACCACTGATGTCAGTTCTATGCTCTGTAAACCGGCGTGGTGTAGTCGCCGGATTAGGTCGAGCTTGGTGGAAGTGGGGATGTGGGTGGCAATGTTCTGGAGTCCATCGCGGGGTCCGACCTCGACGATTCTCACGGTGGGAGAGGCGGGTGGCATTTTGAGAGGAATTTCATCGAGTCGTACTAGTCGGGATTTCAGGCTGGATATAGTTCATGCATGATCGATATGGTTTATGATAGAAGGGAGAGTCTTATGCTGGGCACCAAAGAACCGAGGTTGAACGAAAGGCCGAGGGTGAGTGAGGGTTGGGAGCGCGCGTGCCCTTTTCAGGGTTCTGGTTGTCTGACTCCGAGGCGCATTCCAACTCCGTCCTCCATGGAACTCCTTGCGGCAGAAGGTAACAATACAGAGAGAATACTGCGCCAAGCGTCAGCTACACCACTTCGTCCAATCAAAGCAGTAATTTTGGACCAACAGAGGAAATGAGTTTACACGGTCGCAGTCAGCCTGACTGACTGTTCGGGCATTTTAACAATTCAATGACGCAGTGAGCCCCAGTCTACAGTAATCATCTGCTTTCTGCTTACCGCATAGAGACACCTGAAATTCCTGCCGGGGGCCTTATGACGCCCTTGACGTGATAGAGTTGTACCCCACGACGTCTGTTAGCCGGATGCGCCATCGGTTGCTCCTATCACCCAGTCCAGATGGATCAACCTCAAGCCTTATTTGACACCGAGGGAAACTTCTAGAACATGGTCCCTGTACTGTATGTACAGTACTGTGCCTACCTCGGATAATCAGATCCCCAATGCGACCGGGGAAGACCGCATACCCCGCGTCATCCAGCACCGCCGCATCCCCGGTATGAAACCAGAGTACACCATCAGCGTCCCGGCGCATGACCTCCTGTGCTTAGGCTTTGCTACGCCCATACCCCTCCTGCATGGCAAAGCCCCTGGTGCAGAGATCGGCGCGCGTCAACCACCTGGGCCACGGTGTGGAGATGACTCTGCCCACCGTCAGCGCACGTTTCGAGTCAGAGTCACCAGGCCCACCACGAACGCGACCCAGATGAGCTCGGTAGGTGCGACCGCGGTCAGCATCATGTCGACGTCCATCTTCGTCCGGAGTTGCGCCATCAGCTCCCGACACGCTCGGCTTGGCCGCTAGCCCGATGCGCAGACGACGGCTTCTAGCCGCGCATCCGAGCATGTGAGCGAGTTCCAGGCAATGAAATAGCGCTGGCCCGGGAGCGGCTGCAGACTACCTCTTCGGGCCGGAGATGCATTGCGTGGCCAACAAATCGAAGACATTGTGAGGAGTCGGTGCTATTGGTCAGTGATGCAAGCGAGTGTCTGCTTGCTTACTAACTTCGAGGTTGGGAGTTAAAATGGCAGCTTTGGGAAAGCCCCGTCGTCCCTGAAATTCAGGGAGCAGAAGAACCGAAGAAAAGCAGAAAATCAAGAAAGGGAGCAAGTCATGATCAGAAGCATCGGCTGGCACGAACCTGATATAGTCCCCTGCAAAAGATGGGGCTGCGGGCCCGACGGGGCGGGGAGATTTCCTCCATCGGTCCGAGACCCTGATCAATCCCCCGAGCACGCATCTGATCGGACATTTGATTCCTTCTGTCCAAGCTAAGTACGGTCAACATGCTTGTTACACTATATACATTGATTCTGAGATCCAGGGAGCCTTGTCGTTGAAGTCGCTGAAAATGCCTCGGATGGATAATACGGCAAGGTATCCATATTTGTGTCTCAGATTGTTCAATGATCTCATCAGGAAGTAACACGGAGTTAGATCTAGAACGGCACAGACACATGATCAATCTGATGGATGGAAGAAGTGTTGAAGGAGAGAACACAACTCTCGCGGTCTGGTTGAGATTTCTTCGTCTTTGTACAGATGCAAGTTGTGATGCCGCCTCCTGTCGCCGTCCGAGCTGCGCAAAGACCTGTAACATTTACAATTGCTTTGTTGGACGTAAATTCATGGATATCTCACAGCTCATCGCCAACATGCACCGATATTGCTTTTCACCATTATTATGTAATTGAGAAGCTGGTGCTCGAGCCCTCAGCCCCGCTGCTGATATGACACTACTCGAGGATAGTCCGAGATCGGCTTCACTCAACTGCCGCCCGAGGGGGAGTACGGGTCGAGATTTGCCAAGAAGCCCTACATTAGCAATGGCCCTGGCCATGCTGTCTTTACCTACATCAAGTCATGGTTTGGTTCTCTTCGACAACCAGTCTAAGCATAGGGATTCCCACTCATTGAGTCCTGGGGGACCAGGCAGCTGACACGACCGCGATCCTGTCAATCTTGAATTTTGTGAGATCTGGGGTTGCGAGTGCAATTCTCCGAAGATTGACGTCATGCAATTTCCCGAAGGCATTTCAGAACGGCAGTTGACCTCTCGATCTTCATCGGCGATTCTCAATCTGGGCTTAGATTCATCAATCTGTTCACCACCATACTAACGCTTAGCAGCTGTGCCCCACATCCCCGCAAAATGCGACCTCATCGTGAGGAGGGGAACAGGGTACTCCGGGGTCAAAGTGGGGAAGCTCATTTGTCAGACTCCTGAACCACTGGACGAGGGCAAGCCGATACCATCAATTCCCCACCGGGTCTACAGAGGTTTCCGAGACATGAGAAATATAAACAACACTATTCAACCCTTAATACAGGCTGGAAATTCTTCACAAAAAGCACGGGCGGCATACTACTCACAATGGGTCCCTTGCGCTATCTCTCCCACCTGGCTCTGGCGAGCGCGTTACCCGGCCTGGTGGAAAGCCAATTGTCCTGTACACCCGAGTCATTCTCGGAGTACCTGTCATCTGCCGGCCATGAGAATGCCACGGTCTTGCAGGCATTCCACATCGCGAAGGGCGACACCTTTGAGGTCCCGGCCAGTGACATCGCGTATCCACAGTCGCCGACCGAGTTACCTGAGCTCTGCGTCGTGCAGATTAATGTGACATCAAGTGCAACCTCAGCGTACACATTCGGACTCTTCTTGCCTACCGAGTGGAACGACAGATTCTTGTAGGTTTCAAGCAAACCAATTCCTTGGGTTGTCGCTCACCATTGTCGAAAACAGAGCGGTCGGCAATGGGGGATTTGCGGGAGGCATCAACTGGGTCGATATGGTCAGTCATGTCTATATACCCCGAGAGCTCTCGACAGAAACTGATGGAAGCAGGGCGTCGGCGCGCGATACGGATTCGCTACCATGTCCACCGACACAGGACACAACAGCATCTCCTCGGACGGCCGGTGGGCGTACCACGAGCCCGAAAGACTGATCGACTGGGGCTACCGCGCCATGCACGGTTCAGTGGTCCTGGCCAAAGAATTGACGGAGCAATACTACGGCGATGCCCTGAAGTACAACTACTACAGCGGCTGCTCAACCGGCGGAAGACAGGGACTACGGTCCGTAGAACTGTACCCCGACGATTTCGACGGCGTCATCGCTGGCTCCCCCGCGTGGTGGACGTCGCACCTGCAGCCCTGGACCGTAAAGATTGGGACCTACAACGCCGATCCCGACACTCAGATCCCAGCCAGCCTGTTCAGCGTGATTGGCGCCGAGATCATCAAGCAGTGTGATCCCCAGGACGGACTGTCCGACGGGGTCGTGTCCGCCCCGCAACAGTGCAATCTGCGCCTGGAGACGCTCCTCTGTCGAGGCACTAACACCACTGCGTGCCTAAGTGCGGCGCAGCTTCAGACTCTGCGCCTCATCTACAGCGACTACGTCGACGTCAACCAGACCTTTGTCTTTCCCCACCTGCTGCCGGGCAGCGAAGCGCAGTGGAGCGTGCTAGTCAATAACGGGACGGCGAATGGCCTCGGGACTGATTACGTGCGGTACTTCCTTGGTAAGGGGAAGCAGTGGCAGCAGGACCAGTTCGATTACAGTATCATCCAGCTGACGGATCGACTCGACCCCGGCAACGCGACGGCCGACGATTTCGACATCTCGCCGTTTCAGCAGAAGGGCGGAAAGCTGCTTATGTACCACGGTATGGCGGACGGGCTCATCCCGACGGACAGCAGTCTCCACTACTACAACAAGGTCACCGAGGAGCTGATCCCCAAGGGGATCGACCTGGACTCCTTCTATCGGTTCTTCTACGTTCCTGGGATGCAGTAAGTTGTTATCCTTTATGCGGATTCGATCAAGAGTATGAGACTACAGGACTGATAAGAACTATGAAGACACTGCTCAGGCACGCCAGAGAGCATGCATGCGCCATGGTACTTCGCGGGCCCCAACCAGGCTCCCACGCTCTCGTCGAGTCTCCACAGCGTCCCTAAATTCCAGGATGCGCAGCACGATATCCTGCTGGCCCTGATGAGCTGGGTGGAGAATGGGACCTCGCCTGAGCCGCTGATCGCCACCACCTGGCAGAATGACACGACCCAGGATGAAGTGTACCGTCAGCGGCCATTGTGTTTCTACCCGCAGAAGGCCGTGTACACGGGCAAGGGGGATGCAGATGAGGCGGCGAACTGGGAGTGTCGGTCGCAGTACTAGAGGAGCTTGAGAATTGTAGTTCTTGCAGTGCTTGTAGTTATATAGAATAGAAAGACATTGCGATCATACCATCAGTTAGTGTCATTGTTCAATGCTGATGATCATCGGTCAATTTATCAGGGGGCCTGCAAAACCAGCCCTGGTAGTCAAGATCTTATCCTGAGTTTGGAAAAGCGGTTATTCTTCCCAGTGCGGTTAGATCCCGCGGGTCCGTACGGTGGGAAACTGTACGCGCCGGCTTGGAGCCTCTCCCCTAACTCACTTGTTCTCTTATTTGCAGCCCTAGACAGCAGTCAGAGCCACCACTTTCCATACCACCAAACACTCTAGTTCCTCCTTATCTGCACGATGTTGAACCTCCCACCAAGCATCCCATCATACAAACCACACGGGCAATTGCAAGATCATATAGCCTCCGCGCCCCTTATCCCTCCCGCGATGTCACCCTGTGATGCCTCAAGTGGGGCGCCTCGTCTAGGTCACCCAAGAGAGAAATGCCACCCCCGCACTACGCGCTGCAGAAACCAGCCACCCCACGGGGAGATTGACTAATCGCTGAGACACTAAGAAAGGAAGGCCGTGGCTAGCCGGTCCAAAATAGATTGGGCCCCTCAAATCGTGCGTTGAAGGGAGGAGAAGTTGTAAACGCTCACTCTACCCCCGCACAGAATGGCCTGACCACATCGTGGACAGTACAGGCGTCATGTTCATCACTGGATCTGGGGTTGTCTGTGCAGCTTCCCCAGACCGCAACTGTGGGGGATGGCTCCCTTCCCGGTCCATAAAAACCCCGCGACTGCCGCTGTCGCAGACGCAGATGCTCTTGCTTCCTGTTATCAATCTGGTCGGTCGCATACGCCTTGAAAATCTTTGCTGCTGACCCTGACCATGACCTCGTCAAACGTTGAAGGCCGCGGGCAGTGGGAAGATCCCCCACCCGAGACGCGATGGAGCATTATCCGCAATAACCCTAAACTCATGGCCATTGCATTTTTTGCCTCGTGAGGAACCACCCACCTCTACAAGTAACAACCAACGAACGAGACGTACTGACACCTAGTTCTTCTAGATTCGGTGGATTCGAATATGGCTACCAGCAGGGTGTTCTGGGCCAGTCCCTCGTTATGTACCGCTTCAAGGACAACTTCCCCACGGTGGTCGCCTCGTCCAGCGCCACGGGGTGGCTGACATCGGTGCTGCAATTGGGGGGCATTGTGGGCTCCCTCTCGGCGGGAATCCTGGGCGAGGTCTTCTCACGCAAGTACACCATGTTCTCGGCCTGCTGCTGGGTGGTTCTGGGCAGCTACCTCTACTGCGGTGCGACCTACCACAACCCAGCCCTGCTGTATGCGGGCCGCTTCTTCACGGGGCTGGGCGTCGGGACCTTCAGTGGTGTTGGGTGAGTGGCTCTGCTTCTATCAAGGCCCGGTACGAATAGCTAACGCGCAACCACGTCGATCACAGACCGCTCTACAACGCTGAATTATCCTCTCCCCAACTCCGCGGCTTCATGGTCTCTTTCTACCAGTTCGCCACCATCCTCGGGATCATGCTCTCGTTCTGGTGCGGCTACGGCAGCAACAACATCGGGGGCACGGGGGAACACCAATCCGACCTGGCCTGGCGCCTCCCCTCGATCATCCAGGGCATCCCGGCGGCATGCCTGGCCCTGGGCATCTGGTGGCTGCCGTTCTCACCGCGCTGGCTGGTGAAGCAGGGCCGCGACGAGGAAGCCCGCCGAACACTCTCCTACCTGCGCAAGCTTCCCGCCGATCACCCCGCGGTAGAGCACGAGTACAAAGAGATCAAGGCCGAGTGTCTGTTCGAGCAGCGGGCGTTTGCGCGGACCTTCCCGCACCTTGCCGAGCGCGAGAAGCAGAGCGTCCTGGCGCGCGAGTTCGCGCAGTACTACAACATCGTGCGCACCTGGGACAACTTCAAACGCGTGGCCATGGCGTGGCTTGTCATGTTCTTCCAACAATGGTCCGGAATCGACGCCATCATCTATTACGCGTCGAACGTCTTTCAAAGTCTGGGCCTGACGAGCGGCACGTCGGCGCTGCTGGCCACTGGCGTGACGGGGGTGGTGTTCTTCGTGTGCACCATCCCCGCGATGCTGGTCATCGACCGCGTCGGCCGCAAGCCCATGCTCCTGCTGGGGTCGACGGTCATGTTCATCGCGATGATCATCGCCGGGGTCATTGTGGCCAAGTTCCGGCACGACTGGCCGGGCCATCCGGCCGCGGGCTGGACGGCGGTGGCATTCATCTGGGTGTATGTGGGCGCGTTCGGAGCGACCTGGGGCCCGGCCTCGTGGACCCTGGTCTCTGAGATCTTCCCTCTCTCCATCCGTGCCAAGGGGGCGTCATTCGGCGCGTCGAGTAACTGGGTACGCTTCTCTTTTGCCCGCTTGATAGACTGTTTGTGCTAATCAGAGGACAGCTCAACAATTTTGCGGTCGCGTTCTTCGTCCCGCCCATGCTCTCCGCCTGGGCCTGGGGCACATACATCTTCTTCGCCGTCTTCCTGGCAGCCGGGATTGTCTGGGTGTGGTTCTGCCTACCGGAGACCAAGGGCGCAACGCTGGAGGACATGGATCGGGTGTTCAACAGTCGGACGGGCGAGCAGGACGCCATTCTGCTAGCTCAGGCGCGAAGTGATGTGGGTCTGGACCAGCTGGATCACGCCACCGCAGTCGAGAAGCTGGGGAGCATGTATATGGAGGAGGAGAAATCGTCGGTCCGTCAGGAGGAAAGGGCATGAGGATAGCCTGGTGATGCTGGGGTCATGTGTAACGCAGTTATGTCTATCGAAATGAATTTGACTTGTACCAAATCAAATGCGGTTTATGCGAATTATGGGAGGAAGGGCAGCGGACCCTCCTCGGATGCTCCGCGGGAACTCCGCATATCGCAGCACTTGGCCCCACCGCCAGCTGTATATAAGAAACCACGGTCGCAAAACTCACAACAGGATCAATCCACTTGCGGAAGAACACTATGGCTACTTCGCCAACAGTGCTTATCATCGGCTGCGGAATTGCCGGCCCCGTGCTGGCCATTCTGCTCAAACAACGAGGCTATGCGCCCATTATATTCGAGAGGGTCAGCACGCTCGGCGAGGCGGGCGCATCGCTCCTCATCCAGCCAAACGGGTCAGCCAAGCTGCCTCCCTAATCAATATTCACACCTTGCTGACAACCTCCCAGAATGAAGGTCCGCAGTCTCCTGGATATGGCCGATTCCCTCGAGCAGGAATTGCAACCGCTGCGCGGATACTGGCACGGCACGCCCGACGGCCAAACCCTCGCGTCTTCGGGCCTGGCTGGGAAATTCAAAACGCGATACGGATTTTCAGCCGTAGGCATCCGACGCTCCGAGCTGAACCTCCGCCTCAAGAGTCTTCTCCTGGATCAGGGAATCGCAGTCCGCGAGGGGTGGGAATTGATCCGCATCGAGGAGCACGTGGACTTCGTCACGGCCAGATTCACCAACGGGCAGTCGATAACCGGCTCGTTCCTTGTGGGCTGCGATGGCATCAAGGCCGCGTCGCGGCAGGAGATCCTCCGAAACCGCCACGACAGCAAGGAGGGGCCTTTGATGTTCACGGGCTTGACACAGACCGCGGGCATCTCGCCCACCCCGGCGACGCTGCAGGACCGAGCAGGGCAGATGACCAACTGGTACGGCCAGGGCATCCATGTCATCGCTTATCCGGTCTCCGAGACGCATACTTCCTGGGCAGTGACGCTACCGAACGCGAATGAGCAGCCGGAGACGTGGAAGCTGTCCGATGCCGAGGAACTCGCGGCGCGGCGCGGCGAACTGCAGGCTCAACTAGCGGAATTCGAGCCCGCAGTTTTGCAACTGGTCGCTGATACGGAGCGTCTGATCAAGTACGGCTTGTTCGATCGGGAGGAGTTGACGGCGGAGCAGTGGTACTCACGCCGCTGCGTGTTAGTGGGCGATGCTGCACATCCTACCAGTCCGCATATCGGACAGGGGGCGAATCAGGCACTGTACGTATGAGCTGGATTACATGAGGCTTCCATCAGGCTGACAATTAGAGCACAGGGAGGACTGCTATCACCTTTCACGTCTTCTCCCAGACCTCCAACAAAGCTCGACGTCTGATGCGAAGACCCTTCACCTGGGTGATGTGGACCTAGTCGAGATATTCCGAACCTTCGCACAGCGCCGTCAACCACGAACATCGAGATTGGTAAAAGAGGCGCGACGGCAGGGCGAACAGCGGGTGGTGGTGGGCGGGCCGGCCAGATGTCGCGAACGGAATGCTGGCATTGCGGCGGCATGGAAGGATCCGGCCGCGTTGACGGCGAACTTCGACCGGTTGCTACAGGGACCCTTCTAGTGACGGTCGGTATGGCATTTTCTTCGGCCGACTCGCCTTTCGCTGCCTCACCGTCGAATTCTCATCGAGGATGGTGGCTGGCCTACCCCCTGAGCAATCGGGTATGTTTCGCAACTTCCTTGCGTATTGCATATTGAGTGTCCAGCGCAACCCTAAACGGGCGAGAAGCTAGTAGCGCTGGTGAGGGAATGTCATCCACAAGTTCGAGGCTGAGCCTTGGAGGGTGTGTGCTGTATATGCTCGTCATGAGTCATGAAGAGCCCGGGATTATCTCTGCTGTAACGGTCCGTGCCAGTGAGGGTTTTCCGTTTTCTCCCATCATACACGTGTCTAGACCTCCGTGCATACTTTACTCGAGTAGATTTCATAACGATCCCTTGCTGATATCTTTGAAGCAATCCTGATTAGGAAGGAGACACACTCATGAGCTCATGACATGAACGATGGCCCTTTCAAGGTGGTTGGAATGGCCGCAACCGGTATAGACCCAAGGGATCCATGATGATAGAGCCGACATGACGGATTGCGAGAACAACGAACCAGCGCGGCGGTCATCTCTCGCCCTTTGCACCTTCCCGGCCGAGTGGTCCGGTATTCTACCGGATAACACCTGTTTTCGATGCAACCTTGGGGCCGGGCCGCTAGCAAGCTTAGATCCTCAGTTCGACGCAGAGAAACATAGTACTCCCTCTATACCACGATCTAGACCGGCCGGCGTTAAAGGAAGAGATGCTCTAGTCCTGTCGAAAACATCACCTCTTCAATCTGCTCGATACAGTACCACGCTTTACAGAACTTTACTTGCTATGTCATCCACTTTACGACCCTTTCACGGAGCCTTGATAGACAGGGAGGAAACTACAAGATACCGTATGATTGGTGATATTGGTATCCGGATGCGCTGCGCTTGGATGCACAAATACATGTTGATCCTCAATCGAGCCCTCACAATCAGGACACAGAGGAAGTCTATAGCGTGTATATCACATCAATGAGTTGGTGTTATGTTTCTCAGGGAGAAGATTGATATGATACTTCTCACTTTACATAGCGCCCCAGGAAGGCTGACTCTGGGCTCTCGGTCAACCAGCAACCATACATTCCATAAGTCAGCTAGATTCCCGTTGTTAAGAACAACTCTACAGCTTGATTGTTGTCACTGAACGTCACGACAGGTTCTGGACCCGTTCCAATTCCATGATTATAGTAATAGATGCTCATGAGCAGGACGATTGACTTCGTCTAGGCGCCGAACTTTGTAATGCCGTGGTCGTGGGTCGCATGTAGTGGGTCTCACCTAGATTTTGACGCAATACATGACGTGAGGACTGATCGCCTGTAGCGTCTCTACCTTCAACAAGAAGCAATTGTGCTACAAGTGCGGCGTTACAGGGACGGAATTAGTTCTCGACGGGGTGAAATATCGAATATAAAAGTGCGAGAGATGTCTGCAACGGACTCAAGAAGACTATGACTTGCCACGATTCATCAAAGCCTTTCTTCTTCAAAACCCAGACAGCTCTCAACTGAACACAGTCAACATAATGCACGAGAACTCGGAGGCACTCAGCAACATGGAATATAAGGCTTCAGGGACAGCCAACACGACACAAACGAAAGTCACAGTTCTTGGGAGACGTCTTGTTGACTTGCTTGTGTTCAATTGCAAGAAAACAAGTTACCTTCAAGAACATGAGACAGGCTCAAAGCTGCTGTGTGCATTCTTGGAGAACGAGATTGGACAACCGGAGTTTCGAAGTCTCTGGGGCGAACCCGACGCTCTTGTTTCGTTGGTCGAATTGCGGTCTGATAATGGCAAATATACAATCCACCGGCAACAGTCCTTTGATGCGTTCAACAGACAAGGACCTCCTGATCAAAGCATCCTTTTCCGATCTCCTACGAGCACGGGATCAGTTCCTCAGAAGAACCAAGTCTCGAGTCCTGTCCTTCTTATAGAAGACCCGGAAGGCGACCTGCTGTCCGCAAAAAGGGATGTGGATTTCTCGAATGGTCAGGGCAGCTTGGTTTTCTACAAGATAGCATGCTTGAGAAACACATCCTGGGGACCGGATGAGGAATCTAAGCTTATCAAAAGCATTAAGCCAGGGCCTATTGAACAACTAGTCATCATTATCAACGCCGACGATCTACGTCCTCATCGGACATCGCCTCTGTCGTGGGAACAAGCAGCTATCGACATACTGGAATATTTCGACGATCGACCCATTTCGAAGATCTTGCACTGGGCGCAAATCAAGTGTATCATCCGACTTGGTTATGTCGGTGCAATCGTCTTGGAGGGATCATCGAGGAAACTCTACTTCGACGGCAAGCATAAGGAAAGTGGCTTCGCTCAGGTGAAGTCTGTGACTTCCGCGGCACTTCAAGCAGCATTCTTGAGTGGGTTGGTTTCCAAAGCGGTGCAGGAACCTTACTTCAAAGTAGAAGAGGCAATTGGCCATGGCTTGCGCAAGGCTCGTTATCTGGCTAGCAAGGGATTCAGTCTCTCAGAAAATGATTATTTGAAATACCCGGAATTGAACTCGAACTGTGGAGAGAAGGTCGAGCTCGAATGTTCCGAAATACCTGCGGTGGAGCTTGCAAACTGGACTATCTTGAGGCAAGCTCTCACTCCAGCCCGGGAAAGTCTAACCGAGACATACGAAGCAAAAGTGTTGGAAGCCTGTGAAGGTATTGTTGCCCACGGGATTGATTCCGAAAGGGCACTTCCCGGCGTCCCAATCGCGACGTTCGGCAAACTCGTTGCAGTGGACAGAGCGGAGATTGAATGTTATCAAGCGATCGCCAACAGAGTGGAAAATTACCTCAACACTCCGCAGGACAGGCCGCTCTCCATCGGAGTCTTCGGGGCGCCTGGGTCTGGCAAGTCATTTGGAATCAAGCAGATCATCCAAACGATCACCAAAAGAGTAGTCAGCCCTAATGAGCCCAAGAAATACCCAGTTCTCGACTACAACGTGTCGCAGTTCTTGAATTACTCGGATCTTTTGGTCGCCTTGCAGACCGTCCGGGACGAAACGGTTTCAGGGAGGATTCCAATTGTTTGCTTCGATGAGTTCGATACCACTTTGAATGGAGAACTTGGGTGGCTCAAGTTCTTTCTTGCTCCTATGCAGGATGGGAGATTCTCCGAGCAAGGCCATAGCCGACCAATTGGTCAGGCTATTTTCATATTCATCGGGGGTACGGCATCCTCGTTCAAGGAATTCCAGAACGACACAATTCAACTCATCCCCGCCGGAACAACTAGCCCCTCAATGCCTGCTCCAGACACCCAGTCGCAGGGAAATCGTTACAAGGCCGTGGAGGATGCTAAGGCTGTAAAAGCGGCTAGAGCTGTCAAAAAGCCTGATTTTATTAGTCGACTGGGGCTGCACCTTGACGTACAAGCATACGACAATCCTAAAACAACTACTGATCTGACTTATATGTTTCGACGAGCAATCTTAATTCGTGCCAAGTTAGAAGAAGAGGCCAGGAAACGAGGCGAAGAAGTTCGCGGTGTGGATCCGTCTGTGCTACGTGGTCTGCTGAAGGTTGACACCTATAAGCATGGTGCTCGTTCAATCGAAACTATCCTCAAGGGAAGTGCAAAGGGTTTCCTCGATCGCAACGCGCTTCCTCCTGACGATCAATTGAGTTTACATCTGGGAGATGTGGTGCAGTTCTGGAAAATAATTGACGAACACCTTAAGGCGCAAGCTCCGACAGGACAACCTCCCACAGCGCAACCCCTCAAGCCCAAGTCCTCCAAACCGCAGTCCTCTAAGCCGCCACCTGAGAAGAACACCTTCCTGGAGTACTATGCCAAACTTCAAGACCCTGCAACTTGAAGGAAAAAGAAAGGAGGTGGATGTAGGCTTTCGATAACTATTGATTTATATAGCTGATTGGATAGTAGGTAGCTCTATGAACAATCTCTCTTACTTCCGCTCAAATAAAGCTAAAGTTGATCACTAATTAGGTGGTTGGCTAGGATGTATATTTTACCTCTGGTAAAATAAGCTTTCTTTCTCTTTACTTGATGTAGACTACATCTCTCGTTTACTCTCATTGGATCTCCTTTTTTTCTTAGTAGTTCTTACCTCTCTAGTATCTTTCGACTATAAAATCGAGGCCGTTGAGGACATTTTTGCGGAGGTCTGGTCGACGTCCACGAGGCGGTCAGGCGGGGTATATGTAAGTATGAAGAATGGAAGGACAAAGAGGTATGCGCCAAATTGCAGGCTTTACACAGATTCGGGGAGACCGGAAAGCCGCATCATCGAGAGGCCTTCCATCGGACAATGCACCTACCCTGTCCTGTCCCTGTTACAGGACTGCTCTCTAGTTGCGCATCCAGCCCGGTAGCGCCGGGCTAGCTCGCTCGTGGTCACTACATAAGAACCCTGCTGGCGAGGGTGGGGCGACAACGTTGATTGATCCCAATTGCCACCAAGGCCCTGCATCCTGTCCACACATGCTGGTCAGGGCGTCCTGGGTGCTGGCTGCCGAAGCTGGGGTGTCACAAACCTAATCGCTTCAGCACAAGCCTTTCGTGCCTCTGTCGAGCTAGTGCATACACTGGAGGCTGAACCAATTACGTTGAGAATTATACAGGGTCTGTGTGTACGAGTGTCCTCGATACGAGCATATATGAACGGGTCTACTATAGCTTATTTGTCTCCACTTGGTCGTCGGATTGACCAGCCACGGTCGCCCACAGGAACGCCACACAACTCGTGATATCGATTGCAGAGTCGAAACCAGTGGAGATATCCCCCGGGACCTGCCATATGGCCCCATGCGCTGGAGCATTGCCCTATAACGGACCATGACTTATTGACGAATAGGCACTAATGGCAGGAAAATGGCGGATTAGGCCGCCGGATAAGCGCTAGGACGATAAGAACGATAAGACACAAGGATGCGCAAGAAATAATGACTGGGGCTAGTAGTCTAGTTCTATCACCCCATTCGGTGTATTGGATAGTTCAGTTAGGCCGGATGCTTACCAAGAATAGCTCAGCATAATGCCTTTCATTTCTGTGGACAATAGACATCAACCCGGCACGAAGATCATAATAACAACCCACACGCATGAAGAGCAAAAAAAAAAAAGGACACTGCTTCGTATTAATGTCTATATATAAGACGCTCTCGTTACCAGTCCAGACCCTACAGCACCTTCTCCAACAATTCATTAAGCTCCTGGACCACAAACTCCGGATTATCCTTCTGCACGAAGTGGCCCGCGTTCGGTGCAATCAAAGGGCCCTTGCTGTACTCGGGCTCGGTGATCTTGACCAACCCCTCGTTATAACGGTGCCAGTACGGGTTGACGAAGCGGTTCGTGACCGACTTGGGCGGGCCCATCTTGGCCGACTCTTCCGCAAAAGCATCAAAGTCGTGTCCCACGACCGTCACATAGGGTCCGTGACCCTCAGGGCCTTCTAGCTGCGGACCGTCACTGGCAGGGAGCAGCTCGCGCAAGTTCCGCCGGCTGAGACCCTCTTTGCTCCCGACGTCCGGGTGGAAGACGCGGCGGACGCCGGCCCGCACCGCGCGGATGGCCTCGACGGGGATCGGGGCGATGCTGGCGGGATCGAAGTCCGGAGAATCCGGATCGGGGAAGATAGAAATAAAGTCCGAGTTGGCGAGGACGCTGTCGAGCAATAACAGCGCGGCGACGGTGCCGGGGTAATTCTGCGCGTAAAGCCGAGCCAACGCGCAGCCGATCGAGTTCCCCACCAGTACCAGCGAGACGGAGTTCACGTCGGCGACACCCAGCTTCTCAGTGGTGATCTGTACGAGCAGCTGACGGAGATCTTGGACGGCAGCCAGGCAGTCATGGCCGTGGGTGGGGTCCTCAGCGTCGGCGTCGGCGGGTTCGCGATCGGTCGTCTGGCCTTGGCCGAAGCGGTCGTACGTCAAGAAGGCTGGGCTGTTGCCTTGGCGAACAGATTTCAGTTGCGCAATGACGGGCTGCCAGAAGGCTTGTGGAAGGCCGAGCCCATTCACAAAGACCACCAGGACGGGCTTGGCGGATGCTCCCTCGGGAGCTTGGAAGGTATAAGCCAGCTGCGCCGAGGGTTTGGTAGTGAGGGCGAGAAACTCTACGTCGGGCATTTTGGGAGAAAGTCTTCTCTTTTAGTGACGTGAGGCGTAGAAGCAGAATGGCCGGAGGACGATGTGACGAGTGGATGAGAAAGTAAGCCTACTCAAAAATTATCTCTTTCCCTGTGCCCGGTGGTTAATTGACAACCGGCGGGATTTATAGCCGTTGTCCGTATCGGTGAGGCTGAAGTGGAGGACGCGCTGAAGGAGGGGTGCTGACGGGCTGATGCTAGCAGACGAACCGACCACTAATTTTGCACAATGACTATACTAGCTCATATTAAAGTATTCCTTCGTTTCTTTTTTTTGATTTTCGACGCTAGGCAATCTCACGATGCTGACAACATCGTAAGGCAGTTAGTTGACTTAGTCAATTTGCAGGATGTTGAGTCAGCGGGGAGAGCCACCCAAGGGGGATTAGGGCTGATTTATAGGGGCGACTCGCAGCTCAGCTCTACGGAGAAGCGATACAACACCCTAAGGAAGAGTCTGATCAAATGACAGGCCGCCAGAAGCAAACATGGAAGCTAGTCCGACAGAGTAAATGTAAAGACTCCTGTTGGTCCAACTGCAAGGTACAACGGCGCGCCAACGACTCGAATACCTGCACAATCGCCCCGATCTGTCAAATCCTGAACATGTGTTTGTTCTGCGAGCGGTTCGTACTGTTTAGCTCATGTGATGCCCAAAGTCAGGGGTTCTGTCAGTTACAATTTTTTCGATCGGTGTTGTGTCGTTTGACGGCTACCTAGACAGAAGGCGCCCTGGTGTTGCACAACTCGCAGCATGAACGCCTTATCCAGCAAGAAGCGGCCAAGGCCGGTGATGTATTTTGAGTCAGATATGATGAATCCGGGTGAGTAGCATGGTGGTCAAGACTGCATGTTGATAAATGCATAGAATGCACATCTTCTGGAGGTAAACTCAGCCGAGCCCGCTGTATATGTATAGGGTTCCTATATTCATGTGGCTTAAGTTGACACATCGTGAGCTCAGGTTTCAAGGACCGCATGACGATATATGGATTAAAGATATGTAACAATAATTCGAAGCGGGGCAAGTCTAACTCGTTGCAATGTGCATGCCACAAAGAAGTGTCAAAAAGACTGGCTGGATAACATCGTACCAGATACATTGATCCCCAAAGAATAGACGATTGGATTTCTACACATTGCATCGCGGTGATTCTTGCGGTGATTCAACTAAATTCTACCGATCTGAACGAAGGAGCCCATCTTAGGGGAAATGCGAGGTATCACCGGCATCGCCAATCTGCTCTTCGGCAGCTACCTGACCTGCTCACCACTTCTGGCATGCATAGATCTCAGTTCTCTTGCCTTGTTCCCGAGCGCATCAGGGCGAGAAATGTTGTTGAGTCGGCGATTCTGGAAAGCCTTGGATCCCAACATTGGTCGCAATTAAGCAAGTATGGCTTCTCATCTGCCGCGAATCAGTCTTTTGATTTACCGAAAGTCAGAAGGCGAGCACCGAGCCGGCTAGAGCCCACGTCAACAATGTGCATTCTTGTGGAAATTCAATCCCTCGAGTCCTCGTTGTCCTCACTGATCATTTCGTGTCCGCTGTGGCAAGATCACCGGAACCGAGGCAATGTCATTGTCAACTGATTGCGCGTGGTGCTACCAGGCTACCTCTTTTTTCACGATCCTGGGTCTTTGACCGTTTAGCGGGAGCAGGTGGGTGCGATTGAGCTCGCCGAAGCCGAGCTACTGAGGTAATGAATTGTGCGAACGTCGGTCGTGAAGGCATTAGCAGGCGAAATCGCCTCGAGGTTGACCCTCCGTTGCGAGCCTTCCAGGTCTCGCTGTGTGGCCAGCTAGAACCTCCCGTTGACAGCAACAGCCGATCCAACCGCAGCGGTCGCATTTGTCGAGCAAGCATGTCGTGGAACAAGACTGTTACCGAACTCCAAGGACGCGGATTCGTGGGTTAAGCGAGCAACGTCCCAGGCGATTTCGAACAAGAACAAATCATCCAAGAATGTGGTCGAGGAACGCTCCCCCCTACTGTCGGATCCTTCACATCTTCCATCAACCCCACTCAACCGGGTAACCGAGGGCCATCCGCTTGATTCTCGTCGAGTTCCTGTTTTCCCGAACAAGATGAGGATGCACGCCTTCAAATAAGCGGAGGGCGAAGGCTGAACGATGAGTGGGTGCAAACCTGGAGGAACACTGCAGATCCCCGTTGAAGGCAGGCAGCGCTCATCCTTGCCCTGCCTGGGAAAATATCCGATGATCGGCAACTTTTCCTGGTGACTGTTTGCCGGCAACGGGCCCACTAATCTCAACGCCCGGGACTCGCGCGTTTGAGCCCGACTCATCGCGACTCAGCTCCTCGGCGCCCGATTACGCATTATGGATACTGAGTACATTGAAGAGATTCCAAGCAAGGAATTCTTTTCCTGCAGACGGATATGCCAGGGGTTGTTGTCGCAGGGCGTCGGAAATAGGAGACTGGGATTGTTGCATAGTGCGTACGGCGTTGCTGTTTTAGTGGGGGTCAGCATGAACAGTACACGACGGCAAGGCTGTAGCTTTGTTTGCTGACCTTGGAAAGATGCTGATCCACTTGAAACGGAAAAATGAAATCCGTCGGCGGTTTGCTGCTCAGCTTTGCTGGTCAGACAGATACTGGGGTGTCTTCTACGCTGGTGGATTGCAGCAGGTGCGGCAGGCCGCGGAGATGTAATTATCGTCCGAGCAGTTGCAGGGGATCAGCACCAAGGGGTACTCATGTACGGAGACTCTAAGAAGAGATGCGTAACGGTCGGTATGCTTGCATAATTAGTCAGACGCACGCACAATATCGGTTACCCAAGTAACGCTATTGAGTAATTGAGAAGCCAAAGTTGGCGATTCGACCAGAGTTGTCCAGAACATCACAGCAACTCAGCGACACTCCGAACCGTATTCTCTCAGGGCTTGCCCGAGTCACTTGACCGTCTGTCCACGTGGACTGTACCCGCTATCGTCTAAAACCTCCAAATCGCTGACCGAAGAGTCTTGTCGAAATTTCCCAAGATCTTGGAGCCCCCGCCATAGATAGAAGTAAGGTTTGCGCCTCACCCATTCCCACGGTACAGCAGTGGCCGCAGCTGCAGCTCTTGTCTTCGCCCGGTCCAAATCGGTCTTCTGAACAGCCAAGAAATGATGATTCGTATCCTTTGCCAGAAAGTTCGCTGCAGAAGGTTTGATCTGTGGCTCGGCTGCTGCCGGTGCGCTTGTCAGGAGCAAAAGCAGGAATTCGAAGGAGTATGTCTCCCTTGGATTAATCATAACGATATCCTCCATCGCCGGGATTGTCCGCATATTTCACTCTAGCGACTCAATCCTCTGCTCAGTGCGCAGGACAAACAAATTAATTGCTACTATCTATATATTTTTAACTGGTCTCAGGGTGTTATCCTTGCAGGCGGTCCTGGATGCTAAACTGGTGATGTACAGTATATTAAATAGAGATCTACCCGTCCCATGCGACCGAACAATATCTATACAAGGTATAGTTCTTTCAATAGACACCTTGTGAGTTTGTCGCGCGAAGAATCAAGAAGATAAGACGAAAGTCTACTATGATCCAGAAGGAATGCAGGCAAATCGTCAGGATTCTCCCCATATCTCGGTAGCCGTTCCGTTAAGGTTTCTGAATGACATGGACGACCAAAAGCCATCAAAGTCTATGGCCTACACAGTATTCTGTGCCGACGGAGCATAAGTAGTTAGTTATTCATTCCACTGAGTCATCCTCGCGTGCTCATGAGTGGCAAATCGTCGGTCAAATCCGACCTGCCACGCCGATCTGGGCCATCACCAGAATGGCATTATCCCGTGGTCACGACTGTGCTGTGCTTTAGTCTAGACGGAGTACTGATACCAAGCCCTCTAGGCTCTAAACCCCCCTGAACCACCTTCGTCGCGTCGCCCGTGGTGGCAAGCACGCTAGGCTCCCCCTGCAGCGACAGTCGTGGCTAGTGTGGCGTGCTAGCGACGCGAAGGAATGTCCTCCCCGAGATCGACGACCAAGGAAGCCGGCGTTGCGCCCAGGGGAGGGAGGGGAAGGGTTTACTCTGTAGTATTCTTAGAACAGCGAATGTCGACGGAGTGATGTTTCGAAGCACCGGAAACACCTGCAGCTACATATGTACATAGTCAGCAGTTGGCAGCTAGCTAATGGCACGAACCAAATTTTAATCTATTTGATTTACGATAACCTCTTCGCGGCGAACCTCCGTTGTGTAAGAGTTCGCAGGCGGGCGCGCCCGATGGGGGCTGGCAACTGATAAGCTGGCGCGCTCGGTCGCACGCGGTGGAGGTGGGCGGCCTAGCCCACCACACAACTGTAACCGTGCTAGCTTAAACCAGACCAACATTGGGAAGGCGGAAAGAAATGCCTGACAAGCGAGTCATGACAGGCCGAGGAAAGCCGGGTGGTGGTGTTTCGAATGGGTTAGCTTTTCCCAGCACGGCATAGACGTGGCCCCCGAAGGTGGGGACTCCCAGGCATGTTTGTTTTCCATTTTGGTCGATTTTCCCCGGTCCTAAGGGACCCGGGAGTCTGGTTCTCTCTTTCCAGAATTCATGCATGCATGGATGGATGCAACCAGGGAAGTTGCCCATGGGGGTTATTGGCACTAACTGTAGACACGAGGCTGGGCATGCTTGGGGAAAGGTTTGCTGGTACGCAAACTACTAGTACAATGCGGATTGTCATCTCGCTTGGAGAGAAAGAACTTGGCAAACAATGATTATTGAGGAAGATTTTCCCCTCCGTCCCTCAAAGCTATTGAACTGCCAAATAGAAAATTAGGCTTCAACGAACAGTGGTGAAAGTTCTAGACTGCCGCGAGGGAGAATTGGCTGGCGGGCAATATTGATGTTCTCTAGGGTTGGGGTGGGGGGATGGGGGGGTGACATGACTCGTCCTGATTTGTCGCGGATGGGTTCCGTCCGCAGGAAAGCAAATCAGAGGCGCCACTTCTTTCTCCCTGACAGTGGTTGCGGTGGAGAGCCCAAGTGGATGACTACGCCTCTGTCGACGAAAGTCTGCTCGCGTTGTCAGCCTAAACTGGCGATCTCTTAGGGTTTTTCTCTGGGGAGAGGGACTCGAAGGGAGACAGACTCGTATTCCGACCTTCCGTGGAGCAACTAACTCACTGGAGAATGGAGATAGAGGGGCGGAGGACAAGCCGACTGTCACAACTCATGATCCCACTCCTCGTCTCGTGGCCCGTCCGAGCCTCAAAGGGGCAATGATGTGGGCAGTCTTACCTCGACTTTTGTTTGGGTTGTAGGCCTGCAATCAAAGAGGCTTCCCGCTGCAAGGACCCTTCTGATTGAGTTAATCAACTTATTATATCCTTACTATCACCCCACCCATGTCCACATTTTCCCCTCCCCCCCCCTCTGCCCACCACCCCCCATGTTGACTTGAATTTGAGCTTTGCATCTTCCCAAATGCGTCCTTGACAGCACCACCACCACAGGGCTGACCTTCGACTCGATTTTGCGACGACTTCAACGTCATGGCCATCTACGCCGATGCGGCCCCGTCGGTGGCCGGCAGTGTCATTATGTTGACGACCCTGGCACTGCTGACTTATGGGGCCCGAGTATACTGCCGGTTAACCCGGAAGTCATGGGGGATGGAAGACTGGATCATGTCCGTCGCCTTGGTAGGTCGCCCTCCCATTGGGACTTGAACCTGAGCTGATCGATTGGATAAAAGGTGCCGTTCGCTGTGCTGGTAGCAGGCTGTGTAGGAGGTGCCTTCAACGGGATTGGAATTCATCAATGGCGGCTGGCGGAAGCGGGAAACGTGAAGTATTCGGCCGATGGAAAGAAGGTATGCGAGTTCCGCTGACCCCATCAGCGTCAAGTCAAGCAGCTGGACGCTAACGAGGTCTCCAGTTCTTCCTCATCTTCGAGGTCGGCTACTGCTCTGCCATTATCCCGATCAAACTGAGTATCAGCTGGATGTTGATTCGAGTCGCGGAGGGGCGCAAGGCTTACCTCTACATTCAGTATGTGGTCATTGCAACTTTCGTGACCATGAACATCATCGCGTTGATTTTCATTCTCATCAACTGCATCCCTGTTGAGTATGTGCCCGCGTCCTCTGATTGTTGAATCGAATGGACAAGGAGACTGACTGCGCCCAGTGCTGCCTGGAATGACGAAGCCCTGAAGAACGGAGGACACTGCCAACCGTCCTACGTCCTCGCCGACGTGTACTACGCCTGCACGGCCGTGAACATCCTGACCGACTGGGTGACGGCTTTACTGCCCGTGCCCCTCCTTTGGAATGTCCAGATCAACCGCAACACCAAGATCTCGATCGTCGGCTTGATGGGTCTGGGTATTTTGTACGTACACCGCCCCCTGCTCGTCATCGCATGAACAACCATCTAACCCACTTTTCCGTACAGTGCCTCGCTATCCGCCTGCGTCCGTCTCAAGTATACCGTCGCGCTCACCTCGCAATCGGACTACCTCTTCGGTGTGGCCAACGTGGTGATCTGGGGCTTCGCGGAGAACGCGCTGGGGATGATCGTCGGCAACGTCGCCACCCTCCGCCCCCTGTTCCGCATCCTGCGCGATCGCAAGACCTCCGACTACAAGAACTACAACCGGTCCCCGGGCTACGGCCACAGCTCGCACCACACCGGCGGCGGCGGCGGCGTGTTCTCGCGCACCTACGAGCTGGCCGAGCACGGCAAGAACCCCAACCACGTCACCACGAGCACTGTCGCTGAGCCCGGCCGTCGCAGCTTCAGCGACGGGGACAGCGAGCGACAGATCCTTGAGGGCGGGCAGAGTCCCGGCGAAGCCGACATTGTCGTCAGCCGGCAGGTGATCGTGGCTTACGACTGAGCATTTTGGGTTGGGTTGGAGTTGAGGGTCTGGGAAGGGCGGCATTCTGGTTTACTCAATCGTTATAATCTAATTTTCTTACGTCTGAATGCTCGCGCGAAGAGGAATGTGGTGGTGTGTAGGCTGTAGATCGGTGATGCGTCTTGGCTTGCCTCGTCAAAGGATGCTTATACGAGCAGGAATCATCTAAGCACTAAGGTACTGCAGGCCCCATCACGTGCGTCACATTCGCCAGGTTTGACACTCTTTTTGTGCATATTTGCCATCGAAAACACCCTGGCCGCCGCCACACCAAGCTTTCGTCAAGATGTCTTTCGCTATGGGCCGTCACTCGGCCCGAGCAGTGAAACATGGCCATCAACGATCACTAATCGAAATGCCAGCCATGAGAATCTTCAGCTGAGTGCCCCAGACCGCAGTCTTTGACTGTCTACGCTCACTCTCCGAGACATGCTTACTGAGTCGAGGATAGTCAGCCCCAAACAGGGCTGGTGCTCCCCAGCCGCTACGCCCCTTGAGGAAGGGCAACATGACTAGCGTCCAGGGGTATTTGTCAGGCATCAGCCCTGCAAGCTTAGTTGTTATGAATACGAGTCTCTGGCTCAATAGCCTCAGGTTCCCTGAAACCAGCGCAGAGTTCTATGATTACTGATTGCGAGGTTGCAGAAAATGCCCCAGAGACGATTACTTCGGGTCTCGAAAGGCTTGCTGTGTAGCACGCTGGTATATGATTGGCGAAAACATGGGTCTAGGCAGAGGCTTACGATAGTGTCAAGTCAACCAATTGTGCAGCTAACCCTATACCAGGCTGAAATCCGAATGCACAATCCTCCAGTGGGTGGCAAGGGTCGTCACCTCTAGGAAGGCCTTGCTCGAAGCGAGCTGGAAGGGTTAAACAAAGGCCGTCCGGAAGCTATTAATTCCAGCATGATTTCCCTCCATCGAGCAGGAATCATGATATCTCCACCTCCCTCACTCAGATTGTGGCGGTTTGAGGAAGGAGGCACATGGACGGACGAGCCACGAACGAAGGATACATCAACACCCGCATGAAGGATGACGGCACCAGCGAGCACCATCACGTGGCAGTCTATGATCTGATCATGGAGGATGCCCGCAAATGTTCCCGCGAATGTCCAGAGCTTTTCCAGCAGGCGCTAGTGATGTACACCCAAACCGATTCGAGGGATAGTCGGAAGGATATTCTGGACGGGTTGGTCGAATATTGGGGGTGGCTCGGGGGCTGGAGGTTTGCATTGAGGTTTTCTGGGAGCTACATCAGGAACTACACGGCGAGATTACGTTCATCGCTGCGTGTTGGTATGTCGTGGAACAGTGATTTTCATAGTGGCTAAGAAGAGGGAATGTGAGTGAGTCTTCCATCTCTACCATGCGATGTTAGCAACGCAGAGGCTGGTTTGATTCATACCACAACCGTTATCAGGTTTAAAAAGGCAGGGACGCACAGCTGCTTAGCCGCACTAGGGGGATCAATGGTTCAAGTTGTAAGTTAATTCTATTCTCATCGAATGCCACCCATGATCTGCTCCACAGGCATATTCACGAAAGAATCCCTGGTTATTGTAGCATATGAGATTGAGGCAAGTTTTTAGCACTCTCCTGTGGTTGAATAATGAGCAAGATGCAAAGTACGGGGTGGTGAGAGAAAACGCAGGGCTGGAGCAGCTCGGGAATGTGGGGGGTGCCAGACTGGGTGCTCAAACCGCAGAACCAATCTCGACCGATCTCGCCCGAGGGCGGCGGCCACAGTGGGTTGGTTCACATTGACCTTCTGGGCTAGTCTCGGACAGCCCCGAAGTTGGCTCGGTGCGGGGGACTGTCACCGTGGAGCTGATCGGCGACCCCCGAGAGGAACATTGCAACTATCTCATCTCTCACTATCCATGGACTGTTGGTTCCGCTCATACGATCACAAGGTACTCTCTAAAAGGACATCGTATGACTACTGGTAATCGCTTACATTCGCCATAAGTTATCAAGTCAGACCTCAATTGTAAGCATATCTCATTAGAACAGTACAAGACTATCACCATGACCGCACGACTACCAACGACCGGACCTAATTCACTTCTCCTTCTCACTCATGCGTCTTCGCCACTGTTCATTGTATATTAGCCCAGTCCCACGAAACTACAATCGAACAAAGGAAAGGGCAGGACAAACCTTAGGGTTATAGAAGTATACCGGCACGCCAAGCAGCAAGACCCCGCCGACGACGCCCGCCAGAATCCCCATCGCCGCCGGGTAACTATACTTGGCGACCATGGGGTTCAACCCGTAACTGACTCCGAAGCTGATCAGGTTCTTCGTGCCCACAACCGTCACCAGCGCGGGGCCCGGGTTCTTGGGCCACGCCTCCGTGGCGAAGGAGGTCGTGCGGATGAGCACCGAGACAAAGGCGACCTGGTACAGCGTCCAGCCCATAAAGGGTCCGCCCCAGGTGGCGTTGCCATCCGCCGTAAAACCATACAGAATCAGGGATGCGACGGCGAGCAGGCCCGGAGCGATCAGCAGGAGCAGATGATGCTCGGGCTGATGCACGCCGCCCGCACGCTTGGCGGCCCAGACGATGAACCGGTCGCCGAAGATGCCCGCGTACAACATCCCGCCCAATCCGCCGAACACGCCGCCCAGATTGATCAGCCCGATCGCCGACGCGCTCCAGCCATAGTTGTACTCAAGCACTGTATTGTACGTCAGCGAGACGCCTACCGATGCGCCCAGCACCACCGAGGCCAGCAGCGTCGCGTACAGCACGCCGGGCGAGCTGAAGCTCTCGAGCATTTGCCACCAGGTCTTGAGGACCGTCCGCATGGGGTGCGCGGACACCCCCGGCCACGGGCTGAGCATTTGGCGGTAGGATCTCTTGGTCGGGGGATGCTGCGAAGGAGCCCCCGGGAAGGAAGTTTCGGTCTGCGCGGCGAGCCAGGCGCGGGCTTCCTCCTCGTTCAGCACGCGCGTCACGCCGTATTCGTCGGTGATAACGGCTTGGTTCTGCAGGAAAATCGCCCCGCGCTGATACCGGGTCTCGAAGCAGCCGAAGACCACGAGGACCAGGCCGACGCCCACGGTGAGGACGAAGACCCAGTAGAACCAGCGCCAGCCGAGGGCAGCGACTTCGTAGGAACTTCCCAACGTCAGTAGACTGGTGATGATGTTCTGGGAGGCCCAGTAGATGCCGTAGATGGTGCCGCGTTGGTGGACGAAGGTCAGTTCAGCGAGCATCAGGGGGAGAAGCTGGCTGGGTCAGTGAGGTTATTGCGATGACTCGGAGACAGGATTAACGTACAGACTCCGTGGCGCCGGTGGTAAAGCCCATCAGAATACGAAAGCCCAAGTGCTGGCCCCAATTCTGCGACAGAGCGCATCCGATCAGCGAGCCGAGTAGGACGACGGTGGTGATGAGCATGATCGGTCGTCGGCCGCACACGAGGGCGAGAGGGAGGATAATGTAGTTTCCTGGTCCAGTCAGCATACACTTGCGTACAGAATGGCAAGGGAGATGTCACTGGAGACTTACCCACGCCCACGAACAGGGAAGGGAAGGTCGACAGCCATACAACTTGGTTGGTGCTGCGGCCTTCTGCCCCGTACAACTGGAAGAAGACGTCGAGGACCGAACCCAGCCCCCCCACCACCGATAGCGACATGATGGCTGCACTTGGTTAGCATAGGGCATGGCAAGCTCGACAGCATCCAAGTGGCACTTACAGAACCAACAGCAACATACGATGATGGCAGTCTTCTCCCAGACAGCAAAGTTCAAGGGGTCATTAGGGTCATCGCTGGGCACCGGCAGACGCTGAATGCGGCCTGTCTCGTCCACCAGAACCGGGCCTGAGGGCTCTGGTTTCGCGACATTCTCCACGAAGTCAACGTGCACCTTCTCGAGGTCTTTGTCGTGTAAGTCGGTCATGATGGGCTTGAGACATGAAAGGAGAAAACATGACTGCAGGGGTGCAATAGTGCCGGGTTTTAACACACCCCCATTCCGGATGCTCCTCCACTCTGCCGACGCGATGGATCTAGCCCTACTCGTTTGGGTTCGGGGGGAAAGAAGCTATATTCATAAGGAAACGAAAGAGGGTGCGCCAGTCAGGGAGTCATGATGGCGCTCGGGGCGCGCAGAGGGGGCGCCGAGTCGGCAAGCCCCGAGCTGTCTTCGGGGGACTAGTCTACATTCAGCGGAAATGCCATTGCCACCCCCACACTCTGGGGTTAACCGAGTCGACGTGCCATTCCCCCGCCCCCTCCCCCCCGGAGCTCAACATGCTCCTGTACTGTGAACCAGTAGCTGACGTTCAGTTTCCGATCCATTTAACCTAAAAGGAATCGCCAGGCCATCGCCCCGAAAATCCACTACCGCCGCTGTACGGTACACTCGGTAAGAGGCCTCTGTCTGACAGCGAATGACCTGGCCTCTTCCAAACACTCCTCGTTGCCATCCCGTGACTTTCTCAACGTGGTGGCCCTTCTGTTGCAGCTCGTCAATCACCTTTTGCTCAATCCCGTCCTCGCGTGGTGCGTCCAGTTCTTCTTGGGGATTGAGCCCGAACACAAGCATGTTGAGGAGCACCTGCACGTGACCTTGTGGTCGCATGAAGCCCCCCATGACGCCGAACACAGTCTGGAGGGAGCCATCCGCGGCGTTGGTGGCCCTGGCCGTGATGATTGTGTGGTGTGGCCGCTTGAATGGCGCCAGCACATTCGGATGAGCGGCGGTTAGGGAGAAGTTGGCACCGCGGCTCTGCAGCGTAAAGCCGCAGTCAGCGGGCACGATTCCCGTGCCAAACCCGTGGTAGTTACTGTAGAGAAACGAGGCCGCGTTGCCCTCCCGATCCGCGACGGCGAAGTATACCGTGTCGCGGGACCGGAAGGCCGGATTGCCCCGGCAGATCACGTCGGAAGCTTTGCTGGGGCTGTAAAGCTTGGCTCGCTCGGCGAGATAGGCCTTGGAAATGAGATTTGGAACACGCTCCACATCCGGATCGGCAACCCACCAGGCAGCGTCGGAGAAGGCGATGGGGAGGGACTCGATAAGCGCGTGAGAGATTCCGGGGAATTGTGGGCCAGGCGAGACAGCCATGGCAGATGGCCGGTACGACTGAGCTCTTCCGTGATTCCCAAAGCCATGAGTGCTACCACGCCTTGGCCAGTGGGGGGATCTCCCAAGACATCCAATGCTTGGTGTTGCTGATTTGGTCGGCGAAAAGCCGAAGGCGAATCGGATCAACCATCTGACTGCCAGTCTGCGCTTGATACTCCAGATCTTCAAGAGTCAAGGAGCCTCCGAGGTCCTGCACGGCTTTGACAATCGAATCTCCGTCGATAAAGCCATCTTTTCCCTCGATCGCAAGTGCCCGGAATGTTATCGCAAGGGTGTGGTTGGTCATGACTTCGCCCGGTAGTGGTGCTCTGTAGCCATCGGGAGCGGTTGCATCGTCTTTGAGCAGTTCGTAAAACTGTGGCGATGCTTCGCGGAGAGTCGGTTCATTTTCATGTCACTAGAACCACTTACAACCACGGCAAGATATTGACCATGTACGACGAGACCTTCGAAACCGGAAAGCCGCTTTCACAGAGCTCGATCGCGAGCGCCAGGATCTGGTGCAGCCCCAGCTTCCCTGATCCAAGCCTCTCGATTGTGTCCACCCACCCTGTCGCGGCGCTCGGAGTAGTGACAGCCAGGACACTATCCAGGGGGATGGTACCAATGGTACCAGACTTACCCGGCGACAGCTGCAGTCGAGTTCGAACTTTGTCGAGCGTGATTGCTTTTGGGGCACGGCCAGATCCATTCAACGCACTGATTTGCTTGGTGGGTGCATCATAGAAGAGACAGAATATGTCGCCTCCGATCCCGGTTGAGGCTGACTCGGTCGCGTTCAGTGCAGCGGCTACATTGAGGCAATTAACAGAAGCGATGGGCTATCTAGGGGGTGGATAACGCTCTCACCAACTGCTACAGCAGCATCCTCCGATGAGATAGTGAAGACCTGATGCGTGGTTGGCGAGATACTTTGCTGTAGGTACTGCAGCGTTGCCTCCTTGAGTGAGGATTTTGTGGCCAGCCATGGCTGCCAAGGGCTGTGAGCATGCAATCATGTTATTGAGACTCTGCCCCAGACCTGTGGCCGCGGAAAGGGGTAAAGGGTGGGTTTGCCATGGTCTGACGGCAAGGAACCATCCAGGTCGAGGGGGTTCGGCAGGTGGGGATTAAGATGGTTGAGCTCGGACGGAGAGCATAAGGAGCTTGGGGTAGGTTACTATATGCACTTCCTCAAAATGTATCAGTGAGCCATCGGAATGCGGAGTGACGGAGGTTGAACCTGCCGGAGTTGGAGCAAAGCTGCTCCCCGGTGAATGTATGCTATCAACGAAGTCATCCACACTTGACTCATCAGCTGGTTCACATGCAAGTGGACCTCGAAGGAAATTTGGTGACAAGATTTCTGAATGTATCTACTTCGCTTATACATACAGTCTCTCCATACACAGATGCATATGCAATTGATGCAATTAAAAGTCAAGGCCGAGAATTCAATCCAACAGATCTACTGTTGACATTGGCCATAAAACCTCTAAATCACGCCCCCGGTGATCTCGACCACACTGCCCGACATGTACGACGCCCCCTCACTGAACAAGAAGGCCACAACATCGGCCACCTCACGGGGCTCCCCCAACCGCCCCAACGGCACCTCCTTGACGATGCGCGCGTTCGCATCCCCGCCAGCCACATTCCCCACCATCGTCGGGGTATCCGTGTGGCCCGGCGCGACAGCATTCACCCGAATGCCTTTGGGTCCCAGCTCCGCGGCCAGCGCCTTCGTGAACCCGATGATCCCGAACTTGGTCGCGCAGTAGACCGAGTACCCCGGGTACCCCTTGAGGCCGCACACACTGGAGACGTTCACCATCACGGACCCTTCTTGCATGAGGGGCACGCAGGCGCGACACATGTTGAAGGTGCCGCGCAGGTTGACGTCCACCAGCTTGGTGAAGTAGTCCTCGCTGGTTTCGAGGATGGGGATATTGGTGGGGTTGATCCCCGCGCAGTTGAACAGGAAGTCCAGGTGTTCGAAGGAGGACTTCACGGCTTGGGTGAGTCGGGTGCAGTCGGTGCTGATGGAGACGTCGCAAAGGCGGTAGATGTGGTACGAGGCGCGGGGGCTGCTGGACAGCTCGGATTGGAGCTGCTGCAGGGCATCTTCGTTGATATCAGATAAGATCAACGTAGCGCCTAGACTGTCCAGTTTGTGGGCGGTAGCTTTGCTAGAGGGGTAGAAGGGTGTAGGAATCAGGTGAGCTGTCACATAGCGGGAGTGGGGGGTTGGGGTTGGCTTACCCAATTCCGCTGGCGGCGCCGGTGATCAGGGCGGTTTTACCCTCAAGGGTACCTGACATTATTCCGGTATGATAATTGTGCTGGGATGGTGGCTTGCAAGGCTGAAGAAGATTGAAGCGAATGCTGCTGGTTGGGCGGATGCCCTTTCCATCCGAGGAATGATCCTATTACAGCATACTGACGTCATTGTTTATGCCATGCGAGCCATTCCATGAATTGAAACCAAGCCATACAACAAAATGTATACTGTCTTCCTTTTTGCAAAGCAGGAGATTCAAGATGCTCTCCGACCATCTGGTAATTGATAATAAGCTTATGGTCGAAGCTTGCAAGTCCCGTGCAGCGAAATAGCGTCCAATAACTCTATCTGCACATTATCACTGTACCGGGTGTCGGTTTACAGCCTGAAATTGGCGCAATTGAATTATCTCACGTGACAGGGCACGAGATACTCAGAGTGATTCATTATATTGATATTTTGGGGTTTCATTGGAGATGTTAAGGAGTAGGCCCAGCCGGATATCCTTGCTCTCCAAGTCTCTCCAAGTGTCTCGGGGTCTCCAAGAAGATAGAATCATACCTCGCCATTTCCAGCTCTAGCCTTCAACCAATTTCTTTTCTGGCGTTATCAAACCGGCTGATTGCACAAGCTGGCGAAAGGAATCGCACCGGCGATTCTAACGTCGCATGATAGCTCTATTGATATCTTTTCTTTAGATCATAAACAGATCAGAATCTTGCTACCCATTTTAGGTGGTTTCAGTTCACCATATACCACGCCCGAAGCCTTAGGTGTGAAGTGGTCTGTGGGATACGTATGCTTGACAACAACGGCGACAAAGGCAATGGAACCCTTTCACCCTGGTAGGCAAACCAGTGCCACCTAGCTTACAAGTCTCAACCACACGTTCTGACTGATCGAAACATCGAACTATATGGCATGACCTCATTCCCTACCCTACCGTCAAAAAGAATTCTATACAAGTATGACTTGTACAGACCATGCTTCACCTGCGATAGATACTTACATGGGAACATATAAACAGGTAGCTACTGCAGGTGTAGCGTGTAAGCAAATGCATCCCGTACGGCACTAGAGAAGAGTGATTTGTTGGTGTTGTTAGAGTAACGGAAACGTCCATGATGATACAGCTTTCAATGGGTCCAGTTTTATCACGAGAAATAGAAATACCCGATGCGAAACCTCGTAATGGAAGCGGTGGGTGTCGGCGAGGATTAGATATGAGAATGGCTGTCGAGTTCTATGAACTGATCGGGCTGCCTCTAATTATGCTCTCTCCTTTTCTTCATAAAACATTCAATAATACTGCTTGGCGATTCGGCAACTCATAAGGAATCTCCAGTCGAAGTTTAGAAAGCATATATAGGCATAGGCTTAAATCACATATTTATATCAAGGACATGCCCACAATCAAATCAGGCTAGGTGTATAAGATTGCTACTAGTCAATGCAAACCACAAGGGCAGCAAGCTTGGTCCTTCTCAGTCTAAGCATCTTTTCACAATCCAAAAAGAGTACCCACCGGGGCAAGCAGCAGCCCCGGCGATCGAAGCAAGCACCATTCTGCCCTCTTGGGCGGTCGGACAAGGAACAGTTTCTCCGCCGAGTTTTCGCCGACTGTTTAACCACTATTCTGCCGTTCTGGGGCGGTCAGCGGGATACCAGTTTCTTCGCCGACATTCCGCCGGCTGTTTTAACCATTATTCTGCCGTTCTGGGGCGGTCAGAGAGATACCAGCCCCTACCCACCGAGTTTTTGGCCGTGGTTCTCCAGCTTTGTCCGTAGACCGCACGCGCTACCATCCATTCTATGCCTGATAAGATCAAGCCCGCGTGTCTACAGGCCTCTCTTCTACAGAGTAAACTGTATATAAGTGACTCAGCACAGCACTTATGCGTTTCGCAATGGTGCCTCCCTGTAGAGCTTATACGGAGCCTGTGTCATACCAACGTCGATCCTGGTGGCTAATGCTGTCTTCGAGTACTCAGCTCGATCGAGCAATGACGGAGGATTTTCGAGGGGTCTTTCGAGACGCAACTACGCCAAACTCACTAGTATGTTTTGAATGAAGAGAATCTCGTGGAATATTCTTGTTGAGCACTTTGTCGAAGACACTGAGTGATCATACTTCCTTCGTGTAGTTATTCGTAAATGATGCATCGACGCATCTGGCTGGACGTACTTGACGAGTAGTGTTGCACCTATCCCGCGCGGTCGGACTATGAACCCCGCCCCGAAAGCCGACGGTAAGTTCAAACCCCCTTGAACCTTGGAGGATTTGCAATCTCTCTGTAGGGTGCAGCACGGCCAAGATCCCGTCGGGAAGCTCAACACATAGCCTGGAGATTAGAAATGGAACACCACCACCAACCACTTCTCATGACACTACCACACCAAAGAGCGTGAACAGCATCCTCTGCCCTGAAGATGCTGACAAAAGACAGTATTCCTAAGAATGATTATGCTTGGCGTCATGGGGGCTCACACCCCAACGGGAAGGTATATAAGGACCAAATAGGTCAAGATGCCTTCCAGTGATCACCAGCATCGAGCACAGCACCTTCACCGCAAACCAAGTCTTAACATCTAACACCACCACCAAAGCTTGTCCAATCATGTCTGCTTCCAACGACTACCCCAAACCCATCTCATTCACCAAGGAGTGGCACACCAAGCCCAACGCCTTCATCTCGCCCTCGCGCCCCGAGCTCTCGGCGGCAGGCAAGAACGTGGTGATCACGGGCGGGGGCAGCGGCATCGGCAACGCCATCGCCGTGGCCTTTGCCCAGGCCAGCGCCAAGTCCGTCTCCATCCTCGGCCGTCGTCTGGAGACCCTGAAATCTGGGGCGGAGAAAATCACCACCGCGGCCACTGAAGCGCACACCTCGACTCAGGTCCTTTATGAAACAGCCGATCTCCGTCAGCGCAGTGCCGTCGACGAGGCCCTTGCTTCCATTGTTTCCCAGGTCGGGAAGATTGACATCTTTGTCTCCAACGCGGGAACCCTACCTACGCCGGGGTTTATCCGGGAGTATGACGTGGAGGACTATCTGGGGGGTGTGGTGGAGAATATCCGGAGCGCGCTGAATGCCGCACAGGGGTTTTTGGCCGTCGCGGGGCCTGATCCTGTGCTGTTGAATACTTCGTCATGTCTGGCGAATATTGCCCCGATGCCTGGTCTCAGCGGTTACGCAGTGTCGAAGGCCGCAGTGTTGAAGATGATGGAGCACGTCGCCGTAGAGAACCCTCATGTGCGCGTGGTGAGTGCCCAACCTGGCTGGGTGGCGACGGAAGGCAATGGCTATCAGGCCGAAGCGCCAGATCAAGGTATGTTCGGACGTTGTCTCATCTCCGCAAATCGGCTCATGCTAACGGAGGTCTCAATAGCTGAATTGCCGGGCCATTTCTATGTCTGGTTGGCTTCTGCAGAGGCGGAGTTCCTCAAGGGGAAGTTCGTGTGGGCAAACTGGGATGCGGAGGAGCTGGTGAAACGAGCCGAGGAGATTCGGGGATCCAAGCTCCTGAATTGGATTGTCGAGGGTGTGCCCATGTAGATGGGATAGAATCGGATCAGTTCATCTTGTCGGTGTTTGATACCGAGGAGGATTAACTTTCCCGCCCATGATCAATCTGTCATTTGACTTGCTCTGCTGCTCGATTTGCCTGTTCGTCGATTTGTTGCAATTTGTCATTATTTTGAGTGTGTCCTGTATTTCTTTGGACATTGTCGATTTCTGCGACCCGTAATCTTGACAATGACACAGACACCGCCTACTCTGACCGCCGTGGTGAGCGAGTGGGTGCATAGCAAACGGGCAACTCTCTGTGGGTAATTCGGGAATTAGGTCTAATTAGTGGTCATCAGTAAAGTTTCATCTGGCAGCCTCAGCCAGCCTCGTCGACGTCATGTAGGGAAATCTCTCAACGCACACCTGCTGGCGGGAAAAAGTGCCCGAGCCGGAGGGGAGACTCCCTGCCGGTGGTACAACAGCTGGAAGCGGCAAAGATGCCCGCTCTCGAGGTGGAAAGTAGCATTTTCTCCCGAGAGGCAAAGTCTTGCCCCGCCAATCACAAGAATCCCGATCGCATTCCTCAGACGCAAATGCGGGGAAAGAGTCTCGATTGTGGGGAGGAGTCGGCAGGAATCCGGGGTACAGTCCGGGGTAGTGAATGACATTCGGTGCTGAATTCAATTGCCGACTCACTGGGGATCTACACGGTATAAATATGCGTATCCCAAGCTGGAGGTGACTCACTTATTCTCCACCCTGCATTAGCAAACACACTATCACACTATTGAAATTTCCATCGAACCGAATTGCCACTCATGGTAGACATTGTTAAAGGCAATCTATCCTCCCAATCGGGCAAGGACGATGCCACCGCTGAACATGCCGAGTCCGTTGAGATCAGCGACTCGGAGTCGGTCGCCTATGGCCCCGGTGGCATCAAGGGCCTCTTCCGCTCGTGGTATGTCTTTGGCTCAGCTCTGTTGGCCTCCCTCGGCGGTTTCTCCATGGGCTACGACATGGGGGTCATCTCCATCATCAACGTGATGGATCAGTTCCACCAGGTCTTTCCCCGATCCGAAACGTCGTTTGGAAAAGGTCTCATGACAGGCATGTTGCTGCTGGGGGCCTTCGTCGGCTGTCTCTTCATGTCCTATCTCGCCGATCGCATCTCCCGCAAATGGGCGTTGACCGTGGTGGTGGTCATCTTCGATATCGGAGCCATCCTGCAGACAGCTGCTGTCAATTATGATATGCTGGTTGCGGGTCGGTTCATTGGTGGCATTGGCGTGGGAACTTTGGCCATGGTACGTCTGCATGCATCTGTGTCACGGATACTTAACAAGGTTGTTAAGGAGGTTCTGGGTTTCTGCGACGTGGCTGACCTAGTTTGATGTCTCGAGGGTGCCCCACTGTACATCTCCGAGGTCTCCCCTCCCGAACTGCGAGGCATTCTTCTCGTACTCGAGTCCGTCTCCATCACCCTTGGCGTTGTGATCGCCTACTGGATCACCTATGCCACTCGCCACATCGACGGTGAAGCCTCCTTCCGCGTCCCGTTCGGGCTGCAGATGGTCACCGCCACCCTCCTAGGCGCTGGCATTCATCTGTTCCCATACTCGCCGCGCTGGCTCGCCCTCGTCGACCGACAAGAGGAATGTCTCGCCAGCCTCGCAAAACTCCGACGCCTTCCGACCACCGATATCCGAGTGCAAGCCGAGTTCACCGCGATTGTCTCCGAAGTCAAATATCAGCGGCTCGTCCAAGAACGCAGACACCCCGGTGCATCGGGCCTCAAACTGGAGCTGGTCTCCTGGCTCGACCTCTTCCGTAGCGGCATTTGGAAACGCGTCGCTGTGGGCTGTGGCGTCGCATTCTTCCAGCAGTTCTCGGGAATCAACGCTTTTATTTACTACGCGCCAACACTGTTCGAATCGCTCGGTCAATCGAACGAGAGATCGCTTGTTTTATCGGGTGTTTTCAATGTGTTGCAGGTTGTCGCGGCCATCATCTGCACCTTTATTATTGAGTCGGTTGGACGTCGACCACTCGCCATCTATGGTGCCTTCGGGATGACGATATCGTACGCAATCATTGCGGTGTTGAGCGGGCTCTTCTCGAGCGACTGGCCCGGCCATCCGGCTGCGGGATGGGCCTGCGTGGCCATGGCGTTCGTCTTCATTCTGGTGTATGGAGTCTCATATTCCCCTCTCGGGTGGGCGCTCCCCGCGGAAGTCTTTCCCAACGCGTGTCGCTCCAAGGGAGTGGCGCTGGCGACGTGCACCATCTGGCTATCCGACTTTGTAGTGGGTATCGTCACCCCGTCGATGCTGGCGGATATCGGGTACCGGACGTACATTTTTTTCGCGGTGATGTGTACGCTGGCGGGTGTGTGGGCGTTCTTCCTAGTTCCAGAAACAAGCGGCAAGACGCTGGAGGAGATTGACTCCCTGTTTGGGGATGCAGGGGGGCAGGGGGAGAGGCACATCGTTCGTGAAGCGCTGGCTGAGGCTGGAAATAGGGTGTAGGTATCTGTTTCGTGAAGAGAGTAGCTACGCAGCGCGATGATTTAGTGTGCTGGGACTCGGTCGGCACAGCAGTCCAACTTGGAACCTGAGGTTAAACTTATCCTTGCCAATCGAGAATCTTTCCAAAGTGTAAATGCGACACGACCAGGATCAACGTATCCCATCAGGAGGGTCCAAGGCATCACAGAGGTGAGAAAAAGAAAGAGTATGAAGCTCGTCGAGGCTGCTGACATGGCTTTTGGGTACGCCAATGCTGATGTTGTGATATTGGGTTGCGGTGAGCTTCCCTCCTTCCGAATATGACAAAATCGTGGCGTTTTCAATCTCGCTTTTTTGTTCTAGGCCCCGCGAACCAGCGCTGTAAAACTGTATTGTACATATGGCCGGTGTTTTCTAGGTGAGGGAAATACCTCATTCTTGCGGATTACCAACTCGTCAAAATCCTCGTCAAGGCATCTGCCATTTCACTGAGCAACAGCCACAAGATAGGCGATCCATTGAAAATTCCCTGCATCTTGCTCTCAAGAACGTTTCAATCTCTGGTCCCAGATGAATCTCATTATATTGAAGGACTTGCGGCACGTCTCATCCTCCTTGGGTATGCATCCGTCATCTCTGCCTCCCACGATCCGACCTGTGGAAGTTTCGCAAAGCTCGATAGTGAATGCAGAACAACCACAGGGCGGGCATCACATATGGTACTTGAATATGAAAATGACTTTTTACTCTCACTCCTCGAGTTTTTTCCTCTCCCTCTCAACCTTCTTGCTTTCTCGACCTCTCTCCTCTTCATCTTCACATCGCGACGCAGGGCACGAAACTTCCAGTCTCATATCCTGGTCTTTCCAGAGACTCTCGTCAGCTCTATCTCTTTCCAGCTCAATTTTCTACGTCCCACTCCCCCTCAAGATCGTTGTTAAACCATCAACCGAATCCGTCCACTATCTCTGCCTAGCGACCAGGATCTCGAGTCGGTCCAACAATGTCCCTCATCCAAGACCGAATTATGGAGGAGCTGTAAGTCATTGCATCCCTGTCCAGCTTCACCTTTCCTTGAGAAGTGCCGACAAATACTAACACTACTCCTCACCACTCCCAGACGCAAATGGCGCAAGAAGCCTCTCTTCGGATTCTACGCGCGACCCAGCCGAAACCGCCAGGGTGTCCGCGACATGAAGAATTGGGAGTGCGGAATTCCAGGCAAGGCGGGCACCATGTGGGAGGGGGGTCTTTTCAAGATGCTGATGATATTTCCTGATGGTCGGTTGACTTTGCTGCAATTTACGCAAAACAATCCAGACCAGTCGTAAGATGCAGAATATGAGCTGCTTGTTCAGAACTGGCTTACTTTCTTCCTCTTTTCTTCGCTCTGAGGGAGCTCATGATTTGGGAACCAGACGTTGGCGATGCAAGGTGAAATACTAGGTAGCAGATTTCTCCTTCCCAAATGAACTTCACGCCACGTAATTTCCAAAAAATTAAAGAATGGGTACCTAGAAGCCTCCTTAACTTTAATAATAACGCGCCAAGGCGGAGTACTTCCCCGTACTGTCGTCTTACTATCGTCACAATCCTAGTTCCGTGCCCTGACGCGCATCTGAATATCCAAGCACATCCACTATTCTTCTCCTTTTCTCAACGCAAAATTATCTGCATCTTCATCCAACGCACTTGGTCCCATCTTAGCGACTAATACGGATTAGATTCGGTCAATCATCTTTCTCTAACCGGCGCTTCACCCCTACCCAAATTCCTCCATCCCACTCCAACCCCTCGGATCCGCGACGAAAGTCCTCCGCTAGCCGTCTACTCAGCCCACGAACGGTTTATTCATGAGCACCCTACTGTATCATCGTATACACAGATCTTGTCCCAAACATGACACGTCTTCTGAGCAACTGTTTCGTCCAAGCGATATCAGAAATTATCCTCATTCCACGAGAGAATAAGCTGGAACTACAGGACAAATGGGATCGGGTGCAAACGCTTCGCCAGATATACCATCATCTGGTCTTCGGTCCGACGTACGACTGGCAGATGATTTCCGATTTCATTCGATCCGAAAAGCGCCTGGTGTTTCTGGCTCAGAAAGAGGAGTTCTTTCGAGAATGTAAGAAACGCTACGAATCAATGCTCAAACGCGACTTGGTTCCCGATCGAGATTCTGTCCAAGGCAAGCTGAAGAACGCCCAAAAGTCATCGTCAAAAGCGCACCAGGAGCTTTGGTACGAACGGCAACAACGTTTCAAGATCCTCTCAGCGATTCCCGATGGACCTCTGCGACGTGCTCTGTTGGTTCGTCTGCAACAGCGAGACTTTTACCTTTCATCAAACTGGCAGCGAGCTCAATGTGTAGCCATGGGAGGATGTTGCGGTCGCAACTGCGGATGCTGTTCCAAGCCAAGAAACTCCGAGGATGACAAAAAGTATTACGGACATTGTTTCTCATACTGTGTGTGCTGTACCGACCAAAGAGGGTTCATGATCCATCCTAGCAATTTGGAGGACGATCCCATGCATACAATCTTCAACTTCAGCCAGGGTCTGAAACTCAGTAAATACGAATGGTGTTTGTTGGACTCGTACATCTGGGGTCTCCAATAGTACTACCTGATATGAGACAACTCCTTTCCGCTTTCCGCCGCTTGGCTCAACCGGTCGCTGACACCACCTTGCTTCACCCCATTGCTGGGCATACTGTATTTTTGGGAAGGGGAAATGATGTCATAGGGCACCTGTACTGTGCTTTCCGTTGAGCATTTCCTCTGTCATATCCTAGCGCATGCAGTTACTGCGTCATCGATGCATTACGATGCAACCCTGTCTTCTGGCTTCTGGCCCCAGCAAAGGCTGCTCTATGCTTGCTAGCATATCAATTACTTTGAGCGGTATTATTTCTGTTCGAGTTGCTGTACGCCTCTTGATCGTCTCTATATCTATGAAGTATGCCTGTTAACAAACTTGCTACGAACAAGAGATTGCGTGTTACTTCGAGAGTGCATCTCAGTTGAAAGCTCTTTCCCATTGTTCAACGTAGATATATATGTCAGTTGCCTCCCCTCGCTCACTCAGGTCCCTTGTCTGTCGTCGCCCCAGCACTAGGACTCCCCAAGATCCAGACACAGTGTCAAAGCTTTCTTTCTACTTCGGCCTAAGGTGCCAGATCGCTCATGACGGTGCACTGGTCAATTATCTATCTGTCGAATTCTGTTAGCGCTTCATCACAATCGGGGCTTAGGCGGGCTCCAGGGGTTGTTGATCTCTTGATGATCACCTGTCAGGCTAACAGACGCTTCCAGACCGGCCAGTATGCCTTCCCCCTGAAGACCTTTGGACTCAATGCTCGATTAAAAGCTTCACCCGGACGATCGAATGCTCATTTTGTTTCAGACAGCATCCGCCTTGTCCTGCCTTCGTGTCTCTCTCAAGTTTCGTGCCCGCTTCGGTTCGTCTTCTGAATTTCGAGCCTTGGCTTCACCACTTGGCTCTTCGCTGCCGCTACGGATATCGACCTCCACCACCAGATCAACAAGCCGGCATCACACTCTTCTTCGATAAAAGCTTGGTTGGTTGATTTGCTGCATACATGGAGACGACATGATCAGATCCATTACTCCAATCAATGATCTCAGGCTCTTCCATGATCGTACTCGCAGTGTTTTTCATCCGGCATTAGTTACCTCTCCCGCCTCCCCCGCACGGCTCCCGCTACCATCTGCTTACCGCAGCCATCTGCAGCACAGCACAATAAGACTTCCCCACCAACTGTCGACACTCCTTGAACCCCTCTTCGCTCTGTCGGTCTCACACCTAATTCCTTGATGCCCATATTTTTCGAAGAGGATTGAGACGCTTTGCACTCGGCAGTGAGACTCTCGGTCGACCTTGCACTCATCGACTCCTCTTTGTCTCCTTGTTGTCTTGTTCAATCACTACTCCGGAAGGGTACGTACCGCGTACAAGCGTACAACGTTTACCCGGCAACCCAGCCCCGGCAACCCAGCCCCGGCAACCCAGCCCTAAGTCAGGTGCTGCAGAGGGAAACTCCGCGTCCACGAGATGAGTCCTCGACGCGTCAAGCATGCTTTACATCAGTGCTTATTGCGCCTTCTCAGTAGAAGTGATAACGGCCTTTGTTTATCCTGCAACTACCTTGATAAGAAGTAATCGATGTCAGTCTGCTCCTTCTGTATAGCCATGAAGGGCAAATGTCTTCCAATTGTAGTGAATGCGCCTTGTAGTTCATCTGTTGTAAATTGCATCATCCAAAGAACCCTTTTTCCCTCGCGAGTAGCCAACCAGCAAGTCCCCCCAACTGTCACCCATCAATCGCCATCTTTTTTTTAAAAAAGAAAAAAAGAAAAAGGGAAAAAAAAAACCCTTGAAAATGCCGGCAATTGCCAAAGATGCCTCTCAAGAGGCCTCCTGGACCCTCTCCGCCATCACCAGTAAGAACTGGTGGTTCATTTTACTCATAATGCTGGCCGGAAGCTTGTGCTTCCTTGGGGTTTATACCGGGGTCCTTTGGGCCCGACGTCGGTACGAGCCAACCATTACATCAGACTCATGTGTGAGTAATGTGAGAGTTATGTGAGATTAATTCGAGTCCGTCTAGTTTCGCTTCTTTTGGCCGATACAAGCCAACCAACGTTGGCGATGCTTGAGCTTTATGGAGACATGGGGCTCGTGATTGTGGAAATCCTCTTTTACCAACATCAAGGGACAAATGAAACTAATATATTTTCTACAATAGCCCCGCCCGCGCCTTCGCTCCCCTCCCATCTCATACCAGCAGCGCTGGCAGCGCTGGCAGCAGCACCACCAGCGCCAGCAGCAGCGCCACCTTCATCGCGGTCTTCATCACCAGCATCAGGCCCTCCTCCTTCTCCTCCTCATCCTCCTGTTACTCCTCATGCTGCTCCCGCTCCTCCCGCTCCGCCAAAAGCTCCGGTCGCTCCTCTCCCTCCTCTCCCTCCACCAGTTACCCAGGAGCAGCGACTCGAGCTGCAGCAATGGCTGCTGCGGCAATATGCCCAGCAGCAACCCACGCAGCAGCCATCCAAGCCCCCGCAAAAGGCTCAAAGCTCCCTGCGTGGAATTTTGAGCAAAATCGTCCCCAAGTGGGGGAATCCGCCGGCCCAGCAGGGGTCAACTGAGCTGAGGGTGCGGGGGGGTTGATTTTAGTACACAAGGGGGAGAGGGGATGATTGTTTATCGTTCGTTTGTTTGTGTGTTTGTTTGTTTTTCTTGTTTTTTCTTTTCTTTTCTTTTGCACTTCGTCTGTCCTAGTGACGCAGTATAAATTAGCATTGTATAAATTAGATAAATATATACTAAACTTCGAGGTATTCTGAGCACTTGGCTGAAAGTATTGGTGTAGTGAACAAGGCACAAAGGATTCATGTTGAAGCCCTGAGGTACAAGTAAGCCAGAGATGGAGGAACTTGGTGCAGATGACGTGTCAAGTGAAGTGCGATTAAGAATGCCCAGTTCTGTATGTACAGTGCAAGATAGCTAACCTGGTTGACGGAAAAGAGTCGAAGCAGGAGCAAACACATGACACACAACCGACAACAAACACGCGTACCCAAACACAGGCACACAAGACATTACCCTGCCGCATTAGCGGCGTAGAGCCTGAGCCTGGAGTTCCCAAGACTCAGGCAGAGATGGTGGCTTTTGGCGGCCCAGAATCCGGCCCCCTTTGGCCTTTGCTGCCATTGAAGCCCGACTCCCCCACACCCGCAACCTCCCGCCACGAAGAATGGGGCGAATCCCCGTATGGTTGCGCCGGTGAGCCACTCGCCGCCACGGCGCCAACGTTGCTAACCGCGGAAAGCAAAGTCCTGACAGCAAAGCTGCCCTCGCTGGGCGAGTCGGCGTGCCCCCTATAGCACTAATCATATTAGCATCACTCCAATTATCAGACGTGCAGCATGGACAAGGAGTCTTACCGCGGTGAAGAACAACAAGGTAGGCCGCGTTGACCTCCGTAAATGGATTGAGATGTAGCCCTGTAAAAACAAGCGATATCTACATACACAAGCGTCCAAATCAGTTTCACTTCAGCCATACATCGAGGCGGGCTCGTACTTGAAGTCCGTTCTGCGGACACAATGATACAGCCCCGCAAAACAGAGAGCTATGATGATGGTAAAGTCTCCCAGAAAATCACGTTATCATTACTGGTTGAACCAGCATTTTCGGCGGCCACGGTGACACTGTCCTCGAGGGACATGACGGTGATTCTTTTTGGAAGAAAACTTAAATAGAGATAAGTTCGATGCGTTTGAGACGAGGAAGAGGTGACTTGTCTCCTTGTGCGAACCGCGAGGGCGTGGGAAATGCTTCGTAAGTGGACGAGAACAAATAGAGTACGGAGAAAGCAACGGCAAAGAGGCAGCTCGAGACCAGAGCCTGCCGATCTCATGGACAGAATATGCAAATAGAGAGGGCAAGCGCAGTCCTCCTTGCGCTTTGATAGGTTTAAGGAAAGATGTTCTCATGGAACAGCACCTTCCGAACCTTTTCTCGGCTTCTATTTTGTGGACTTATGTAGTCCAGACAGGTGACCAACAGAGCCTGCTGGCAGACATGTCAAACAATAAGTCTGCTGGGCTGGACATGACTGGAAAGAAAATGGACCAATCTGATGAGAAAGGAAGATGACGAAATTAAAGTCGGGGCGATAAGAAGGGAGACGAACAGGAATTCTTAGGCCAGAAGTCAAGACTTGTGATACTACTATTCTCTGTCTCCATTCAATATAAAAACCAGGGAGGCAGTGAATTCTAATGGCGTAGATTCTACGTTAGGCAACATCATACAACTGTCTGCAGGTGGAGTTCCTTGACAGCTTCCACATTAACCTGAACACGCCCCTCCATTTACGTAGCTTATTCCGATGCCGTAGTGAATTGGCAATGCGGAAAGCACCGCTATCTTTTGATTAGGGTTCACTATATCAGATGTTCAAATCTGTGAATGACTCGAAGACTGTATAGAGTTTGTCCCCAGGTACCCAATGGCTCATGCATAGTAGTCAGCATAACATTCTCGTGTGGGTATAATGCATTACTTATTATACAGGGTATATGTGTATATCAATATCTTAACCAAGCACTCGTGCGCCAAATCTTCCTTCCCGATTTCTCCGTTATGTTGGTGGCACCGATGACGCAGCCATTCCTTCCCTTTGCATGGTAGTTTCCTTCCTGATCAACATCATCCAGAAATCAAGCTGTCATTCCAAGGAGCCACTTTGAGCAACCAAAGAATCGTCAAACCATCAGCGATCCAATGCATTTTCCTGACACTATCACACAGTTAGCATTTCCCATCCCACACATCCAGAAAGAAAGAGAGCTTACCATTTGGTAATAGACCCCCCCGCCTCCCCACCAACTCCGCATGCGTCCCTTGCTCCACCAGCCTCGACCCACCCAGCCCTCCCTCCCCAAACACAAAGATGACATCCGCCTTCTGAATCGTCGCCAACCGATGCGCCACCGCAACGATGGTCATACACCTCTTCGCCGCCAACCGTTCCAGCGCAGCCTGTACCACCTTCTCAGACTGCGAGTCCAGACTCGACGTCGCCTCGTCCAGAAGCAGCAGCTTCGGTTTGCGGAGTAACGCTCTTGCAATACACAGCCGCTGGCGTTGGCCGCCGCTCAGGGCGGCTTGAGCTTTGATACCTAGCTCGGTGGCGTACCCCTGCGGGAGGGAGGTGATGAAGTCGTGGATTTCAGCATCGCGGCAGGCTTGTTCGATCTCTGTATCGGACACGTCGGAAAGATTGGGCAAGCCGAGAGTAATGTTCTCGCGGAGGGTGCCCTCGAACAGTCGGGGCTCTTGGGCCACCAGCGAGATAGTCTTGCGGTAGGTGGCCGGGTCGATGGTGGTGATATCTTGGTCGTTGAGGAGGACAGTGCCTTTTGCGGGGCTGTAAAATCGTTCGAGTAAGGAGATGACGGTGGTTTTGCCGCAGCCGGAGGGGCCGACGAAGGCGACGAACTGGCCTGGGCTGATATCCAGGTTCAGGCCGGTGAAGAGGGGGCGGTCGTGCGAAGCATAGCGGAACGTGACGTCGCGGAAGCTGATGCTTGCTGCTGTTGCAGACTGGTGTGCACTATTGGTGGTGGTGGTGGTGATTTGCTGTTGGGTCTCGTTGCGGTTTGGCCGGAAGTCCAGCATGCGGTTCGCGGAGGCAATGGCCTGGGCGATGTTCGACCCAAAACTAAAGAACTGGCCGGCTTGCTGTCCGCCCTGGATGATGGCCATGTAGATCACGAAGAAGGAGGTGGGCTCGTATTCGCGCGAGGCAAGGAGCTGCCCTCCGTACCAGAAGGTGAGCGCCATGGCGCATAGCTCGACACTATCGGAGAAGGCGAAGATTAAGGTTGCGTACCACGCTTTGCGGAAGGCCTTCTTCTGCTGCGCGAGTAACATAGTTGAGTAGCGGTTCAGGATGGCGTCTTCCATAGTCAGTGCTGACACCGTCCGGAAGGCGTCGATGGCTTCTGCTGCGAACTGCGAGCTGCCGGAATACACGGCTGCGTTCATCGCGTCAAACTGCACCTCGTACCGAATGCGCATGAAGGCCGCCAGGAAGGTGCAGGGCAGTGCCGCGAGCACGGCCACCAGACTGAGTTTCCAGCCGAAAGTGAAGGCGATGATGATACATCCGATCATACCAAAGATCGACATGCAGGGAAGCGCTCCGTTGATGCCAAGGAGTTCCTGCACTTGCTTGGGGTCGGTAGCCAGACGAGAGACCAGCGAGCCCGAGGCATTGTCGGTGCGATCGTGAAAGGGGATGGGCTTCTCGATGATGTTCTGGAAGTATTCAGTTCGACAGTACGAGGAGATTTCCTTTCCATGTTAGCTTTGTTCGTCGATTCAAGGTGAAGGGGCAACTTACCACTGAGAACCGATTGGCGGAATATCCTATCAGGGCATAACAGACCCCATTCCCCAGAGCCAGAACCAAGAACATCAGAGCCCAGAAATTGGCGGCATGCACCAGCTTGTCCCCGGAGTACTGGAAGACCTGGATAATTCGCGCAAACAGCCAACTCTGAATGGGGTAGGCAGCTAGATCATGTCAGTAGCTGCCACACAATCACACTCCTCGCAATGCTTACCTCCAGCACCCGCCGCGCCGATCAAGGCGGGAAGATAGAAGCGCCATTGCCCCCTGTTCTCGTACAGAAGCACTCCAATACTGCCAAAGAAGCCTCGATTCTTGGATTTCTCCAAGTCATCTCCTGTTCCGACCTTGTTCAAGCTCATCTTGGCTGACTTGGCGTCGTCGTCGGTGTCTTCCATCTCACCCTGAATGTCACCCCCTTCTGCGTCTAACAGCTCGAGAGTCTGGGCATTCACCAGCCCACTGTACACTCCATCCTCAATCGCCAGAAGTTCCTCGTGCGTCCCCTGCTCGACATCAACCCCACCCTTCATCACGATGATGTGGTCCGCTTTGCGGATCGTCGTCAACCGATGGGCGATCACGATGGTTGTACGGTTTTGCGCGAGACGATCGAGCGCGGCCTGAACAATCTTCTCGCCCCGCACGTCGATGGCACTGGTCGCTTCGTCCAGGATGAGGATAGTCGGTTGCTTGACGATACTCCGCGCGATGGCCAGCCGTTGCCGCTGCCCGCCGCTCAGTTTCGTTCCGTTCTCGCCGACCATGGTCGCAAAACCCTATCTCGGTGGTTAGACAACATTCGATTCGGATGTTGCAGAGACATACCTCCGGCAACCGATCGATAAACTCATCCGCAAACGCCTCCCTGCAAGCCTGCTGTACGAGACCCTTCTTGACCTCGTCCGACTCATGCTCCCACTGTGTGCCGATCAGCCCGTACGCGATGTTGTTGAAGATGGTATCGTTGAACAAGATCGGCTCCTGCTGCACCAGCCCGATCTGCGTGCGCCACCACTTCAGATCCAGATCCTGGACATTGTGCTCCCCGACCAGGATAGCCCCTTGATCGGGATGCTCCGCATTGGCGTTCAGCTCATACCAGCGCTCCAGCAGCCCCACGATCGTGCTCTTACCGGAGCCCGAGGGACCAACCAAGGCCGTCGTCTTGTGTTTCTGGAACCGGGCGTTCAAGCCCTTGAGCACCTTCGAGTCGGGTCGCGACGGGTAGGTGAAATGCACATTCTGGAAGACAAGGTCGACCTCCGCGGAGACTTCCGGCCCCCGGAGCCCGCTCGCATTCGGCTTGTCGCTGTCGATCATCTCAAAGAAGGCGCCCGCAGCGCTGGCGGCCTTGGCGATGGTCACGAGCGGGGAGGCAATGCGGCCCAGCACGCTGACGGCCACCATCACCGAGAAGAACACCCTGTCGAGCATTAGCCTAGCCTAGCCCCTATACCTCAGTTCCCCCAACCTCAGAAAAGGGTGAGCCTCACGTGATAACCGTGTTGATATTCTGGATATGCCCCTCCCGGTAGAGCTTGAGCCCGAACCAAAACGCCAACGAGTAGCTCGCGTACATGGCGAAGAAGACCAGCCCGAGCTGCACAGCCATCACCACGGACAGCTTGCGGCCGCGCAACCGGGCGATCTCGATCCAGTCCGCGTACCGCTGCGCCAACGTCCCCTCGGCGCCCAGGGACACGACCGTCCGGATGGAGCCGATGACCTCGGCGGCGATGGAGGAGTGCTTCTCGTCGGCCTTGTCGATATGGCGCTGGATCTTGGTCATCATCGGCACGGCGATAAAGCAAACGGCGAAGATGAAGACCAGGGCGGCGCTCGTGACGAGCGTCAGGGCCCACGAGTAGCGGAAGGCGATGACGTAGGCGGCGACGAGCAGGGCGAGCGACTGGAACAGGATGGCCAGCTTGTCGGAGATGCTCTGCTGGATGGAGTTGGAGAGCGTGGTGATGGTGTTGGTGACGGTGCCGACGGAGACCAGGTCCAGCTTGCTGATCGGCTGCGCGAAGAGCGCGTGCATGTACCGCAGGCGGAGGGTGCCGGAGACGCGGAGGCCGATCACGCGAAAGCAGTACTAGACGCGGTTATTCATTGTGCTGTGGATGATTGGGATGGGTTGGGCACGGTGGACGCACCATCGAGAAGTATGTCAGGGCGAATTTGGCGATGAAGAGGTAGACGATGTACAGGCTGGGTCGCGAGTTAGGGTTCGGCTCGGTCGCGGTCTCTTCAATGGCTCGCATCGCACTCACCTCAGTTTGCTGATGGCGGACTTGAACTCGGCTTCGGTGGTGGAAGAGTCATCGGTGAAGTATCCGTTGAATTCGCCGACCATGTTTCCAAAGACGATGTTCATGAGCGGTAGGGGCTGGAGACGAGGAGAGATTAGCCGTGTACTGTGTGTGTGTGTGTGTGTGTGTGTGTGTGTGTGTGTTGGGGTGGATGCGGAACACATACAACACCCGACCCGATGGAGGAGAGGAGGGCAACGGCGAGAATGGCACGATCCGATGCACTTGCATGGGAGAGTAACCTCTGCGGGGGGGTTAGCGAATTCTGCATCAAGTTCTGCCGGGTAAGCAGGATAATCTCCGTACAAAATAACTGCCTAACGAGGCCGTCTGCTCTGATGTGGCATCCTTGGTGTCGGACTTGGACTTCTTGCTGGTGGTGGTGGATGATGCAGTCGAGGTGTCGGTCACAGAGACGATCTTCTCCGCACAGATCGTATTCTCATGCTCGCCCTGGTGTGGAGAAGGGCTTTCAGTTGCTGAACCCATGGCGGTTGACCTCGCAGGAGATCATGAAGGTGAGTAAGATGGGAGAGGGAATACGCAGATGCAAGGCTGCGGGCGGGAGCAGGGCATCACTTATATGGCCATAAATACTCCGTAGGTACAGTAGGTACGTACGCATTGGACTACCGAGTACGAGTGTTTATGTTCTAGCCCAGGGGAGGAACCCAGCCAGGCTAATCAGAGTTTGGGCCAAGGGGGAGGGGGGGGAGGGTGGAGTCATTATCCGTGCAGGCAAAAGGCAATAGTCTAACCATGGATGTAGGGCAGGGATGGAATGGGGCATTGGAAATAAACCTGCCAGGTGTCGATCTGCATTTGGTGCTACGGACTTTCGGACTTTCGCACTCCCCGAAAGGCGGTCAGCTCCGGTTTTTGATTCTGAGTTTCATTCTTTCAGCCGTACGGGGATTTCGGACTCTTGCAACTCCCCGGATTATTGCTTGCTGCCTTCAGCTGCTCTTCCTGCTTGTCCGTCCGTTCCCCACTAAACAAACCACCACATCATGACACAACCCCTATCAGTAGGTTCATCAGGCGTCCTGCGGATCTATCCATCCGAAAGAATGTGATCTGCTAACCATGGTGTAGTGTACTCGTTGCCAGTCCAAAAAGGTTTGCTGCCTGCCCCTCTTCATTCCCAGATGACGACATGCAAACATGCTCACTGCACTTTGTTTTGTACTCGGTAGATTCGCTGCAACCGCGCCGACCCGCGATGTGACAAATGCGCCGCTGCAGGAGCTCAATGCGCTTATCTGCCTAGAAAACAACGCACCATCAAGCGAAGGTGGCCCATCCTTACTTCAAGATGATGAAAAAATGCAGGGAAATAAAAACAAAAGCTAATGCGACCGTAAGGTTATAGAGCACTGCACGACAGAGATATCCTGCAGGAAATCCTCCGAAGATTAGAACGCCTCGAAGACCACTGTCGACTGAGCCAGAATGTCATTGAGGAGGCCGAGAGTCACCGTTCTATGTCCGTGGAATCTGAGACAGTTTCATCCTCCGAGTCCTCAGCGACCGACTCGCCTCCCAGTGCTCAGTCGCCCACTGGGCAGGCCATGGTGCAGGGCCTGCTGGCTCGCGTCAAGGACGATCGCATCCGGTCTCGTCTCCGATCCCACGTTTTCTGCGCCATCGATAAGATCGGGTCGCGCTTCTTCGAGAATCCCCGTTGCATGAGGGCGATGGATGCTGCCATCGCGGGAATCGAGCAGCTCGAGACAACGCCGCTGGATACCAATCCACCTGTGATCCCCAAGGAGACCGTGAAGAAATGGATCAATCGTGCGTACACCTCCTCTTGCATGAGAATCGATTGATAAAAACGCTAGCTAAATGCAGGTAGAATACTTCAACAACTACCAATTCGAAGGCTTTCGGATCCCCCTAGAGAAAGATTTCGTGCTCGCCATGCCCGATCTGATCGACAGTCCCCACGTCCAGCTCGACGCGACCTCCCAGATCATCTACTACAATGTTCTCTTCCAGTCGTTCATGCTGGATAGCGAAGAAGTAGAAGGGAGGGGTCGGACGGTTCAGGCACTGTGTAGCATATGTCTGAAGCTGGCCGAGGACTGGCTCGGCCGAATGCAGAATACAGCCGCCGATCTATTTGCGGCCTTCATGATGGTGTGCATACTTTCCTTCGGTTCTACTACTCGCTACTAACCAGAGCAGATGTCCATGACGCTGGAGAGCTGCGAAAGCGATCTCTCATGGAAGATCTTCAAGGCAGCCTGTCCTGTTGCACGCGCCCTTGGCTACTTTTCCGTGGACGAGGATCGCCATCATCCCAACCGAAGACCTTCACTGGCAGAAGACTCGCAACATGAAGAGATCGAGCGCAATCGCATGCGATTTGAGTTCTGGCACATTCTCCGCACCGAAAGCCACTTCCGACTCTCGTTTGGCAAGCCCTCGATCATCTCGGGAGGATCCTGGGCTGTCAACTTCCCCGATCCCACCATCACCGGCGTGGATCATGAATCGACTCGGTTCATCCAGATTCACTTCCTAGCATCCATGCGGCTGACCATCGTCACTATGCGATACTTGGATTTCATGGCAACCAACCCCGACCCCCACACGGCCGAGTACAACGACACCATGGATGGGCTGATCGCCGAAGTGCAGAAGATCATGTCAGATTGGAACCCGGTAAGTGCTTCTGGAGGGAATGGTTGCACATGTCTGACCCGAGCAGGAGGAGCTACTGAGCTCAACCACCAACCGCATTGACACATGGTTCTGCGTGGATATCCTCTTCAGCAGCTACAAGATGCTTATCGTGTTTTACCAATCGAAGCCGTCTCATCGCGATAGTCATCGGCTGCCGTATCACACGGTGGACATTGCTCGAAAGAGTTTATTGATGTCGCGGTCGCTCATGGAGGCGACGCCGCGCCCGTACTGGGGCATCAGGTAGGTTGCTCTTATTGTTGGGATTGACCGGATTGACCACTAACTATCACAGTCTCATCCTGCTCCACCAGTCCATTCCGCTCTTCGTTCTTTGCTACGACATTCTCGGATGCTACGAGCGCGATGACATCGCAGCAGATGTCGACTTGATAACGTGGTTCGACGACTACGTCGAAGTCGCATCCAAGGACCGCGCGGAGCTCAAAGCCATAAGCCTAGTGGTGAGGGAGATGACACGAGCCTGCCAGGAGATCGTGGGGCATTAGCATTGCTACCGATTGATACCAACACACGACCATACTACTGACCCAGAACCACCCCCAACACATCCTTCAAATTCCCATCTACACAAGTCGCCAGTTCCATCGCCTCCAGCTCCGCCGGTACGACCGCCGCATCGCCCAATCCTATTCTAACCAACTTAACCCTTCCTTCGCCACTTTCCACCAACTCCTCATTCTCCCACCTCAACACGCCGGGGGTCGACATCCCGACCCCTAACTCCAGAATCACTACCTGTCTGTCCGAGGCCCGCAGGAAATCCTCCTTGAAATCCTGCCATCGCTTCTCTCCCTCTTCAAAGGGCGTCTCATTGAACCAGTTTCCAGCCCTTACACAAATCCCCATCTTCCCACCGCAGAACCGACACACCGGGATGAACCTCTCATCTGTCACCCTCTGCGTTACCGCATCCAGCCCTCCATGCGCGAGCACCTCCTCCAGCCACGGCGCTGACTCCACCACCGCGTCCTTGCGGCAATTGCCCAAACACTGCAAATAGCGATAAGCGCCTTGCGGTGTCGATAAGACATTCTCACCTAGCCCATGCGCGATGAACAAGCCATCTGCATTCGACGTCCGAACATGCAGCCTCCTCGCATCCATCCCAAGTTTCCGCCGCATCCACTCCAAGAGAGCAGTATACATCGCCGACCGCGGCCACGTGCGCACCATCTGCAGATGCGTGTAATAGAAACCCCACCGCACCACCTCAGACCCCCAATCCCCCGTCTCCATCCCAAAGGTATCGTACAACTTAGTCAACCCCAACTCCCGGAAGGCCGGGAAATGCTTGGCGAAGAGAGTGGTGGAGGTGTAATCCAGCCCCGTGGCGGCCGACAGTCCCGCGCCACAGCTGAGAAGGATGGTGTCTGCTTCTTGGAGCCAGACGCGAGCTTGCTGCATTGATGAACCTATCAGCTGCGGGGGGTTTAGTAGGGCACCACTGGGCAAAAGAGAGAGAACTCGCTCGTAAGCGACCGTCTCCTTGTCCGTGAAGGTATTGAAAATCACCCCCGTGATGCTCGTCTCGGGGTGCTCGCGCAGCCAAGTAACCACAGTCTCCACGGCCAACGGCGCCGCCTCGGCCACGGGATAGCCAAACAAGCCCGTCGAGATCCCGCAGAGGGCGATGACCTTGTCGTGTTCGGGTGAGGGCAAGGTCTCGGCTTGCTCAAGCACAGCACGATAGCATCGCGCGAGCTGCGCATTCTGGATTTTAGAAGGGCAGGGCTGGTGGGGATCCAGCTGCGGCCCGACAGTGTGGATGATCCACGGCGCAGGCAGACAGTAGCCGGGTGTGGTGACTGCGTCGCCGACGGGGAGCGTGCGGTGGCCTTCGTCCATGAGGCGGAAGCACTCCTCTCGGAGGCCTGGGCCGGCCCGCGCGTGGATCACATTGTCGATGCAGCAGTGTGCGGGCTGGAAGCAGCCCAGCAGGGCGGTATTGGCGGCGTTGGTGATGGCGGTGAGGTTGGTGAGGGTGGTGATGTCGCCTTGCCAGAGGTAGAGTTTTGTTGTTGTTGGTGGTGCTGTTTCTAGATTCAATGATCTAGTTGCGTCTGTATCTATCTCTGGTCGTGTAGTCGTGACTGGGGGAGGTGTAGATACAGTTACTTCGGGTAGGGTGCGAGCATCAACAAGAGCCCTATGCTCCCTTTCCCACAGCAGAATCGACTCGATCTCACGCAGAAGATCAGGATCCAGAGCCTGTCGCGGATGTCCACACAAAGAAGCTGCTTCATCAACCGGATCTGCGCCCAGGTCTCCATCGTATGAATATGGTCCTCCATTGCAGCATGGCTGTGGTTGTGGTCATGGGCACAAGTATGCGACGGAGCCTGGAAATACCGCGACTCGCGGAGAAGGGCGCGGAGCACTTTGGGGAGGGTGTCGGCGGCCATATTCCTCATCACTATCAGATACACACAAACAAAACACGAATATACCGTACAACTTAAAAAAAAGAAAATCAAGAGAGCAAGAGAGACTAACGATATAAATCCCCCTCCTCCGGATCCCCCCATCCAGCCCGAAACACAGTCCACAATCTCCTCCAATTAGAAGCCAGGATGGAGTTTACACTGTTTACACAGTTTGCATTTCTCCCACGAAGGCCAATCACGACTCCAGAATCCGTGACAAATCCGAATGCCAAAATTGTACGATTTGCACGGTTTGCACGCGGCCCTATTCCGCGGTCGCTGCATCAGCATAGAAGCACTTCGTGTATGTAGCTTGATGTGAATCTCATTGTCATAGATGTTTCAGACTAATACCATTTCCTCGATGGTCTAACGGTCATGATTTCCGCTTGTCAATCCTCTACAGGAACAAGCGCGGGAGACCTGGGTTCGACTCCCAGTCGGGGAGATTCTTTTTTTGTTTGCAACCAGTTTCCTATAAGTGGCACGCTTAGCCCAACAAGCGATTATAAATAACCTGAACTTGTTTTCTTTCTGTGTACAACGTATTTCTAGCCTGTTTAATTATGGGAAAAGGCTGAGAAAATATTGGTTCATATATTTAAGCTTGTTTTACCTCTCCGTGGTAAGCGTTCATGTGTCCCATGCCATTGCGGTGTCGACTAAAGTCTTCCCGAGCCGTGCCACTTCATGTCAGAATTACTGCAAGAGCAGCGCGTGAGCAGTTTTTTCCTTTTTTTTCCTTTTTTTGAAAGCATCAAACCTTGATTGAAAGCTAAAGCTTTCAGCCCTGACCGAGCTTCGAGATTTCTGGTAATAGACAGGCGCTTACGCAGTCTTTCAATATTCTTTGGTAGTGCAAAGTATATATAATGTCTCATGGATCGACTATGACCTTTCTCTCCCTCCCCCTTGGGGCGTTAGCCCGTGAGCGCATGTTCTCAATAACCTAGTTCCTCTTACTCCAAATGACTTGGTTAAGCTATATACTGTGGACTAACTGGCATATTCTCGATTTTGGTGGGAAGGACCTCTACCTGACGGACAGGTAGCATGCAAAGAAGTTCCTTGGCATATGCGGCTGCGGTCGCCGCGGCGTAGCTTTGCTACTTCTTGTTCTTATGCGAATCAGCGTAGCCACAGATCCCTCGGATAGTGAGACAGGGAAAGCTATCCATCGAGCCTTCAGCTTCCATCGAAGCAGATGATCCCCAGAGACCGCGCGAGCTTGTCCCGAGCCATGGCGTCTTTCATCACACGGTTCCCCGACGCGATGAGCCCGCAATGAACCTGGGGGGCATCAGAAGACCTAGAGATACATTTTAGGGCGCGGGTGTGGTCACACTTCGAGCAATCCGCCGTCGTCACTTGATGTACGTAGTCTGCTTGGAACAGGATATCGTCTTCCTCTGGGCGCGTGAACAGCGCACAGGGCAGAGCCCCGACAAAGACATCAAGTCGGATGAGAAGTCTGGCATCCACTGGGACCTGAGACGGAGGCCAAGTGTAAGCAATTCAAGGCGATTGCGCCGTCCCTAGGAACAGAAGGCTACCGCAGGCGTCAGTGAGCGAGAGCATACTAACGACACCGCCACTACCACACTCAAACGTACGAACCTCCACGACTACGACCTCAACCTCGAATCAGGCGAATTCAGATAAACCAAATTTTGAGGTATATACATTTCCACAATCACAATCATCACTCGTATCGCATTCTATAATACAACCAAACAAACATCATAAGTCATAGGTCATGTCTGTGTAAAGAGAGAGTCGAACAAAGGAAATTTGGTAACAAAAAAGCCAGCAACAAAGGGTCATTAGGGCATCATAAAATCATTGGGTATCAGTTCCAGTTTTCTATTCCGGTCCGATTCTCACAAAGAAGTCGGAATGGGCAGCTCGCTCAGAGACTTGACCAGGCCCCGGAGGGCGGGGTTCAGCTCCTCCGCGGCGGCCTCGAGCTCAGTCACGGTCTTGTTCACCTCGCGGCCGAGCTGGCGGATCAGATCGTAAGTGGCCTGCAGGGCGCCGGTGCGGTGCAGCAGGTCCAGGATCTGCGCCTTGCTCTCGGGCGACAGCGGGGCCTCGGCGGCCTTCTGGCGGTAGATGCCCAGGATGACCGTCTTGGCGGCCGGGTCCATGTTGCAGCAGCGCACGATCGGGTAGACGATCTTGCCGTGGTCCAGGTCCTCGGCGCGGCCGAGCAGCCCCAGATACTCGTGGCGGATCTGGTACCAGCGGCCCAGCAGCTTGGCTAGGGGCTCAAAGTCCAGGGACGAGCCCTCCATGCTGGCGGCCTGCATGAGGCGCACGAGCAGGCGGAAGGTGGAGCCGGACCGCTGGTCCACCATGGTCAGGTACTCCTGCTCGGACGGGGCCTGGTAGGTGGTGCGCCAGTCCAGCTCCCACGACTGGCCGATGAAGCGGGCCTCGAGCTCCTCCAGCAGCCCGTCCAGCATGCCGGGGCACTTGAGGCTGTTGACGATCTTGGCCACCCGCACGAAGGTGTAGGCGGCGCTGTTCATGCATTGCGCCCGGCCGAACACCTGGTGGGCCGGGGTGCGCTGGCTGCGATGGGTCGCGTGGTCCTGGATGTCGGCCAGCATGTGGGTCGAGTCCTGCAGCTCGTTGATGATCTGCTTGATGTAGGTCAGCGGGCGGTTGGGGACCTGCAGCCAAACGTTGAGGGCGCCCAGCAGCTCGCTCTGCAGGTCGGTGATGGCGATCGACCGCATGTAGCCGGCCGGAGCCAGGAGGGGCAGCGTGTTGAGCTGCACGACCGGCGCAGCGGGCTCTTCCACCAGAGGGGTCCAGACCGCCACGTCCTGGGGTTCCTCCTCCTCCTCCTCAGGCTGAGCCGCCTCCTCCACATGCTCTGCCTCCTGCTCCCGCTCTTCGGCCTCGGCCTCCTCTTCCTCCTCTTCCTCTTCGTCATCTTCGTCGTCCTCCTCGTCCTCGTCGTCTTCAGCAGTGGCGTCTCCCTCGGAGGAGTTGTCCTCTGCGACGGAAGCGTGCTCACTCTCCTCCTCTTCGCTCTCCTCGATCGTGTCAGGGACAGCGTAGCGGGGGGTGTTCTTGGACCAGTAGTGGATACCAGCCAGGGACGAGCCCAGGACCTCCATCCACTTGCGGAGCTTGGGGGCAAGATCCGGGTTGGCCTGGTAGAGCGCCTCGCGGCGCTTGACGAACTCCTGCTCGTTCTGGACGATGAGCTCCTTGGTCTTGGCGACCGCGTCCTCCTCCGACATGTTCTGGTGTTGCATGAGGAACAGGATGACGTTGGCCACGGGACGCCTCTTGGTCTCGCGCTTCTCCTTGGGCCAGCTGTAGTAGTCGTTGGTGAAGAACATGGTGCGCTCGGCGGCGTCGAGCGCATCTCTCACGATGGCCTGGTCTTCCTTGCCCAGGCGGGTGCCATGGGCGAAGCCCATCAGGGTCCAGTACACACTATCACCCTGATTAGGATTTGTCAATGTCAACGGAGAAGTCAGTCAGCGGCCACTTACTCGATACCGGCGTTGAGACGTCTGCGAGCCACATAGTCGTCGAGGTTGGCGCAGTTGTCGGCCGTGGGGACCTCGGGTGTGACCAGCCAGTTGCTCCGGTAGCTGTCAATGATATCGTTGCCATCAATCTCCTTCTCCGTGATTTCAGCCACCGCCTTCTCCAGCAGCTTCTTCCGGGCTTCGGCGCGGGGCGACTCCACGTGCTCATCTGGCTTGTCTGTCGTACGTCCGTTGGATTTTCCCTGGGCTGTGAGGTGCAGGTTAGCTACGGTCGGTCATGCATGCGCGTGCAGGACGGGGGACGTACCATCATGCAGGCTGCCGAGCTCGGTCAGGTAGGCGACGAGCTCGAGACGCTCGGGCAAGCATTCGGGGTAGAGGAAGCTGGCGTAGTTGCCGACGGGGCAGGACAGGTAGCTGGTGGGCTCCTTGCCCTCTTCGGCGGCGAGGGTGGCCGTCAAGTCCTGGACGAAGCGATCGCTGCCGCGTTGGGCGACATGGTCGTACTTGTGGATGCGGGGGACGAGGGTGGTGAAGCAGCCCTGCAGCTGCTCCTCACTGACGGAGAGGGGCTGGGAGTGGGCCCAGATCTCGATGGGATCGTGGACGGTCTGGGTCGGGGAGCTCGGCTCGGACTGCGCAGCGGAGAGGATCTGCACGGCGCTGCTCTTGCTTCTTCTCCGCTTGTGGGATAGGATGTGCGAGTATGACTTGAACATTGGTGTGATGTGGGATGCGAGGGCACAAGCCGAACCAGCAACAAAGGATTAGAAGTGATGAGAGTGAGGAACGACCTGTATACCGACCAGGTCTTGGGTTGCAGTAAATAGCGAATCCACGAAGGAAAGGCAAGATGATGAGGGAAAGAAGAAAGAAGCTCAGATGGAGCACAGGCAGTAATATATAGGCTCGGAGCTCCTCAGTGCTTGGACCAAGTCCCCTCTTTCCAAGGAAGCAAAAAAGAGCTAACAGAGAGAGGCACTGGGCAAAGTCAGCCCATGGCAGAAAAAAAATTTTTTTCTGTTGTTCAATGGAATTCTCATAGCGATAAGGCCAGCATGGACCTCAAGCTGGTCCGACAAGAGGCGAAGGAGAGCATTTGGTGCATTTGGTGCATTGGAGCTTGAGAGGAGGCGAGAAGCTAATGGTGAGGGAATGCACTGATTGGTGGTGGAGGTGCGGCTACGGGCGTTGGATTGGTGTTCTTTGGGCTTAGTTGTTTCTTAGTTTCCCGCCGGCTGGTCTTCACCGCTAAGTCTGCTTTGCACTTTCTATCAGTTTGGTTACTATCAATTTCTCTTGCGCCCCGGCCGAGGTTGCTAACCTGCCCACTTCATTGGGCCACCTCAACGCCCAGCCCAGCGATGACGATATCGATGGAGATCGCTTTCATCTGTCTCTGGCAATGGTGTCGGGGGGTTTCCCTGGGTCGGGGTTGGTCGGTGATTACCGATCTGAATTCGAAAGAGGGAGGGGAGGAAGTGGGGTGGTGGTGGTGTAGTGTAGTGCACATGTACTAGGTAGAGTGGACGCGTCGGAGAGTAGCGTATTTTGTGTAGTGTATGTAGTGCAGTGTAGTGTAAAGCATGAAGCCGATATGGTTTTGGCTGGTGACGTGGATACCTGCGATCAACATGACAGCCACTGCAGCAGAACCCGAGGAGGGGAAAGGGTCCTGCGGGTGTGGAAGTGGTCTGTACTGGAGATCATCGTCCAAGTGAGTTTTTCTCATTCAGAGAAAAAAAAACATTCTAAGCATGACAAGAAGAAATGATGCGAGGGAGTGGGGACCGAAGTGGGAGGAAGTGGAGGCAGTGGAAGCACGAGTGAACAAGTGAAGTTGAAGTGGAGCGAAGGAAGAGCCGGAGAAGAAAACATTGGCTGGTCACGTGGCCCCACCCGCCCAAACAGGCAGTCTGTCAACAATCCTGCTACTACCAACCCCCGATTTATCTGCGCGCCCTTGCTTTTACTCTCTTGGTATCGTATCCAAGGCGACAGGCAGTGAGTGGTGCTTGCATCTCAGGCTCTCAGCCCTCGTTCACGCCCATGCGCCTGGAGGAGAGAAAATTTTCATGGTGGGGCATTCCGGCAGATCATCGATACCCCTCCCTACTCCGGAGGAAAAATAAAAAAAAATGGAAGAGTGAGGCTGGTAGATGTGAACCATGACGAGGATGGTAGCCCCTCCTCCACCAGTTTGCATACTCTGCGGGATTGAGCTTACGTTGAGCCTACTGCGCTTTACTGACTACGGCGGAAGGACTCTCCCCAGGTAACCAGACAGATAACCTGGTTATCTAGGGACAGTGTATCTGGTGTGATCACTGACCAGTGACCACCGGAGAACGACGGCGCGTCGACCGGAAATAGAACGGCCCCGTTCTGCAATAAGCTGATCGCCGCACGATCGCCCGCCTGCATCATTGACCACAGCTCGGTTGACCCCTCCGGCCGTTTCGAATGTTTCTGATGCCACTATCCCCCTTTTGACCGCTCGCTTATCGCTGGCAACACAAACTTTCCCTATACTTTGGGGCGGGAGAATGTGTTTGTCTACAAACCACCCCTTCATAAGTAAATTTGCCACCACCAAGATACCCTGGGAGAAGCGAGAAAAACTCAAAGCGTGAACACGTCGTCTCGAGGCGTCGATCGAGGTTACGCGATCGATAGCAAGGTCGCTTTTTGTGCGAACACTGCAGGAAGACTAGAGTTTGAGCTTGTGTGCTCAGCGCTCATGGCGATTGGCCGCGAGGGGAGTCAGGTGCAGGCATCGGGATGCGAAGAGTATGCTTGCAACCCACCTGGCAGGGAAGGAAGAAAATCTAAAACCTTGACCTGTTAGCGTCCGAGGCGATTCGCACTGATGAGGCTTGGCTGGAGGAGCGATACTTGACTTGATGGATGTTGATGGATGGTTGATAGTGGTGGAGAGTCAGTCAGTCAGTTAGGGCTGGCTGTGATGGGGCTGACAAAGCATGGCCCCAGGCAACAATCAGAGAAGCGGTCAAGGAATGCCTCGTATGCTGCATCCACTATCTTCTTCTCGGAGAAATCCACACTTGGCCTTGTTGTCCTTGGTGTCAGAGAAAGCGGACCTTGGAGATAGACTGGTCGCTTGGCCAATTCGGTTGATGTCGGATCTATTGCCAGATGCTTCTCTCAGGTTCGTCTCTGCTCTGTTCTCTGAGTCATTCTCACCTCAATCAACCAACAATGACTGGACAATACCGCTTTACACTATGGCGGCGCTTTCATGGGTGTCAGGACTGAAGAGAATCTGGGCCAAAGGAATTCCTGCTCCCGTGCATCTAAGAAACATGAATCAAGACTACAACATGAATGACTAGGCGATACTGCTTCACAACAATGGCTGTGATTTGACGACTTTCAACACTGGGGAGCATAAGGTCTGTGAGCTCTTCTTCTCCCAAGCATCCGAGAATCATAATTCAATATTGGTGCCAGAGCAAGAATGACTAGCCGATAGTGCTTACAGCTATGACTATGCTTTCACGATTGTCGATACTGGGGAGTGTAGAAGCCATGAACTCTCCTTTCATGCCCCCAAGAACCAAGAGCTTGGCTCACAAAGAAAGCGCACGAATAACATGGAAGCAATTATAGTGAACACTTCCATAACAGCGTCTTTGTTCGACTCACCCGTCAAGAAATTACTGGCACGCCCTGATAATGCCTTTCTCCTTCGCCTTGAGGGAATTCACCACCAAGAGCTTCTTTATGGAAACGGGGTCCAGCATCGAATCCCTTTCACCGCACACTTTGAAGGAGATTATAACTACATCTCCCATGGAACCGCTTCCATACGACAGCGTCCCTGATATAAAACACCATGCAGTCTCTTGCTCACACCATCCCCCCCATCCCCCCCATCCCTCCCATCGCCACAACCCCCGATCCCCACAGATCAGTCCCAACATTTACCCCTCTTCCACGTGAAAACCGCATAGTAACCAACCAGCAAAATGTCCGGCTTGGAGAAAACCTGGGAAGTCACGCCCGACCTGACCGAGGAGCAGACGACCTTACTCCTCGCGATGCTCGACTCGCTGGCCGTGGACACGCCGCCACCTTCGGAAACCGATATCTCAGAAGACAAGCCCGACCTTGCGGCGGACCAGATGGACTGGTTAAGCAGCATGTTCGAGTCGCTGGAAGCGGACACGCTCGACGCGGAGGCGTTGGACCCGATCGCGCAGAACCTAACCCCAGCGGGGCGCCGCATTCTGCTCGACCCGGCCAACATCAACCCGACCCCGCCGGTCTACGACATGGCGACCGCGCTGCACACGCTGCGGACGGACATGAGAACAACAAGCGTCGCAGGGCTGCAGGTGCTGGCGGCGCGACACGGCAGGCACACGCACTTCGCGCGACGGCTGCGGCTCGAGGGCACGCGCACAGGGCCCAACACCCCCTTCCAGCGCAGACCCGACCACACCATCCAGGTGCCCATGGGCATCCCCGAGGTGCGGTGCCTGCACGATCTGCTCCGGGACTACTTCCCACTGATCTCGGAGTTTGAGCTGGCGCTGGGCCCCGCGGGCGTCCCCTTCACCGACATCATCAACCCCGGGGACGTGCCCAAGTGCCTGTTCCGGATGCTCAACAGCCTGCAGCGGCGGATCACGCACCTGTCCCTTGTCTCGGAGGCGGATGACTGGAACATCGAGACGCCGGGTAAGTTCTACGTGCCGCGCCTGCAGGACTGCGTGCTGGAGGACCTCGAAGAGCTGCGGGTGCAGTGGCCGTACTTCGTCGACGACAGGATGGCGTGTCCGCCGCGCGCGGCGCCGCACCCGTGGCTGAAGTTTTACAAGCGCATCTTCAAGAGTCCGCTCCGCACGCTCGTCCTCGAGGGTAGGGGGCAGCACTGCGTATTCCCCCCCGTGGGGCCGACCTTCAACGCCATCCCCGTGGGCGGCTGCAACCTGCGCAACCTGATGCTGACCAACCTCGTGCTGACAGACTACGACATGTGCATCCTGATCCCGAAGCTCCCGAAGCTCGAGTCCATCACGCTCGACAAGATCCAGTTCGAGGGAGACTGGCCGCAGGTGCTAAGGATGCTCGCGGACCTGTGTCTGTGTCTGGAAAAATTCAAATTCCAGGAGGTGATGTGGGCGCTCGACCGCCACCACCGCCACAACGGCAAAAACGACTACAACCCGGCCCGCATGGACAACGTTGTCAGCATCACTCTGAGTGGTTCTTCAGAGGAGGTTGATATTCATCGGGGCCTGCGCCAGCTGGCTTCCTTCGGTGAGACGCTGCGTTGCCGCGCCGATTCTACCTTGTGAGCACTGTAGCACTGACTGATTTCTCCCCGCTAACTGGCCATCAGACTGGTGGTGGGTAGCTGGTGGGCTATCACAATAAAAAAAATAAAAAAAATTAGAATCATCAGATTGAACGACTATCAAACTATTTTCTATTACCGACATCATCGCAAACTCCAACTGCCAAAATATATGCATAAGTCAGGACAAACGCTAGTACCCCACACCACTAATCACGACCTTAAACACATCCTGCCTGCCCTGTCGCACGAGCTCAAACGCCTCCTCTGCCTGCTCGAACTTGAACCGGTTGGTCACCAACTTCTTCACGTCAATCTTCCCAGTTGAGATCAGCTCGATGGCCGCGGGATAACACCCCGGCAGATAGCGAATGGACCCCTTGACCACCAACCCGCGCACACAGACCGTGGTGATGGGGAACAGGACATTCTCCTTCCCCATGCCGGCCTGCACATAGGTACCGCCGGGCCGCGCAGCCAGCACGCCCAGCTGCACACACGCCTCGGCCCCGGAACACTTGAGCACGACGTCGGCGCCGTCGCCAAGCCCGCACTGCTCCTTGACCAGCGCCGCCACCCGTTCCGCATGCACCAGCGGCTCGACGCCTTCCTCGCGGAACGGGGCCAGGAAGGTCTCATCGGCGCCATACGTCTTAGCGACCTCCAGCCGGCTCGCCACGACGTCCACGCCGATGACCTTACTCGCACCGTACGCCTTGGCCACCGCCTGGCACAGCACGCCGATGGGCCCGCAGCCCAGCACCAGCACCGTCTGATGCGGCCGCAGGTCCGCCGTCTTGGCCACCGCCACCGCGACGGAGACCGGCTCCACCATCGCCGCCTGCTCCAGATCCATGTGCTCCGGCACCTTGTAGCAGAAGTCCGCCGCCGTCACGTAGTACTTGGCCAGCGTGCCGTCGTATGGCGGCGTCGCGGCGAAGATCATTCCGGGACAGAGGTGGTAGCTGCCGCGCCGGCAGTAGTCACAGCGTCGGCAGGGGAGGCCCGGCTCGACGGCTACGCGGTCGCCGGACTTGAGGTGTGTGACTGCGTCGCCGACGGAGGCGATCACGCCCGAGGATTCGTGGCCCAGTACCATCGGCCCGGTCACGACGTAGTCGCCGATGCGGCCGCGTTGCCAGCTGGAGGGTGTTAGTTCGTGCCGTAGGCTAGAAGGGTATTGTTGTGCTGGGAGGGGAAGAGGAGGGGACGTAGACGCACTAGTGAACCTGTAGAGTCGGGATATTTAGCACAGTAGGGAGAGAAGGCGTAGGGGAACGGGGACATACATCGCTGCCACAGATACCCGTCTGGGCGACGTGTACCAGCACATCGTGCGGGTCTTTAAGCTCAGGAACCGGACGGTCCTCGATGGTCACCTTCTGATGTCTTGGAGGACCAAGGATGGGTTCTGTTGATTGTCAGGGGTTGAACGTTCAACGGTAAGCTGCGTGAGGGTGACGCCCACCTGCATTGTGCTGAGTGTAATTGATTGATGTTGAGCTCGATTGATGGTGGTCTGTTGTACTGCTCAAGCAAGCTCTATACTTGCCTTTATATATCAATGACGTCTCTGTGTGCTGGACTTGTGCGGGGCAGTGTTGAAGCATGAGATGCAGATGTGGGGTAGTAGATGCGGACAAAGGGCTAGATTTCCGAAAGTGGTAAATCCCGCGACCCCGCTTCAGCAGAAGGCAAATTTGCTCTTTCGGGAATACCTGTGATGGCCGATTCTCGGTCTGGATCATCGCTACCCTGGTTACCAGACCAGCCGAACTGGATTGCGAGGCGGATTTCTCGAAGTGGGGGTAGACATAAAAACGGGGACAATGGCTCTCCGACTTTATGAGCCTCAACAGGTTAAGTAGGATCTCCCAGGCATCGTCCCGCCATGTAGAGCGGATGGATTAGATACTTTCGCACGACATCGCTCGGCATACCACGGGATATGGGAATGATCTCCATGGCGTGGCGACGTAGGCCTTGCTGCAGTCCAGTGTAAGACTGCAGAAGATCGGCGTGATTCCGCGACTGTCGGAGGAATATCTCCTGTGGCTGATGGATCAGCAGCACGATCCGAGCCATGTGGTAAGAAGCCATGGATATCGCGCACATGTCACTGGCAAACCAGGATTCCGCCGCATACTCCTGCTCACTTTCGTTGGCTTCCGGAGTTGACGGCCACGCCACGGGCGACAAGAATACCACGGGAAGAGACGAATGCCACTGATCCAGCAGTTCGCTTACTCGAACCCACTGGGTAGAGTTTATCATCTCCACAGTAATCACTTGGGATAACAGCCATATGAGACTTTTCAGAAACATGCCCTCGGTGACTTGTTCTCCTTCCACGTGAAACGATAAGTGACCCGCATCGTCCAGTGGTAAACCCATTCTGCGCCATAGTCCATGGTCTCGGAAGTCGACTCGAGGGGGCTTGTCGCATACAACTTCAAAGCCGGATGTCAGCTGTAAATCCCATTGGCTGTATCAGACAGATACAGGGAACTGAAGCAGCGGTCACGGGTCGGAAGGATAGCCATCGCAAGACTTACAAGCATCGAGGACATCATTGAGCGCGAAGAACCAGAAGATGGTGTCAAGTGCTAGGGCGGGCTCGGGGACCGACAGAGAAGACAGGAAGACGATTGGGTCGATGAGATGTGGGTGAAGGAGTTTGCACACCCCGTTCAGATGACCCGACCAGGCTCGCATACTGGCGCTTAGGTCTTCATACTGAGAGAGAATACAAGAGGCCAGAATCTGAAGTGGTCCGACATCCATGCCATGATTATTTGAGTTCGGATGGCTCGAATCATCTGTTTGATAGAGCGAAGATGGCGATAGCCGATACGTGGCGGCATGGCCGTGGGACACTTGCCGGGCTAGGAGCTGGATTGCTTCTTCGTAGTACTTGGCCCCGTACCAGAGAAAATCTAGGTTTGACTCTGCGAAAACCTTCAACATACGAGTTTGACATCTGGTCCTCTGGATTCGTTCTTCAGGGTCCTTCATGTGACCGAGCTATTTCGCGGCCAGAGCACATGCGGAATAGCGCACCAGCGCGCTCTGTCGAGATATCGCCACTACATATCGGCTGAAGTACGGTCGCAGGTCACAGCATACATCAAGAAACTTCGCAGGGCCTTCGGAGAAGTAGCGTAGTAGAAATGCGATTTCTTGTTGGTCACGGTGCGTGTCACTGGGGTGATCCGATGCAAAAGAGCCAGGCGTGTCCAGCGCATTCGGTGGTTGTGTTGCGGTTGCAGTTGAAAAGGCATCCCCTGCACAGTTCTGCGGACTGGGCCTCTCTTCAAACAGAAGATGGGCCGGTTCTAATTGGGCGGCAGAAGGACCGCCAACCACGGGGGCACTCTGAAAGGGCGAAGTGTCGCGGGGGTCACTTTCAGCCAGTGCTCCAGAGTTGGGATGTGGATCTGTCTCGATACCAATAACTACAGGCGGACGTTCGACGCTAGCACAGCCTTGAGTCAAGATCAGCAATCGATTCAGCATCGGAAGATATGCGAGATATGCGTCTGAGCAAGTTGCACACCTGAAACCCCATCCGTGCCTCGCCTCCGGGGTCGCTTGGGAGGACGGCGGTGGGTCGAGGAGGAGTAGGGTTGAGTGATGAACAGACTATCGACCAGGTGGCAGACCCGGCCGACTCGAACGCAGTGACCGCATTGCGGTTTCTGTTCGTCGCACTTAATTCTCCTTTTCCGGCATTCTGGGCTGAGAAGAGTGAGTCCATGCGCATCAGCAACTGTGGCGAGGGGGGTGAAACTGTGAAGGGGAGCTTGGACATACCATCCCTTGCGTGACCGCGGGGTTGCACGAGAGTGTGCGGTCGGGGCTGACATGTGAGGATAGGGAGAGGAGTGGTATCGCAGGGGGTGCAGTGAGCAGGAAAAACTGCCAATTCTGTGATGCTGGGAGTTGGAATTGCAGTTGAAGATGCCAGCTGAGAGATGATCATGAATGGGGAGTTGTGAAGGTGGACTGAAGAAGAAGTGGAGTGGGTAAACGGAAAGCCGAAGTGGACGAAAGAGGCAGTCATTATCTCTCGCCAGATTTCCCCAATGTGGAAATACCCCGCGTCCCGCCTCTTCTGCCTGATCGGGTAATTTTACGTCCCATCCATCCATCTATCATCATCATCATCCATGATGGACTATCTCCACCTCCACCTTCACTGATTTACTCATCTGTTCAGTCCCAAAGTTTCAAGCTCAGAGATTCACCACAGTACGCACATGTAGCTATGACAATCCTCCACCCATGAGTGCAGAGGAACATTAGAGTTCGGTGATGGAGCATAAATTGGGGTTCAGATTCCCCCTGTCGACCACCTGAAGAAAAGAACCATCATAGCATCCTCGCGTATCACATCTATCACATCTCTCTCATTGACTACTCCTCCTAATTGACTTCTCCAATTGATATCCCCAATTGACTCACAGCCGACATCATGCCTCTCTACCAACCTTCCGATGTGAACCGACATGTCCTGTCCCAGTTCTCCCTTAAAGGCAAAGTGGCCGCCGTGACCGGGGGAGCCCGGGGAATCGGGCTGGAGGTGGTGCGTGGGCTCGCCGAAGCCGGGGTCGACGTGGCCCTGATTTACAGTTCCAACGCCGAGGCCCAGGAGTCGGCTGCCCAAATCGCCGCCGACAACAATGTCCGTGTCCAGGCCTATCAGTCCGACGTCACCACCCGCAGCACCATTGCCGCTACCCTCAACCAGATTGCAGAGGACTTCGGCCACTTGGATGTGGTCGTCGCCAACGCGGGGGTGTGTACCAATCGCCCCAACCTGGAGTACACCGAGGAGGACTGGCATCAGGACAATTCGGTCAACTATGATGGCGTGATGTGGACAGCTCAGGCCGCCGGTCGTATCTTCAAAAAGCAGGGTCGGGGCAACCTGATCGTGACCGCCTCGGTCAGCGCGACCCTGGTCAACATCCCTCAGACACAAGTGGCGTACAATGCCTCTAAGGCGGCAGCCGTGCATCTAGCGAAAAGTTTAGCCGTGGAGTGGGCCGACTTTGCCCGTGTAAACTGCATTTCGCCGGGCTTCATCATGACCAAGAGTATATTCTGCCCCTTCCCCCCGGGTCTTCGCAGGATGATGACTTGTCCGGGCTGACCATCATGCTAGTGCTCACGCAACAACCCCCGGAGCTGTTCGAGAAATGGCTCTCGATGATCCCGGGCCGAAGAATCTGTGAGCCAGCTGAGCTCGAAGCGGTACGCTACCCTACACGGCTAACTTGTTTGATGTGTTTCCATGCTGATTGCACTTCACAGGCGTATGTATCCCTGGCGAGTGATGCTTGCTGCTATATGACGGGAGCCGATATGATCATTGATGGTGGATACACTCTGCCATGAAGTCTCCTCTCCGATGTTTACCGTTGGTCCTTTCATGTAGCGAACATTTAGATTATACAGAGTCCGAGACTATGACGTAGATAGAAACAATTTTGTTGATCTCACTTATTCACTTCTTCAACCCAGTGTACCTCGTACAAACTGGTCCTAATGCCAGTCGAAGGCATTACCTCATAGGCGTCGGATACTGTTATAGCGTCGTGTCTCGCGCTCCTAAATTTCCTCTTCGGGGATCTTGCAACCGGGCAATGAACCGGAATGACCTCATCCAATCATGGAATCGACTCTGCCTCTGGGAAGCCGACCTTCCGACTGGCCTGACGCTCACTGCCGTCCATCCACTTCCCCGGAATGGGTACCCCGCAACAGGACGGGTAGCCAAGTAGCCATTTGTGGAGTATCTGCCCTGGTGTTAACTGAACGGTCCACTCTATATAAATCGATCAGTAGTCAACGACTTGAGTATTTGATATGTTACATGTCTTCTTCTTCATCTTACCACGAGCCCTTCAGATTATTCTCGCATTCTGCCATTATTTCTATTGAGTGTCTGCAACTATGATATGGTCCAAGAAGAAGGGCGGCCAGCCCTACTTTGGTCTCACCGGAACGTGGCTCACGGTCTGGATCACCGTATGTCTACCCAAGCTCTAGAGTTGTGGTACAGTGCAGCACCGTCTCACTTAACATCTCATTCTCCAGATTGCCTGTGCAACGGACATGACTCTCTTCGGATACGATCAGGGAGTATTCAGTAAGAGCATCTTCTCCTGCTTCATGACGAACTGCTTTCCAACCGGTTCCACTAGGCGGCGTGGTCGTCACGCAGAACTTCCTCGAGGTCTACGACTTGGTCGGATCGTCGAAGACGACGACCCTCTCAACCGTAACCGCGATCTACGATGTGGGCTGTTTCTTCGGTGCTCTCATCGCTTTCGGAATCGGCGAGCGGCTCGGTCGGAAGAAGGCGATTCTTTGGGGGCACCGCCCTGATGTCCGTTGGAACCATCCTGCAAGCCTCATCCTACAGCCTTCCGCAGATATTCATCGGGCGGGTGATTCTAGGGTATGTCATTCACCCTCGATTTTGACACTGGACTACTGTAATGTCGAGTGGGCTGAGTCGATGCCCACAACCCAGAGTCGGCAATGGTATCAACACGGCCACAGCCCCTGTATGGCAGACCGAGACATCCCAGCCCCAATGGAGAGGAAGACTGGTGCTGTTGAAGATGGTGATGAACCTCAACCTCGCGGGGTCCATGCTCGTGAACTGGATCAACTATGGTCTGTCCTTCAAAGGAGGGTCGGTCGCCTGGCGGTTTCCGATTGCCTTTCAGTTCGTGTTCATCCTCGCGCTCTTCGCCACAGTCCCCTGGTTACCTGAGTCACCGAGGTACGTTCCCAACATGCATCCTGAGATTGACCTTGACTAATCGGGCTCAACTCACCACAGATGGCTTATGCAGCACGGCCACGAGGCCGAAGCGATGCAGGTCCTGGCCGCCATAGAGGCGAAGCCCATCGACGACCCCTACATCGCCACCCAGCGGTCCGAAATTGAGTACAGCATCCAATACGAGCGCGAGAACGCCGTCCGCTGGCGAAACCTGTTCCGCAGCCGCCACAGCTCCAACGATACCAAGACCCTGCGTCGCCTGCTTCTGGGCGCGGGTTCCCAGCTCATGCAGCAGTTCGAGGGCATCAACATTATGTCCTACTATATGCCAACCGTGCTGATGGAGTCGGTCGGTCTCTCGAACCGCTCCGCGCGTCTCCTTGCCGCCTGCAGCACGGTCTCGTACTTTGTCTTCACCGCCATGGCCGTTCCGCTAGTTGAGAAATGGGGGCGGCGGGGGCTGATGCTAAGCTCGACGGCCGGGCAGTTTGCGTGTTTCCTGATCATCACGATCCTGCTGTGCTATGCGGAAACGATGGCGGATGGGTCCAAGTATGGGTCTGCCTCGATCGCCTTCTTCTTTCTGTATTATATCTTCTTTGGCATGGGGATGCTGGCGGTGCCGTGGCTCTACCCGACGGAAATCAGTTCGCTGCCAATGAGGACCAAGACTGCGGCCGTGGCCACGGCGACCAACTGGTGAGTGCTCTCTTCAGTAGAGTATTCTATCCCTCTCTGTGACTGATAAACTCCTCCCAGGATCACCAACTTCATTGTGGTCGAAATCACCCCGATCGGTATCCAGAGCCTGGGATGGCGCTTCTGGATTGTCTGGACGGTCTTCAATGCTGCCTTTCTACCCGTCATCTATCTCTTCTATCCGGAGACCGGTATGTGGTACTGTAGCTGTTGATATTTTACTTTACTGATCCGGATCCAGCAAACCGTACTCTCGAAAACCTCGATGCCTACTACCGCTCCAACCCGTCGCTCATAGTGATCAACGATCCCGATGCGATCAGCGTCAAACGCCCGCAGAAGTATATTGATCATGAGGCGGACCTCATTCAAAGGAAGGCAGGGAAGGTGGATGATGTACGGAAGTCGGACTTGGAGATGGTGGAGCATATTGAGTAAGATGCCAGCTTAGCCTGGGTACAATACTGGGCTATATGAAAGTGAATGAAATGTTCATACAAGGCGGAGATTCGTGATCAGGCCATGAATCCTTCGTTCAATCGACTTCAGATCTATCTTATGGTGGGATTTGTCGTTCATGATAGAGAAATCTTGACTTGAGTAAATCGTAGACTTATAACCCAACAGCAACCGAGCAGGAGTTCCCTTCTCCCATAACACCACCAGATAGCCCTAACGATATTGGCTTCCCTAACTCCAACTCCAGCCCCAACAATTGGAGCCGTAACGCACCGCCACTGCTTGGCACCGGGATCGGAACGCAAGACGGGCTCCACCTGCCTAATCCAGTGTGCCGGAGCGAGCGAACGGCCGGGAATGACTCCCGCCGATGATTCACGTGGGGGTGGGAAAGATAAGACTCTAAAGTATACATACCAGCTCAAGCCTCACCTTTCCACCACCCCACCACATTCACCCCCCCAAAACTCGTCATCATGGTAACTACACACTCATACTACAACCCAGCTCTTAACTAACACCTCATTCGCAGACCACCGAAGCCCTCTACCTGGACGACGCCACCCTCACCACCACGACGACAACCATCACCTCCTACCGCCCCATCTCCGCCCTCAGCGACCCCGAAAAGACCCTGGCCAAGAACATCCCGACGGAGAACCACTATGCCCTCACCACCCGCCAAACCGTCTTCTACCCACAAGGCGGCGGCCAACCCAGCGACACGGGCGTGATCCAGCTCCCGAGCACCCCCAACGCCACCGACAACGATGACGCTACCAACCCAATAACCTTCGAAGTCCTTCTCGTGCGCAAGACCCTCGACGGCGAAATCCTGCACTTCGGACACTTCACCACCCCGACATTCCCGCTCTCCCTCGCCTCCCACGCCCTCGCCACGCAGACCATCAACGCCGTCACCCGCAACTACCACTCCCGGCTGCACACGGCGGGCCACATCATCGGGCTCGCGATGCGCCTGCTTACCCCGGAGCTCGGGGTGCGCAAGAAGGTGAAGGCCAACCACGCGCCGCGCGAGGCGTGCATGGAGTTCGAGGGCCTGCTGTACAACGAGCACCGGCCGCTGATCGAGGGGAAGGTCAACGAGCTGGTTCAGCGGGCGCTGCCGGTGCATATCTCCTGGTGGGAGGAGCGGGAGATCGCCGCGAAAGAGCTGAATATGGTCGAGGGGTTGCAGGTGGGGCAAGGGGGGAAGGTGCGGATCGCGGAAATCGCGGACTTGGATGCCAACCCCTGCGGCGGCACGCATGTGGCGCATACCGGGTTGACGGGGTATATTACGATTCGGAAGGTGAGTCGGCAGAAGGGGGTGACGAAGTTGTCGTATGAGGTGCCGGTGGAGGTTTGAGTGGTCGTTAGGGTTGTGGTTGTAGATGTGGGCGTGAGATTTTACATGTATAGAGGTGTATAACAGAATTCCATGATCGTATATGATCATATACAGCACATAGACTTGTCTTGCTGACACTGCTGGCATTTCCAGAACTACTAGTCATAAACCCTCAAACTTTTAAGTACGATACTTGTTGATATATTAAGATAGATCTCGAACTAGTATCATTAGTAGAAATCCGATATAATGCTAGGAGTTATAACCAAAATATTGCACCACGTTTTCGGATGCGAGATTTGAATGCTATACCGAATAAAGACTCTCAGAATTATAGTATGTATTGGAAAATTTTTGGATTTATGTGTAGCAATATTAGTCTCAATTGTACAGTTGGTGTTTGAATTTACTAATATGCCCACACAGGTGTAGTACTTATTGAAAGTATGTCTATCGCAATTAACTGACACGATAGTAGATAATCGCGCATAACAAGGGTACCTGGCTCGGTTCCTGCAGCAGAGGCACCTGCATGATGTAATGCATAAGGCTGCGGCGTAGCGTTGCGACTTCATCTCCAATGTTTGGCCGGACCGAGTGCACATGGGCAGGCTATGACCCGTTTGAGGCATAGCTACCATGACTCGACCTGATGCTAATGCAGAGTTGGTCGTCACTGGCCCGAGTCAAGCATTTAAGTGTATTCAAGGTTGCATAGACGGTCTCTTAGGACTGCAGGCATAATGCAGGGACCGTCGTCCTCAAGTACAAGCATTCGCCCAGCGAATACCCAAGGCGGCAGAAGGATCAAGGTGTCTTGGCTGGAACGCTGCGATAATATATGGCTGGCACCAAGCTTTGGCTAAGAAGCTTCCAAGGTGCTTGTTTCCAGAGATTGCAAAGGTATACGAGGTGACACCACCCCAGTGTGACTTCAACCTACAAGGGTGGGTCATTTCTAGCAAGAGGATCACAAAATGAGACCTTCATCAGTAATTCGGTGCATTATGATCTGAGGTGTGTACCGTGCCTTGATTCAGCTCTTTTACATCTCTACACCCAGTCAGCAGCGGCAGCAGCAACGACAACAAAAGATGAGGAAATCAGACGGGAACGGCTTCATTAATTAACACCCAAACAAGTCTAGTGGCAGCATCGGAGATACACCGTGCAAGACCCACTCCCCTCCTCACTTGACCAATGGACCAGCAATGCGATAACACGCCTTGGCTTCCCCGCGTGTGATTGGGATCTTCCGTCGGCCGCCGCCGGGGCTGACACCATGTCACTCTTCGTATCTTCTCCGCACCGGGACCTAGGAAAATACCTCGAGGTACTTGGTGCTTATCACCGGTCCGACAGCGGAGGGGAATGTCGCTTCACTTTGGGAAATTGAGCACGTGGGCAGTCTTCTGTCTCTGTCAGTGGTCGATATGCGCTCTTTCTCCATCGTCGGAGATGAGATCGACCGACTCAGACGGCGATTGCAGCTCCCCGCAATGAGGAGAGCAATTGCCGGCTGGAGGCTATATAAGGGCCTACATCTCGCAACTCAAGCTGTAAGCCAAAGCAGTAGGCTTCGGATCATCGCCGGATAAAGAAGACTAGCACTTGTCTCTCCATTTACTCACTTCTCTGTCCTTTCTCACAATCCTCCTCATGCCCTCCTCCTCGTCCCTCCTCCGGACCGCCTGTGCTCTAGGTCTGGCTTCCGGAGCGTCCGCCTTCTCCTACCCCGCCGCCATCCCCCAGTCCACCCAAGAGAAGCAGTTCTCCCAAGAGTTTCGCGATGGATACAGCATCCTGAAGCACTACGGCGGCAACGGCCCCTACTCGGAGCGAGAGTCCTACGGCATCGCCCGGGACCCGCCCACTGGCTGCGCCGTCGACCAAGTCATCATGGTCAAGAGACACGGCGAGCGATACCCTTCTCCCAGCGCTGGCGCGGGCATCGAGGCCACTCTGGACAAGGTGTACTCGGCCAACGTCTCCGAGTGGAAGGGTGATCTCGCCTTCCTCCAGGACTGGACCTACTACGTACCCAACGAGTGCTACTACAACGCCGAGACGACCAGCGGGCCGTACGCGGGCCTGCTGGACGCATACACCCACGGCAACGAATACCGGGCACGCTACGGCCACCTCTGGGACGGCGAGTCGGTGCAGCCCTTCTGGAGCAGTGGCTACAGCCGCGTCATCAACACCGCCCGCAAGTTCGGCGAAGGATTCTTCGGCTACAACTACTCCACCAACGCCGCCCTCAACATCATCTCCGAGTCCGAGACCCTGGGCGCCGATAGCCTCACGCCCAGCTGCGACGTCGACAACGACGACTCGGTCTGCAATAACCTCGTCTACGTGATGCCGCAGTTCAAGGTGGCAGCTGCGCGGCTGAATGCGCAGAACCCAGGCCTGAGCGTCAACGAGACGGATGTCTACCATTTGATGAGTATGTCCTGCTACCACCTTAGTTGAGCATCAGCTGACCACCGCAGCCATGGCATCCTTCGAGCTCAACGCTCGTCCCTACTCCGATTGGATCAATGCCTTTACCCAAGACGAATGGGTCACTTTCGGGTACCTCGCAGACCTAGACTACTACTACTGCGCTGGGTAGTTCCCCCTGCCGTTGCCGTTAATGGATGAGCCTCAACCCTAACATCGATCTAGACCAGGCGACAAGAACATGGCTGCCGTAGGAGCCGTCTACGTCAACGCCAGTCTGACGCTGCTGAACGAAGGCCCGGAGAAAGCCGGCTCCCTCTTCTTCAACTTGTAAGCCTTTCCTGGCCCTGCGCCAACTCGAATAAACTGACCCCACAATAGCGCCCACGACACCAACATCACTCCCATTCTCGCTGCGCTAGGCGTGCTCATCCCCGACGCCGACCTCCCTCTAGACCACATCCCCTTCGGCAACCCGTACAGCATCGGCAACATCATCCCGATGGGCGGCCACCTGACCATCGAGCGGCTCAGCTGCAACGCGACCGCCGCGACGGAGGAGGACACCTACGTGCGCCTGGTGCTGAACGAGGCCGTCCTCCCGTTCAACGACTGCCAGTCCGGGCCGGGGTACACGTGCTCGCTGGCCAACTTCACCTCGATCCTGAGCGAGAGTCTGCCGGACTACGTGTCGACCTGCAAGGTGCCCAGCTCGTACCCGCAGTACCTGGATTTCTGGTGGAACTACAACACGACCACGGGCCTGAACTACCGGACGACGCCGATCGGGTGTCAGGAGGGGGAGAGTTTGGAGTAGATTATGAATATTGAATATCAGTTGTGGTGAGACGAGGAGCTAATGAATGAAACTTCCTACCTTCGATTCTACGTTCTACAAATCCACTGCACAGCGCAAGTACCATAAATGAGGCATAATTCGTTAAGATAAAAGCAAAGCATACGTGGAAGGTCAAACCCTCCTCTCCGTCTCCGTGACATAGAACGACTTCTGCACCCTGACCATCCTCTCACTACCCACCACATCCGTGCCCCACTGGCCCCCGCCCACCACGCCCCCCACCGTATTCTCATACCGGAACCCCATCCCCGTCAGACTCTCCTGACTATCACTCTTCCCTCTCTCCCTGCCCCTCCCTGCTCCCAAATCACCAACCCCGCCACCACCACCGACGACAGTCGCCATCGCCATCGCCGTCGCCGACCGCTCCACCCCGTGCACATCCGGCCGCCACGCCGTATCCACCAACTCGACCTCGAGATCCTGGTCCTTCTCCGTGCGGGAGCGCGAGAAGCTCGAGAACGGGAAGCTGCCGCGGGACCGGGAGCGGGGCTTGCGGCCGGTGCCGCCGCTGCGGGTGGTGTACGTGTAGGCATAGGGAGTTTTAGGGGTGGACGAGGCCCCGTGGTCCAGGAACTTGCGGAGCAGGGGCCGAAGAGTCACCAGGCTGCCGGCTGTGATGCCTAGTCCGAGTTCGAGGAAGGACCAGAGGTCGATTTGGTAGGTTGAGTCTTTGGGGTGTTAGCTTTACCTTCAAGGGGGTGAAAGGTGGGGGGGGGGGGCGCGCACATAGAAAGTCGAGGTCTTTGTAACTTGGTAGGAAGGGGATGCGGATGATTAGGGCCAGGCATGCACTATACTTGTTAGTATTTCGTTGCACGATCAAAGAGTGAGAGGGATCGTGAAAGGGGGAAGGGGAAGGCACATACACACAACCCATACTCAACGTCGCGCCCAGCGCGATCTTCGTCCGCGGGTTGATTTGCAGCTTGCGCACCAGCAGGATCGGCAGCACGCCCAACGCCAGGTCGCACGCCGCGCAGATACTGCTGTACACGTAGGCGACGACCAGCAGCACCGAGGTGTCCAGACACTGGCCCCGCCCGCTGCGCTCCCAGAACTCCGAGACCGGGTGGCATTGCAGCACCATGAAGAACCAGAAGACCAGCCCCACGGTCACCGAGGCGCAGATGGCCGTCCACAGGATGATCCGGTGGGATTGGCGCACCGTCAGGCGGAGCAGGGCGAGCGCGATCGACACCTTGGCCACGCCAGAGGCCCACATGTAGATGAGCTGGCCGAGCCACCACCACTATTTCTGGTCAGCATCATCGAAGGTAGTGGTGAGGAGCATAGGAAGGGGCCGTACAAGCATGGCGCGGTGCAGGTCGTCCATACTCCGGAAGTCGGTCAATTTGCGACCGATGCCTTCCTTGGCGCCGACGATGGCGCAGACCGTCAAGAAGATGTTCAATACCTTCGGGTTCGTCAGTGGTGGAGCGATGAAATCCGAGCGGAGGGATAGCCAACCGTAGCAATCACCATCAACCCATCATCCCATCCAAACGCCTTGATCAGTCGCAATCGCACGTACGAGCGCAGGCACACGGTGATGAACGACACGGACATGCACACAACGGCGACGATCAGGATCTCCTTGCTGCGCCCTTCGACGGGCATCATCTTGGCGGTGGTTTGGACGATTCCTTCACTCTTTCATTCAAATGGGGGTGGGGTGGTACTCTTGTGGTGGAGTTCGGATATGTTAGCTGCGATACGTGCTGCGGGAACGGCCAAAGACTTTTATATGAAGCAGCGACGTAAAGCACATGTCCGGTCGAGGAGACGCGACTCGCAAAGTGGAGGATTGAGACGAAGGCGCAGGCTGCAGAACCTTAACTCGAATATAGTTCTCGTAGGGGGGTAGTGTAGGTTCAGAGAGAGTCGCAAATCGAGTCAATGGGTGAGTGTGGTGGCAGCACTACCGAGAGCCGGGTCCTGCCCAATGGCGGTCGTCGAAAAGCAGTGACTGGATCTGATACACAGGAGAAACCGCGACTGCTGACGGGCGGGCGATGCGGACGGTGTCAGTGTACTTAAATGACTCTCACGGGGAGGGGTGGCAGGGATGCGCGGTGTTTTGGGCTTCGAGAAGGACCCAGTCTCGCCCTTCGGCTACAGTCTGTCCAGGCAGAATACGAGCTGGCCATGGTTCTCCCGGCCCAGGAAGCAGATTGGCGAGGGGGATCGGCCAGCGTGAACTGACTCGAGAGGGGGCAACACTCCACGGTTCGTCGCAGAATCGAAACTACCGGACTAGTGTTCTCTGGGTGAGCACGGGGCTGGAATGGCGCGGGTAAGTTCCAAGATTCAGGAACCACGATGGCGATATTGGTTCCTGTGGGGCAGTCGACGGGCGTCGAGCGGATCAGCAGGAGCTCTGGCTCCAGGTGAATGGCAGAACCGCTAAGAATATCCCGAGAGTGTATCAGAAACTGCCGCGACACGAGGTTATTCTGTTAACGGGGTTGACATTGACAATGTGTTTCGATTCTCAATCGCAAGGCGGTGGTTTGAAATCTCTCAATGACATCTGACCCAGATCGATCGCGAAACTCCCCGATCAGGATTGCAGTTAATCTCGGGAGCACATCGCCAAGGCATCTGGCTGATCGAGCTGAGCAGCGGCGATAGCCGGAGCCCCTGCGGCCTCGGAGGCTGGAACCGACCTCCTTAAAGCGGATAGCTGCGGAGTGCCCTAACCCGAGCCTTGACTCGCTGACCTCGCCTACCGACTGTCTCTAGTCCCAGTCCAGCAAAAGACCGACCTGCAAGCGATGAGACCGGCCTGGCGTCTGGAGCCGAGACTGCTCCCGCTGGATCATTTATCCACCCGCGCCCTGGCGATGGTGAGAAAGACCTACGCATATACTATATACAGCGACGCACCTGCCACCGTGAGGTCTGGCCAGCAGGGAGATGGGTGAGATTTCATTTCCCGGGTGCAGCGCAAAAGGACCGGCTCCAACTTTATTTTGTCTTAGGGCGAGTCGTTCAGGAATCAAGATACTGGGTCGATTTTGTGAGCACTGAGCTACGTCTGTGTACTGCGAAGCCATCGCCTGATCGCCCAGCAACAATAATTCCGGTCGCTACCAGAGTTGAGCAAACCAGCCGACCGGAAGAATGATCCAGGAAGAGCTTCTGTCCTCTTGAGAATCAGGACATTAGGACAGAATGGCCTGATGCATGCGTTGATGTTCAAAGTAGAATTTTCGATCTTCCCGCAAAATTGGGTTCGTTGTCGGAGAGGGACCAGGAATGTTTCAAAGCTCGTGCAGCTCTCCTCTTGAGGTTAAAAGAGATATTTCGGTTTCACCTCTTTCACTTTTATCTGCAGTATCTGACTCGAGCCAACTTCATCTCCAATGGCGATGTCTGTGATGAATGTGCTGGCGGCGGCCAACTGACCAGTGTGAAAACTGACGAGGGGTAATCCCAGTCCGGGTTGTTCTACTTTGAGGCAAAGCCCCGAGAATGAATCCCTAGCGGGTCGCCAGCGGCACGTGGTCGGCTACGCGATGGTAATCAGATCGATTCAACAACGAACTAATAATCAGTAAAAGGGGAGTAGTCTGGGGATCTCTTCATCATTCACCCGAGTCACTTCTGCCTTGGATTGTGGGTGCCATTGCGCCCGAATGAAAACAAGAAGACACCCACAAAATCCCGGTACCGTGGTTCAGTAGGCGAAGTTCCGCTAGTTTGGAACAAAAAAAGAAAGAATGAACATGGAAGGCGGGAGGGAGATAAACAAAGAAGGGTGGACGGAAGGGAGGAGAAATTATGGGCCGCGAAGAAACTGCACCCGCGCGGATTCGAACCGTGAATCTCTGTGTGAGTGTCGATATCCTCATTCAACCAACCATATCTAACGCCCTCCAGGCTTTTCTTCTCCCTGAGCACGCAGCGCTTATACTCTGCACATCTCATACAGTCTATCTTATTATGTGACTTTGTGTAATGATATGCTAGGTCGATCCACCTTCTAAGACCCAGACAATCAGGTCACCATAGCTACGGTGTCCAGGTCAGAGGACAAGATCGCCGCTTACGGGGTACTTTCCCCATTCACCTTCAGCTGCCTGCGACCGGGAACACATACTGGTCGCCTGGCAGCTGATTCATCTCCAATTTTACCCCACGAATGATGGATGAAAGCAGAGTCAATGGAACAAAGTTCTACGCCGATTAAGCGTTACGAGGACTAGACACTACCATGGAACTCATCGCGACCGCGGTCAAGACCCCGTGACACGAGCCTCGACAGCTCTGTAGGGCATCCGACGGCAAGCCTGCTTTGTCTACCCCGAATATACTTACCTAGTATTGTTCCATGGCTGTCGATCAGGCCGGAATCACCAGCACAGCCCGCTCAGCCGCAGTGGGGAGACACAAGGCTGACAGCTTGACATGACCGGTGACTAGTATTAAGCATTGTCCTGCGAAATGCATCCTTCAGCCACGCTGCGCCTCGATGAGGGTGTTGGACCGCAACCTGGCGGTGTCAGATGCCTTATATGCCTTATATGCTCCTCGACTGCCCCTCAACTTTTAGCCTCTGGCTCCTCTGGCATCACTCGCAGCAAATATCCCTCCAAACCAGCACAATCCCGGCCACCACAATGACCACCAACATGGCCCCCGCCGCCCTCAACGTCCTCTACTACTTTCAGAAACAAGAGCTGAAGCTCGACTTCAACTCCCCCGACCGTGCGCAAGCCTACCAGAATCTGAATCGAGAAGGTCGCATCTACGCGACGGAGCCGACAGCTGTGTATCTGCCGCTCACCCCCTCGATGGCCTACCTGCGCGACAGCCACAACGGACTAGTGATCGGGTTCACCACGGGCGCAGAAGCCCACCGATGGTGCCAGACAGCCGTGCTGGGCCGGCTGCATTGTCCCAGCACACCGCATGAGGTGCGCATTCGGCGCGCCTGGACCGACGAGGCCCTGGACCAGCAGCTCCAGATGCAGCAGTTTCCGCTCTTCATGCCGGCGCAGGGGGAGGCGCCGCCCTCCCCGGCCCCATCCGCTCACTCCTCCACCACCGGCAGTACCAAGCGACAACCGGTGACCCCAGGCTCACCCCCTCACGCACAACCGACATGGAGCCCCGAGGCACCACCCTGCCAGCCGAACAAGGCAAATAGTCAACCAGGGAGCTACCGGGGCGCCAGACAGACCATGTCGATGCAGCTTCCGCCGTCGACCGCCGCGCATCTACCCGTGCCGATGCCTTCTCAGCTCCTCCCGGCCCCGTTGACCATCGGGACGCAGGAGCGCCCACCAGCAACGCAGGGGATTGAACGACGCCCACGAGCGAGCAGCTTCTACTAAATCCGAGGATTCTGTTTCTGGTCTTGTCTTTCAAGCAAAGCATACTAAGCATGTACCGCATAGCGAGGAGTTAGCAATGGAATTGTATTTGAATTGTGTCAAAATCGTGCTACGCTCAGCAATCATACACTGCATGCCCTAATCCCGGTCAATTCCTCTCCGGCCAGGCGTTATAGAGCCCCTCCGACACAGAGACATTCTTGAACTGCACCTCGCCCTCGCCGTTGTGGAAGAAGCGGATCTGGGTGGAGTTGTCGTACCACGATCTCGCCCAGGTGCTCAACGCAAAGCGCCCGTTGGCATACACCTCGACAACCGAGTTATCCACCACGACAGTGAGATCCAACGTCTCGACCTTCTCCTGGCCGTTCTCGACCACATCGAACAACCGCAACTTGCCGGACTCAGTAAAGCTATCCAGCCCGGGGTTCGTGGGCGCCGCCGCACTGGTCTGGCTGCGGTCGACGACCAGCGACTCATTGCTGAACTGGTAGTAGACGGTCGTGCGCTCCAGCTCGGACGCCAGGATCTCGAACCCGGACTGGAGGTTGGACGAGCGCGCGCTCGCGGGGAACTCCAGCTGCGCCGTCAGCACGAAGAACTTGGAGCCCGGCGACTGCGCGAACGGCACGACGGCCGCCGTCTGCAACGTGCGGGCCTCCTCCGTGGTCACCGAGCCGTTGGCCAGCAGGGCCGCCTTGGTCTCCCTGGCGATCGTGATCCCCAGCGTGCGCAGCGTGGCCGTCTTGTTGTTCGACTCCCCCACAACCCACGACACGCCCTCCTCGCGCACCAGCTCGTTGTCGACGACGTTCTCCACCGTCTGCACCTTCAGCTCGCGCGGCAGCAGCAGCGACCCCGTCCACCCCTGCTGGGCCGTGGGGAACCCGTCCGCCTGCTCGTACTGGTCGCCCGTCAACCAGACGAACGAGACATACCGATCCACATCCACGCCGCTGGTCTTCGACACCGCCGAGCTGGCCGGCAGCACCTTGCCCGCCGCAGCGTAGGCACTGAACCCCCAGTCCAGAAACCCGGCCATGGAGGGGGAGAACTCGACCTTGGCACCCTCCTCCTCACTGCCAACCCCGACCTCACCCGCCGCCCACAGCATATCATGGATACTAGAGACCTGCGGCACGATGGGCAGGCCAGACCCCTCCGTGCCGAGGGTGACGAACACCTCGCCAGTCTGGGGGTCATGGCCCTCCTCCGTGAGGAAGAGCACATTCCCCGTCTCGAAATTGAACCCCCAGCGCCCAGCCCAGGTGCCCTCCTCGCCCCAGCTGGAGTTGGTCGCCTCCTGCCACCACTCCCCAAGGTACTCCCAGTACTGGAACTCGGAACCATTCCCGCCGTTCTGGCGGTAGAGGAACTGCGCGGGCCCGACGCCGTGCACCCCACCAGAGACAGCGACATACCAGGGGGCGTTCTTCTCCGTCCAGCCATCGACAGCCTGCTGCACGGCCGTCTCATTCCCTGCCACCTCTTCATTCAACGACAACAGCACATCCAACCTGGCACTGCGGAAGACAAACGGATCACGGAACGCGGTGACATCGACGGCAAAGGGATGGTCGGCAATGACGGGACCCTGGTCGAGCTTCTCGAAGCGGCGGCCGCCATCGCGCGCGACGGCCAGCGACTGCGTCTCGCTGCCGCGGGTGTAGGGGATGGACCAGTGGATGGGCAGGAAGGAGACGGAGGTGTAGAGTAAGGTGGGGGTGTTGTTGACGCCGACGGGGATGACGGCGCCGTCGAACACGGCGACGGGGTCGTTCTTCCCGCCCGGCTGGATCAGGAAGCTCCCGTTGCCGGAGGTGTCGGTGTAGGTAGCCAGGTTGGCCGTGGTGGCGCCCGCGATACCGTCCCCGTCGTGCAGGAACCCGACGTGGAAGAGGCCGGTGGAGGGGTCGGTGTAGTGCGCGCAGGGGTCGCCGATCTGGCCCTCGGCGGGCAGGATGTGCGCGCGCGGCCGCCACAGGTGGAAGAGGGTGTTGTTGGGGAGGGTGCTCAGGTTGGTCGGCGGCGGGGCCGTGGTGTCCAGGTGGTATGAGGCTGCTGCTGCTGCTGCGCCGGTGGCGAGCGCCAGGGTGGTGGTGGGGAGCTTCATCGTGATGCTCCTGGATTAGATGGCGTCGAGGAGGGTCTTGCCACCGGGGAGATGGGGCGCTTTATATGTCGCTTGCGCTGTTGCTTGCGCTGCTGCTTCTCTTCGTGATGTCCTGCTCAGAGCAGACCCTTGTGCATCGTCATACGATGAATCTCCATGGATTCTCCGCGATTTCGGCGAAATCCCGCACTTCCAGGGTTGCGGGGTGAAGGGCGCAGAGGATATCGCCGAGGTTTTGCCTGGGGTTTCGCCGACGGCGAGCTCTCGGCTGTCGATCTGGGTTGAATGGGGTTAGAGTCTTGGGGGGGGAGTTGGAAGTAGGGCAGGTAGACGAGGTGGAAGGTGGATGGGAACTTGATTATTTTGTTTTCATCGCGTAAATGCTGGATGGTGGCCTAACAAGGGATGGGTTGAGTTGAGGCTGGGAGTTTCGGGCCGAGGAATGTATGTACTGTACGCTCTCCGGATGCGGAGGCCGATCACTAATTGGTAATACGGAGTTGCTCGCCCAGCCCTAACTTCATTCACCCAAAATAATGGGCTATGCTTCAAGACCAAGGTAATAACTGACATAACACCCTCCATGGGATTGAAGGTGCACGCAGTGTCAACCAGTAGCATGGTCTGTCATTGATCATACGTCCTGGTTCGTAGTCGAATGGGGACTGACCGGGGTTCCTCACTGCTATAGCCATGTGGTGTATGCGCGGAGGAATAATTGGTGGTGGGATTTCTAGGCTGTCCAGCTTTGCAATTGTGTGTCGTATTCCTTCTGGGCCTCTTTTTCTGGTTTGCTGGTGTGGCCCCGGCAGCACAGTTTTGCGTAGATATAGAATATTCAATGGTTGGTGCCGCATAATATATAACCGCCCACCAGACTATCGCGACATCAGTATACCACAATTAATATTATTGGGTAAGCATGAAGTCGCTCCATTAGAGTCACAGGAAGAAGAGATCATACCCTGGTCGACCTTCTGTTCACCTGAAAATGAGCAATTGTTGATATTTACTGCAGGGCCAGTATTCTGCACTCTTTCTTACGCTGTGGGGCATATTACCACAAATAAGTACACGAACGGGGCTATGGCAAAGATGTTGTCCGCTCATTTAACATTATATCCTGCCACCATCACGTGTACTGGGGCAATGGCGCATCTGGGAGCGCGTCAGACTGAAGTACTAACTTCGGCCATTAATCTGAAGGTGGCCGGTTCAAGCCCGGCTTGCCCCAACAATTTTTGCCGTTCTTGTTGGCCCTTTTTCTTTCCTTGGTGGGTCCAACTCCGTACTGGGTGGTGGGTTTGTAGACAGTATGCGCCAATGGCGGACAATGGCGAGCGGTGAGCGGATTTTAAAGCCTCAGGCTACAAGAAGTCTCCCGGGGCGAAAAGATGGGGTTGGAACAGACCACCAGATCATATTTATATTCCGAGGACATTACTCTTGCACCTAAACTATATATACTGTGTCGATGAAGATGATATTTACTCCAGTATATAATTCAAAGACAACCTTATCAGTATGCTGTATAATAGATATGTCAGTTGCGAGGCTCATTACACCCAGTGTTATGAAGATATCTGTCGCAACTGAGTGGTACGCCTTGAACCATGCGATGAAGCGATAGCGCTTTTGGGACGTATAAGAGCCAGAGTGGAGCACAAGATATCAATATTGGGACGATGGCGCATCTGGGAGCGCGTCAGACTGAAGTACCAACTTCGGCCATTAATCTGAAGGTGGCCGGTTCAAGCCCGGCTCGTCCCATTGTTCTTTTTCTCTTTTTTTTTTTTCCCGTTCCTACACGCCAGGACCCGTGTGGGGCTAATTAATTCCACCCACATGTGGGGCGCCGCAAGGACGAGTATTAGAGCCATCAGTCGGAGAGTTACTAGATTGAAAAGAGGTATACTGCCGTAATGGCATGTTTTTTATTGCTTTATATAGATAGAAGTGACAGAGAGTCTAAAGAGTGACTAGGGCAGACAGACCTGAGATGATCTGCATGCACGGATGATTGGAAATGCTAAAAGAGTGACCAGTGCCGCAGCACTCAAATCTTCAGGTCAACCCTCAGAGAGGGGGTGGAACTAGCAAACATCGTAATTCCCCTCGTCAGCCCCATGGGCACCACCAGCAACGATAACACCAGTTCGGCCGGCACCATGGCCACCACTGGCATGACCACTGGCATGACCACCGCCGCCATGACCGCCACCGCCGCCGCCTGCGCCGCCACCACCACCACCCTTACGCTTCTCCTTATCCTTGCCCTTATCCTTGCCCTTGTCCTTGTCATCCTTATCTTTCCGCTTTCGCGCATAGCACGCATCCGCATGGCCCTTGTCCTCCCCATGGTCATCATAATACCGCACCGCCCCCCTACACTTGAAGTTCTTGTCGACGATCACGAACTCGCGCCCGGTCACATCGGCCTTGCCGTCGTAGACGCCGCCGGCCACGAGCGGGAACTGGAACAGCTCATCGGGCTTCTTGAAGAGGTCGCTGGCGCGGCGGTCCAGGGGCTTGGGGAAGTTGGCGTAGTCGTGCGGGTGCTCCTCCTTGGCCTCGTGGATGCGCTTGGCCTGCTTGACGGCGGCCTTGACGTGGTCGCGGGTGAAGACGTGGTCGTGGCAGACAATCTCAACGTTGGTGTCCTTCTCGCGGGGGGTGATGGTGAGATGGGTTAGGTCGGGGAGGGGGTTACCGGTGGTGGTATTGGGGCTGAGGGCCGAGGCGGAGTCCTCGGGGAGCGGGGTGGAGGGGCGGGAGGGAAGCGGGGAGCCGCTGGCGCCCATGAGAAGGCCAAGGCCTCCCAGGAGGACAACTTCGGGGTGGAAGTGCATTGTGCTTTTGTGGGTGGGGTTGGGTTTGGGTGTTGGGTTGGTGTAGGTTGTACGAGTGAAGTTTTAGCTTGATTGAAGCTTGCTTCGGGTGTACTGATGTTGGTGAGAGGGGTTGATAGGAGACTATTAGCTAGGTTGAGAAAGGTAGTATTTATAGGCATTCGATGAAGCCGGACTGGAGTAAGTGTATAGAGGAAGACTTGATTGACTCTTTGTCAGTAGGTGGATGTCCTTGTTGAATCCCAATAGAACAATTGCTTTGTTCGGGACACCATCATCCCTTTGACGAGTAGAAAGGTGAGAGGTAGATAAGGAATCAACTCATTATGATTCCGCTAGCTAGAGCATACAGGTGCATGGTTTGAACTACAATACAATACTGAACTCCGGCGTAAGTTGCATGACTTTTGGCCGTTAGTCCGACATCCCGAAACCAGTGACTTGCCCTGCGTCAAAGAAGCCCCGAATTCGACAATTAACTCTTAGCGAGAACCACCGCAAGATCTTCTGATTGAGTAACGTGCAGTAGTTGCAGTGTTCTATCTTTATGCCACAGATTCGGCGAGCAGAACCGGTCATACCACCTTGGGTCTCAGCAGACCTCGCATCATTGGCAGCGGAAATCCTTTCCGCGCGCGGCATTTGCCGCCTTCTATCACAAATGGAAGAATGACTTTCCGACTAGGTAGTAGTCCATTCTGCACTCAACATGACGGAGATTGATAATCATTCCAACATCTCCGTCAAGGAGCGATGGTCGGTGGCGTTGTCTCCTTAGTCATCGCGCAGCTCATGAAATGACCTCTTTGAGTCGATTTGTCATACCTCAACTTCATAGACGTCAAGATGTGCGGTGTATAAGAGCGGAAAACTTACCACAACAGAAGGGCTCTATTCACTCACACCTTTCATGATATTAGAGCAACGGTAGCTGTCTATTGACAAGAAAAGCGAAGAAACAACCCCTTTGAGTTCAACCTCTGATCATCATGGCCGCTACCAAGGTAGCTCTTGTCGGAGTCAGTTTCCTTAAACCTAGTTCTTCCCCCAATGCCCCCTTTGATTTCTCAGATGTTGCGGAACAGCTAACACCTCACGGGGCTTAGGCTTCTGGCAATCTTGGACCGGCGATTTTATCCGAGCTACTGACGGCCGGTTTTGATGTCACGGTCCTTACCCGGCAGGACAGCGCCAAGGAGTTTGATTCAAGAGCTCATGTTGCGAAGGTTGCCTATTCGTCTCTCGAGTCCCTTCAGGCGGCGTTAGCTGGCAATGAGGTGGTGGTAAACACTTTAGGCGTTGGCTCCGTTCCCCGGGATGTTCATCTCCGCCTGGTGGATGCCGCAGTAGCCGCGGGAGTCAAGCGTTACATTCCCTCCGAGTTTGGATCCCACACCACCCACCCGGCGACGGCACGGCTTCCCGTCTTCGCCGACAAGGTTGCGGTGCAGGAACACCTCCGGCAGAAAGCGTCCCATTCCGTGGATTTCACGTATACGCTGCTGTTCAACGGCCCCTTCCTCGATTGGGGGCTGAAAGTGGGCTTCCTGTTGAATCTCGCTGGCCCTGTGGCTACCCTCTACGATAATGGTGAGAGAAAATTTAGTACGACCACCACAAGCGGGGTGGGGCAGGCCGTGGTGGGGATCATCAAGAACCTTCCCGCGACGGCCAACAAGGAGGTGTTCGTCCATCAAGCCGTGGTCTCCCAGAGGGAGTTGCTGGCTCTCTCCGGCAAGCATCTGGAGACCAAGGCTGTCTCGACATCCGACCTGGAACAAGAGGCGTCGGCGGAGCTGGCTAAGCCCAGCCCCAACTTCCAGGCGGCTGCCGTTGGCTTCTTGCGCAGAGCAATCTTTGGCGAAGGATTTGGAAGCCACTTCAACTCAGGTGATCTTAATAATGAAGCGCTTGGGGTGCAACCGCTGTCGGAGAATGAGCTTCGCGAACTGGTCGCTCAGTTTGCGCGTTAAGCTTTACCTTTACTCCTTTCGTGGGGCGTGTCTGTTAGAGTCACGCTGACTAGGCTGCTCGGCTAGGGCGCCGATGATTCATGTCGATAGGCGTCGACTTTTATGCCATGATTCTTTTGCCGGTTGGAAACATGTATTATGGAATCAATCATACATAGTTTTAGTGCCAAGCTGTGAAGCTGGCCTTCCAAGGGCCACATGGTAAGTATTCAATCATATGTACATATTCAGTATTTATCCCTAAATCAGCTAAAATCATGTCAAAGACATTTGACACCTGTTTGATGAAGCGAATGTTTTGCTCTGTGAAAAAGAAAAGATGCTGAACGAACCGATTTGTTACAACGTAAATTCATTGTATAGGGACAAACAAATCTAGGTAACCAGGTAGCGGTCAAAGACAGGATCACTGAGATCGCTCCGGAACCTTGACATTCAATACTCCTCTAAAAAGCCATAAGATAGGCCGGAAGTCAGATACAGTCCGAGGTACAAAAAGCTTGAAAAGAATCAGACATCGGACTAATCCAGGTCGGGAAACACACTCGCAGAAAACTGGGTCGGAAGGCACGCGGTGGAGAATGACTCGCTTGCCTCCGACTCTTCCGACGCACCGGGAGAGCGGATCACCGCGCGCTTGTTGCTTGATTGCCGCATACGGAAGACCATTGCGGCCACTCGGCAAATAGAACTTTACTCATTAAGTCTTCTCACCGCAGAGGTCACCGCCCACTAAAAAGGTGGCCGCCTTTTCAAAAAGTATATAAGCCCTCTTATAATATTAAATATATTTATAGTTCTATATTTAAATCTGCGTGCAAGCCTGCAAGACCGTCCGCTTATAATTAAGTAAATATACTGATCCGATTAAAGAGAATTTTAATAATTATAAATCCTAATTAAGCCAGCCGGTTCTATATAAATCCGACTCGGTATTTTTTTTGCAGTATATAGTCCGATGGCCTAGTTAATAAAATCTTATATTTAAAAAATAAAATAAAAAATGGAGCTTCGGGGTATGTTGCGGTGCGGCCGAGTTTCTATGCCACTAATATTCGATGGTGGTTGGCTGCTGCAGCTGAGGGGAGGGTGAGGATGGCGTATCCGGAGGCGAAGTTTGATTTAGTGGTGCCGGAGGATATTGGTCGGGCTTGTGGGACGCTCCTTGCGCAAGGGAGCAGTGTGGTGCAGGGCAGTTATGTGAATCTTCTGGGCCAGGAGGAGCTGGCGCTGGGAGATGCTGTTCGGTTTCTGAGTCAAGAGACCACCGGGCAAGAGGTGGAGATTGTCACAGTTGGCGAGGAGGAAGAGATCGAGTGCTTGGTGACGAAGCTTGGGTTCCCCGAGCCGCTGGCACGGGCTGTCGTGCAGCAGAATCGGGAGCAGAGCCTTGGTCTCGGTCGTGGGCTTGTCGATTTCGCGACGGATGCGGATTATGCGCGGAATGTGTACCGCATCACTGGGACTCAGTCGACGGGATTCAGAGAATGGGCCCAGAAGGGGTAAAGACATCGCTTGTGCTTGTTGGGGAGACAGATAAAGTGGAAATCTAGGCGTTGGCGAAAGTAAATGTCAAATTGGCCCTGCAATGAAGTACACTATTGGTCAAGTATTGGTAGTATTTTAGAAGACTCATGTGAGAAGGCCTCATTCTAGTTTACACTGTAGGCATCATCCAGCAGAGATCTAGCCCATTGGGCCTGATTCGAGGTGTGTCATGTGGATCCAGCGGATTTCCTCTCCAAATCCCCCTTCTCCCGCGCATAGACCCCCCCGATCAGTCGAAACAGAAAGTCTAATGGACATCGCAACCAATTCCCAGCCGATAGCGAAAGGGGATCATCGGCTGGAGCACGGGCAATTTCTGTAGGACCGCCTGAATCCAGAGATGTTCCCGGTTGAGAGTATATTTCGCTACAAAATAATCGAAGGTTTCCTCATCGTTTCGCCAGTCGTAGTCGGGGTAGGACAGGAGGAACAGGCTGTAGCGACCGGGTACGCTGACTGGCACTTCGGCCTTCGCCTCCTCATCAGTCGGTGAAATGCATTCCAGGCCCAGCGACGGTCAATGTACTCCTTCCACCGAGCGAGTCGGTCGGGCAGGGACTGGTGTTTGTTCTCCAGCAGTGCGAAGAACTCCGCGGCGGCTTTCTGTTGGAGCTCCCGAGTCCACTTTACTGCTGAATCGGTGGAATAGGTAGTGGTGGGTAATAGGATGACAGTGGGGTTTTGTGTCCGCCAGAGCTAATGGTTACGGCGCAGGGTTTCCGAGTCAGTTGGGTTGACGTAGCGCACAGGGGCTAGCTCCAACTCCCCGAACAGTCCGGATTGCAGCGCTTGAGTATCGTCCATGAATTCAAAACTGATAGTCTGGACCAGCACCAGCCAGTGATCGCGCATCGCGTACTTGTCCAGCGCCTCGACACGAGAATTGCCGGCAAAGAAGGGGTTGTCCAACTCTTGCCGAAGATGGCGGTCTGTGGTAGAGATTAGGTTGCGCGCTGCTTTCCGTACCACCGCGCAGAAGTATGGGATTGCGTTAATCTCGTCATTCCAAAGAGTGTAACCGCCTTCATCGCCTTCGTCCCAATTGAAATGCAAGATATCGGTACCTGGTCGGAAGCGGAAGTGCTCGTATGCGGCGGAATAACACGGGCGCGGGATCTCGATGTCTGCATTCGGGTTGTGATATTCTTGAAGGACCAGCTGGCGTGACTCGGGGCAGACAGCGGCGAGTACAGGCAGTCGGAGGTGGTAGCGGTGATGGACTTCACACAACCCGTGGCAGGGTTCATTATTGTAGATCGGACGATCAAACGCTATACAACCTGAGGGCCCGGCAAACACAATCGCCAGATCGTGTCCCGCAATTCCCAGTAGTTGTGGAAAGAAAGTGAATGAGCTCATCGAGCCACATAACATGATGTTTAATTACCGCGACCTCGCTGTCTGACTCATTCTAGAGGGGGGAAGTCAGAGAGATGGCAAGTCGAGACTAATAAGATCAAAGAGAGACTAATTTAACTCAAATTTATCAATTGAAGTCGCGAGTACAGATACAGTACAGTGCATACTAAATTAGGACTGTGGAGATCAGGGGTCTTTAACAGACGACCAATCTATGTACAGGATGCAACCTGCTGCCAGTGCACGTGTCTCACCCCTTTCACACAGTGTGCTCGGGTAATAAGAATGATACATGCTGCACTAGTTCCGAGGGGATGCCGCGGCCTTGGGCAGGAGACAAAGAAGGAAGGATGCTGCTGCATAATCTTAAGCTTTAAACTCAAGGCCAATATGATTCAAAGAGGTATGAGAGCTTCATGAGAAGATAGTTATAATTCTTTTTCAGTGTTTCACCGGCATCTAGAACCCGATGGTAGCCTTAAAAGGGTACTCTTGCCTGAGACGCCGGTAGGGACGGGGATTAGGGCTAGTAGAGAAGTACTTTTCCACTAGTTCGTCGTGGCGGGAACATCAGAATAGAAGCACTATTTGGTACGTTCTTGTAAGTACTCATACGCATTACTTCAAGTGGTCTGCTTGTGGCACTCGGATCAGGGGATAGTGTATAGATGATTTATGAATTCTCTAGAGAACCGCTCGGCGGGCTATCTCGGCGCCATGGTGGGGTATTTCGACGCGATGGTGGACGCCAACTCTCTGCCATATTCCCTACGTTTACTCGCCCTGGCCGGCAAGTCCTCCGTCTCCTTTGAGATTCCGCCCTGGGTGGCCTGTACGGTATGACCCGGAAGCGATTATGCTCTTCCCAGATCAGACCTGGACCAGCATATCTCAACATGGACCAATTATACGGGGTGATCATCATCACTGCGTGCCATGCACGCTGGCCCACCGCCCAGTTCAAGTAGGCTTGACCCGAGTCGTCCAACTCAGTGACTTGAATAGACGCTCCACGATCGGCCAGCAAATTCGCCAGTTCATAGTCCGAGTCCCGCAAGGCCCCATGCAGGGCCCAGCCCCCTCCGGCTCGCGCGGGGTCCGCGCCATATCCGAATAGCAACTGAATTATCTCCCAACGTCGACGGTTTCTTTCCACGGAGATTGGGCGCACTGGCACGGTCGGGTCGAGATTACGCACCGCGCAGCCGAGGACGCCCCAGCTGTCGCTGTCATCTATGTTTGGATCGGCACCCGCTTCGAGCAGGAGCCGATACGTTTCTAGATGGTGGCAGAAGTGCAAGGGACGCCAGACCTCCGTTGTAGAATATTCGCGATACGCAAAGTTAACATCCACCCCGCGCGCAACCAGGACCCTCGTCGCATGAACGTTATCCTTTCTCACAGCTTCTCGCAGTGCCATGTGAGCAGGAAACCATTTGGCAATGGGCTGCAGGGACTGGTGCCGCTGGAAGTCCTGAAGCAACAGTTGCAGCATCTCCGGGCTGAGACAGCCCAGCTCAACTCCCATCGAGAGAAACACAGGAGTGGCCCAGGGGTCGACGCCGCGTTCGAGCAGCATCTGCACGATAGGTAGATGGTTGTTGTAGGCTGCGCGTATGAAGAGACCGATGCAGTTTGATCGAGCCAGTCGATCACCAAAACTTTCGCTCCCCCCCTCTTCCGTCCAATCCAGTAACGCTTGAAGAAATCGAACATGGCCCTTTTCGGCCGCGATTCGAACTGGGTGCCTGTCTCCGGGGCCAGGCCGCTCGCTCATTGGCGTCTTATCCATCCAGATTGAAGGGTGGTAAAGGCCTACTCCCGCATCAATGAGCTTGACCAGAGTGTTGCACTCCCCATATTCGGCAGCCCAGGTTAATGCGGGGGGTGGGCGCTTGCTGGTGTGTCTTTCAACGTGATAGCGGTAGAGGAAGGGGTTTAGCTGCTTGAAAAAGGCCCGGTTGGTGCGGGCTAGAGCATTGATACCATCCTCCGTGCCCAAGAAGACTGCTATTAGCTGTAGCAAGCTGTAAGGCAAGTCGCAAAGGCTCATTGCGGCTACTCAATTCCAGGAGCTTGGAGATGATGAATGGAGTCATTAAGGGGTAAACCGGATGTGATGCGGGAGGGGCGGATCTAATCTAATTACGGAGTAACGAGTTCAGTGCATGTTCTCCCGTCTGACTAATATATCCATACCATTCTTTGACTTGGTATTGAGGCCCTCTCTTGGTCACGTTGGCCTCATGCTTCAACATTGTAGCATATGATGACACTTGCGAGAGAGGTGAAATATGATGAATTCGGACTACGTGAGGCTATCTGCAAGGAACTAGAGAGCGGCAGCCGGGCAAGTGAGTCCGCAGGGCCGCCGTCAGCATATGACTTGTCCGTGTAAATGATCGGAAAATTTAGTTCTTTGTACCCTAAAGTTCATCTACATATTCGTATCTAGGATGGACTCATAACACAGAAGACGCAAGAAAGATCCGGAAGATCGTCTTTCTGGCGGCTCCCACGCTGATTCTGGTGGTATGAGCTCCAGCTGCACCCATTTTATCCAAAGACAAGCTGACAACCCTATCACTTACCACGTTGCTCCTCCCCGAAACCTCCGCTCCCCGCATCCTGTACGCGCGAGCCGGACGCCTAGCCAACTCACGCAGGACCCCATCCTCCGCTCGCAGTACGAAGTCGAGCACGACCGAGAAGAAACAGCCGGAAAACGTACCGCCTGGACCCTGCTGTACTCCGCCCTCATCATCCCCTGGGAGATCCACGCCCTGGACACCTCGACCCTCTTTACTACCGTATACTGCTGCCTCGTCTACTGTTCCTACTACCTCTACTTCGAGGTATTCCTCCTAGTTTATATGAATTAGTACGCGATGTCAGTCAGTCAGATGGGGCTGGTTTACCTCTGTGTGCCCGTGGGCACCTTCCTAGCCGCGATCCCCTATTTCGCCTTTATCCACTGGGAGGTGCACGCTCCCATGCGCCGTGACGAGACCAACCCCGAGCCCGAACACCGCCTCGTGCCCGCGCTGGGCGCCTCGATCATCATCCCCGCGGGTCTGTTCCTATTCGCATGGACTGGCTGCGGCGCGCACGTTCACTGGATCGTGCCCACAGTTGGCGCCATGCTGGTCGTCGGCGGCAACGCCATCATCTTCCACACAATCTACGTCTACGTCGCCCTCGCTTACCCGCGCTACGCCGCCTCACTGTACGTGTGCAATGGTGTCATCCGGACAACGGTGGCGTGCGGGGCCAAGCTAGTTGCGCAGCCGCTCTACGCCGACTTGGGGATCGCTGGCGGAACCTCCCTGGTGGCCGGGCTGTGTTGTCTCTGCACGCTGGGCATGTTTGGGCTGTATCGGTTCGGGGCGGCGCTGCGGGCGCGGAGTCGCTTCACGGCCAAGTCTTTACAGGATGCTGCTGGTTGAGCGGTATAAAGGTGCTTTCTCACATGCTCGGGATGCTCCAGTGGTCATTGCAGCCCCCGTCTGTTGAACTATGTAACAAAATTTCCAATTCAACGAAATCTTTGAACTTCTATAAAATAATAATTTCTGAATGTCAGTCACAATAAAGCTAGCAAGCTAGATTAATCTAAGAACTATAATATAGATTATAAGTTTACAGTCGAGATAAGTAAAAGTAGACCAGTCATGGAGTTGGCGCACAGAGAATAGTTTCACCGGCTTAAGCTTCCGGACCCCACCCGAAAGGGCCGTAATCTTGGACTATGGCGGTGACTGACATACAGTAGTGCAGTGCATGTCGCTGGCTTGAGTCTCAGCTGGTTTGCTGTACGGCTGACATACCAGTCATCAAAAGTGGAGATGCCCCGCACGGAGATAGGGTTTAAGGAACGATCTGGATGTCAGCACTTTGACACCGCTGACTTGGGTTCCTGTTGTCCTCACTTCGCTGATTGGATGATACTGCCAATGATGTTAGAACCAAGTCCCGAAGGGAAAGCAGCAGTAGGACTTGGGTGGGATAACAGAGCGTCAGCACTTGTGGGGCCGTAAGCGCAGTGCGGACGGCCGGGCTTATACCCGCGTCATCCCGGGGGTTCTCGATATCAAGAGAATTTGAATAACTTTGAGGACGGCGGGTATAAAAACCTCATGAGCATGCTTTCTCTTATCTGCAACTAACAGGATCAGGATTCAATTGAAAGTATCTTTTGAACCTCCCCCACAATGTCCAAATCCATCATCCTCTCCAATTCCTCAGGAGGCCACAGCACCGCCAAGCCCACCGCCACGTTTACCGGAGATGTCTACCTCGATATGATCCACTTTGATGACAACGCCGCGATTGCCAATGTGACATTTACTCCTTGCGCGCGAACCCATTGGCACACCCACGAGCACGGGCAATTCATCAAGGTCGTAGCCGGATCGGGCTGGATCTGCGACAAGGGCGATGCTCCCCGCCGGATCAAGACGGGCGATCTGATCTGGGCGCCGGCTGGCACCACACATTGGCATGGCGCTGACGATGGCGCCATTTTGACCCATTTGGTTGTGGGCCTGGGAAAGACGGTGTGGCACGACGCAGTCACCGACGACGAGTACCGTGCCAAAGCATAGGCTGGAATTGGCTTCAAAGGTCGATATGGCGCATGAAAAAAGACGGGAAAAGAGATCAGGAAGGAAAAGGGTTGTTGTTGCGGGATGAAAAGGCAACCACTATCTTTGTGGTCATTCTCCTTGTACCGTTGTCTCCCTGCAAAGAGCAAAGGTTGAAGACTTTTGCTTTCTGCTTCCTGTAATTCTCTCAAGCTCTCGCCGCATATTTCGTGGCAACTTGTTTTCCTACCTTGCAATGTACATATACTTTCTCTGGTTAGAAAGGAAGATCATCCAGACTCCGATGTCGATAATACCATCTTTAATGAAAAGAAGGTCTCCTATTTTCGAAACCCACGAAAGGAATTTGATGGGAGCTCTCGAGACATTGCTAGTACATCGGTATATTAAGTTGAAGTACGGTGCGTGTTTGCTTATTCAAATCTGCTGATAGAATATTTACTAGGTCTTTCGCATGATTGGTGCAGCGGCTCACAAGTATTATCTGCTCTTCCAGCACCATTTGCCGCCCGCGACGTACGACTTTCCCGACAATCACTACTTACCAAGTGACACCACCACCACACCGGGATATTTTTTAGGTCAAAAGCCTGGGATGTGTAACAAGGCCTTTATCTCTCCTTCCGGACTAAAAAGCGTGCTACTCCTGACTCGCAGCCATACATCCCAGCTCCCTCGAGGAGTATATTTACCAGACTCGGGGCAAGAGTAGCATTCTTAGGGTTAGATGCCAGGGCAGAGGTAAGACACCTAGCGTGTTTAGTCTCGTACCGTCGGTTTGGTTATGCTCATGGCGAATACTGCGCCCAGAGAACCATAGAGCAGGTCAACTACCCGAAGACATTTGACACTCTGTTTGAGAGAGTACATGTCGAGCTGGATGCAGCCGCCCGCTCTGGTCGCCCCATCAAGCATCTTATTCTGCTTTGGGGAATTCCTTTGGCATATCCGGTGGGCTGCCTAAACCGAGACCCTCAAATTGATCCCGGCCGCTAACTAGTCGCTAGCCACTGACATGGATTGAAGACGTTCGAAGGGGTTGGAGGCCGCTTGTTCAAGTACGCTAGTGACAAGCTACAAATCAGTAGACCCCATCATCCCCTATGCTAGGTGGAAAATACCAGTGCTGAGACCCTGGGTGATATACAGGTACGGGTGCGGTCAATAAATTCGATGGTGAGATCGAGCTGCTCGATGATCTCATCGACCACTATACGTCCCACGCACGTAGAGAAGAACGGGGCCACCTGATTGAGAGGATGCAGCTTCCATGCGGAAGACATTTGGTGCGTGCCACAATTCTCAGCGGAGACGTCCATCTGGCGGCGGTCGGCAGATTCTTCACTGCCCACAAAGGTAACATCCCTGAGATCGAAGAAGACTTCCGCTTCCTGAACAACATCATATCGTCTGCGATTGTGAATCGGCCCCCTCCCGCAGCCATGGCGAAGGTGGTGGCATCTGCGGACAAAAAGGAGCCTGAGGCGACCCATGTTGCTATGCCCCGTCGCAACTACAGCATCATCACGGAGAACTCGCCAAATGACCCAAAGCGGTATGAGGGAATCAAGAAGCTTTCCTCAAGGTAATTTTTCGCACCTCTGCATCTTGGAAAGGCCAATGCGGGGAAGTAAGCATCTCGCGGCGTCGGAAGAACACGGGAAGGGGAACCAATGGAGTTTGGATGTCTGCATTTGTGTGGAGGTGGATCATCAGGACACTACCGGACGGACAGAGGAGTACGGCTTCTTCATCCCCACTTTGGTATATCCGCCGCGTGGTGACGGGGCATGATGAAAATCCTGCATTGTAGACAAAAACGTAGGGCTGATGGTGGAAGCCTGAGGTATCCACTGACAACTAAGGTCTCGCCGCCCCGCCAAGCCCTAACTTTACTTGATTAGTTGCAGGACCCCTTTTTAGACAGAATCCCCACTTCGCCAGTCTAGGCATCTAACATTAATCCTCCCAAAAATTCTGCAGTTTTCTTTTAACGCCATCCTAAGTCAAATTTTCATCACTTCACCCCCTATCACCCCCTTAAAAGTCAGCAAGTATCTATCTCAAAGATGAATTTGAACTCTCCGAATTAATGGGCTGCCATGGGCGGACATTCCACCATTCTACCGCTCTACCCCGGTTCCTCCCCCCCCACACCTCATGCAATGCGGCCGCCGCAAATTCCCCGCCGGCGGGGCAACTAATGAAGAAGATGATGATAATGATGATGATGATGCTCAGAACCGGCCAAGCTGGCTGCCACACACATTGCGCAGGCCATACCTACTTACTCTCTCGACTGTCCTGCTGTTGATTGCCATCGCTGTTGAGGTCCTCCGTCAATATTCCAATCGCCACAATGGCATCACTCAATACAAACAGAAGGAAGATCTTTCTACGTCCATATGGCGGGCTTGGGCAGATACTCCCACCATTGTCGGCCTGGTTGCCGTGGTCTTTTGGGAAGTCTTTGCCCACGACCTTCTGCGCCTGGAGCCGTACTTCCAGCTGGCTGATCCTAACGGTGCCTCCGCCAGTGTCCTCTTTACCAATTACAGCTTCGAACCTGGAGTCCTCGCCCCAATTCGCGCCCTTCGGAACCGACATTGGATCGCGCTATGCGTTTCCCTGATGTCTTTGGCAATACACCTCCTGGTGGCCTCATTGCTCTCGGGTCTTCTTGTCCTGTCATCCTTTGATGTGGTGGAGACCAAAACTCTAGATAGCTGGCCACATCTGGTTGATCTGGAAACTCAGGATAATTGGTTCGCACTCGAAGCTGCTCACAAGCTATCGTCGCAGACCCCTCGTGACAATGACCCCGGACCAGACAACTCCATGGCCCATGCCGTGGCTCCCGTAACTTTCCCATCGGACTACAGTATGGAACTTTCCACCCTGAGCATAAGTCAGTCCGTGTATTGGTCCGACCTAACGTGCGTCAATGCGACTGTGACTGGGGCAGTACCGAGTACAGTGAATGTTTCTTCAGCCGAGGATTCGTTGAGCGACCATGTTCTCGTGTGGAATCTTGCCAATGTCACGTTGACAGGCATGTCGACAGCCGCACCCTGTGAGATCGGTATTGCACTCAACACCTCTTCTCAGCTCGGGGATGGGAGCTTTCAAGCACGCTATTGGGAACCCGTACAATCCCAACCTGCGTCTGTGTCTCGACCTGCCTTCAACGCGACCGGCTGTCCCTCCACCGGCCTGCTCGGTATAATTATTGACATGGAGACCACGGCCGGCACACCGTTGGGCTCGAATGTCACATTATTTGCGTGCCGGCCACTTTACAGGCAGGCAATCGCTAATGTGTCTTTCACAGGCAGGTTATATCCCACCGATATCCAACCAATACCTTCCAGCATTGGGGATTTGGGTGAAAAGGATTTCAGCGTGCACGGATTCCAGAGCTTGATGTCTGCGGAGCATACTCGCACAGGCGATTCATGGAATGAAAGAATCAGCATCGTTGGAATTACGGAGGCCTTGAATTTGACTCAATATCAGGAAGCTGTCGGCCGTACATGGAACCACGGATTCACAAACGCCGTCGATAGACTCTTCGACCAACAGGCAGAGGCTGTGCGAATCGATGCCATCCTGATGACGTACTCATTGGCCGTGGCGGTGGTCCCTCGCGCGGCTGTATTTGTTGAAACCATTATGTTTTCAAGTTTTGTCCTAGTTCTTGCTCTGAGTTTCATATACCCACGTCGGCTTAGCCTCCTTGATCGCGATCCCAGCTCTATTGCCGCGCAGTGCGATTTGATTGCCCGCCTGATCGACCCCGACACGCTCGGTACTTTGTCCCAACCGACCTACCATGTCGCACGGACCCGACAACTTCGCAAATGGGCCAAGGGGCTCCGGTGTAGGTGGATCCCAGGGTCCGATGGTCGCCGCCTTGAACTGTCTCTGATAGATGGGTCTCCTGTGAAGATGGGACCGCCACCAGCTGCCTCCAAACGCGGAGATCCAATGCCGCACTTCTTAACTCTTCCATGGTTTGTGACGGAATGCGTTTTTCTTATGGGCGCTGTGACCGCAACCGGCCTGACGTATTCATGGATCCGAGTCCGCGCGTTGGACAAAATGAACACCACTGAATATCTGTTCGCAGCGGCTTTCTTAGTTTATAGCCCGACCATGCTTGCTTCAGTGGTACGCTCGCTCATCAACTCCCTGCACCGCCACCTGAGCGTCGCAGAACCATGGATCCGACTACGGCAAGGGATGATGCCTTCAATGCCGCTGTCCGCGCCAGCGTACGGGCCTCTCAAGACCCTCTTTGTGTTGAGGCGATCGGGGCCACGGCCCTCCCTCTCTACGTTCGGTCTGTCATTGGTCTGCGTGCTCAATTTGATTCTTGTCGTTGTTACTGGCGGTCTATTTGAGCCGCAAATCAACACTTATTTCGCCTCCTCCAGCCTTACCACCTCATACACCGATTCAACCTTTGCCGACCAGACTCTCACCTCGGACTTTCGCAATTTCGACCGCAGTATATACCTTCTGACAATGAATCACTCGCGCCTGTCGTGGACTACAAGGGATCTCTCATTCCAGCCGTTTGAAATGGATATGGACGAGGGTGCCGTCGGTGTGGTATTCAATGCCGTGGTCCGCGGGATCGGTACCACTCTGTCGTGCGACCACTTGCCGTTCAACTATGCAACTATCGACAACTACACCACGACGGTGAATTGGACTTACCCTCTTTCACCTGATAATCAGACCACTCAATGCAACGTCCAGCTTCCTCTCGCCTCTACCGACACCACGCAACCAACAATCCAGTATGCGTGGCCCAACACCTCCGACTGCCAGAGAAGCGGGTTCTTCGTCTCCGCCACCAGCCTACCCATCGACAACCATACATCGACAGCGCTGCACTGCACCCCTCAGCTTCACACCAAATTGTTCGGGGTCCAAGTCGACCCCAGTGGCCATATTCTGCAACACACCGCTATCCCTCTTACGGCCCCGCTCACCACCGGGCCCTTCTACGCCAACCTCACCACCGCTCTGGGCCTCTTCAATCAGAATCTCGGCTCCTTTGTCCACAATATCTCAACCCAGCCGCTCCCGTACTATCTCTCCTCCTTCCCCAACCACCAGACCACCCAACTATACCAGACCATCCAGCAAACAGACCCCACCAACACCACCCATGCCCTCACCACCGCCATTGAAGCCCTCTACCAATCCACCTTCGCAACCTACCTCACCCTGAACCGCGACCTGATCTTCCCTCGCGGCCCGGTGGTGGAACTCCCCGGAGTGACCACCTACACCTTCTGGGGCTTCATGCCCTCGAGCACCACCATCGTCATCATCATCGTGATTATATCGATCGACGTCCTCGCGCTGGTGGCTGTGTTCGCGTGCTACTTTGGGCGGTACGATGCGCCCCGGATCCCGAAGGCGATTGGCTCGTTGATACCCTGGGTAGGCGGGCCGGAGGGGGCGAAGCGGCTCGCGAGGATGACGGAGCACGGCGATGATGAGGAGTCCCGGCGGTACCGTTTCTGGTCTCAAACGGATGCGGATGGGCAGGTGAGGTGGATTCTGGGGGAGGTGGATCGCGACGCAGAGGGGGAGGAGGATGGGGTGGAGTTGGGTAGTGTTGGGAGAAGGGGTTCCGGGGGTTCGGGGATGCGTACTGACCCTTTGGGCGTTGAGGCATGATATCTTTCATAAGATTAACATTGTGAAAAGTCCTTCACCTGGTGGGCAAAAATCCGGTCTGGACTCCAGGGACCTATCTTGTTTTGGATGACCTCCGTGGCTTACTGTTCGTGAAGCAGGTAAAGCATGGCAAACTATGACTAGCGACATTGTCTACCCAGAAACCCTGGTCTTTCCAGCAAGCAACTGGTCGGCTCGCAGAAGACCTGATTATTGGCCTCAGGCCTCAGGCCTCAGGCCGAGGAACCACCGTGGTTCCCTGAGATGGCTGAACACCAAGCTAATCTGTATCTTACTACAAGAACACTATCGAGCTCTATATATAAGGTGTTCCAGACATCTAGCTTGGCCCTATACTTGATTCCACAGTATGAACAAGTAATTTTAAACTGGTACCATAGGAAGTAACCGGAGCAGTGCATACACAGAATCCAGAAGCAGAGATGCAAGGCCCAATAGAGTCAAGTGATTGTTAATGCGGAACTAGCATATCAGCCAGGTGGTAGAGTATACTTGCTGTATTAGGAACTGGGCAAGTTATGTACTAGGTCGGACTACGCAGTCTCACTGCAACCTCGGCCGCCTTCTCAATTGGAAGCGCTAAACCTCTTCCTTAGGGCCGGGTAGGCCCGCGCAGCGCAAGACCTCCTAATCGCATGTGCTAAACCTAATTGGAACGGGGTCAGCAATGTGTGGGCAAATGTTCGATCGTGGAACCTGAAGTGTATATGAACCATTCAATCTCAGTAGCACTATCAACCTCGACCTAACAGCACTGAAAAACGGCGGTCTCTCAAGTCTGCGAAGGCAAACGGCACAATAGCAGGAAACCAGATTGGCTTGAGAATTCGATCGAAGGCCATGAGCACCTGGCCCAATTGACCGATTTCGCCAGGAAATGCAAAAGCCAACATACTGTGGAGAGTGCGCGCCAATTGCAAGCCGACATAAACGCTAGTTCTTTGGAACTAATGCACAAAGCCCCGCGTACGGCTGAGCCAACTCACAACCAGTTTTTCTCGACGGGAGGTTCTAATAGCGAGTGCCTCTGTCCGTTGTTGGCTACACAGAACTGGTCCTACGCCGAACGTGTCAATGCAAATATGAGGAGGTTGAGGAAATCACACGGCTGGGATCGTATACGGCACAAGGAGACGAATGCCGATTGTGGGTCCACAAGTTCGAGCAGCACACGGCACAACCCCGATCAGCCTACAGAACAACACCCAAAAGAAAGCTCGACCTCGTCGGTGCTCTGTAGAGATTCGACCCCGAAAGAAATAGATTATTCCGAGGACCTTCAACCCGAGGATGTCTCCCAAGGCAACTCGGCAGTATTACCCAAACACATCCAGCACAACAATACCCATCGCCCGCTCGCTTACATGGCGAGAGAAGAAGACGCAGAGGAGGAGTCAAATCCGCACGAACCATCGAAGAAGAATCATCGTAATGAAGGACAAGCTCAAGACCTCTGAAACGAAGCATTCAAAAAACTATCGCCTGCGATCTAAGCCCAACTTCAAGCATTCGGCTACGAACCGGTCACGGCAACATCGCAGCAGGGACAAAGCTTGGATGTCATTATCAAAGTCCTGCAGCAGAAGCAGAAGCAGTGCGAAGAGGAGACCTGGACATTTGACGTCGGGCAGCACAAGATCATCATACGCGACTACGCGTTCAAATGTGCGATCTGGATGCAGTTGATCGGCGATCTTATTATTCCGGTTGCACCCTCGCAAGCGGCAGGGCCATGGGAGCTGATCAAGAAGGTTTTGGAGGCAAGTCCCTGGTTGTCATAGCAATGCGTTCCTCTTGTTCTGCTTTGCGGTTTCTGGTTTCGGGTCTCCTGTCTGTGCTCTTATGCCCAGTCAATCCAACGACCGAAGGAAAATTGTCTATAAGATCCGCAGCTAGTATTCTGACCGAGGCTTATAGGTTCCTATTGCATTCGACAAGCAAATGACCGCTCTACTTAGGACTGTTGACCGAGTCCTACAGGTCACACACCGTGCCAGAGTATACGAGATCATCTACTCGGCAGATGATAGTGGCATTGAGGAGACGCTGCGCCACGATCTTGTCAACATCTACCAGGCTATTTTGGAATTGTTGTCTTATATTACTGATCTACTATCGAAGACGACTATGGAAAGGGTGCTAAAAGAAATATTCAATCAGAGCACGGGGCTGTTCTCCGATCTTGCAGCGAAGGAACGCGAACTTAAGAATACGGCCAGCGTATGCGAAAGTAAACGCAGCACAGACGCAGACGATAAAATATTACAACACATGCAGATTCTTCAGGGTTACTTGCCTCGGATTGAGAGCCAGGTGACAGTATTTCTGAAGAGGCTTGAGGAGAAGGATGCCCTCGAGATCTTAGATTGGATCTCGTTTGTCAAATATAGAGAGAATCATAACTTGGTGCGCGGCAATTAAATATAGGGAACTGGGGAGTGGTTACTACAATACCGTGTTTTCCGACAATGGAAGAAGAGTAGCTTCACAGCCGCGCTGTGGCTGCGAGGGTCTCGTAAGTCTGGCTTTATATAGTACTGTTTGTAGAATCGGGGACTGACAACAGTCAAGCGGACACGGGGAAGACCTTCCTCACCTCGAGAGTTATTGACCACGTCGAAGGCACTCTCCGAACGACCGCCAACGACGAAGGCTTTGCCTACTTCTACTGCAACCGAACCGAAGACATCCGTACACGCTTTTTGGCTGTAGCCCAGAGCTATGTTCGTCAGTTGTCGTCTTCCGCAAACGAAATCAACTTTTATTACATTCAGTTCAAGCTTCGGATCTGCTATAAGGAGCAGCGGATTTGTGCAGTAAGTCTCGATCTTGTACTGTATAGGACTCTGTTGATCGAGTTCTTAAATCTCTACCCCCGGACCATACTAATTCTGGATGCATTTGACGAGTGCAATCCTATATTACGGAAAGAGCTCCTTCGACTGTTTGAAGATTTGCTTCTAATCAGTACAAAACTGATTAAGCTCTTTATTTCGAGCCGCCCTAACAGAGATATACGGAGTCGCTTCCAGTCCCACCCAAATATTGAGATTCAGTCGACGGATAACCGCGATGACATCGAGGCCTACATACAGCAAAGAATCCCCGATGTTATTGAATATGAGGAACTCCACGCTGAAGTGATCTCGACTCTGTTAGAGAAATGTGATGGAATATAAGCACACATTTTCTTTTTTGTTTTATGCGTGTGTGCACACAACCATATCGGTGACTGATCATATTTGGGTAGGTTTCAATGGACCGCTCTGCAGCTTAATCAGCTTGCAAAATGCATCAGTTGCGAGAGTATATTAAATTCTCTGGGCAAGCTTCCAGAGACACTGGACAAGACATATGACAGGATCTATCAGCAGATATGCGACAATGGGTCCCACAATAGAACCCTTGCGGAACGGGCATTCAAATAGGTTCTGGCTTCCAGCATACCCCTTCCACGACAAGAACTTCTAGAAGTAATCCGGGTTAATCCCAATCCTGATCACGACGAGTTTGAGCAGTGCAGCCCAGTCACTGCGGATGAACTGCTTTCACTGTGTCGCAATCTCCTTGTCCTCGATTCGGAGGAAGATGTGTGGAGAGTCTCGTACCTGTCTGTTGCAGAGTATTTTGAAATCCGACACGGCTGGTCTACTGCAGCAGGGAGCCTGATGGCGAGCAAGGTCTGTCTCTTATCTATACTCAGTAACGGCAATTAGAAATCTATAATGGATGGGGTCTCTACCTTGAGCACCAACCCGGGCATCTGCCACAGCATCTACTGCTGGCAGGAATATATCCAAATATTAGAGGACAGTAACTTATCAGCGGAGGAGCTGTTGCCTGTAACGCGCCTGCTTAAGCAGTTCTTTGGCGCTCCGGAAGCCAGCAGTACACATTACCGTCATTGGGCTGCCCAAATAAAGAACTTGCGGGGATCTGTTGGATATTCAGTTCTAGCGGCTTGTAAATATGGAATTTTCCGGGTATTGGAGCAGTGGTGGGAAGGCGCCAAGCTACTCCTTATCTGGCTTGATAACTTTAAACCTAATCCCGTCGTTCTTGCTACCTCTACTGGCCATAGGATGATTGTGAGGACTCTTGTACAAAAGAGCCGTTCTGTCAACTACGGAAGAAAGTCAGAAGTCCTTGCTACAGCACTTATGGTAGCCGCTTATGAACGCCATGTCGAGATTGCTAGGGTCCTGCTGGAAGGAGGCGCAAATGCTAGCATACAGGTAGCCGCGGATTGGAGGCGAGACGAGTCTACATGTGCACTGGATGCAGCTATCAGAAAAAGAGATCTCAGCATGCTGAAGCTACTGGTTTTTGAAGGCTGTGCTAACGTTAATATGCATCGGCGAGGTTGCAGTGAGGGCAGTGTCCTGGCTCTGGCCGCTGGTGAAGGGTGGCTGGAAGGCATTAGACTTTTGGTAGAAGAGGGGGGTGCGGATGTTGACCTTGTGCTGGAAGACGGTGACTTCATCAGCGCTTTAGCTACGGCCACATGGAACTCGAAAAGCAATGAAGAAGTCTGGGAGGTGATGAAGTAATTTGTGGAGACCAGAAAAGCCAGCGTCAATCTGTCCGTTCAAGATAATCGCGTTCGCAGTGCTCTGGCTGCCGCCGTGGATGTCGGCGACCTGAGGGCTGTTCAGTATCTGGTCGAGGTCGGAATGGCCGATATCAACATGCCGCTATCAAACAGGCCCGATGGCAGTGCATTAGCCAGAGCGGCCGATCTGGTCAAGACAGCGGAACAAAATGGGGGTGTCTGGTGCGGTGCAACACAGCTTCAGCTGATACGTGTAGTTCGATTTCTGCTCGCAGCGGGGGCCCGGGTGATCCTTGACCTCGGAAATGGGAGTACCGCAAATGCCTGGCAGGCCTTTGACGACCATCCCCGCTTTCCAAGCTCAAGGGAACCCGGATACCATGGTCACAGTGGGATCTGGAGAGCTTTTGAATCTCTCTGGGACCTAGCGAAAGAGAGTGAAAGATTGGCGACAGAGAGGAAAAGATTCCTGCCCACCGAAAAACTCCCTGAAGAATCGACCCAGGACATTGAGCGTGGCATGGATGAAATCAAACCTCTTCTCCAGGATGGAAGCTCTCAGGCGGAAGTGTGATCATATTAATTTTCGTTATTCCTCCGCTTTTATTCACGTTCATTCTGCCTGCTCTCTTTTCTGTGCTTCTTTTCTTCCAGGTGTGTTGGCGACAGCTTTAGAATGCGAGCCGCAAGGGAAGGATATCTTGAGGCAAACAAGCGACTGCTTAAATGAAGAACAATCTAATATAATGTCCAAAGTTTCACGTGTCATGTCCGGATATGTTTTTGCAGCTGAACTCTGCTTGAGGTCATGTGTATCTGTTATTCTTGTTAAGCTATAGCCCTTATTTGACTAACCCTTACTCCGTCACCCCTGGCCGCCTAATCCGTTCTTACGACTATTCATCGTCATGCTGTGCGATTTCACCGGTAGATAAGGGCATTGAAACTTGCATCACTACCTCAATCAGATCCGCGACTATAAGCTTCTATTGACAGAGCCGAAGAGGATACCATTTCTCTTGTGGACTTGGGCTGTAAGTTTCATTGCACTACGATATTTACTTAGGACATGGGGAGTAGAAGCCCGGGAAACCAGGTACAGAACAGATGAATGAGAGGAGATTGACCACGCCGACAAGTCGAAGAACGAAAGTGAAATCACTGATCTACCTTGAGGAGCGCTGTGTCTTCGAGAAGCCTTAGAATGCAAGTCGAACTGAGCTAATCCGAGGATTGGGCGTTAGATAATGGAAGCATCATAATGGTTTAATAATAGAGGCGTTGTCGAGCCTACCGTTCATCATCGAAAATCCAGTAAAAGCTAAAAGGTTTCAGACTAGCAATCACATAAACCCATAGTATAACAAACCGGCAGCCACTATAGGAGCCAGGAAGTAAACCAAAACTTTCCACGCGAGAAGTTTCAACCCCCTCATCAGCACAAGCTGGACCTTCTCATCGAGCCACTTCTTCTCATTGATGTGCGGGAAGGGCTTGTCCGGCACGGGCTTCCCCAGAAACTCACACAGTGGCTCCCAGCCATCAGACAGCTTGAACTCCAGTAGGCGATTCTTGGGCGTCACGCGCCGCACGAGCGCGTAGTGCTCGCGGTACTTGGCCTTGCTCTTGAGGGGCGCGTCTTTTGGGCCCGAGATGCCCGCCCACCCCTTGAAGGTGGTCTTGTGGATATTGCCGATCGGACGTGTGAAGAACCGATCGATATGACACATGAGTGTGACGACCGGGGAATATGTGTTCTTGATCACCGTGTCCATCCAGCTCTGATACCAGGAGTCGATGTCCCGCTCCACGAGCACGACCTTTGCCTCTGGATACGCTTCCACCAGGTCCTCTGCAAAGGCAATCGCCGGGGTATCGGACGAGACTGCTCCGTAATCGTGCAGTAGCTGGTCGAACTCCGCACGCCCGAACTTGGGCCCTGCTCCGAAGAACTTCCGGTCCACGGCCTCCTGCCACATCTCGATGTCGCCGAACCGCGTCGACAGAAACTGCGTGGAGTGCCAGCAGGGGAGGCCTAGGGTCTCAAGGGCACTGCACATGGCTGAGACGGTCTATCAGCACGTTGCTGTTTCTAGGTGATGATGCAGGTGTGCTTACACGCCGTGCCTGTCCGGTTGAAACCCAGACAGAGACATTCCAGAGGCACGGTTCGCTTCTTGCCTCTGGGCGACTCGTTGCTCACCGGTCTGAAGAGCTCAGGATGTCTTTCTTCTGCAGTTGCCATTTGTGCGAAGACTAAGAGCGTCACTGTTGCACAGGTATTGGTGCGAGGGAGTTAAGGTCGAGAGAAGCCAAGGGGGGCTTGTTCTACGATAATGTCGTTCCCGTGTCCTTGGCGGTGAGAGTTGCCAGGCAATATGTCGATCGATTGGTGCTTAGCAGCCTCGCCACAGTGCTTATCGGAATGGTTTAGTGCTTATGCGCACATGACTAGTGCTGACGTGGGAACACTCGTACAGCCTCAGTGGAGTTTGGACTGGGCACCGTGGAGTGGCCTCTGATTTCTCTATACTATAAACTATGGTTCCCCTTTGCTTCAATCATGCTGCAACAAAAACCTTCTGAATGTGACCTGTCACCCTTCGAGCCTTGTTTGGGCTCTAAGAAGGTTGGTCACAAGATGGAACATGTGTTCCTATAGGATTTGAAGGCTGTAGGAAAGATCCCTCTACTTTATACTTAACGGTGCCGACGCATGGAAATTGTGCACAAAGTGAACCATTATGATAATACGGAGACCTTCCTCACTTCTCCAGACACTGCCTCACCCACTCCACGATCTTCGGACCAACCTCATCACCCGGCAGCCCAATAGACAAACAGTAGCTGACATGGTTGTGTCCTAACAGTACCTCAAACCGCGGAAGACGACGCTGCTGCTTATTGTAAGCCTGCAGGAAATCGAAATTACCCCGGACACACTCCTCGAAATCCCACTCCGCTAGCATGATTAAAAGCTTGGGGGTTGTCCTGCCAGCCGCATTTTCCTCATCAGACAAGCTTTTAAAAGTACCAAGAGCTGAATGAGCGTGGATGAAATCATGGTCATTCGTTCCATAGTACGCCTCCATGTTTCTGCGCCGATCCTCCTTCCCCAGATCATAGTCCAACGCGGCGCTTAGGAGCAAAACCCCACGCACCAGGCTCCCGCCTTTGTCGGAAATGAGCCTCCCCGCGTATAGAGCCATGGCCAGGTGGCACCGCCGGCACTTTGCCCGAGCGCGAAAATGGAATTCCGGTCGCCTCCGTATTGTTGGACGTGGTTGTGCAGCCAAGTCAGGGCAGCGGTGACGTCTTCCTGGCCGTCTGGAAACCGAGCTTCTGGTAGGAGGCGATATGTTCCAAGGACTCCGATCATGCCGTTGGCGGCAAAGAACTCACCTGACAGTCTATTAATTACTATTCTGTGGACAATATCTCATGCATGCTGGTCGAGTTTGTCCAATGTTGAAGCCAACTTACCGATATTGCCATGCATGTGCGGTGTGATGGTGTTATCGCCCGCTTTGAACGCACCGCCGTGGAAATAGACGACAACGGGGAGGGTCACGTTTGTTGTAGATGCATTTGTGGGCCAGAAGATCTATCATATACCCGTCAGCCACGAATTTTGCGACCGTTGGAAATCCACAGTCGTTCACTAGACGCCTCGAATAGCCTTGTACATACATCCAACCGGTGTCGCGGATCTGGCCCGTACTTGACATCTTTCTCACATGCAATCGATGGCTCCGCATTAGAAGGAGGAAGGGATGCATGGCATGTTTCGAAGAACCGCTCGCACGCTGCATTCACAGACGGGTCCCAGCGGTTTTTAAACCCATGAATGAAGTCCTGGATTTCGGGTGACAGCGGCATGTTCCTCTCGGAGAACGGATAAGCTTTATGATAACCTACGGTCGGACTTGGTTCCAATGTTCCTAAACGGGGGTGATACTAGCGTCGCAGTCAATCAAAGCTTTCGTGAAAGGAAAAGAGCAGGATTGAGGTGCGGAGGCTGACAGTGCAAGCACAGGTGCGGGGTTGAGGCTTGGATGTCGGTGTCATTAGCCGAGGCTGTTCCCTTGGCCGGCATATCCGGGGTGCTCCTGGTAGTACTGTGTATCTTACACATATTGTGCTGTGTGAGAGGCAAGCACCTTCATATTGTTCGAGACCTTTCAGATGACTCCATATTCACTCTTATCCTGCGATGTGTCGATTGTCATTCGACTGTGCACCTTCTACGTTAAGGAACGTGGGCTGAATAGGGAGAATATGCCGGATCAATATAGCCATTTTCCACAGGCAAAAAGTTGTTGTTCCTCAACTATACCCCTGGACTGTATCAGTACCCTGCGAGACTGAGTTAGATTAAATCTGCTTACAGAGTGAAAAGGTCACATGCTTCCTAAACAGTAAGCGAAATTACCCTACCTGCATTGCGCTATAATAAAGGGTGTGATTTCCCTTCCATTCCTGTACGACATCCCCAAGGAACGCATCATGGTCGAGTCGTTCACATTCTCCATGACCACCTGGACGTTGATCACTCTTGCCATCGCATACGCTTTCCCATAATCTGTCTCTATTATTGGCCCGAATCACCCACCCCAGGTCCAGACTGGGCATACAATCGAGCGGTCGGCCTGAAGCTGTTCAGCCCTTGATGGGGCTATGGTGTGACAGGTGGCTTCCAAGCGGAGACCCATTTTCTTCGGCGGTGATTGGATACAGAATAAACTCGATGTACAACAGCTTGATATTAATCATGAGCAGATCTGTGTTCGCAATGCTGTACCGACGCGGGAATTTGAAGCAGTAGTGTCAACGCATCTCGTGGGTTTCGAGATATATGTTCTCGTAAGGGTTGTGGTACTGATGCCGCTGCTGCTGATACGGGCGATAATCCTGCCCGCCGTGAACCTGCGGAGGGGAAGGGCAAATGAATAAAGGTGCGTGGTCGGATACATCCGAACTCTTCCCAACGGTAAACGGTCTATGGCTGTAAGCGGTGTCTGCTGCAGCGACAGGACAGATGGTTCGGGCAGGGTCACGCCGCGCTTTGTCGCCCCGAAAACAGCAGCAATTGAGAAGCCATGACACTGCCGCTAAGAGGGACAATGCAACCGCCAGCCAGGTGGCTGCGTAGATGTGTCGACCCATGTGACCGTAGATACCGTAGGCCTTGAAGGTCACTTTGAATGTCCCCGCAAGAGTGGCGAAGAGCATCGTGGAAGTGACGGATGCGGCGAGAGTAAACAGGAGGGAGGCTCCCGCGAGAAGCCAGGCAACGCAGCTTCCTAGCCGACTGCAGCAGACCAGAAGGCCAACCAGCAGCTGGAGAATGCTGGTGCAGATGGCGAGTAGATACAGGATCTGCATCCACAGAGAGGCTCTGTGATAGATATCCAGCGTCTGTTGCAACCGATTAGGGATATGCTTCCCTATGTGGGTTTGATTCAAACCCCAGATTTCGATCGGGTCAAACCAAAATCCACCGCGGGGCTTCGAGCAGTAGGTTGAGTTGTAAACTGCAATATGAGGATTGTTGCCAGCACAGTAGTTCCAAAGTGCGATGGAGTAGAAATCCTGCAAGGTTTCTGATTTATTCGCCTCCTGCAGGGCCTGCACAAATTGCTTCACATGACCGCCAGTGAGATCCTGAAGGGTGGTATCGAGGATGGAGCTTGGAGAGGTTGTAAGGTTTTTGAGTTCGATCTATGAACTTCGTCAGATTGGTTCCTCTCATGCCCTGCGAGACAGAATCGACTTACTCGAAACATATAGAAATCCGTAGCCTGCTTGGGGTTTATGCAACCAATTGTAACAATCATAAGGCATATCAGAGAGCCAACGCTCAGAAGACTCGACCCCAGAACGCACACAAATCTTCCAAGCTGACCCATTTTCTTGTAGAGTGTCGAGTAGTGTTTGCTGCGGTCACGAACGAATGGCAATGATATCAGCGCACACGCCTATCTAGTGTAGAGAGTACGGCAGTGGAACTGCTTGCATATGTATATAAGTTTAAATTTCTGTGGCGGGTCTAGGGCAGTGGCCAGAAATTTTACGAGATTTTACCGGGCCAACCTCCTCATCTCGAGGGGAAATCCTCATTCAGCAATCTTTCCCTCATGTTCTAAGATGAGGAGCCTTCAGTCAATTTGCGTTACATAACCCTGGTGGTGAGGATGCTTTTCTTGCTGTGAGCCCCGAGATCTACACAGGTCGGAGTTATATGTTGTTCATATGATAACTCGAAACCATGGCATTGGGTTCATGGATCCGCAGTTTCGCCGAGAAAAGTGCAAATATGTGCTTTCCAGCCGATTCAGGGGAAGATCTTTGGATCCTGAGGCCCACGGGTTCAGCTTGCCAAGTGGAGGCATGATGCTTGGCAACGGGAATGGATCCATCGAACCCATCGCGAAAACGAATATCCCTTTACGGAAAACCGCCCGCCAGATCAGGAAGCCAAGTCAAGGACTCGGGTCCAAGTCGGGTATAGCCAAAAGTTGTCCACAGTGGCAAGCATCCACCACTGTCGGCCCAGTGCAATGGTAAGAAGTTCGCATTCGTATCCTGTACAAGAAAGATTTTCCTGAGACAATGGTTCATGATTCTCATACAAGCGGGTCATAGTATAAAAAGGGAGCAGACTTTTTTTGCAAATAGCCCAGTTAGAATCATATCAACTTCCTCACTTACAAGCCTCCTTGTTATCTCTTCCCTGATAACTCCTCATAACTTTCACTATCCCACAGACCGTGTTCTCCCAAAATAATCAAGATACCCAATTCCGAGATGAATCTTACTTGCTCGCCCTCGGCGATTCAATCCCCATCCGTCTTCGGCGCAGAAATTCTCAACCTGTCAGCCGCCTGGGTAACCAACTACACTCGCACTATCCCAGCCACATTCAACTACAACCACGGCGACGTCGAACTGCGCAATGCAGAGTTCTGCAATATTACCGTCACCTACACGCACCCGGGATACGACGACCGCATCACCGTAGAGACTTGGCTCCCGCGCCACGGCTGGAACGGCCGCCTGCAAGCCACCGGTGGCGGAGGCTGGCAGGCCGGTCGCTTCGTGCTGTCCCAGTTCTTCATGGGCGGGGCGATCGGCGAAGGATACGCCGCGACGACTACCGACGCGGGACTGGGCGATGCGGTCTTCCCAGCTACATGGGCGCTTAAGAGCCCCGGTAACGTCGACTACGCGGCGCTGCATAATCTGGGTTCCCGCTCGTTGAACGACCAGGCAGTCATCGGCAAAGGCCTGATCCGCAGCTTCTACGGACGGGACCCGGACTATTCCTACTGGAGTGGCTGCTCTCAGGGCGGTCGACAGGGATTGATGCTGGCGCAGCGGTACCCGACAGCGTACGACGGCATCGCGGCGTCCGCGCCTGCGCAGTCCTGGACCAAGTTTGTTTCCGCGGTTTATTACCCGCTGTTGATGCGGGAGTGGCGCGAGGTCAGTCCATTGGCGTGTGAGCTGAATTTCCTGACGGCGGAGGCTATCGCCCACTGTGATCCCAAGGATGGGGTTGTGGACGGGATCATCTCCAACCTGACGGCGTGCGATTACAGCCCGTATACCTCCGTCAACCAGACCTTCCACTGTTCCACTCTGAATCGAACAATTGCACTTAGCGAAGGCGCTGCGATTATTGCTGATGCCGCCTGGTCCGGCCCGCGGACGCGGGACGGCAAGTTCCTCTGGTACGGGGTGAACCCCGGCTCCGACATCAGCAGCTATGGCTCCGTGCCCGGCCAGAAGAGCACCCAGGCGGATGTCTGGTTCAACCTGTTTGTTGCCAAGAACGCCAGCTTCGAGACGAACAAGATGACTCGCGCGGAGTACGAGCGGGCCTTCCACCTCGCCAGCCAGGAGTACACCGATTTCATGGACGCAGCTGATCCCGACCTGAGCGAGTTCCGCAAGGCAGGCGGGAAGCTCATCACTTATCATGGCATGGTATGTTCATACTCGTTACTATTCGGGAAAAAGAGAAGATCTGACAATGAACTCAAACACAGGCCGACCCCAGTATCCCGACCAAGGACACCGAGTTCTACTACAACGCGGTGACGGATCTCTTCCCCGATGTCCAGGAGTTCTATCGCTTCTTCGAGGCGCCCGGGTTAGGGCATTGCTCGGGCGGCGTGGGCGGGCAGCCCATCACTACGTTCGATGCCCTCAGACAGTGGGTGGAGAACGGGACAGCCCCTGAGACCCTGCCTGTGGAGTACGCAGGGTCCGATGGGGCAAAGCAGTCGCGGATTTTGTGTCCTTATCCTGCTCAGGCGAAGTATATCGGTGGCGATGCTTCATCTGCGGAGAGTTTCCGCTGTGTCTAGAATGAAACCGACGGTGCTTACAGTATTTTGTATTTGATGGGGAGTGCAGAGTTTCAGCCTTGTGTGCTGGAAGGAAGGGGATTTTCTTTTGGTTCTTGGGCATGTATTATTAGGATAGACCATGCAATTTTATACCGCTATGCATACGGACCACATGACTAAGATCCACCGCTACCCACCCACGTACTACCGTAAGCAGTAAGGTCGGTCGGTACACTCAAGAGTTGGTCCGGATCACCGAGTCCCACCTGGTCGAGCGGCCATTGCACGAACGGTCGGAACGCAGGATCGAGCTTCCCGTACACGCCCTTGACAATATGTTGCGGCCATTCGTGGATAAACCAGACAGCATCCAGCTGACGTAAGAGAACACAAAAGAACGAAAATAGGATGAGAGCGACCGGCTCTTGCTGCCGCAGATCGTGTACCAAATCATCTGGAAGTTGATAGAGCCATGCGAAAATATGCGGGAATAGAGACATCCCGGGTGAACGGGGACCGGGACCCAGGACAGCAGCAAGACAGTAGTGAAGGTGATTCAACATGCGATGATAGCTGGGAGATCGAGGGTCCGAGTCAGGCACATAAATAGTTAGAAGCTCGCGCAGCGAGTTGAGATGGTGTTCGTAATTGTGAGACTCTGCGCTAATACCAGGGTCCCGGCTTGCCGGGTCGCCACCTTCGGATGTATCCGAATCAGGGTTCTCGTCCCCGGAAATGGCGAACACATCGGTTGGGATGTCATTTTGGCAAAGCTCTAGAATAGAGCGGATACCTAGAAAAAGCCCCAAGTATCCAGGCCCGCCACCATCCCGGAAGGCCAGGTACTCGCCCGGCTGCGGGCCCCTGGCCAAGGAGGAGAGAAAGATGAAGATCGCGGACGCGTACAACGCAGGCGCATTATTGGGAATGATCTGCGGGACCAGCGCCGTGACCTCCTGCACCGCCGTTTCCAAATGATGGTTGGCCTCAGCAAAGTAGTCCGTCGCCGTGGTGCCCATATACTGGACCATTGGATTGCCTTCTGATTTTCGCACCAAATGAAATCCGGCGAAGGCTAGCAGTAGGCGCAGAACATAGTGATGAGAGAAACCTAGCCGGCAGAGTTGCTGCTGAGCGCGGGGTTGGACGGCGGTTAGCTCGTTAGAAGTCAGAAAATGATGAAAGAGCGCCATGTCGGTAGCTGTGAATTTGAATGGCCTCTTAGCAATCTCATGCGAGGGGGGAGCAGAAAGGTAGGGCTGAGATGCCGAGGTGCGTGAAGGGCCATGTGCTCGCGTGGGCGGCTTGAAGTTCGTCGGGGTGGATGAGATGTAGGTATAGTTGCCATCGGCTTTGTCCGAAGAAGTCGAGTTTGACGAACCAGTTTCAGTCGGCGAGCTGCTGGCAACTCTGGGTTGTGAGCTGTAATCGCAATCGATTGCGTGACGCATGCAATTGGCACAATGCGGTTTTATCTCATCGCACTGTGTGAAGGTTGATTAGTGACTAACTGCCTGAGGCAGACAATAGTTTGAGACAGCCACCAACCTTGATCCTTCGCCGCTTACAGTTGCGGCACCCAAAGCGAGACTTTCGATGGGTTTTTCGCGCAAGCTTTTGCGTATAGGGTGTAATGGAGGGGGGCATGCCCATGTCGCTCACAATGGTGGCTGAGAAGAAAAGGAGTAAAGGTGTGAATCCTGAGTTTGTGGCTCGGCCTTATGCTGTGTCAGAGAAAGCAGGGGCGCAATTTTATCTCATGCGACAGACATATCGATATCTAAGCGTTGCGGTATGCAGCAGCAGCCACGATGCAGAAGCTCTAGAAAACGCTAAAAATTGCCTTGGTTTCAGGGGCGCGGCCCTAATGGTCGATTCGCTGGTTTCATTCGCGGAACCTGGGCTTGCTCCACTACCTTAGTACCGCTCATATTCTTGATCCACTTTTTAGACTGTCCCAAGGCTTCAACCATGTAAAAAGGGAAACGTTCGAGAAGGCGGCGCCTTCCACAAACATTCTCATCTTTTGCTCCTGTATGTCTCTTAACATGACAACTATGACTAATCATTGCCTTAATTCAAAGTCTTCATGTTGAACCACACGATAAAGCATCAGCTTCTCTGACAAAACACTAGGAAATTACATTTCAAAGAACATAGCGGAGGCTGCATTATGGAATTCTTCTCGAAAAATGAGAATGCTTGTCCCTGCACTTGCGCAATTGTTTCCGGACCAAACAGCCATCAAATTAGTACTAAGCTTCCACGCAGAGAGGGTCAAAACAAAAAGTTTTTATGCATTCTTTGCCTGATGGCAGTCATTCGGTAGTTTGGCCTGTTCCCCTGGTCTTTTCCACTCTGGTAGACACATGACCTTGTGTTTCTCGTCCGGATACTCTACACACTACTAGTGTAATTTACCGCGGGGAGGTCTTGAGGAGATCGCACCTCTTATGTTCCTTGACGCCTCGCCAGCCCTGTCTTGTTGAACTGAAATGAGCCACACAGCTTCCTTTGTTCAAATTCCCAATGAAGCCAAAATGATCCGCAGCCTTGGGTGGGGTCTGTTCTAGCAATACAACCTACCAACTCCGCGTTTGAAGTCCCCTGAGAAAATGCCTACGCTAACGACTGCTAGGATCTGACTGGAGATTCTGATCTGGAAACTTATAAAAGGTCGTCGCCACCGATCGAGTAGCCACTACAGACTGTGCCGTCTTATCAATTCCTCCTGTCCTCTTCCTTTGAAACCACGCAGCATGCAGCTTTTGAGTTGGCTTTTGACGCCCTTTGGTAGGCCCTCTACGAACGAAGCTCCCGAGCACACTTGGGATCCCCAAACTGTGACGATGCAACAACCACTTCCTCCGGCTCCTCCCCAAGCTCTCAATGCTAATATGCCGGTATGAACAGCTCCCTCTTTTCAATTATTCGCAAAAGTGGTTATATGTGGCGGACTAAGCATGCTCAAGGCGACGACACATGGAGCGACAGAACTTAACTTACGTGGCGGTGGTGAAGCCGGGAATGTCTGCTGTGGCGTGTATGTTGTCCATTTCCGCCTTGTTGGACTCGGCTAACAATGTTGGAAAACTATAGATGCTGTGGCCTGCTTTGCTTTGAGTGCTGCTGTGGCGGTGATGAATAGAGAGGCTCTGGACCGTTGTCTTGAATCTCTCGCTCGTTAAAGTGTTGAGTGTCCGAAAAGAGCTCTAAACTTGACGATGTTATACCGGCATCTCGATTCGTTCTTAGTAAACCTTTGTCACATTAATACCAATTTTTAATACATAGCCGCGACTTCTTAACAATTGAATCCCTATATTATAGAACGTTAATCAGGGGAGCTCTATTTGAACTGCTAAGAATCCACAGCATTGCCTAGTATAAGTTTCCGCCATTGATGTAGGAGTCAAAGTTGATATCTTACAGACGGACTGGGCACAACCGACCCACCGGTACTTTTGGATCCACAAATCTTACATAGCCAACGATCCGCTTCCTCGCTAATTTATACGAGTGCGGATTTCCTGTTCTGGATTGACGTCCCTCAAGTTTCCCACGGCTACCTCTGGTAATAATATCCCCGCCGTACCTAAGTAGTCATGCTGGTGGAGCGACAGAGCGCGGTTCTACACAACGATAACTCCTAGCTTGGCTATGACTAACTCAGAAATTGATGTCATCTAGTCAGGATCGAGGATCATCAAGCTCCCAGATAAAGGCAGTCACGCAGTGCATTCCATGCTTCCACGAGGTCAGTCCAGATTGCCCATGACCCGGTGATACATTTTACTAGGTATCGTATTCTTGCAGCCAATGGCGCCACTAAATCAGATGTCTTAAGCTTCATGATTACTTTGATAGACCGTGTTTCCGCCAACCCCGGGGTTCTCGTCAGAATGTCCAAGGTGAAGTTGGTGAAGTATTTTGTCGGCTTGTAGGCAAGATCGATTCTCTCGGTATCTTAAATGTTAGATGTTAGGGGCGGGCTAGTCCACCCGCTAGTCGTCCGCTACCTCTTTTTGTGTCGTTTTCTACGTGTACGGGAGGAATAACAAGCATTCGAACAAGCCGAGGGTTCCTGAATGATAGGTTGTACGATCCATAGCCCGCGAGTGGTTGCCTTTGATAAATAATAAGAAGTTCCCACAGTTGGAATGCATAAAATGTATATATAACTCATGGATGGAAGATCCATTTTCATAAAATAACCTGCCTTCTTGGTCATCGGTCCAGAGGATCAATCTACACGTCACAAGGAACACTGTACGTTTGATGATTGTCCCAATCGACTGAAGTTCACCAGCTTATTCTCTCGACTTACAATGCACGTAAGATGCAATGGTACGGTTGGGTACAAGATCACCGATATTTTTTGGACATCCAATCACATCTTTAAGGCTGTTTATCCTCCACTTTCATCATCCCGCGCACTATATATAAACTACAAGCTGGTTCGATGCATGTCCAAAGTCACCTCTTTGCAATTCATTCCAGTGCGACCGTGTCACCATCACTTACTGCGTTTCTGGTCTATACAGTCTCCCGTTTATCGTGACTCTCCGTCTTCCCCCACCTCCGTATTCCTTACGTGAATCAGCTACCTCGCCAATTTTTCAACTTGACGTCTTTGCTACGCTTTCGCCTAGATGACAGACTGGGAAATGTGCAGTCTTTGTGAGGTTCTTCAGTCCCACGTCTTTCAGGCAGGCATTTTGCCTACGAAATGGATAGGAAGTGAGGAACTTCGCCCCATTGACGAGCTTTCTTACTTTCTATATACTATACACAACACCAAGTCGAGAGAAATGCAGGTAACTCGTCCGGCAAAAGCATGGCATCTATACCTCAGCGTCCAGCGATAGTCTTCTACGACTTCGTCCAGAGAGGAAAAGGATCAAGTTTGTGGCATAAATCCTGGACGGATGACTTCTTATTGTTGTTATTGTCGCTTGTGTCTGTGCTTGAATAGTTTGAGGCCAGTCATGAAGGAAGTGTGGCTTCGTATCTTGTCTCGGGAAGGAAAAATGTTTGGTAGGTTGGTTATGGACGAAGGGCTGCCTGACGACCCAAAACGGCTAGACTCATTATGGACCCGGGTTGATCTTATCTTCTCCAGGCTTACCGCGGCGGTCACACTCTCAGCCTCATTTCTACCACGCCGCTTCTCTCAGCATTTTCAAGATGAAGGTCATGCTTGTTGCCTGCGAATCTTGTCGCGTGCGGAAAAGGAAATGCGACAGGGCCTACCCCTCTTGCTCCTTGTGCCAAAAGTTTGTCTCCACCCATATATCCCCCTAGGTGCGCATTTTAACCCATTCTCTCTAGAGCCGCGCGAGTGTGTTCCTATGCCCTTTACCGCGTCACAGAAAGTATCCCAGACCAGAGCTCAAAAGCGCTGGTGACTGAGAGTTATCACATGCCCAGTTCCAAAAAAGTCACGCCTAGCCCCTGGGACGCTGTCGAGAGTCAAGTGTATATCTCGTGGGCTATCCAGGCTCCAGCTGTCTCAGATTCATATCCCATCGCCTCTCGCTGGTACATGCCACGCCTAATCAAGCACTGTAAAACATCCCTCTTGATCTCTTCTGGCTTGTGCTGACAGCCCCTGGGCCCCAGTTGTCGAATGTCACAATGCCACACGCGTGCCTATCAACGATAGATCTAGCTCTTATAAGTTGCAGACCACCTGGATGAGAGGTGCAATGAGCGACCCTTGCTTGTTCCACGCAACTCTCTTCACCGGATCCTCTAATTTTGATCTCCGCCGTGGGGTCCAGCAAAGTACAATTACCCTGTATCATTACAATGAACTGATCAAATTGGTCAAAAAGCGTCTCTCCGACCCGAAAACTGCACTAGACGACCGCACGATAGCTGCGATAACACCGCTGGCCCTCTTCGCTGTATGCAAGATAAGTGACTTCGCCATATACAGGTGATATACTGATAATGCACTAGGTTCTCACTGGGGATCGAGCTTCCGCTGAGGTGCATCGAGCTGGTCTGGCGAAGATCGTCCAGCTAAGGGGTGGTTTGGACAAGCTGGGCCTGGAAGGACTGACGGCATCTCTCATCTACGTGTTCGTCCGCCAATCTACCATTCATGAGAATGGACCCCTGACCGGACTACAGGAACGGTGTTATCTCAGATATAGTCTTTGACATGGACTCAGGACCTCTACCGCACTGCCCGCCCACGCCACCACTTGGCCTCGAAGAACGAGTTCTCAGTACCCTTGTCAGCCGATCTGCACCGGAATTCCCCGGTCGCTCCATCCAGGCTCTGTTCCAGTACATCCAAGAACTCAAACTTCAGCTTGTGGCCCATCGATCAATGGCTGATTGGGGTTCCAACGCGGCACAAGGCAACGCAATGTCGCTTCCTACCAACGACGACCCCGTGTGCCACTGTTGCTCTTTAGCGTTCCGGGTTTTCCACGCTATTATAACCGGCGGGGCGAATATGAGCAACTTTGCCGACTACCTAGACGCCATAGCCAGCGATCTCCGTGATGTGCTAGCTTTAACCGAAGACGATGTATGGATGCGACACTTCCCCGCGGTTCTTACGTGGGCTTGTATCACCGGCGCCGCCGCTGCCAGTGATCCTCAAATGCGGGCATGGTTCTACTTCCGGGCAGCGGCTGCGGTGGGGATGCTCGATGATGCCGGCGACTTGTCTTTTCACGAAGATATGTCTTCACACTTTCACTGGCTTCGATCGTTGCGACGGGAAGTCCTTCAGTACGATCAGCAAGCGTTGTGATCCTCAGCTCTACTTCGAATTGCTTTGGGGCTGAAGTGACCCACATAATCCTTCTGCCCAACCGAACCCTTACGTGTCTTCATATGTGAGCCTCCTTCGGCCCTGCCGAACCGTGCAAGAACGGACCCCCATCCTTTATTCAGGGTCTCCAACAGTTCCTCAACACCACTGGCCAAATCGCTGCGGGGTGTTGAACCCGTGTCCCGCCCAGCCCTATTCCAGTCGAACCAAAGGGAGGAAGGATGCAAGCCCCACGCATTCTGCTGCCTCTGAGAGGCTGGAGCAGCACTCGAATGTGTGGCAGTGCTGGCGCTAACTGCCACTAAGGTCTTGGCGAGCTCGTTTCCTGGCCTTGGCAATTCCGAGTCGGGCTGGAACTTTTCTCCGTTCTACCTAGGCCAATTCTCCCATGGATGCGGAATGATAATCTATAACGGTTATATGCACTTGACTGTTATATATGGAGAGATTCTTGTGTGAACTCCGCTGCTTTGACTGTTGCAGCCACAATGACTATTAGATCTTCCATTTTGCAGATACGAGCCTCATTGCTGCATGTGTGGTATCACGTCAGCTAACGTATGGTGAATGACAGCAAAGACGTGCTTCAGGGCTATGCAAACAGTTATCTTATTGTGTATACTCCCACGCACCTGGTCAGCGCTTGCTTTCAACCACCGCCGGCTGGCAACTGCCACAAGCGGCACGTAAATGCTATGGCTGCTTACTCTCTCAAACTCAGTAACTAAGTCCCTCGAGCTTCATATCACTGCCGATCCGACTAGACATTTCAAAATATCTCGACCCTATTGTTTCGGACTAGCGCTACTGCTGGGTTATAGTTAAGCATTTGGAAACCTGCGGTAGTCCGGCACCGATAAATGAACATTACCACGAAGATAATATAAGACAATCATGTATATTGAGACAAAACAAGACAATCCTATCATAATGAATTATATAGAGAAGAACTAGGAAGGGAGGGCTCTTCTATAGCAGTATAGTAGACACAAGACTCATTAAGGCACGTCCCGCTGTATCTGGTTGCAGGAAACAGAATAATTGTTCAACATTCAAGCGATTAATCCCCAGATATGAGAATCCTTTGTGTTGCGAATATCAGAACGACGCTTCTTTCCGTCGCGGCCCCCTTAATGGTCGGAGGTCCGAGTATGGTCTGATCATTCTCTTCTGATACTCGCCAAATATTTCCGAGTGCAAAAAACGAATAGCAGCATGAGAACAGAAAACAAAGAAGCAAGGCCTAACCATCCGATCTGTGAAAAAGCATCGTAGCGTAAAGGAGCTGCATATGGAACAACCGATTGGACAAACGTAAAACGCAATTTCGGTCAGCACATCGATCAGTAGAGATTTATGCTTTAGTTCACGATCACCATCTGCAACGATGACATATCCGCGCGGCATACCCTATACCTTCCTAACCCAGAACCCTGTCTAGAAATCGCTCAAAGATACCTCTGCAAGCACAGGTTAGCCCCCCAAAACTCTCTATGCGGTGCAAGGTCGTATCTTACGTCGCTAGCTGAGGAATATAGTTGCGCTCATCTTCTTCAATCAATCCAAGCCTTGCCTCAGGTCCACCTCGCTGGACTTCATGATCCTCGTCTTGTGAGCGAGTTTCCAACCGACGTAAAGAAACGGACACACAGCAACCATAGTGTACCTATACCATCAGGTTCCGGTCAATTATCACAAGCTCTGGGCGGATCTCCAGCGCCCTTGAACTTACGAGAACAGGAAACCAGACACCTGCCACTGTCCCTCCAGGGGCAGGAAGACAGAGGACTACCCGACACAAGTCATAACAAACGTACCCACCAGCCCATACCAAGCCGCATGCGGCTGGAGAATGCTCTTGTACGGCAGAGTATTGCGGCTCATACCCTGGGCCTTGAATACGCGGTAGAAGCAGAGACAGGTTACGCACATGCAGCTGAAATTGATGAGCTGTGAGGCGGCCACCAGGGAGCCGAGCCAGTCAAGCACCACGGCTGTGCTCGATGATAGCTGGAGGAACGAGATGAGCGCGATGAGGAGGACGAGCGCGACGCAGAAGATTGGCACGCCCTTCTTGGTACATCTGGTAAAGCATTGCGGGGCCTTGCCTTCCAGTGCGAGGCCGTAGAGCGAGCGAGAAGCGCAGTAGACATGGGAGTTTCCGGCCGAAAAGGCTGCTGTGAGAACTAGAGCGTTGACAATGTGAGGGACAACCCCGACACCGAGTCGGTTCATGGCTACCACATAAGGTGAAGCGGCAACTCCGGCCTCGCCGCTTCCGAGAGCAGCTGTCAATTCTGAGTCGCTGTAGGGGACGAGGATCCCGACACAGAGCGATCCTAGGACAAAGATTGTAGTCAATCGGTAGAAGACGGTGTTGAACGCTCGGGGCATCGTCACCCGAGAATTTTGGGCCTCCCCCGCGGCCATGGATACGTAATCAGGCCCTGCAATGGTCAAGGACGCTTGGATGAGGCATTGTAGAAAGCCGAGGAACTTGCCAAGAATTCCCTGGTAATACAACTCAGCGAAGGCGCCCGGTTCGTTCCAGTACCGGAAGCCGAAGTGATCTCCTTGCGGATTTCCCCCCAGCATAACGATGAAAGTGAAAATTATCAGCCCGACAATGAAAAAGAACTTGCCAAGGGCGGACCAGAACCCAGCCTCTCCGTACCATTGAACAGCCTGGAGATTAAGCACAGCATTTAGAACGATTATGATGGCTATGATTGCGCCAACGGGTACTGCTTCACTTCAGAAGTGAATAATGAGGTTACAAGCCACGACTTCAAACGGTACGAGTGCGGCCTCAAAAATAAAGAAGTTCCAACCTGCCGCAAACCCAAACGCCTCGTCCACGTAGCGACAGGCGAAGCGAATGAATGGCGAGGAGATGGGCATGTAGGAGACCATTTCAGCAACGGAGACTGTGAAAGCGAGGATCACCGTACACCAGATACTGAAGGCGATGAATAAACTTCCTGGGCCACCATTGCGTAGACCTTGGCCTATTTGTACCTATAGAGGCAAATGGCGTCAGCGTTTGAAACACGACGTCCTTCATTCAAAAGAACACAATCTGGCTATGTCTAGTACAGCTCGTACAGCTCGGTCGCACGCGACTTACAAAAAGTGTAGTCCCATTAGTACCTCCGATACCAATCAGCTGGATGTGGCGAGACTTGAGATTCCGATGGGTTGCTCGAGGCGTTAACGGTCGTGAGGCTCCTTGAAGGACATCAGGAGAGTCAAGCGGGTGGCAACCACTGACGCCCTTCTCATTGTCGAGGACATCGGTTGGGATGGCGGAGTACGGTTTGGAGGAAATATTCAACACAGAGCCGGTGTTGCATCAGGTATCTCGGTGTACAAATATAAGAAGTAGAGTGAAAAGCTCAAAAACGTACAACATAAGTGTCGCTACTTTTGTCAAGAGGCATGCAGTGCCTGCAATTGTTAAGAGCAACAGTGGCAATTGCGTGAGAATCGGGCGACCTTTGGGCGTACCATAAGACATAAGAAGACTATAAACCGGCGAGGGGTCATAAATCAACACTACCAGGATTCCAGGCAATTGAAGCAAACTACGCACTGTGCGCTAAGCCCCATCTTCTTATCTTAGTTTGAGGCTATCCTATACGTATCAGATAAAGCCTCGGTCGATACCCCACACCCACTAGCTTACTTGGGTAATTCTGCCCCAGCTCAGGATCGCTGATTGCGGTACTTCTCCCGGTTGACTAAGAGTAGAGCAATAGAGCTGATCTTCTCGGATTTGAATTGAGAAACGTGGCAATTGGCTCGTCATGGGTAAGTTGTTTCTGGGAGAATGAGGGCGATGAGGCCCTGAGAGCGGAAGTAATTCCCCAATTCAATGTTGAAGCGCCAATCAACCCTCAAGCAGACAGTGCATACAGTTCCCATAAGCGTTATAGAATTGAATATGGAGCCAGTGGCAACCAAGCAGGTCACTTAGGGTCCATCCATTACTGTCACAAATATTGTTGGCGAGGCTGTTGCAATGAATAAAGCCCCCCACACCCGCATCAGTTTTGCTGCGACCATAATCACCTCCACCATCAATATTTCCTGCACCTCTCGGTAACCCTTTGTGCTCCTCAGTTCAACATTGCACCCTCATAACGAGGTACGCGAGAACTGGCAAGAAGAGACAGATCATGGTATCACGTAGAAGGATGTCACTAAGCCCCCTCATAAGCCTTCTCCAAGAGTGTAACATCCAGCTTTCTCATCTTCATCATCTCATTAGTCACACGGTCTCTCCTTTCCGCGTCCTCATCACTCAACATCTCCTTGAGCTGCTTTGGAATGATCTGCCACGAGAGCCCGAACCTATCAGCGACCCATCCGCACTGCTGCTTCTCCTCATTGCCTCCCTCCCCCAGCTTGTTCCAATAGTAGTCAACCTCGGCCTGATCCTTGCAGTCAACCTGGAAGGAAATTGCTTCGGAGAACTTGAAGCACTGCCCGCCGTTTAGTCCAGTGAACGTATGTCCGTTCAATTCAAATTCAACGACCATGACGCTCCCGGGTTCCCGACCGTGGTATTCTCTGCCGGCTTCGGTGTATCGCTGGGTGGTTATGATCTTGGAGCTTGGGAAAATGGAGACGTAGAACTGGGCCGCTTCTTCAGCATTGTCATCGAACCAGAGACAGGGAGTTATTTTTGATAGAGCCATGAATGGGATTGTGATGGGTGTGAAGTTCGAAACTGGATGGCATGAAGTCAGAGTCGATGATTCGTGTTCGGCTGCTTTATAGATTATCAGTACATCGAAGTCGGGGTCGAATACGAGCCAAGAAAACTTGACTGGCCTCACATCCCTGGCTCATTGCTGCCACAATCAAGCACAGAGGGCTGTCTACTCGTTCTCAGCAACTATGAGGCTGACAAACCGACCGGTGGTCATCGGATGCCGCCACCGACCTATCCCCCAGTCGCCTTTTTTGGGCCCTCGGCATGGTAGCCTTGCACCCAAATTCAGTCTAAGCACCAGAGTTGTCAATATATCTATATTCTGGATTATAACAGCGGGTATTAGCGAGGCCAGCAAGCTTTACAACGACAAGAAATTGCCTAAGCCCGAGATTTTCATTACCATTGCATCATCCTCAGAGACCAGAGTATGCAAAGCCTGATAGCCAATCCGTGCGAGAATTTGAAGTGGATGCAGCATATATTCCGGATTCCGACCCGGTTGATTCTCAAAACGTGACTCAACAGGCACTCAAGAGTTGGTACAAATTACGAGGAGAGCTTGGCCATTGGCGGCGGCCAACACTGCACATAAAAAAAAAGAGAAAAATGCACCCTTTACCTGGTAGCTACCCTGGACCTCATTGAGATACGGTGACTGCATTACATCTACAATTCTAGAAGGCAAGATAAAATAACAACGAATATGGTATATCTGTGATGAGACGTGCATATCTCCTCTGTATCTTATGTAGCATGCCCAGCCACGGTCATGTGGTCGGGGCGCCCTAGCCAGCTCCTGGCCCAAGACGGAGGCTTCGGTCGGCCTTGTCAATCTCCGTTCCTCTTCGCTTCGTCCACGAATCCAGCCGGCTCAAATAAGATAGTTTCCCCGAGCCCCACTGCAAGCAAGTGAGAATACCAGGTCTGTACCAGCCTCTTAACAGATCCCACTTATCCCTGAGCTTGTTTGGAGGGTTGCTGACATTTAGGCAGATGTTTTGTTCTTTTCTGTGTTCCTTTTCGTCCACTTCCGCATTATCTCACCACGAAATAGCTCAACTTCCTGCCCCATGACTGTGTGTACCACTTTGAGATCTGGGCATATGCTGGGAATGAGGTTCTTCTTATCTTACAAAGGGTTATCGCTCCATGCGGTCCAACAGACAATATAAATAGAAAAGAGAAATTTTCTGCTGGACACTGAGAGGTGGTTCGTGAACGTAATAGTGGAGCGAAGTGGGGGACTGGATTACAAAACTCGTACAAATCCCTCGTCGATGCGACGGGTATTTTTTGCCGAGCCCGGCTAAAGTTGTCCCAACAAAAAGCTTGGTTTTCTCGGCCTTACAAGGCTGTAGGGCAGTCACTAATCCTGTCTCAACTGGAGTCTGGTGCATCCGATTCCTTCCGAACAAGTTTTTATCGTCATTGGTACTCTCAAGATCCTAACTAAGATTTGAAAACACAGTTACACCGGTAAATGGTATGGTAAGATTGAAGCCGATTGATAACCCCGCGGTCGAATGGGATTCTTTGGCTAGGGCGGATACCCCTTTCTCTCTCGTCTTCTGCCGAGTTATCCATCTTATTTTATCAATCGAACACGGATCAGATAAATCCTGGCACTTACCCCTCCGATTCAATTTTCTTGGGACGTTCTTGGGTTGGTTCCGGCAAGATGGCTTCGGAGAAATGGAATCTCAGCTCAATGCTGCTGTTCTCGACGGCTTTGCTGGCACTGTCGGCCTTCAATTATGGTCTGAGCGACCAGGCCTTCTCGTCGTGCCAGGCCATGGACTCTTTCATCCGGCAATTTGGCAAGTACGACGCCTCAACCGATACCTGGAAGATTCCGGCTTTGGACACCTCCCTATATAATAGTATCAAAGCAGCCGGTCAAATTATCGGTGTGTACAGTCTTCTCTTGGGTTTATTGTCGATGCCACTAAAGACCAGCTGCTAACGAAGCCATTCCACAGGAGTTTTCCTCGGTGGTTATGTCAGCAACAGATGGGGACGGCGGATGTGTATCTTTTCGATGAGTGTTTATGCTCTCGGCAGTGCTTCGGTCGTAGTTAGTTCTACCACTCAAGCTCAACTTCAGACTGCACGAGCACTTCACTGTGAGTGTTTCCACTAAATATAAGTCTCTCAATCCCGGCTAATGGGGTTCATGCGGCTGCAGATATCTACCTTGGAATGCAATTAGCTGTCATTCCCACCTTCCTTGCCGAGCTGGCACCCGCCAAGAACCGAGGTGGAATTGGGGTGATATACTGGCTGAGTATCAAGTGCGGTGGGCTGTTCATCACCGGCGTGGCCCGAGCAACGAAGACAATGACGACCGATGCCGCATGGCGGATTCCGTTTGGCCTCATCCTCGTCATCCCCTTCATAGTCCTCTGTTTGGTCTGGTTCATTCCCGAGTCACCTCGCTGGTATCTCCTCCGCGATCGTCAAATCGAAGCCCTCCAGGCCCTCACTGTGCTCAAGCCCAAGAATACTCCTGAACCAGTCATTCAAGAAGAGTTTGATGTGCTCTCTGCCAAGGTGGCCGAGCAACTCCAGAAGAAGTCGTTCAGGGATCTCTTCACGCGCCAGAACCGGCAGCGTACCTTTGTGGTTGCTGCGACAAACTTTTTCCAGCAGGCGACCGGTCAGGCTTTCGCCTCGCAATATGGAACCTTGTTTGTCAAGCAATTGAAGTCGGTTAATCCGTTCAGCGTAACCCTCGGTACCAATGCTGTGGACATTGGCGCCATTATCATTTGTGCATCGTTGATTGATATCGTCGGACGTCGGTGAGTAGTAGCCTCCAATCTCGTACTGCCGTCGCATCAACTTGGAAACCTAACCACAAGAAGAATGCTCTTCCATACTAGTTCATCACTCCAGACCGTGGCTCTGATGACCATGGGTGGTCTTGGCACCGCGGATTCCAGCAATGTCCATGCCAAGCAGGGGATTGTAGCTATGCTCCTGCTCTTCAGCTTCAGCTGGTCTCTTGGCTGGGCTCCCCTGGTGTACGTACTTGGTGCCGAGCTTCCCTCTTCTCCTCTCCGGGAGATGACGCTTCAGATCGCCTATACCGTCAAACTAGTCACCGAGTATGTTAAGATCTTGTTCCTTTCCCTTCCGAGGTACACAGACCAACTCTAATCCGTGTGAATAGATTCGCCGTGACTTTCACATATCCTTACATGGAAACTGCCGATACCCCGCATCATGTTGATCTCGGCGGTAAGCTAGGTTTCATATATGGTTCGCTGTCAGCATTGGCTTTTCTCTTTGGGTGGTTCTTCATTCCCGAGACTAAGCAGGTGGAGATCGAGGACCTTGATAAGCAGTTTGCTATCCTTGAGCTTGCGGATGTTGAGGACCCGACAAAGGGGGCCCCGGCCGTGGTCACTGAACTTCCTCAATAGAGGGGCATTGAGGAGCGTGATGGATTCGAATCTCGATCGCGAATTTGGATTGAAATATAGATTGTGACGGAATTGATTGACACAACTTCACAACCTACGTTCAGTGGAGCCATGGTTCCACCTGATTTGTGGCTTACGCACCGTGATCCTCTCGTATAGAGCAGAAAAGATTTTCCGCTGACAATATCTGCGAAGTTCAACAGTGTGATTATGTTGGATATCTGGGACCATTCATTGCTTCAGCGTTCTGATCGCTATTATTGATACTCCCATGCTTGATTACAAATATTTTCTTTCACCAGGCGACTCAATACCTGGGATGCGATCGTAAAAGCGGCGTGCCCTTGTTCTTGCCCGTATATATGTACAACAATGCGATCAGCTAGAATCACTCTGCGAAGAGCTTTTAGTATTACCGTGTCTTGCAGGTTCGGCCTATGCGTTTTCAGACTATCTAGCCCTTCCTCGGCGCCACTCTCGAAGACCAGTACATAATAAGCCTGGATGGTCATTGAAGTTTTATGAATCGTGTACCTAAGGATTGAAACAGGACTGACTGTCAGAACGCTGTGCTAGTTTTTTCAATCACCGCTTGGGAGGGGTCCGCCGTCGGGCACATAATCTGGGAATCTGCCGCGCAAATCAAAGGGTGGCGGTGGCCGATGTGGGAGATTGTCTTCATGGCCTCGTTGGCCCTCTGCGTTCTCCTAGCCCTGATGTCCGAGGCCTCCGCCGTGCCCGTGTCTGACCGGCGCCAGGGCTTCCGCGCTGGTGGGCTCTGTGCTCCTATCGGCTGGCCTGTTCATCTTTGCATGGACCGCCACCCCGCTCAATCCCACCCTCTTCCCTTGCACGGCAGGCAAAAGAATAACGGTTCTGTACCCGTGTCGACGGGTGTACTACAGGCGCCATGCTAAGACCAACAACAGGTTTGGCATTTCAGCATCCCGCCTGGTTTCTGGCATGTATAGCATACACTGTTGTGGCAAGATTGGCTGGTCAACTTTACATATACAAGAAGACGAAATTAGCTTAGGATCTTCTTTGTAAGGCTGTAGTAGCCATCGTGATGAAAAGACCACCAAAACTGCAATCTTGTCGAGAATGCATAACGGTCTACTTAGTAAATATACTATAAGACAAAGCGAGCCTCCTCTTGGCTAAAGGCAGTATGTCATACACTTCCCCTCTTCTTTATCTCAACGCCTTTTGTAATTTTCGTCTGACTGCCTGGTTCGGTAGGAAGAAACTGCTTTCCCGTTTCAATCAAGTTCGAAGTTGCCACACCAACCCTAATGGCGCCCTAGTGACTTGGAGACATATCTCAAACATTCGCATGAATACCGGATCGGCCTTCTTCGCGGACACACATGCCGTCTGCCATGACGATCACTCGATCCATCCACGCCACGCTCGTCGGACGGTGCGCCACACACAAAATGATACTATCGCGGAAGTGCTCCTGTAAGACCTGCTGAATATGGTTCTCCGTCTGCAAGTCCACACTCGAGGTCGCCTCGTCCAGGACGAGGATGCGGGGGTTGGCCAGCAGAGCGCGGGCCAAACAGATAAGCTGCGCCTGACCAGCCGAGAGATTCGTGCCCCCAGGTGCAATCACGATGTCGAGCAGATCGCTGCTGTCTGTGCAGTGGTGTGTAGGATCGGCCTGCGCTCCCCCATCCTCGGACAGTAAGCCGCTCCGTCGGAGGTCAAAGGCGTGGAATGCCCCCACCACGGAAAGCGCATGGATTAACGTGCCATCAGAGTGAGAAATCTGCGGATCGAGGTTCTGACGCACTGAGCCGGGGAACAGGACCGAGTCTTGCGGGAGGACGTGCACCATGCTTCGGAGAGTGGTGAGAGGGAGGTCGTTGATCGGAGTCCCGCGGATGGTGATCCGGCCGTGCACCACCGGGGCGAGGGCCGATAAAGCCGCCAATATAGTCGACTTCCCCGAGCCTAGGCAAGCATGCGGGCGTTAGATACGAGGAGCGATGATGGGAAAGGATGGGGTTGGGATATACTCACCACTATGTCCGATGATCCCCACTTTCTCGCCCGATCGGATGCACATTGAGAAATCTCGGAGGGATGGGCTGTGGCTGCGCGGATATTGGACGGTGACATGGGAGAAGATGATTTCACCTTCTGGCTCCGAGTCGGGAGACTTGATTACAATATAAGGATGCGCCCCGTCCGGAGTATCCCCCATCCAGGTTGGACTCGTCGGCTGCACGCGGTGGTCATCTTCCACCGGGATCCGAGTCATGTAGTGTCGTAGTCGTTCTGTGGAGTTCATCTCAACCTCGACATTGATCAAAGACCACAGAAACTGGTGCATATGCTTCGACAGTGAAATGCTGAGGGTGAAAATGAGCCCCATCTGTAACGAGTCGAGCACACCGAAGACCCCGAGCAAACCCGCACACCCCAGCAGGGCCACTGATAGCATCTCGATCCGCAGTGTAATCCATGTTTCCAATGCATAGCGGACGGTGATTCCGACAATAGCACGACTAAGTGCTACACGGTGACGTTCTTCAAACAGCTCTCGTGCATCATACGTCTGTATGGTCGGCATCGAAGCCATACTCTCCGTAATGACGGAGAGGACGGGGGAGTCCAGGATAGAACAAACGCGTCGGAGTTCGCGAGCAGACCTGACGTACAGGATTTATTCATTAATCCTCGTCAAACTGCAATGAACGTCGTTGAAGAGGGAACGCATCACTTACACTCGATAGAGAGACTGAATACGATATTGGAAGTAGAATATCGGTCCGAAGGCCAGCACAAGGTAGGGAGAGCTCCAGACAAGCACAATGACCGCCGCAAACAGCGATGTCGCAGCCATAAGCAATAAATCGCCCGCATTGATGAGTCGAAAGTCGATCCCATCGATATCTACCGATAGCCGATTCAAGACGCGACCTAGAGGCTGTGCACTGAAGAAGTCCAAAGGTGCGCGGAAGAGACGGGTGACGACGCCCTCATGGATACTCCGGCTGGCCTTCATCGTTCCCAATACAAGGATCACCCCGACTGAGGCTACAAGCGTGATTGTCATCGTCAGTACTGTATACGTCCCGTGAATTGTACCAAGCAAAACATACCAATAAAGACGGCCTGTAGCATGACCACTAGAGCATATCCTGTAAGATAAGTAGGTGTCGAGACAGATAGCACATTTCCCATCCACCATGGTAACCAGAAGCTGTTGACAATTCGGACAGCAACGGTGAGAAAGAGCATGAGGGAGAGAAGCATAATGAAGCGAGGGCCTCCAGCACATTCAAAGTAGAATCGATATAAGTCAGTGTCAACCTTACCACGGGCGCGCTCCTCCTCCACCAAGGTGATCTGCTTGGAATCAGCAGAACCTGGCTTGGCTGTCGATTCCGTGCCCATAACTCCTTCTAAATGGTCCTTAATATAAGTCCCCGTCTCACCGACGAGGATTGACCCAATAACCCCATGTGGGGATTTTCGTAGCTCCTCGGGACTACCTACCTCTGCAACCATGCCGTTGGCCAACGAGACAACGTGGTCACAATATTGAATGAACTCGGCCTGATGTGTAACTATAAAGAGCTTAATTAGCATTTGACCTGTTTCTAACGCAGAAGGAGCATTACCTAAAATAACGGTCTGCGGCAGCTTAAGGATGCACTCATGAAACAGCTTGCGGGCCACCCGGGGATCAACCGCCGAGAGACAATCATCCAACAGCAGAAGATCTGCCTCGCTGTAGATAGCTCGTGCCAGAGAAATTCTGGCCTTCTGACCACCACTGAGATTAGCGCCACTCTCCCCTACTATTGCGAGGTCGCCGCCCGGAAACGAGGCAATGTCTGACTCGAGGCAGCAGAGGCGGACGACTTGACGATAGCGCACAGGCTCGTAAGACCGCAGAAACGTGATATTATCACGAACAGTACCCAACATAATCCATGGGTCTTGAGTGCATAGGGCCATCGTGGCCGAATTTCGTTGGAGTTGACCCTCAATGACCTCGGCTTGCCCGCCAATGGCCGCTAGCACCGTGGACTTACCACTTCCACTGGCTCCGTGTATGATTGTCAATTTATTAGCCGGTATACCCATTGTGATCGGTCCTAATACAAAGCTAGTCGAACTGTCATCTGCGTTTGGGTAGGATACTTTCGCATCATGGAATTGGATCAAATTGCCGGCGCTGGCTTCGCTCGACTGGGGAACTTCCCCTGGTTCGTGACTGGCAGGCTGATGTTCCGTTTGGTGCAGGATATGGAGAATGCGCCGGACACATGGGAGAATAGAGAACTGACGGGTTACCGAGAGGGAGAATTTAGAGGCTGGTGAAAAGGTCATTTCAAATAATGTCAAGGCAGGGAATACCACCTCTGGCACCAACTTGTGGCCAGTATACCAGTAGCTTGTCAAGGAAACCATGGCGGTGACTGCGGGAATCATCTGGTTTATGGAGATAAAGAAGCAGAAGACGACGCGCAGGCGACGCCATAGGGCTTCCAATTGCACCTCTCGGGCTAATCGTATCTCCTTGAGAAACATGGGCTCCAATCCCAGTGATTTGATACCGCGGATCTTTTGGAAGGCGGAGTTGAGGTGATTGATGCGCACTTCATCGATGCGCAGGTAGTCTTCCACTGCTACGCCCACCGCAGCGTTTGCCCGAGTCTGGGAAAATAGAAGGATTGACATTGCCACATAACCTGAAGTAGGTTAAGAACTGATTTTGGTTACGCAGCGAGGCTCCATCCTTACCCACGATCCCAGATATACCCAGCAGGCGAACGATCATAAACGCGATAAGGAGCAGCTGCACAGGACTGCTCCAAATATCATGAACCTTAAGCACATAGTTTCGGACTAGCATCATATCGGTTGTGGAGCTGCCCAAGACCTTTCCCACGGGACTCCGGAGATGCGCCAGGTTCGAAAAACGAACACTCTTTTGGAAGATGGCCAAGGAAAGAACAGACGAAGCTCGAACAGATAAAACCCGGCAGATCTGATCTTTGGCACGTCCAGCCAACGTAGCCACCGCACTGGCTAGAAAAAGAGCCACAAAGTTTCCGATATGAGTGGGATTCTGGAGAACTCGTCGTAGGAATAACGGGAGGAGAAGCGTCAAGAGCGAGGCAAGCATCTAGTCAATGCCAATTGGTCAGCGCACTGTTACCTATTACCTGAAGTCATACTGCTTCCGTGGGATCATACCTCCAGTCCAGCTGAAGCCAATAGAGGACATAGAAATTCCTTGCTTGTAATTGTCTTTAGCCACTGGGATTTGCGTGCCAGTCCCGCCAATGGCACATAGTAATGAGCATCTTTCGAGGTACCTGGCAACCAAGCTTGCTCCAAGTAGTCGGCTGATTGAACCGAACGCATCAAAGAGGTGAGCCAGTCCTGCAAGATGCCATACTCATGTCGTGCCACATCCACGCGGGAACCATCAGCATGGAGCTCTTCTAAATCAATCGCTTCGACCTGCTCGTACTGGGGCCGCTGGGAAGGAATCCAGCGATTCAGTGAGCGCCTAATACGCGATAATAGCACCCACGACTGCATATTGACTTGTCGAAGCAAAATGAATGCTTGGTTTTCAGTGCAACGAGAGAGAATGATTGTGAAGGGAAGTGAGGGGAAAAGAGCTCAGCTTGGGAGACCAGGGGAGGGGAAGCTCGCCGGGATAACTAGGGCAATCCTATTAATTTGGGCCCGCATGCTGCTATAATTTACGAGCCTGGTCAGACTTCCTACCGGCTTAATGCGCACCAGCCCCTCCCTTGATTGTTGGTCCGCGCTCTTGCAGAGTTTCGCCTGCTCTGGCTCTTATCATCGAGTAAACTGGTCACCCGGAATGTCCGGGATGTCTAGGTGGAAGGCTCTGATGTCGCTCTTAGCTCCGGAGTGAGCACTTGACTATCACCCGTCACAGGGCAGAAGTCCCTTGGGCATTTTCAGTCTAATTCAGCCGGCTACGTTCATTTAGAAAGTTCTCATGACAGATATCTTACACTTTAGGAATTCCAGTCGTTGGTTTGACTCGACCACACTCACCTATCTTCCAAGATGGCATGGATATCGTTACCTGAGTCGTCTGCCATCAATCTTCGGTTTGTCTCGAATGATTGTGCGCGAAGTAAGGGCTCTGATGAGACATTGCCATTGCTATCTCCTCCGATTCCCTCCAACGCCCGGCCCAGCTCCAAATCTAAACGACTATTTCTCTATTTTTCGATAGTGTTTTTACGGCAACTGTGTGCTTCCGTTCAACTCCTATCCCATCTGCGGCTTTATGAATCTATAATCACTGCAAACTCTCAACATCGATATCTGTCTGCTCATGGCCTTCCACAGGGAGCGATCCTTCCTTATGCCTCTTATATCCAAGGATGGCAGGTTGCCTTTGACTGTGTCCCCGGTATATGATCTCCACTTCATGCTTCTCATCATCATCTTCTTTTCTTTTTCTACCTATCGAGGCTACGGTGCTGACTCTTTGTCTTTCCCCATTTAGATATACTATTCCTTGTTATTTTATCATACGTTCGGAAACATTTCTCGCGTCGCTTCATGCTTGTGTTGAACTGGGGGGGTACGATTTTGGCAGAAGGCTGGATCCTCTTTGTGGGTATGGATATGCTCTAACCGGCTCTCTAGAGTTAGAGTTTTGAGGCATGAATGAGCTCACATACTTGATACAGGATGGTCAGGACTGCCTCTAGCCTGGACGTGGTGCTCCTCATTATTTCGACTGTTTGGCGGCGATTCGCGGACCACAATAGCCCTAATGTTGTCGTTGCTTAGTGACATGACAGCTTCATCCGACCGGTACTGTCACCACCTCCTTTGAAAGCCAGAACCAAACTCAAAACAGTTGAGCATTGAGAACTAACGTGAATTGTCATGTACTATTCCCAGCCACTCGTACACATTCCACATCACTACAACCCTGTTAGCCGCCGAATTTGCTGGCTCCGCAATAGCTACCATCGCCTTGAACTACGGTGTCTACGTGTCGCTACTACTGGGTCTCATCCTCCCTATCGTCACTCTCCCACTAGCCTTTCTGATACCCTCCGATGAACGGCCGCTGAACCCACCCCAGCGTACTGCCGACCAACATACAGAACAGCACGAATTGACCACCTGGGCGACTTCCTGTCTAAAGCAACTAAGGAAGCCCAAGATTCCTTCGCAGTCCGACCTGCGGGTCTCCTGGCTCGTTGCGACATGCCTCATATCCCGCATCGGACGTTACCCATTTTCTCTTCTCCTTCCGACGGTGTCTCACCGTTATCAAGGGACTATGACCGAGGTTGGTAACTCCTCGCGAAGAATGCACTCCGTGAACCGGAGCGACGATACTGACCATCCTCCGTGCTCTAGACCGGGTTCCTCCTCTGCTTCAAAGCTGTCGTCAGCCTGATGGGACTCGCCATCCTCATGCACTGCATTCGACCCCTCCTCTTGCGACGGCAATCCCCGATGCACTCGGCCGATGCGACTCCTCTCTTTGGCCCCTATCGGCTTGACCTGTGGACGATGCGAGGCAGTGCAGTGTGCATGGCTATTGGGGCGGTTCTGTTATCAGCATCACGCTCACTGACGATAGTATACACAGGTATGTTATCGCCCCGTCCTTCGATGCCAGAGGTGTTAATCCACCAATCTTACGAATGCAATTAGGGGTTGTGCTCTATGCACTGGGTATCGGGTTCGGCGGTGGAGTCGGAGGCCTTATCGCGCAGTTGACGGGGTCCGAGGGAGTCTTGCTGCCGGATAACATGCTTGAGGCGGTATTTGATGCCATCGCGGCACCGGCGATGTCGTATACCTGCCTTTTTGGGGCACAATTGGATGAGTCGATGTCGATGGTCGGACTGTCATTTGTTGCCGCGGCGAGTATCTTTGGCTTGATTGCTATCGGGACTTTTTTTTAGTCGGTGGGGAAGAATAATACGGATAATACGGCTAGTGTTTTATGGGGGTATTGGAAGGATCAGCCGCGATCCTCCGTTTCTCTGTTCAACCCTGCGCTAAATTAGCCCTACTTCTGGCCAGATTGCAAGATCGCTGCAAGCTAAACGCTTGACATACTGGCTTGTATAATCAGAACTCGGAGTTTCTAGATTAAATTCTCCCGCTCTAACCTGATCTGTGAAACCTGTCCTGCAGCTCTGGTCCTGCAGCTCTGGTCCTGCAGGGCCATTCCCACATTGGTCATGCCTGTTGTGATGTACTGCACCGTCGGAATTACAAAATGTAGAACGAACGTTTGGAAGACTTTTGGGTAGTCCCTGTGCCCCGGACTGATTCTTCGTGTCGAGCTTCCTTTCTTTTTTTTTCTCTTCTTTCCCCCGGTTTATACCTAATGGAGCCACTTCTATCCCACCGCACGGCCTCACTTGAGCTGGACGAGTATGTCGATGGTGAACATGATGCCGAGAAACAAAAGCCCCTTGTGTATGAGACATGGCTGCAACAAGCCCGCAAGAAGCTTCCCAACTGCCTTATTGTCGTCTTCACGGCGCTACTGCCATACTTCATCACCACTTTATGGCGGCAGAATTATGAACGGCCATCCCTGCGGCGCACCTCTGCTCTTGATGGGCTCCGCGGAATTGCTGCGCTTTGCGTGGTCAATTACCATATTATCTCGGCCTTTCACAACTTTGTCAACTACGGCTATGGGCTTACCCCTGAGGAGGCTCATCGTGAACCTCATTGCGCCCACAACAACGAGCCCATTGAGCACAATCTGCGCCTCCACCAGCTGCCAATCGTTCGGCTTGTCTATTCCGGGTCCGCCCCGGTCTGTATCTTCTTTGTGCTCTCGGGTTTCGTGCTATCCTATCGATCCTGGCAGCTGGTGCGAGCCGGCAAATTGGAGGCTGTCTTCCCTAGTCTGAGCTCCTCGACCTTCCGCCGCGGGTTCCGCCTCTTTCTGCCCACGACCCTCGCTACGATGATCACGATGATCTTCATCCAGACTGGAGCCTGGGATTATCCCGCCCAGGTTGCAATGGATCAGACCATTATTACCGCCGAAAACGAGTACCACCAAGCCCGGCTGCCCACCTTCGGGGCGCAGACCACCCACTGGGCGTCAATGATGTGGAACATGACCAACATCTTTGCTTGGGAGGAGACCTATCCCGAGTACGACGTGCATCTGTGGACCATCCCGATGGAATTCCGGGCCTCGCTCCTGCTGTTCCTCATTCTCCTGGTGTTGATCCGGCTCCGCTACCGCTACCGCGTGGCCATTCTGATCGGTCTGATTGCCTACTGCTACGGTCATGTACGGTGGGTGATGGTCCTGTTTTTGGCCGGGAGCTTGCTGGCCGAAACCTCCCTCCGCTGGGACGCTGCCCGAGCCCCCGAGACCATCACTCCCGCCAACACGGGGCTGTGCATCCTCTTCCTCAGAGCGGTGCTCGTCTTCATCTCCCTGTATTTCCTCTCCGCCCCGGACAAATGCATTCACCGCACCCCTGGATACATGACGCTGGCCAAGATCCTTCCCTCGTGGGACGTGCGCTTCTACCGCGTCTTCCCCTCGTTGGGGGCCATTATCCTGGTCGGTGTAGTCTCGCACAGCACCAAGGAGAGTCGCTTCTCTCGGGCTTTAGACGTCCGGTTCGTGCAGTATTTGGGCTGGATCAGTTACTCAATCTATATCGTGCATGGCCCATTGATGCATGGCTTGGGGTATCGGCTATTCCCCCTGATGTGGCGGATCACGGGGCACGAGGCAACGGGCCCGTATCTAATGGGATTCTTTCTGGCGTGGTCGCTGCTGCTGTTTGTGGTGTTTTGGGTGGCCGATCGGTTTGCAGTGGCGGTGGATGATAACTGTGTGCGGATTGGAAAGTGGTTGGAAGAGAAATTGGTGGAGTCAACCTAATATATGGTACTGTAGCTTTCATCAAGTATATATGTGTACGCAACTTACGACAAATACACCTCTCTGTGCTGGAACCTTCCCTTCAAGCAGCAGGAATATTGGGTCCCCCCGTTGACTGAAATATCCATAGAACGAGCAATATGAACATCTGTGCCTTCTTGTTCCTTAGGCGACAACTTAGCACAGTCACTCTTGACTTCTCCCCCCCCCCCCCCCCCTCCCTCCTCTCCTCCGTCTACAGCTGGAAGTAAGCCAGCCCCTTCTCCAGGTCACTGAACCACCTTTCCACAGCCTCGGGGTGCAGCCCCCGCGGCACATTGGTTGTAATTCCCCGCAAGGCATTCCGCACGAAATGCATACTCTCCAGCCGCTGATCCCGCCACTCCGTCTCCGCCAACACCGCTGCCCCGTGCTCGCGACAGAGTTGCCAGAACCGATCGCGCAGCCGGTATTTCTCGTCAAACGACTCTTGGCCGGGCTGCGCGTTCCACAGGAAGGCACGTACCGGATCCCACTGCGGATAGGGGACGGTGCCAGCGAACTCCCAGTCCAAGATTGCGGTGATGCGGTCGGTGGCCGGGTCGTAGAGGATATTGGCAAAGTGGAGATCCTTGTGCGCGAGGTAGAAGTCGCGCTCAGTAGGTGTGTCCCCGGCGAGCGCGGGGAGGCGATCGAGGAAAGCGGCAATACGTGGGCGGAACGGGGCCAGGGGGCTCTGCAGCGAGGGATGGATGTCGGCCACGTGCAGGTAAGATCGCACGGCGGCAGAGACGTAATCGGTGAAGCTATTGAAGGGCCCGCGGAAATTGAGGGTCGTAAAGGTTTCCTCTTTGGAGAAGTAGCGCGGGATGTCACCGGTGAACCAGAAATGCTCGTCCAGCATGGGGCCGACGGTGATGCTGCGCTGCTGCTGCTGCTGCTGCTGCTCGTCGAAGGCCAGCCCTCCGATTCGTGGGAATTGGTGTTGATGGAGCTCGAGAAGGATGTTCATCAGCTGCAACAGAATCGAGTCGAGTTGAGCCTCGCTTAGAGTTGAGTAGATGTCGGAGATGGCTTGGCCCGGGCACCGGTTGCAAATCAGATACTCGCAACCCAAGGGGTTGGCACTAGTCACATCGAAGGCAACTACATCGGGGACAGGAATGGAGGTGTGCTCGCGCAGCCACGTCAGGATCGCGGTTTCATTCTCCGTCTTGATGCGCGGCACATGATCCCCGGAGATGCGCAGGATCAAGTCCACCTCCTTTTCTTCCCCACTTGAGGGGAGGGGCCTGTCCGATCGCAAGAGTGGCGCAATAATCGCGCGGGGGTAGGTCAAGACGTAGATGATGTGGAAAGCAGCGGTCACTTTCAGGGGCTTGATAGCGACAGGACGGCTGAGACCGATCGAGTCCAGCAGAGCGAGAATCGTCTCCTCCGCATAGGGTTGCGGGAGATTGTTCTCGGTCGCAACTCCCATGGCAACGGGTGATTGGTAGAAGCGGAGGCTTGAAAGGATTCAGAATGTAGTCGGTAGTAGACTAATACTATTGTTCGAAACCAAAAAGGAAGATGTATTTATCTCGAATTAGCACCCTTGATTGCGAGGGAGCCGATGTCGGGGGGCGAGCGGCTGATAGTGGCGATAAAGATAGGGCTCGAGCTGGCGGTCGACGGCTCTTCCCGCACGGTTACACTCGCTGTCACTCCGTGGCACCATCCACAACCCCAATGATACCTTCCTGCTTACTCGACTAGGCGATTTTCAGCTAGTGGATACGTTACCATAAACTTAACTCCTTTGGGTGACAGGCTATCTACGGGCCCTGGCAGGCAGGCATCCCCGACTCTTCACTCCTCGTTCAAATCACGTGAGTCGTCGTCTTTCTAGTTATATCCTACCACCTCGACGCGCTGGTAATGAAGGCTCACCCTTCAAGTCAGCTAACTGTGTGTTCATCATGATTCACAAGATTCCTCGTAGCTCTGGTTACCCTTCTCCTCGCATCACCATTGCCGGGTGCGGGGTCTTGGGCAAAGGTATCGCCACCGGTCTTCTGGCCTCGCCTTTGAACCTAGATCCCAGCAAGATCACTCTGACGGTTCGACGTGAGCAACACGCTCACTGTCTGCGTGAAGAATTTCCCGGTCTTGCTATAACTCTCGACAACGGGGATCCAGCGCTCTGGCAGGGGGGGGTGACTGGTGACGAGGAAGGTCATTTTCTCTTCATCGTCACTAAGCCTCAGCATGTCCAGCTGGTCTGTGCCGATGTCTATCCCCATATTCGAGCTAGTCCCACTCCTCCTGTGGTGATCACCCTATGTCCAGGCATCACCATCGCGCAACTGCAAGAATGGCTTCCCACAGGCACGCCCATCGTTCGCTCGATGCCCAACACCCCGGTTATGGTTTGCCAGGGGGCGACCGGACTCTTCCCCTCGCCACTGGTCACTCCCTGCCAGCTGGATACTCTCACCCGCATGTTCGAAGCCATCTCGCCGAGCGTCGTCACGCTGGCTCACGAAGATCAATTAAATGTGGTGGCTGCCATTTCAGGGTGATTTATCCTCCTCTTTAGCCCTTCTTTGTGACATGTTGACGCACCTCGAATTGATCAAAAGAGACAATCTTGCTAATTCGACAACTCGTACCAGATCCGCTCCCGCCTACTTCTACCGCCTGATGGATAGTATGGTCGCGACTGGCATGTCCCTCGGACTTCCCGAGTCTCTCGCCCGGGATCTAATTACACAGTCTTGCATTGAATCCGGAGCATTCGCGCGCGAAATCCCTAGCGTCTCACTGGCACAGTTGAGAAACGATGTCTGTGTTCCCGGGGGTAGTACGGAGAAGGCGATGAACGTCCTGGATGCCCACGGGTGGCATCGAGGGGTGAAGGAAGCGATCACAGCCAGTCTGACTGCCAATCGGTCGATGGGGCAGAAGGTCAAAGGAGGTTCGTGATATGTTATCTACGAGACATGATATGGCTTCCAGGGTTCCAGTCATCTGAGCATAGTGATCTAGCTGTATCGATTGTACATAGTCTCATATTTTCATTACATCGCCCCGTTGGGAATCTCTATGATAGTTGCTTTTTGATCGGTCTCCTCATTAACTTAATTCTCTCGCATCATTTTCCTAAATCGTTATTGTAGTAGTAGTAGTACGGCGAAAATTATGTTTGCGGGATCTCATATCGGAATGACCCCAAGTTGTATGTAAATATATATTTCCGGCACGGCAGGCTTCCATTAACACCAACCATTCTTACCTATTATGATGAAGTTTGAATCTATCTAGATTGATATTACAGGAGCTGATTCTGAAATTGAGATTGCACTTCTCTCTTTAGTTTCCAAAGTGTATACTACCGTCCTATTGACCGTCAACTGCATGTCCTCACTTTAGAAGTCGAGTATCCATCAGCACATGGCATGGATGCGTATAGTTTAATTTACGCCCTTAATCAGACTAACCCGGTTGGGAAAGAGACTAAGCATTTTCGCCAAGCCAATAATGGCTGCTGCGTCTGAAGAAAAGAGGGGTCACATCTACGGAATGGAGCGAGTAAAAATTGACGACGATCGAAACTCCGTCGGAGTGCGGGAGATTTCCAGCCCACGAGCCTCAATGTCAGATTCCAATCGGAATCCTGTTAGCAATCCTGCTGACCGTCAATTCCTCGATGCGCCGAGATCGGCTTATGCCAGTCCTCGATTTTCCGCCCCCACGAGCTTAATTTAGCGTGGTTTCACCCCTGTATTACGAGCATCTAGTGTATGGCTGCGTTATTCGTATCGATGATAAGGGATATCGGGTGAGGGGTAAGATGCATCCCCTCTAACCCTAAGTCGATGCACTGCAACAAGAGGGGATCCTGACTTGGATCCTTTGAGGATAGAAGTCGAACCACATCTTTATCGTGTCGTGGGAGAATATCGCATGATAGATGGAGTATGGTTTCAGGTGGGCCGAGGCTCAACAGCCCATAACCACACCACAAGGTGTTCCGGGTTGGGGTTGCCGAATCTGTCTGGTGAGGATTCTACTATCCTGGATATATTACTACTACTACTACTACTACTACTACTACTACTACTACTATTACTACTACTACTACTACTACTACTACTACTACTACTACTACTACTACTGGAACTACTGTCAGAGTGTGCAGGAGGCTTTCATTGCATGCTTCATTTTTTATGCTACTCTCCAACTGCATTCCATTTACTAATTCACCAAAACCGTATCACCATGACATTCGAAACTATTGACCTGGGGGTCATGCAAATTGGCACCCTTGAGGATCAGAAAAAGGTCGGGGAGGCCATCAAGAATGCCCTTGAACGACAGGGGTTTCTGAAGCTGACCAACCACGGCATTGCGCCAGAGATGATTGAGGAGTTATTTGCTTGGGTCTGTATTTCATCTCTTCTCAGTCGCGGGAGACAATCCCAAGCTGACAGATTCTAAAGAGCAAGCGATTCTTTGCCCTGCCTGCCGAAGTCAAAGCGAAAGCTCCGCACCCGCCCACCCCGACCCCAAATCGAGGTTATAGCGCGGTGGGGATGGAGAACACTTCAGTGCACGGCAATCTGGGCAAGAAAGATGGGAAAGTTCTCCCCCCGTTGATCGACATGAAGGTGAGTCCAACCTTGGTCTTCTCCTCAAGATGTGTGCCCTCCCCATCCGCATCATTTGACTTTTGTTATACCATCAGGAATGTTTCGATCAAGGCTCCGCCGACGACGAGCTCTATAACAATATCTGGCTCCCCGAGTCCGATCTCCCCGGCTTCCGGGCCTTCATGGAGTCCTACTTCGAGGCTGGATTTGCCTGCCAGCAACGTATCCTCAGCGCAGTGGCCCTGGGCCTGGGACTGCCACCCACTGCGTTCGACCGCCTCCATCACAAACGCCAAAACGAGCTTCGTCTCACCCACTACCCGCCAATCGAAGCGCGACAGCTCCAGGACGGCACCAAGACACGCATCTCAGAGCACACCGACTTCGGCACCATCACCCTCCTATTCCAGGACTCGGTGGGTGGGCTCGAGGTTGAAGACCACACTTCCGTTGGCACCTTTCTCCCCATCGAGTCGGAGAAGTATGAGATGATCGTCAACATCGGAGATTGCTTCCAGCGCTGGTCGAACGGGGGCCTGCGCTCGACGCGACACCGCGTGCACCTCTCCCAGCGAGATTTGCAGAATCAATCCGAGTTCCTTCCCGGAAGGTACTCGGTCGCGTACTTCACCAAACCGAACCGCGATGCGAGCGTGGGGGCTATGCCGGAGTTACTGAAGCCAGGGGAGCAGGCGATTTACTCCGACCTCACGGCGGGTGAATTCGTCTTGCAGCGGTCGGCGACAACATACGGGAGTTACGAGGGTACCGGGGAGAAGCAGACAAAACTGTAGATTACTGGCTAGATTAGCGTGCGAACGATAAATTGATTTATTCCGTACCTTCCAAATTGTGATTGAACCGTCTGATTGTCTATTCCTGGCTTGGACAACTAGTACAGTAAAGTGGTCTCCCATCCCATGCCCACCCTCAAGAATGCATCATCAAGTAATCGGTCGAGAATATTTCCCGGCACGTTATGATTATGATTGACCTCTGGCTGGGCCTGATTGAAAAGACTTCGTGTCATTACGGCGCGGTCGAGAACGTAAGCATTCGCTTCGAGTGCTTGGTCGGGGCTAATTTCCGAGGAAAGTCGGACTATTGCGACGACAAAGAAGGCAGGTCGATACGGAATACGATAAGAATCCTGCCCGATAGAGGCGGCGGACTGCACGTGGAGTCATTGGTTGATTTTATTGATCGTGCTGGTAGCAGTGGAGCACCCGACTAAATATGTTGCCACGGGGCCTCCTTCCATGAGGAAAATCGGAGGGGAAGCACGAGCGAGAGAACGGCGCTTCGAGGACGGCTGCGGGGAATGAGGAAAATGACACCTTTTGCGGAGGACTGGTCGGGCTGGGCCGCACGTACTTCCTGCAGAAACTCTTCAGACCTTATCAGACCTTATCGGACCTTATCAGACATTATCAAGACCGCAGAAGCTACGCAGGCATACACGCTAGTTAGGGTTGGGCGTTAGTCAAACGGCCGGGGGTCGAGCCGTCAGCCGCTATTGAGTAGGCGTATTGAATCACGTACCGATTTATCTAATACATACGTTACATTACATACTGATAATCCTGCCAAGCGGAATGTCGCAATCTCATTCTAAAGGATAGAAGCTAAAACAAACAAAAGCGCATGCTATCTTTCCGACATCATCACGACCAGAAAATCAATGTCGGCTTCTCCTGCGCATTGACCGCCGGTAATAGCCCCATGAAACTACTGAACGCCAGACGCGGTCGGTTGGAGCCCTGGGTCACCGGGAAGACTTGGTGCATGTTGCGGGTGTTGAAGATACACAGCTGGCCGACCTCAGGCTGGATTATCGCGTGCTTCGTCCCCGCTACCACGCTCGCATGATATCCATACGAGTTGGGGTCGCGGAAGGCCAGCGCCTCTTCCGTCCAAGGTTGGTCATGGATCACTGTGTGCCCGCCGTGCACCGGTGTCAGATAGAGGTTGAACACCGCCTGATGTGAGATCCGGTTGATGATCCAGTCCTCCGTCAAAGAGTCATACGGAGACCAATCGCAATGTACCGGGGTGGACTCGTTGATAGCCCGGTAGATACCCGCAAAGTATCGCCGGCCGGGGCCTTCCTGCGCCACCATCACATCGTAGTCGGGGAGGAGGGAGGCAATGGCGTTGAAAACTTTCTGCCACAGGTTCAGGCCTGTATGGCTGGCTAGCTCTTCGTGAAGACCCGAAATCTTCTGCACTTCGGCGAAATAGCGTGCTTTCTCTAAGAACGGGATCGAAACAGATTAGCATGTCTCACTCCATGTCCAGAATTACCTAAAGGAGGAAGGGTCCGACCCTACTACATACCATCAGATCGGTGTTGAAAGTCCTCCGCTGATTGCGCCTGGAATTCAAACTGGGCCAGACCCACTTTCTGAACCTCAGGGCCAGCAATATGCGAGTAAGGAATCAATTTCTTCGTCAAGACGGCCTCGAAGCGCTCTGATGTTTCTTGCGAGATAAAGCCCCGTTCGGAGATGAGCGGGGTGTTGCCCAAAAGAACATCGAGGAAGCTCTGGCGGCTAAGAGAAGCAGCCTTGGTTGTCTTCCACTGGGATATGCGCGGAGGCATCTTTGCCTGCACAGGCTTGAAGTCGCGGTAGGCATCATTATAGATGACTGGCAAAGGGGACGAAGAAGACGTAATGGTCTCAGTAGAGGACGTAATAAAGCGAGACCCAAGTCTCTTGGGAACAGATGGTAGTCTTGTAGAGAGCATGATGAAGGGAATGTAAAGTAAGCAGCTGACAAGGGAGATAAGGAAGGAGAATCACGTCTGGCAGTGGAAGAAGAATGAAAAGTTTGGGTGACCTGGAATTGGGGTAAAGGATATAGGACCCTGCCTCGGCCACGAAATGATCATACCACGCTCCGCGGTATCGGAATGAACACCACAAGTTCCGTCTGGTGATGAGGGGAAGTGGAAGATAGGGATGCTCTCGTTTAGGATGAAGCACGACCGCCACTAGTCTTGCAACCAGATATCGAAGGATTTTGCAGGCTTGAAGCCGTAATTTGGCCCCATGCTGGACCCGCCCTTCCCCAATACTCGACCCCCTACAAACTCCGAGGCTGAGGTTGACGCTATTGTCGAGTATAGAGGACGATAATTGATGATAAGTCTTGCGCTGAAAGATATGACTCTTCAGAATTGGCAATCATGGACGATGACCAGGAGTTCCTGTCCGGGACCGGCGTGGCGAATGCTCTTGACCATACCATCTCGTTGTTCCCTGTAGATTGCGCTAGGGCTTGAGACAGTATATGAAGAACTGGAGACCTTCAAGGTTCGAGAGACATCCTGATCGTTAGACATTTCTCTTCTGTATCCTCAGAGTCACATCTCCTCTCCGAGTCAGTTGACTTGTTTCTCTTTTTCTCTTTGTATCACCTACCATATCATTAACACAATAACAACCTGACCATGTTCCCTCAACTACCAACTCTAGAGTCAGAGGAGACGGTGGCGTCTATTCTTTCAGATGCCTTCGCGTCAAATTTGGGCGGTGTAGCCATTGACTGGGAGCACGAAGAACAAATCACCTACGAGCAATTACGTGGCAAGGTGCAGAAACTTGCCCGGAGGCTTCGGCCTCTAGCACCTCCTGGAACCTCAGTCGTGGTGTGTTTACCTCGATCGATTGCGCAAATTGTCAGTATCGCTACAGTCCAATGGCTCGGAGCCGTTTACGTGCCCCTGGACCCTACTATTCCTCAAAGTAGACTGGATGGCTTGTTGAAGCGACTGCAAAAGCCTGTCATCTTGGCGAATCAAGACTTTCTTCGTCGCTATTCCGACCCCCAACTGATCGATGGGACATACTTCAATGTCGAGCAATGTCTGACCGATGATGAAGAGCATGCCGTGCAAAACAGTAGCCAACCTATTGCTACCCGTGAGCCAGACGATCTGGCGATTATCCTTTTCACATCGGGAAGTACGGGTGAGCCCAAAGGCGTGAAGCTCTCAAACCGCAATATTATTGAGCCCATTCGCTACTTGAGCTGCCAACAGGATATCAGCACCCATTCTCGAATCCTTCAGTTTGCCGGCCCAGCGTTCGACGTGCATATGCTGGACATATTCTGTGGCCTTTTCAATGCTGCGACTTTGTGCTTGGTCACGAAAGATAAGCTTCTTTCCCGGTTGGCCTTCTGGATCAATCAGATGGAAGCGAATATGATCCATCTCACTCCAAGCATGTTGTCAATGCTGCGCCCTGAGGATGTTCCCGGAATTCGCTACATGCTGTCCAGTGGAGAATCGATCACTCAGGAGATCATTGACACGTGGGCCGCTTCCGCCGTTCTCCTTAATCTTTATGGTGCGTATGACACATAAGAGAAGATAGTTCGCGATGCTAACATACCTTTCACATTAGGGCCCTGCGAAGCCTCCTCCATAGTCGGCTCGCGGCTGCTACCGGGTGATTCGGCGAGTATCATCGGCAAGGCTACCCCATTCTCGAAGATCATTGTTCTACGAGAGGATGGGCAACCTGCCGGTCCAGGGGAGTCTGGTGAGATCTATTGTACCGGAAAGACCATCTTCCTGGGATACCTTGGGAGTGAGATCACGACGCGATCGAAATTCCGTGCGCAGGGCCCTGGTCTTCCTGATCTATTTGGCACAGGAGATGTTGGTATAGTGACCGAAGATGGAAGTCTAAAACTTTTGGGCCGAGTTGATACTCAGGTAGGACTGAGAAAGAATAGTTTCCGGGAACGAGAACTGGCTAACAACTGTTGTGTATAGGTCAAAATTAATGGACAACGCGTCGAGTTACAGGAGATTGACCATGCGTTGACTACTATCGCTGCCAAAGCAGTCACAAGGTGGAGAAAGGATCCAGGGGGACAGATTCGACTGCATTCCTTCGTTACTGAGTCATCTGCTTTCTGCTATCCGTCCGATCCTTGTGAGCTGCTCACTCATGGCCAGGAATTTATCGACCGTCTCTCGGGAGTCTGTCGTGCCACGCTGCCTTCGTACATGGTTCCCGAGCTTATCCCGGTAAGTGCAATTCCCCTGAATGCGAGTGAAAAGATTGATCAGAAGCGTCTCGACCTTTTGCTCGAGTCTCATCTACAGTCAGCCAGTGGCATCCTTGAGCTAGATGCCACGACCGGAAATACTACCACCGAGCAGCTCATAGCCAAGATAATCAGTGAGCAGTTGAACCGCCCTGTTCGGTCTGCTCGGAGCAATTTACTCTCCATGGGACTTTCTTCACTTGATGCCATGGCTGTATTGAAGCACATCTACCTCGAGTTTGCTGTGTCTCTTTCTCTACACAACTTTCTTCAAAGCCCGACTGTAGAGCAGGTTGCCAGAATGGTCGATGAGCAGCCAGAAACGAGGACGGCAGAGCTTTCCCCTCAGCCTCCAAAGGAAGACACATTTATTCACGATGATGAGGCGATCACATCTCCATCTCAGGATCGGATATTTGCAGCCGACAAATTGCTAGCTAATAGCGCATACAACTGCAACTTTGTCCTGCGTCTTCCCTCTATGGACCTGGATGTGGAGCGCCTGCGCCGGGCTGTCTTTCAAGTCTATTCCCGGCATGACGTTCTTCATTCGACATATCATGAAGTTGATTCTGATAGCAAGGAAGCGGGCGCTAATACATTACCCCTTGTGAGGCAAAGAGTGTGGCCGGTCGCTGATCTTCCACTACAGTGGACAGTGGTCGGCCCTAAGGATTTGGAGATAATCAGCGTGCAACAGAAGAAGTCCGTGCTTGAGAGCTCTATGAACCGCATCGCAACGGACGCGGAAGTTCTGTTTGACCTGAGCCAAGAATCATCCCTGAGAGTCACAGTCTATGAACTGGGGTCCCAGCAGTGGATTGTCCACTTCAACATCCATCATATCGCGATGGATGAATGGTCATTCCATATTCTCACGAGAGAGATTGAGGATTTCTATTCATCCGAGCGATCTTTGGACCCACATTCATCCCCAGCAGTGCAATACAGCGAGTTTGCCAAGTGGCAGCGCTCCACTTTGCTACAGCAAGAATACGACAATCACCTCCACTGGTGGGAGGAACGAATCGGCGATGAAATGGCGTCACTACGCCCTGAAGACCTCGCTCCCTTGCATCCACATGTCCCTTCCTTGTCAGTCGAAGAACGTGAGAAGAGCCAGTTGTTTATGCACGATCTCGACTCTGACATGTTCCGAAGATTTCAGAAACAAATCTGTGCTGGATCCACCGCCTTCGTGGGATGGCTTGCGTTGTTTCAACTCCTTATGGCGCGCGTGAGTCGCAAGAACGAATTTCTGTTGGCGGTGCCAGCGACTGAGCGCGGCGTCAGCGCTAAGTTCATTGACGTTGTGGGTTTCTGTCTGAACACTGTTCTGATCCCCTCTACGGTTGCACCAAACGACACTTTCAGGACCCTTTTGGCCCGGACACAAGAGACCTTCCACTCCTGTATCTCTCACTCCGTACCTTACGAAGACGTGGTCACCAATCTAGCAGCAAAGAGACCGACCGGTCGTTCCAGCCTCCAGCTAAATGTGATGTTCGTGCTTCATGATCTCCGAGCAAACCCTGGAAAGGCCTCTGATGCCAATTCATTTCTGGAATCAGCGAATTACATCCAACTCCCAACCAAGGGGGCCGACTTCCCTCTGATTGTTCACATCGATCCAAACTACAGTCCCCCTCGTCTAATTTTGCAACACCGATTTGATGCCTTCCGTGCATCCTTCATCCAGACCCTGGGTCGTGGCTTTGCATCGTTACTCCAAGATGTCGTTCAATCTGGCCTTGAGGCACCTCTGGTACAGATGAATCAGATCTCGCCGCAGGATGCACGAACCCTCGATAGTTGGGCTGTGGCTCCAAAAATACCCGAACGAATCCGCCGTGCTTGGATTGAAAGTAATGGGCTCACATTAGTGGACCTGTTCCATGAGGTCGTGGAGAGATATCCCAGGGAACTGGCGGTTGAAGACTTGACCGGGGAGAAGCTCACTTATGAGCAGCTGTATGCTCGTTCAGCTATGCTTTCTCGGTTCATTACGAGAACTCACAGCATTTCTGATCAAGTTGTGGTCATTGCCATGGATAAGTCCCCAAGATTGGTAATCAGCGTCCTCGCGGTCCTGCTATCAGGAGCTACGTTTCTTATGATCGACCCGACTCACAAGGGTATCCTGAACGAGAGCAAAGTGTCTGTAAGCAACGCATCGCTCATTATCACTGACTCCGGGAGTTACTCCGCTGTCAATCAGATCCCGAGGCCCGCCAATATCGCGATCTTGCGGTTTGAGGAGACTAGCTGGGCAAACGAGTCGACGAAGACCATTCAGCCATCAATTCCGGTATCCTCAGGGGCGTGGCTTTGCTTTACCTCCGGGTCAACCGGTAATCCCAAGTGCTTCTCGATCCCGCATAGCTCCGCAGCAGCTTGCTTGATGGGTCTGATTGACTATTTTCACCATGGACCGGGTACAAGAATGCCACTACTGAGCAATGTTGTTTTCGATGTCAGCATCTCAAGCATGCTCAGCCCTCTTCTCTCCGGAGGAACTCTCTGTCTTGCGCCCTCCGAGAGCTTTGTTACCGATCTTGAGATTACGTTACAGGCAT